GTCACTAGAGCACACGAGCTAGGATCTACTTAAAAAAGAAAAGGGCCAGAGCACCCGCGGACGGGAGAGCAGGGGCCACTCATCGAGCTGTGAGAGTCGAGAGCCCCCTTTAACGGAGAAGGTCAAGCTCTGACCCGATCGCGCCCAGATAAGAAATGACTGAGCTGATCGTTAGGGAGAATGACCATCTCTGTATGTTGTACTCCGTATGGAGTCTGCTTCATATTGAATGCCGATTACGAATTCGATCTCGGTATATGGGTGGTGCATTTTATTTTTTCCGACTCCTTTTCTGGTGTCGATATGGGTCCTTTCAGCTGCACAAAATCTGGTGGCGCCGAGCTAGGGGGGAAAGTAAAAGGAACTAGGCGTGTCGCATCCCCTTTATACTTTTTTCGTTCTTTGAGATTATAGTGTCGGGGATTTCAATTGGGTCGAGTTTAATTCATTCATCTCAGACAAATTTCAATATTTCTATGAATCCGAACCTTCCGATCAATCTATTCTCTGTTTCTCTGTTCTCCGTTATCCCCGTGGAATTCGCCACATGCGGAGCACCAGGTCCACTCCTTTCCAATTTGACAGCTACTCCGTACATATGTTGTATATGACCTGTGTCTCTATTCAGCTAGGACTTGCAGTTCAAGTCAACCAGTCGCAATAACGAAGTGGTCAATAAAACAAGAAGGGAGGGCTGCGGATGCATCGATGCAATGGACTCTCTGGCAACTACGAAGTATTCCCACTAGAAACTCGATAGGTCGTGACTGTCTCGCATGGCTCTTGCCAAATCCGATCATGGTGCATTGCACGGGTCTCACCGATAGTCTATGATATGCACCGAAGACCCCAAGATCCCCCCCAACGCAGCACTTTAATCTGTAGTGATGACAACCCGTTGCTTTTCTTGCATCGGAGCCGACGCAACAACCCGGACCGTTATGATACATCCCCGATGCCAGATGAGTCGGGTCCTACCGGATGATGCAGTCTTCTGAACTTGCGTGCGACACTCCGAACCCGATAACAAGTACTCAATCCACGCTCGAATCTGCGGATACCCCTGGAATGTTGCGGAGCGGGTGAATAAATTAAGGGGAATTCCAAGCTGCTGCCCAATGACCATATGACCATATCTAGGTACCCTGTCTGTGCCCGGTATAAAGCATTTGAAACAAGCCGGTCGCTATGGATACTGTGTCATTCCAAGACACCATCGCATGATCAAGTGCTATGCACTGCAGCTGGTGGATGTCCGGATAAAGCTCCCCAGCGAGTTGGCGACCGGGGTTCATTGCCAAGATCATACGAGTATGATGTATAGCGTTGCAGCCTCGGTCCAGTTGGTCGTCGACGCCAACAACAGTATCACTACCCAAACAGTATGCAGAACACAGACATGTCCCGCCGACCGCCATATTCAGGTCATGTCAAAAGCGTCGAATTTTTCCTGTGATCAATAGGTCCCATAACACCGAGGCGCGGTGTCGGTGTCATCGATCGCAATATCCTCAATTGACATAGCAACTTGCCGTGCCCAATCGTCACATCCTTCACACATGTATGTCGCGGCGAGGAACCTATGCACAGGTACCACACCAATCCTCCGCCAAGAAAGAAAAAAACGGTGAACCCTAGACCCCCTGCAACAAGATCACCAACATTTATATATCCGAGCAGTGTCGAACATGATCTATCAATTCACACCCCAAAGCCGACACGTGTCACCGTGTAGCGGTAAGCAGATCAATATGATAACCCCAACCCCGGCACAACGAAAAGAAAAACAATAGCAAACAGCGAAGACCATCACATTATTTTAACCCTTTCCTCCATTGTCCACTCTTACATAATATGTACAATCTTCCAACCTTGGAAGATTATATCATTACCCCGCGAATAGCGCGACACTGGCGATCACTAGCCCACTTGGCCGGCAGAGATGCAGCGCCCTAACCGACCATCTTGTGTAAACCTGTGTGTCATGGGCGCACGGTATCCTCGATAGGGAAATTTGGACGAATCGGAAGGTTGTTAATGTCCTTTTGATGTGCGGGATCGGTTGTTGCGGAGTACGCCGTTTTCCTGAGATCCGATCGCCCGGGGAAATGGACGTTCACCATCCACTTGTGGCTAAGTGGATATAGTTGAATAACATAGGTATGTGCATATATGCTTTTGAAGGTCTGGTATATTTTCTATAGGTAGGTGGTAGGTGCGAGATAACTGTATGTAATAGTAAGATATTCTGACGATAATGGTCCAATATTAGGATGGGTTTTGATGGCTTTGGACATCGGGCTGGGGGCAGGTGTGGATGAGTCAAGTTGCTGCTGGGCTAGTGTGGAATTGAGGCTCATTACTATTTCCACGTGGCTTGGTTGAAATGCTGACGGTTATCTGCATCTAGATCATCATCGAAATCGTCAGATTGGGGTCTGATATTAGGCTGCTTTGGCAAACACCACTATATATATAGTCTGTTAGCTAGGTCCGTGGGCGAGGTTCTTTAGAGTTAGTATGCTTTTACACTTATTGTCTTTGTTTGAATGGCAGATAGTTACATGGTGGACCATGCTTTAAGGGTGTGGATTGACCAGACCAAGCCTCAGAGATTATATTCTTAGTGGAGAATACTTCATGTTGTACCTATAATACGGAGTAGTTCGAGGCATATTAGATATTAGAAAAAAAACAGATCTTCTATATAAGTCAAGACAATGAGTTTGTGCTATACACCGATTCTCATTCGTTAGATAGCACGTCATGGCAAGCAAGTCCCGAGCAAAAGGACGTTAACGTCAATGTACTTTTCTCGGGAACCCAAGCACTATCTGCATGTACATATGATCACGGCGAAGTACGCAAAACATGAAAGAAGACGCCGAACTACTCGCAATCTAGCAGATCTATCCGATGAACTAGACGATGTGGTGACCACGTTTGCAATTTTCATGCAAGCACGTTGTCGAACCCAAGATCCAACATTCCGAATCTCCGAGATAAGAACGCATATGCAGACATTAGGGACTAACGGGAACCAGGAATTTAGTCCACAGCGCTGGAGGCTAAAGAGCTCTAGAAGGAATTAAGCTTCTGGATCTGCAAGGGAAATCCACTGGGTCCTGAGGGGCCCTTGTCCCACATGTGTCAGTTGGTGGTCATGTGCGCCGACGATTCATCAGTCTGGAGGTAGACTCATTGATGTGTAAGGAGTTACGTATACACATCACACATCACACCACATTAGTGTCGGGAAAATGAAAAGGACGGAGCATGGCCCGTGTGAGAATTGGTTCTGCATTTGGCTTCTCGGTGAAGATCCATGCAGCAACCCCAGGAAGCCAAGCGCGGCCTCCGCAAATCGCTATCAGCAAGGAGTGGGGAAGTGCGTCCTGAATTTTGGCGTTCTGCGGAGGGCTGCAGCGGGCAACCACTAGATTGGTGGGCGGTCGCATGATGCTGAGGATCGACCAATGTCCCAAACATCATGATATCCGTTGCAATTTGGTTTTTTTTCGTCTATGTTGTAGTGGACACCGTATGATGCACCATTATACTGGAGGACAGTATGAATGCTGCAGCAATATCATGTTCATCATAAGATTAGGGATCAACTAAGAGCTAGATATCCCATCTCATGTCCGGAGTATCCTGGTAGTACTTGGCAACGCCGACTATCGGGGGATCCAATGCAGTTAACCGGGTCTTGGCACCACACGGGATTGGTGCCTGATCCAAGCCGGGGAAAAGGACAAGCCCTGGGAAATCGGGTTGCACCCACCGGGATGACTATTAGGGGGCAATTGACTGGACATTCGGGATCTGGGTGGCACTGCGGGTATTCGGATATCCCAGATTCTAGGTTTCTATGACTATGAACATTCTGTAGTACGATTCTTTTCTTTTTTTCCCCTTATCATTCTGACTAGATTTGCATCTGGGGGATACCCCTCTACCCTTCTACCCCTCTACCCCTCAGTGCAATCCCGTGGGGTAAAGGAAGTGATTAATTGCTTAAACTAAAAGCCGTAGATAAAGGAGGAATGAGTAAAAAGTGTTAGAGAATGAAAAAGACGATCAGATAAGCTCGGTGGGCCAAAAGTGGCAGGATCCATTTTTTGATCGCCGTTTATGGGATAGTTGGCACGTGACAGAGCCTGCAGCCGAGTCAAATTGCCGAAGTTGGCAGTTGGTGGCGGAGAACTCGAGATTTTATTTGCGTTTATTTCGATTTTAGTTTTTCCTATTTTGGTTTGATTCAATCCAACTTTATAGGATACTACTTCATAATAGGTCGATCATAGTACAAGCACTCATCGCATCATGCATTTTTCTGGGGTTCGAAATCTTTACTTAGGTAAGGTTTCTCTCTCAGCCTCCTAATAAACTAGGTTACATTGTTTTATTTTTTAAAAAAAATTGTCGGAGAGGACCGATCCGAAGGATACGAATTGAACACGGAAGGGATATTAGGGACAAGGAAGATTTAGGAATGAAAAAACGAGCTGTGATTGATGGGAAGGTTAAAGTGTAGTAATGAAGGTTATGGGACCAAAAGGTGGTAGAGATAAGCCAAATTCTGTGCAAATTCTGTGACCTTAAACCATAAGATAACATTGTTCGGGCCCCGAACTTCGGACGTTCTTCCCACGGAAAGGCAAATCATTGGGTTTCATCTCTTCTCTTGGATCTTTATCCTAATTCCCCGTGCAACCTGGTTCTTGGATTATTGTAGACTTGGAGGCGCATTAACCATCTCCCCGTCTTCCCTCCAATCAGTCCGGATTCTCTCGTCCGACTCCGGCTTCGACTCTCTCTCTCCACATCTCTATATAATTGTACACTCCTCCCTCCATTCTTTCTTCTCTTCATCTACTCTCTTGAATCTCAATTGTCTTAATACTCTCTGCTCTTGCCTCTGTTTATTATAATTTATTAGATCACTGCTTAGCATTGATCTACTTAACCTAAAAGCAGAGTTAACAATACTTGCCGAAATGATGCAAAACCTTCCCTTCGAGCCTGAGTTCGAGCAGGCCTACAAGGGTATGTCTCCTTTAATTTTTCCCTTTCTATTTCAATTCCATATCACGATTTTTCCCGACTCAATTCCTTTACCCATCGGCATCTTCCCGGCTTTTGGCTCCACCGGGGCATAATTTCGGGGTGACTCAGCTAACAATCCCGAAACAGAGCTCGCCTCCACTCTCGAGAACTCCACTCTTTTCCAGAAGAAGCCCGAGTACCGCAAGGCTCTTCAGGTCGTCTCTGTCCCCGAGCGTGTTATTCAGTTCCGTGTTGTCTGGGAAGATGACAAAGGCCAGGTAAGACCTTTCTTTTGAAAATACCCTAATTAATTGCCACAATGCTAATTCCGTTCAGGTCCAAATCAACCGTGGATACCGTGTCCAGTTCAACTCCGCTCTTGGCCCCTACAAGGGTGGCCTCCGGTTCCACCCCACGGTGAACCTTTCCATCCTCAAGTTCCTCGGTTTCGAGCAGATCTTCAAGAATGCCCTCACCGGCCTGAACATGGGCGGTGGTAAGGGTGGATCCGACTTCGACCCCAAGGGCAAGACCGACAACGAGATCCGCCGCTTCTGTGTCTCCTTCATGACCGAGCTGTGCAAGCACATCGGTGCCGACACCGACGTTCCCGCCGGTGATATCGGTGTGACCGGCCGCGAGGTTGGTTTCATGTTCGGCCAGTACAAGAAGATCCGCAACCAGTGGGAGGGTGTTCTCACCGGTAAGGGTGGCAGCTGGGGTGGTTCCCTCATCCGCCCCGAGGCCACCGGCTACGGTGTCGTCTACTACGTCGAGCACATGATCCAGCACGCCTCTGGCGGCAAGGAATCCTTCGCTGGTAAGCGCGTCGCCATCTCCGGTTCCGGAAACGTCGCCCAGTACGCCGCTCTCAAGGTCATCGAGCTCGGTGGCTCCGTCATCTCCCTCTCCGACTCCCAGGGTGCTCTCGTCCTGAAGGGCGAGGAGGGCTCCTTCACCGCCGAGGAGATCAACACCATTGCCGAGATCAAGGTCCAGCGCAAGCAGATTGCCGAGCTCGCCACCCAGGACGCCTTCAGCTCCAAGTTCAAGTACATCCCCGGTGCCCGCCCCTGGACCAACATCGCCGGCCGCATCGATGTCGCTCTCCCCTCCGCCACCCAGAACGAGGTCTCCGGCGACGAGGCCAAGGCTCTCATCGCCGCTGGCTGCAAGTTCATCGCTGAGGGCTCCAACATGGGTTCCACCCCAGGAGGCTATCGATGTCTTCGAGGCCCACCGTGATGCCAACCCCGGTGCTGCTGCCATCTGGTACGCCCCTGGTAAGGCCGCCAACGCTGGTGGTGTTGCCGTGTCTGGTCTCGAGATGGCCCAGAACTCTGCCCGTGTCAACTGGTCCCGTGAGGAGGTTGACTCCCGCCTTAAGAAGATTATGGAGGACTGCTTCAACAACGGTCTCGCTACTGCTAAGGAGTATGTCACCCCTGCCGAGGGTGTTCTTCCTTCCCTCGTGGCTGGCTCCAACATTGCTGGTTTCACCAAGGTCGCTGAGGCCATGAAGGAGCACGGTGACTGGTGGTAAATCAGTCGCATCCCCATTTATTCTGGGTGGTGTTCTGTGATGATTTCTGTCCTCTCTTAAGGAGAGGCAGCTTTGATGCATTTTCTTTTCATTTAAATAGCTTTTTACCCTTTTTGTCAAGCGGGTTACGGATAGAGGCGCTTGGTTTTCTCCACTGTTGCATTCGATTGATATCCCCACTTGAGCACCGCTGTTTGTTTTGGTTCTGCACTTGGGATTGTCATGATGATAATGAGATTCAATGAATAACTTAAAAAATAATTGTGTGGTCTCGTAAAGTTGTAAACTCTAGATTGTTATCAAAGTAGCTGAGGACTGAATCTCAATGCCATAACTCTCTGTTGAATCCAAATAAGTCCAATATTAGGTACATAGGTGCACTCGGGTGTTGTCTCTGTCATGACTTTAATTTAATGCTTGTACAACATGGAATGTCCGTGGCTATTGAATTATGGCCTGAGGCATTAAGAATATTTCAAGTCACGTGATATATCGAAGTAATGTTGCCTCACGTGATACTTACGTAATTGCTTTCACGAGCGCGGAGCGCGACCTGAGAAAGAGCTATCCCTCGCAGCCTCAAGACCAATCTATTCCTCTAAGAAAAAAAATGCCTATTGCGAGTCTATAACTTGCAGTCTCACTTTTATAGCTTCCGGGGTGCAGTGTTATGTTGTGGAGATGACAATGCTGCCGGACAGGGCAATCCCGAACAATGGAGGACCTTCCTCCACCAATGTTTGGCCAATCGTATAGATATAGACGAGTTCACGGACTTGTCAGGGCTGATGTTTGCCCGCTCACCGGTGAAGGAAAACGAGCTCCTCGATCTGCTCCTTGAAGCGCGCGCTTCCTCCAGTGTTACCTGGGACCCTCTTTTGCCGTTGTACGTCGATGGACTGTGCAAGGTTGGGAGGGTCAAGTCTTCATCTGCACTGGCCAGTCTTTTGAAGCATTCTTCTGTTCTGGATGCGTCGGGACCTGGCGAGGGCGAGGGCGAGGGACAGAGCTCGTCGTCTAAGTCCAAGAATCAGAAACCATCCACTCTCATGACGGATATCAAAGTCATCCAGGATGTCATGGTGTTTATTTCCACCGGCTCAATCCCCAAGACCGTGATCGAGGCTGCAGATATTTACTCTGCTACCGTAGATTGGATTCTGGCTGTCGTGGCGTGGCACAATAACAGCATGGACGCCTCGCAACACACAGGTGGCTTGATGGGGTCACCTGACGCGGTCTCGTTGTTTGAGTCGCTTGGGATTCTACTTGCGGCTTTGTCTGGGACTAGCAAAGGACTGGAAGTGCTGTCCAGCGATTATAATCAAGGTAAATCTACATGGTCTCCGCTTGGAGATGATACTACCATATCCATTGAGGGTTTATTAACGATTTCCGCTAGGGTTGAAAACGAAATTGGGACAGGCTTTGTCAAGTTATCTGCCTCTTTGTATCGATGTCTCTCTGCCGCTTCGACATCGCCTCGAAGAGTTGCAGAAAGTGTTCCATCTTTATCCCGGTCAGCCTTCTAAGACTTTGGAGGGGCCTGGTATCGACGGCGTGAATGTCAATGCCCTCCAGTTTGAGTCTTCTGTCATGGATGTCCCAGTTGTTAACACTAGAGCTGGACTCTATGTATATATAAATTCGATGGTACGCCTCTCTACACTGCGATATTGGGTTCGTGGCTGACTAGCAACAGGTTGTCGGGCGTCCTCTGGTCGATGATACCATTCTGATCAACTACCTCACTAATCGATATCAGGTAAGTCTAATTAATACGATTCATTTCTTTCTCACTAGTCAGAGTGGTTCAGATAATCTTTCCATCACTAGTCAAGAGCATCTCAGAACATTTAACTAACCCCTTGCCAGGGCCACAATGACGTCCTCATCGAGGAAATTATCACAGCAGCCTTCGATGTTCTTTCCAACGGAGTATATCGCAATGAGTCTAGCCGCACAATGCTTTTGTTCCGATCTTTCCTTGTTAACAAGCTTCCCGCCTTTTTCGCGGCCATCTCAGCAGCATCCATGGTGCCGATCTCCATGGAAATGTGTATCAGCCACGCCTTAAGCCGTTTGGATCCGAACGCATTCCCCTCCTTCTCTCAGATGTTCTCCATGCAGGGCAGCAGTGTTTTATCAGATGCTCGTCAGGAGTTCCTCTTTGCTTGTGCCTCGCATAAGCTCATACCAGAGTCTAGCATTGAGCAGCTCCTCGGAGAAAACCCCATGCAGACACTGTCTAGTGGGGGCCCTTATGTCAAGGACGATCTCGTTTCGCAAATCAATAACAATCATGAACGTGCTGAGCAGCTTATTGGTGAGATCGAGTCGATGGAGGGTAATGCAGGCGCGATAGTTGGCGCCGTGGTCGAGGTATGTTCCATACTATCTGATGTGTGTTTTCTGAAAGTATTGGGATGCTAATTTCTTCAAGGTCATGCATAATTTGTGTAATCAGAAGGAGACAATGACGCTCAAGAACATCTGCAACTCGCTCTCACGCCGCCCGCAGACCTTGGACGTCATGTTGCTTTTCCGAACTACAAAGCAAGTATTGCAACCTCTTTGTGCTGTCCTTGATTCCTGGAAGTGGGACGAGGATCAGGGCGAAAATCAGCCTGTCTATGATGAATTTGGCAGTATCTTGTTGCTTGTTCTCGCGTTCAAATACCGCTATGACTTGAGTCCTTCTGATATGGGTATCTCGAGCAACGGCTCGTTCTTGTTGAAACTTTTGGACCGGGGCGCTTGCAGCCAGAAGCTGAACGACTTGAGCGAGAAGCAAAACAAAGATCTCGGCGCCTGGATAGGAGCTCTGTTCATTGCCGAGGGGATCAGCGAAGAGACCATGTCCACTTGCAGCCCACACGAATTCTACATGCTTGTAACAACACTTTTCGATCAGAGCCTTGGTGCATGCGAGTCAGGAAAGCTGGATTTCGACACTTTGAAAGGCGGATTTGAATGTAAGAACATCGTCACTCGGTCGCTTTCCATTAGATACCCAGCTAACCACAATACAGATTTGCTGGAGCCCTTCCTCCTCCCTTCCCTAGTCGTCGCATTAACATGGCTGGGCAACCACATCTGGGAATCAGAGACCGACAAGACTGACCCCACAATCCCCATCAAAACCCTCCACTCCCTAGTCAAACCCAGCTCAATCTCCGGCGAGGCTCAAGCCATCCACCAAACAGTCTTGAACATAACCGGCTGCCCATTAGAAGAGCAACTGAAAAACGTCCGAACAAGAAACCCGTCGCGGACAGATATCAAACCAATCCTGGATGCCTTGGAGCCATACATCTCCTTCCGCCGCGTTGGCAGCTGCCGCCGCTCCGAACTCGACACCTGGACCTCCCACTCGACAGGCGGGCTAATAGCCAGCATCCGCGCAACTCTCCAGTCCCTCGTCCTCTGGAGCGCCAACCCAGGAATCAGCATGGCCCCACACGCATACACGCATCGGCAGGTGCTAGCGGGGATCCGCATGTTGGGGTCAACACGCGTGCTTAGCGCGATAATCGACGAAGTCAAGCAGCAAACCGAAGCAGGCAGCGGACATATCGCACTGGACATCGCGACGACGATGGTATGTGCACCGATGACGGAGTCCTTCGCCGTCGACCAAAACAACTACCACCCAGTCGACCCGAGCAAGGAACCTTTCCCGCGGTGCGCGATCCTGACGCTGCGCGATGCCTTGGCGCTGCAGCATGAGAATGTGCCTGAGATCTCTGAGAGTGATCCGCTGCGCGCGGAGGTCGTGGTTCGGCTTGCGCGCCGGGTTAATATGCTCATGGCGCCGCCGTCGCAGGTCTCGAATATCGATGTCTCGAATATTATTCAGAATATGCATCTTGGTGTCGAGGGGCAGGAGGATCGGATGGATCTTGAGCCTTCTGCTGCTGATGTTGCGCGTAATACGGTCAATGAGGATGATCCGGATAATATCAATCAGATGTTGGATAAGGCGGCGGCGGATGCGGCGGCTGCTGGTATGGATGGTGGTATTGGTGTGGGTCAGGATATGGGGCTTGATTCTGGGGCTGGCATGGATGCTATTGATGATGTGCTTAATGCGGCCGATATGGCGGTTGGCAATCCTGAGTTCCTTGATTTGGATATGGAGGGCATGTTTTAGTTGGTGTGATAGCTTATCTTTGGTATCTATGGACTCAGGTGTCCAATCTTGGCATGGCATTTTGTCCGATCTGTGTTTGGTAAACGATGATTCATTTAGACGACACTTCTGCAGTATTATAAATGGATATATGTATCGTATGGAACCAGCGTAAACGGTTCATGGCAGACTTGCTGCACAACCCACAAGCAAAGAAAAGAAAAAAGCAGCGTCAACCCCATAGCCCCTGGCATATTCAATCCTATACCCAAGGAAGACATCACGATCCAGTCCTAGAAACGACAGGATATATCATTAGCATTTTACCAACACGATGCAAAACCATGTACGTACAAATCTCCAATATCTTCCCAATTTCCTCTGTCAGCTTTGGGATCCCCGAGTTAGGGAACAGTTTCTCCACGGCTTGCATTGGGGTCGGGAGGAGGTCTCTGCTGCTGAGTGGGATTGGGGTCGCTGCTACCAAAGCCGAGAACGAGAGGATGGCAATGACCGCAGAGAGTTTCATGTTGTGCCGGCTTCTTGGATTGGTTTAGACTGGTGTCGTTGGTTCCCACCTGAGGATATATATAACCTGTAGTACATCAGTGACCGAGTCCACATAATAGCACCAACAATATAGGTGCGTATCTGAAGGGGTCACTTACTATTATGCCTAGTCAGGTATATTGGTTAGAGGATTTCTCGGGTATATTAGAAAAGAGAGAGAGCTCGATTCTAACGGTGCCAGACAGGCCCTTCTTATCTATATCCCCCAGTGCAGTTCTTAGCCAAGAGCTAAGACCCATACCAGAGGACTTAAGAACACGGAGCTACCTCATTCCGGTGGCTTGAACCTTCTCGTGAGAAAGTTTGGCTTCAGCGTCAGGAATTTTAGGTACGCGACGCGTCTGGAAATTGGGATGTTGAGGTTTGTATATGTAATTTGCGACACGCAAATTATATGATTAGTGCTGGCAGTTATTGTATGGCAAACGGTAGGATCACACCTGGGCAATCCATAGACGTGTTCCTAGCATATGAGATACAGCGGAAAGGGCGTCAGGGAGTTAGGTATGTAGTCAGGTGAGATTTGCTTACCAGCACTATTAAGTTCGAAGGATGTTACTAGTGGTCGGCTTTTACTTCCATAGTTGCTACTAGGGGGAGGTATAACATGAATTCCGGGGCCTAGAGTTATCAGGTTGTTATGTAGGTCATTCCGACTAGTACTTATATTTAAGTAAGGATTCTGCAGCTTCTAGTACCGCGAAGCAAAAAGGTTCTAGTAGGCGTCGTCGCGCGTCTTTTTAGTGCCACACGTGAAAAACTTTTTTTCCCCCCCGTATAATAGCTATTACTACCTAGGTACATAACGTATACGGTGTGAAGGGGCACGATTAAGGTTATGCCTTCCCCAACCGCCGAGGCCGCGGCTTCCATCACAACACACTGTTGCTTAATGACGAAATGATAGGTTTTCGTACCTTCCAGGTTCTCACTCTCAAACACTCCAGGGCTAGATATGAAGGGCATCCTAGGCCCCTTCTTAAGAAGAACCCCAGGAGCCGCGCTTTCCCGCCGTAACCCCCATGATGCACCCATGACGGTTTCCTTTCTTCCATCAATCCCCGAATCTATGGGACCAAGGGTATCATAGATCCAAGGCATGACCCTGAGGCACTCAAACGGTTTACTTCAGGTTGTTGGCTTTGGAACGGACGATAGCAATTTGCCTGTCGCTATGTCAAGTTCGGCCTCTCAACACTCCCGCAACTACCTGCCTCTGCAGATCATGCACTCGAGTGTTAAAGATCTCAGAGGGCCAATAGAACAAAGTGTTCCAGCTTACCATGGACGATGGACGCGATATCGCTGCGAAACTTCCAAATCCCAATGCAGGCAGACAACACTTCACGACAGCTAGTGAGGTTGCAACTATGGACTTTGTATGGACCTCTTTTATGCAGCACGCAAGATTCTTGCATCTGGCAGACCCGCAATGGATCCGGGCAAGCAGACGCAAATTTCCTAATTGGGAACCAAGGCACATATTTCCTGATTGGGAAGACGCCAGACCAGAATTCAATATTAGATAAGACTCGGGTAGATCGGAATCCCCGGGAACCCGGTTATCGGGATTATCAGCCCACGGAATCTTCACGGGTTCGGTGCCTCGGCATTGCTGATTTGCTCACCCGTGGACTGTCTTGACAGTTCAATTTTAGGGGATTTCGGTCTTGACCAGGGGTCTTAATCTAGAACTCTAATCTTTATCCAGAAATATGTAAACATCAACCCGTTAATATGCTTGTCGATTGACCGCCTACGAACGTTGCGTATAAGTTATACATAGATCACCAGAGATTCTCAGTTGGCAGTAATCCACTTCGAAATAAGAAGCACCTGGGCACGGGCAGGAACAATCGGTTACTAATGCATTATTCACGGGTAACATCCATCGTACTTTCTACAGTGATCTGCAACGTCAAACTGTCAGCCCTAAATGCCTCAAGTATCAAAACACAACAGAAGCCGAGTGAATCGGACATTTCTCTGGCTTCCGATGCTTAGCTGTTGAACAACCATTGAACAACTTGGAAATTTGTAGTTCGCTCGACCCAAGATTTGCCCAAAAGTGGGTTTCGTCATGGAACTCGGCCTCTGTGCCGGGTTTTCCAGGCTCCGTTGAATCTATTCATAGGAGTGAAACAACGGCCTCTACATTAGCAGCAATAATGAACAGAATCATGGTATAAAATTGTTTAGCCAATAGGGAACTGCTATTCAATGTCAGCCTTCCGATCTCCTATTTCTTCGGATCTGGAGTCGGCACATATAATGACTTGCCCCTTTGTAGAATTTACAGGATAAATATGCTAGTCCTCCCAGGTTAAATAACTTGTGACTCTATAACTATATTTACTTCTTTGACCAATCTCCACTCTTTCAAAGTCTCCTATCATGGAGCAGCATCCCGGCCCCGATGATGCATCGCTTCACAGCGAATACCACAATGAAGACGAAAACGATAACCAAAGCCTGGACAACCAGCCCGTCCATAAGCTCAACACCCATGACTTCACTAGCGCGGAGACTCTGCGTGTACCCCAAGCCAACATCCACGAAGCAAAGAGTGCCGAGACTTTGAATGTCGACCACGCCGACACTTCAATGCCCCCCAAGAAGACTGCGGGATGGAGCATGACACCGCAAGTGATCCGGAATGCAGAACGTGACGAAGCTGCCGGATTCAAGAAGCGCGAGCTAGGTGTTACATGGCAAAATTTAACCGTCGATGTCCTTGCAGCCGAAGCCGCCGTCAACGAGAACATGGTCTCGCAATTCAACCTTCCTCAATTGATTAAAGATATTCGCCGAAAGCCACCACTCAAGTCAATCTTGTCAGACAGTCATGGATGTGTCAAGCCCGGAGAAATGTTGCTTGTGTTGGGCCGCCCTGGTTCAGGATGCACCACGTTGCTCAAGATGCTATCGAATCGCCGCGAAGGTTATCACACCGTGAATGGTGACGTGCGTTTCGGAAGCATGTCCCCCAAGGAGGCTGAAGACTACAATGGCCAGATTGTGATGAACACAGAAGAAGAGCTCTTCTATCCACGTTTGACAGTAGGCCAGACTATGGACTTTGCGGCCAGACTTAAGGTTCCTTTCCATCTACCAGAGGGAGTCCAAAGTGTCGACGAATACACAGCCGAGACCAAACAGTTTCTTCTGGATTCTATGGGAATTAGCCATACGGCAGATACCAAGGTTGGAAATGAGTTTGTCCGTGGTGTATCGGGTGGTGAGCGGAAGCGAGTCTCTATTATCGAGTGTCTCGCGACTAGGGGTTCTGTTTACTCCTGGGATAACAGTACCCGTGGTTTGGATGCCAGTACCGCATTGGAATGGGCCAAGGCCCTTCGTGCTATGACTGATGTTCTCGGCCTTTCCACCATTGTGACCCTATATCAAGCGGGAAATGGAATTTATAATCTCTTCGACAAGGTCCTTGTCCTCGACGAAGGAAAGCAGATCTACTATGGCCCTGCAGCTGCAGCTAAGCCTTTCATGGAAGATCTAGGCTTCGTGTACACTGACGGAGCAAACATCGGTACGTCTTTCCTACATTTGGCAAACAAGCCTAATACCAACTAACAAAACCATAGGCGACTTCCTCACTGGTGTGACAGTCCCGACAGAGCGGAAAATCAGACCCGGATACGAAAACACATTCCCCAGAAACGCCGATGCCATTTTGGCCGAATACAAAAAGTCCAGCACTTATGACCGTATGGTCTCAACATATGACTATCCCGACTCCAACCTCAGCCGCGAACGCACAGATGCCTTCAAAGAGTCTGTTGCGTGGGAAAAGTCCAGCCACCTGCCTAAGGGTAGTAGTCTGACCACCAGCTTTTGGGTTCAGCTCATCGCATGCACCAAGCGACAGTATCAGATTCTGTGGGGTGAGAAGTCAACATTCATCATCAAACAGGTTCTGTCATGTGTGATGGCGTTGATCGCTGGTTCTTGCTTCTACGACTCGCCAGACACTTCTGCAGGTCTCTTCACCAAGGGTGGCGCTGTATTCTTCTCGCTTTTGTACAACTGCATTGTTGCCATGTCTGAGGTCACTGAATCCTTTAAGGGCCGTCCGGTCTTGATCAAACACAAGGGCTTTGCTATGTACCACCCGGCTGCGTTTTCCTTGGCTCAGATCATGGCGGATTTCCCGGTGCTGTTGTTCCAGTGCACTATCTTCTCGGTTGTCATCTATTGGATGTCTGGCTTGAAACATACTGCGGCTGCTTTCTTTACCTTCTGGATTATTTTGTTCACAACAACTCTGGTGGGTAGTCGTTTTCAATTCGATTCTGCCAGGTTGTCAGGCTTGGACTAACTCTTACATCTTTCAGTGCATCACCGCTCTCTTTAGATTTATCGGATCCGCTTTCAGTACCTTCGAAGCCGCGTCCAAGATCTCGGGAACTGCAGTCAAGGGCATTGTCATGTACGCTGGTTACATGATTCCTAAGCCCCAGATGAAGAACTGGTTCCTCGAGCTGTACTACACAAATCCCTTTGCCTATGCCTTCCAGGCAGCCATGTCGAATGAGTTCCATGGCCGCCATATCCCTTGTGTTGGTAACAACCTGATCCCGAATGGCCCTGGCTACGAGGATGTCGGAGCTGAGAACCAAGCTTGTGCGGGTGTTGGTGGCGCTTTGCCAGGCGCAAACTATGTGACCGGCGATCAGTATCTTGGATCACTTCACTACAAGCACTCTCAAATGTGGCGGAACTTCGGTGTCGTCTGGGGCTGGTGGGGGTTCTTCGCCATTCTGACAATTATTTTCACATCCTACTGGAAAACAGGTGCTGGCTCTGGTTCTTCTCTCCTCATTCCCCGCGAGAAGCTCAAGCAGCATCACGCCGCCGTCTCCGACGAAGAAGCACAAAATAACGCAAAGACTACTGCGCGCAAGACTACCGATGAGCCCGTTCAGGTTGACGATGAAAATCTCAACCGAAACACGTCCATATTTACCTGGAAGAACCTCACGTACACAGTCCAAACTCCCACGGGCGATCGAGTGCTGTTGGATAACATTCACGGATGGGTCAAGCCCGGCATGCTAGGCGCCCTTATGGGATCCTCTGGTGCGGGAAAGACTACACTTCTTGATGTGCTTGCTCAGCGTAAGACAGATGGTACTATCAACGGCTCTATCATGGTTGATGGCCGTGAGCTCCCAGTGTCTTTCCAAAGAATGGCGGGATACTGCGAACAACTAGATGTTCACGAGCCATACGCAACTGTGAGAGAAGCATTAGAATTCTCTGCCCTCCTTCGCCAGTCTCGCAACACCCCTAAGGCAGATAAGCTCAAGTATGTCGACACCATCATTGACCTTCTCGAGCTCCATGACCTGGCAGACACTCTCATCGGTACTGTTGGGAATGGACTTAGCGTTGAGCAAAGAAAGCGCGTCACAATTGGCGTGGAACTGGTATCCAAGCCTAGCATTCTGATCTTCTTGGACGAGCCCACCTCTGGTTTGGATGGACAATCAGCCTATAACACCGTTCGTTTCCTTCGCAAATTGGCTGATGTTGGTCAAGCTATTTTGGTAGGCCTTCTATTTCTCCAATTCAACAACTACAAGACCATATTGCTGACAAGTGACGTTCTAGGTTACGATTCACCAGCCTTCGGCGCAGCTCTTTGCTCAATTTGACACTCTCCTTCTCCTTGCAAAGGGCGGAAAGACTGTCTACTTTGGTGACATTGGCGATAATGCGGCCTGCGTTAAGCAATACTTTGGCCAATATGGAGCCCACTGCCTACCGATGCTAACGCAGCTGAGTTTATGATTGACGTCGTTACCGGTGGGATCGAATCTGTCAAGGACAAGGACTGGCATCAGATATGGCTCGACTCTCCCGAGCAGACTCGCATGATCGCGGAACTGGACCGAATGATTGCGGATGCTGCTGCCAACCCCCCCCGGAACTGTCGATGATGGATTCGAATTCTCCATGCCTCTTTGGGAGCAGACCAAAATCGTCACTCATCGGATGAATGTCGCGCTTTTCCGCAACACCAACTATGTCAACAACAAGTTCTCCCTTCACATTATCTCAGCCATGCTCAATGGGTTCTCCTTCTGGCGTCCTGGCCCAAGTGTGTCAGCTTTGAACCTGAAGATGTTCACGATCTTCAACTTTGTCTTCGTCGCTCCCGGTGTCATCAACCAGCTTCAACCCCTCTTCATCCAGCGCCGTGATATCTACGATACTCGCGAGAAGAAGTCGAAGATGTACTCCTGGGTTGCCTTTGTCGCCGGATTGATTGTCTCCGAGTTCCCGTATCTCTGCATCTGTGCGGTTCTCTACTTTGCCTGCTGGTACTACCCCGTTTGGAGACTGCCTCATGAGTCGAGCCGATCTGGTGCCACATTCTTCATGATGTTGATCTACGAGCTCATTTACACTGGTATTGGTCAATTCGTCGCCGCCTATTCACCTAACCCGACCTTTGCTGCGCTTGTCAACCCCTTGATCATCAGTACTCTTGTCCTGTTCTGCGGTATCTTCGTCCCATACATCCAGCTCAACGTGTTCTGGCGGTACTGGATGTACTACCTCAATCCCTTCAACTATGTTGTCTCGGGCATGTTGACCTTTGGCATCTGGGGTGCCAAGGTTACCTGCAATGAGGATGAGTTTGCTTTGTTCGAGCCGCTCAACGGCACCACCTGCGCGCAGTACCTGGCGGATTATATGTCCGGCGCTGACTCGAGCATCAATTTGGTCAACCCCGATGCTACCTCGGCCTGCAAGGTCTGCCAGTATACAGACGGAAGTGATTTCCTGAGAAATCTCAATATCATGAACTACACCACCGGATGGAGAGATATCGGTATCTCGGTCATCTTCGCGATCAGTGGATATGCCTTGGTATTTGGGCTTATGAGGTTGAGAACCAAGGCTTCCAAGAAGGCCGAGTAGGTTGATCTTTTCATCCTTTTTCTTCAAGCCCTTCATTTCTTCGGAATGCTCATTGATTGAGCCTTTTCCTTCTCCGATATTTCTTTCACCAATTTCTCTTTCATTTCTTGCCAACCTGTTATACACTCACTTCTCAGCCCTTCATTCATGAAGCCCTACACCGTGCATATCTGCATTTTTGTTCGTCATCGAGAACTTTCCCATCCCCTGCATACAGGTTATTAGAGAGCATATAGATTTTAGAACATAGAGCATAGAATATAGATTGTACATTCTCGGACCTTTATACAAGAGCCTCTACATGATTAAGTTACAGTGTTTATGAACATGACTCTATGTAATTGAGATAACCACGAGTCTAAAAGGAAGTGACCAAAGCCATACAACGTAGATATATTCGCTGAGTAGTCACATCAACGTATACTACAACCAACCCGTATTCCATTTCTCCGAGTTAGCCGCCAATATTAGAACATGTACTCCGTACTCCATACTCCATACTTCCTGAACCCTACCTGTCTCCACAATGTGATGAAATTGCATCGACACTAAGGCCAACGAGCTGGCGCGTGGAGATATATCCATTTGTGCACTGGAGACTTTATCCGGGGCCAGAAGTGTGACACATATTTCACCTTCCCGATCAGGTAGTCGAAAAGTAACTCCAAAATACAAAGGAATCTTACATCGGTGACTATCTCCACAAGCGAAAGGGATCCTCGAGTGGAAATGATGGGGTCGACCCAGCATCATGGGCCAGCCTTGGAGAACGGGACCATTTGCTTTTCTAGAATCTCACGACCGATCATTGCCTAACGCTTGCACGCTTACACCGACAACATGGAACCTCCTGTCATAGTTGAATTCCATCGAGTACGGAGTATGGAGTAGCTTACCCCCAATCTTCCCGCGGAAACCGCGAAATCGGAATAAATCCACACACATTCTCCGACGTGATGCACGTGGGTGGGAACTCTCCACAATGACAGAATCCAATTCGGCGCTGTGAAGAACTCGGGATCTGCGCACAAGTTGGCTTTCTGCAGAAACTCTGGTGAAATTTAAGGGGGGAATTTTTTTAAAAATAAATTGCTTCCCCTTTTCTATTTCTCGTTTCTTCGAAGATTTGGTTGGCAGAAGCTGGGGTTTCTTATCACTTCTCACACAAAACACCGGTATTACTGTATTTGCCCAGGAAGGATTCCAAGGTTGCTGATCGCTCGCCAAATCTCCTATTGTGGAAACCTGGCCCTAAGCGGGGAGAGCCATTATTGAAAGATGGGGAGTACTCCGTAAGCCCGAGCTTGTTGGACAAGATAAGAGTCCACGGGTATGGTGTCATAGTCTCAGGGAATTGAACGACATGTTCTTCGTTCCCGATTTCACAGAGAAACGGTCCTTGTTTCCCGCGTCTATTCCGTCACGTAATCCAGTTAAGCAAAGATCAGCAGTGATAGTGGAGTGAAAAAGGCGTGTTTCTTGGTTCTCATTTAGAACCAAAAGCCAAAGCTCCGCCATGAGCACTTCTGTATAGTCCGTACGAAGTACGGAGTACGGAGGAGATACCGGGCTTTAAATTAGACCACTTGATTCCCGATGCAGTGATCCACTGGTGCAAATACTTAACTTCAGACAATATTCCCTTTTCGGCTAAACGGGATCGTTGCTAGAACAACGAACGAACACCGTTGATGTTTCCTTGTGTATCTGAGCCTAGGAGGAAAGCGAATGAAAAGGGTTGCCGTCGAAACCACAAAGTATCGGTTCGGCTTGCCTAGGGAAGCTTCAAGCCCTTCCAAGGTTATCCCCACAGAATGACGCAGTAACGGGATCCATAACTGTCCATGAGTTGCGCCCAGGTAAGGCTATGTACAACATATAGAGAAGACTTCGGAGTACGGAGGAGAACTCTGGCTATCTCGGAAACAGTGGAGTTGATGCGATCGCCAACGATGTGGAGGTTGTTTCACCTCATGGGGCTTCTAAAATGAGACTTGCCATTTCAAGATACTTAATAGATTAACTGAAGCCAAAGGAAGAGGGATCAGATTGGAAATTGTGCCCGTCTAGAAGGCGTGCTGGTCCACGTGACACAGACACACCCCTTGTCTCCAGGCACATGTTTTTTTTTTAGTTCCCGAGGCATCTCCAGGCAATACTCCGTAGTCTCCTGCAATCTCAATAATAGGATCGCAGGTTCGATAATCTATTCTTGATTCACACTACGGGTCAACTGTACGTAGTCTGTACTTCGTATTAAACTATCCCTCGTAAACACGACAAGACGCCTCTATCACATCGCCAGCGCGGACGCGACGGTGATCCCTTTAACTGTGCCGTCCCGCACTATACCGATAATGATACTCCGTACAATCAATCCAATACCTATCATATCCCCTCTTTCATCCCGCCCCAAAGGAAAATGGCGCGAATGTGGGGAGTCTGGTTCATGGTCAGCACTCTCAACGGCCTGAACGCACGCGACGCGACACAAAGTTATCAATAGTCTACTCCGTACGGAGTGACGCGGTATTTCCGATAGGCCCGCTAGTTTTCTAGCCTCCCCACACACTTTCAAACCCCTGCTCACTGCGCAACGGCCAGGTCCATCTCCGTTGACAGGGGATTGCTGTTAGTCCCGCATTGCAATTCAATCACGTGCAGCGTCAAACAAAGAAATCGAACAGCTGGGGATCCCAGCAAATCTTTTGAGTTGCATTCCCCGAAGCAAGGTTTGACCTTCAAGTCCCCCGGTACGAGTAGGTTCTGACCTCGAAACTCTACTCCGTACCAAAACTCTGGAACTGCGGCACAGCCGCCCCTCTATCCACACTTTAAGGGGACGTTAAACTATTGATTTTAGAGCAAAACATGATGGACCTATCGAGCTCAGGGTTTTCAATTAATTAATACCGCCAATGAATGGTCTCAGTTATACTCCATAAAGTGGATTTACGACCACATGGTGCATCAAGCTCCACGCGAAGACGCATGGTAAATCCTCGAGGCAGCCCCTGACTGCGAGCCTCCACTAAGGCAACCCGAGTCTTTGTTCTTGGGTCCGGAAGCTCTCCCGCGAGCACAAAAGTTCCTTCGCCATGCTAAAAAAGCAAGGGGACAAAAGGCTGCGGTCCAATTTCGGGCAAAGCTCATCTGCCTGATCGAATCTGGACTCTCTGGGCCCGATTATCGCCGGTCCTAATCTAACATCTCAGATCGTGGACAAAGAGGTAACAAAGAAATGCATCGCGTGTGGCGGCCACCAGGTTAATTCCCATCTCGGACAGGGGGGTATACAGCCGACGCTTCACTGTGCCGCTCATTTGGCGCCCCCTAGCCCTGGAGTGCTTGACAGGTAACATAAGCTATCATGTATAATCTGTTGGTGGCGTCGGGGATATGAAATTGGGAAAGAGGCGCAGACTAGCCCCTAATCCTGGAAAGAAGTACCGGTCTGGACCGTTGCGCGGAATCCTGCTAGCCAATCCGCCAGCCGTGTGCATCCGGTGTCACCTTCTGGTGGCTTTCTAGACAGCTGCGGAGGCTGTCCCGGATATTTTAGGGTTTAGAGGATTTCTTTTCTTGTGGACTTCCTCTTAAGGCGAAGTGAACTGTGGAGTATGGTGAGTGGAGATGTATGCGTAGCTTCTATCTTTCTTTGTTGATTGCCTTCATATCGCCCCATCGGCGACTATCCCTGGGCCGTTTCTTTCATGCGCGGGTCTAAGTGGGCTTTGGTATTGAATCGACAATATGGAAACTTACGCTGTATGTAACGTTGACCATTACCATCTAGCAAATTACTATACAAGGTCTGGTATCATGTACGCATTCTCGGGGTACTTTATCCCGCTAACTAGATCCCTGTAGCTGCTAGCCTGATCTTTCATCCAGGATTTTGAGAACGATCTAGATTTCCAGGGTTGTGCGTCTGCTTTTTGGACTGCTTATGAATATCCATACAACTGTAGAGGACTTTGCGGAGTAAGGAGTATACTCCGTGGACATTGAATGGATAATCACTGTTCCGAGTCCACCGCCGTTCCGCTGCTTCTATTGATGAACTTGGATTATATGTATGGAGTACGCTGTACGGAATATGCTTGTTTTTGATTGAACTGCTTGTCAATATTCTCCACGATAAACTTATGTATTCATGGATAATCCCCTGTTACCAACTAGGTAGGCACCAAGGATCCGTCTTTCCGTACGCATCCATGGATGAGCTTGTGTTAAATTCAATATCGAAATTCAGTGGTCGGGTTGTTTACATCCATTCGTTCAATGCTACTATTTTTACAGAGTATTTTAAATACGGAGTATATCTGATCAACATCGTCTTTAGCAAAAGCTTGAACCGGATATATAGATGAAGAGGGGTGTAGACCTAGTCGACAGTGCACAACATATAGTACACGCTGGAATATGATGTTAGAATATGCTCTAAATATGAATTGGACCAACTTTCTATCAAGGGTCACATCTAGTAGCCTGTGTAACAGCGTGGTTACAGGATCGCGATCGTGGGGGTAAAGGCCACAAAGAAACGGGCGCTCTCTCAGCCATCAATAGAACCTTGGAAAACTCGGTGAGAAAGCATAGTTAAGAACTTTAGAGAAAAGAAATGCTAGCGCTCTCTGCATATCGAATCACATAAGACGCAAAGACCGACTCTATTGAGATCATAACCAAAATCCCAAGGTTTGGAGCGCGATCTTGCAGTCGAACGCAGGTACATGCACTACCTATGCATAAAACTGCAGTGTTATTTCAGCCTCAGCCGCTCACCGCATCTCAACAATTAATGCCACGAGGTGACACAACATGAACTTGAAGTCTTGACTCAACAGCTAGGATTCGGATTGTCTGAATGCGTGCCCACGTGTTCGTCATGGAACTCCCTACCAGAAGATCCTGGTGATATATTGCATGGATATATGCCTTCCATGTTGCTGAGCCATATGCAACTTGGCTGTGGTCTAATACGCAATCTTTTTAAGCGGCTATTGCCATGTGTGCACGAATATATATCATCAGACAGGAGAGACCTAACAAGTAAGCTACTACTCCATGCCACTCATCCAATAGAGGCTCTGTCTATACGACAGTTACCTGTAGGTCCTCCCATTACTCTGACTGCATAGCATATACCTCACCATTGGCACGTTTCACTGACTCTCGGATACCAACGTTGATATTCCAAGACATCGACTCAGGTCTCTAGCATGCTTCCCTGGTCTTGCATCGGCAATTGTCCCCACAAAGCTAACTAATATACAGTATGAGATGAGCATTAAATCCAAAGATTAGCGTCTTGCTGATTTACCCCGCGACTGAGCCGTTCATTTCTTATAGGTGAGGAGCACGAGAAGATAGATCATGTCGCACTCGGAGAGATATCCCCGGCTGGAAATATCACCCGAAGAATAATCATTCACATCAACAAAAATACGACTGACAATAAGCAGAGACATACCATGTGTCTTATCACAGAGACCATTCCTGATCCAGACTGCCTCCAAGCCTCGACCTACAACATAGGCAGGCTCCTACCTAAAATGGTTGCCTGGATGCGGGTCGGGCTTCTCGACCTCGGTGAACATGTTAAACAGATCAGATAAATGTGACGATACCACTTTCCCCGACGATCTCTTGTCAACTCGACGGGTCCTGCATCACAGCAGCACAATGGATATACTAGTACAAAGTACTTTGGGAGACCGTGCATGCCCCACTACTTGGGCACGAGTCTGCCGGGATGTGATGTGCTCGTGTGCTTTGCAGCTTGCTGACGAAAATATACAAAGTTACCTAAACAAACATCAAACTAGCAAGTTAAGCTAATGAAGTACATACATATGTAGGGGTAATTGATCTGTGCTGTAGGTAATATCGTGATGAGACAAGCAAACAGTGTGAGACCGCGCGGGCTGATCCGTCAATTGTATCACTCTATAAGTTGCATTGTGCGACTGTTTTTACACTGTATTTTTTTTTCTTTAGAGAGTTCGGGAGACAATAAGTTCAAAACAAGACTAGCATAACCAAACCGGGTGTAAATTTGAGAAGCCTCAATATTCTACGCAATCTATATACGCGACCGTAAAAAGCATCAGAGATATTAGACTTGGTCTAAGCACCTCCGTCCCATGGTTTGAACCCGCCTCCGGCACGGACATTCCACCCATTGAAGGTATGGCCCGCAGATCGCGCTCTACGATTGCCCTGATGTGATGATATGGAGAGGCTTGCATTGCACTACTATGACAGCCATCGATTGGACCCCACGAGGGGCGAGTTCGGAGCTTTTTTTATTATTATTTTTGTTTGTGCCAACACTGCTCAATCGCTCTAGTTGGCTCCGCTTGATAACTTTTTGCTGACTTACATTAGTCAAACATTAGTTATCAGGAACTAGCAATTTCATACTTCCCCAAGGAGGCAAAGATTCCAGAACATGTGACGTGTGACCAATGCGTGCTTAGGAGAAATAAGTATGCGTTTTGCACATTTCAATGTTGACTGGCGACTGCAGAATCACCAAGTTCACTTAGCTCTGCGAATCTGTTGGTCGAGCTGCGGGAGGACGTGCGACGCTGTGATGGGGAAAGGGAGAATAGCCTATGGATGTCATTGTCATAGTGTATTACAAGTTCCATACTAAGTGTCTCCAATTACTCCAAGCCTAGACCATGGGAGGGCGAAATTCGCCTCTATATTGTCATTATTCAATTTTGCGACTTTCGACCCTGACCCATGATTAAATATAGAGTATTTCTGTCCAATTATTTCAAAAAGAATCATTGGAACGTGCTGATCAATAACATTAATGTGTGCCACATCAAAGTATTCACAGAAAAATATTCCGAAGTTCATTTTGAGTCGAGGGGCAACGCACATTCTATTGTTAGTCAACAAAAGTACATCAAAAATTTTCATGCGGCAAGGTACTCCCGTATCCTCGCATCTATTATTATTCCAGGTCTTAGACAACAGCGGGTCCACGTCATGGATTTCCCCGTCGCTTCACATAGCTTGGAACTACTCCGTAGCTAGGATTAAGTATGCCTCACTACAACATAGGCAAGCATCGGGTAGCTTTGCGACAGTGTTCGACTTTTTCGCAACTCGCCACAGCTCGCGTTTGTGGATCCTGTTTGCCAATTGCGAACCTGTTCCTTGTGGTTATCGCCCCACGCGGGAGGGGAAAAAGAAAAGATGGAGGGGGATCTCAGTATGGTACTCCGTACATACAGCTTGGTCCGGATGTCAATAATAGGGACTGGGGTCTGGACAAGGGGCAGGGTTTTGAGATTTGAGGATTTTTATGTGAGGTACGGATTACGGAGGGATATAATATTTGCAACCAGGTGAAAATAAACCATAACGGCCAGGGAGAAAAAAAAAGACTTTTGGCTGCTGTCAGTTTGGGGGCCGCTGCGCTGTCGATCCCATCCCGGAAAGATATTGGTGACAGCCGACCAAAAGATCCCCTTCCCTCACTTTTAATGATTGATCGAGTCCCCCTGCAGGCTCTAGCACACGGTCAATGCATTAAGACATGGCCTGACTTAACCCCACAAGATTTATGTCGCTGTGGCAATATGATTGGTCTCAGGCGGGAGAAACTTTCAATTGTAAACAAATTAAAATGGAGTATTTATTGCGTTTGGAGGGGGAATAGTGGGAGGTCTGGAACAGAGTACGTTCGGCAGATGTAAGGTGGATAGTGCTAGACTAGACTTGCTACATGTGAGAGATGTACCTTTTAGCCTAATTATAGTGTAGAAGGTACATTCTGAATTTGTACCAGTAGAAGGTGCCGAGGGCCTATGGTATTCAAAGTACAATCATAGACAGGCCAAATCTGGGAAAGGAGAGATTCCTCAAATTTCCGATTTCTATTTTTTCCTTTCTTTTTTTCTATTGCTTTTTTGGAGATCTCAATCTTTGAATCTCGAATAAGAGATAGAAAAAGAGCCATAAGTTTTTAAGAGTTGAACGTATAAAGTCTGAAATTAAAAAAAAAGAAAATATAAAGTGAAAAAAACCCAAAAATTAAAACTTTGAAGAATTTATAAATACGTACTCCGTACTTTTGTATGATACCCGTCACATTATATCAGAGTACATTACATCTCCATACAACATACGGGCCCATTACCAGTGGAGCGTGGATCGTCCCGATCGAGTCCCAGAAGATGGCTCTTTCGAACTCCAGAGCTATTATTCCACTTAATTCCCTCTTTTTCCCTTTTCTCCCCTTTTACTTCAAAGCTCTTCAAGCTCTTCTTCCACTCTCACTTTGTATTGCTGCCGGTGGCAATTGCGAGTTATACTTATACTTAGCATTCTTTTATATCCCTTCCGCCCTTGCGTTACCTTAATAGGGAATCCCTCTTTCGTCACCATCTACAGTCCTTGCTGCGATCCTTCAATTGCACTTGCCTCGATTCTCCTTCATAGGCATTTGCATTATTTACCTAGGTACCCATTGGGTCATTCATCCCTTGATATTCCAAGGTTGGGTTGACCTCATTACGACTCATCCCTCCGGGACCTTGAATATTCCGGACTCCTGGAAAGGAAGTCGGCTTGGATCTGTTTATAGTTTTTGATTACCTGTTAATATTGTTTTCTGTGTTTGTATGTCCAGTTCAAAGTTCCTAAATCCTTCCCCTCTCCCGGCATTCCAAGCCCTCAACCTCCTTGGGGCATTCCAAACATTCAATCCCTATACTCTATATCCTTGAGCGCCAATTGACCTAGATTGTGTAGGATCAACACCAGCCTCTGGCGATCCGATTCCTCCCCTCCATCCTTGATTATCCAACGCCACTTGCCTTCGATACTGGTCTTCTTTTTAGTTGGATCCACTGAACCATGTCCATTGCACCTACCGAGTAAACGCCTTCGGTCAGTGACCTCAGCGGCTTGGAGAGAAATTACTTAGTCACGGAACGGACAAGAGATGGAATCAATGAAGCCATACATCCCCCCGTTGAAGATCTCGAAATCCAATTCGAATTTATCCGAGTCGAGCAACGACGCTAAATCTATACCGAGTCGATTCTATTCCGCCTGGGGCTCATCAGAGATGACCCCTCCGTTAACACCAAAAGACACCCAGGACACAAACATGGATCAACCCGAGGCCCCAAGACCTGTCTTTCACAACTATCTGCGCGCGTTCTACCCTTTCCACCCGGCCGGCAATGTCTCTCCGTCGACTGTTACACTCCCTCTGGACCAGGGAGATATCATTTTGGTACACTCCGTTCACACCAATGGCTGGGCCGATGGTACATTATTAGATTCTGGGAATCGAGGCTGGTTGCCCACGAATTACTGCGAAGCATACGATCAATTACCTATGCGTCCTTTATTGAAGGCCTTGACTGATTTCTGGGATATCATTCGAGGAGGATGCGGGTCATCACTAAAAGATTTTGGAAACCAAGACTTGATGAGAGGGCCTATCGCTGGCGTCCGGTTCCTACTGGTAAGTACCAACTAGAACCGAGAAAACACCACAGGGCTTATAATTCCGCAGGAAAAATCAGAATGTCTTACCCGGGAGTCACCCCTGGTAAGGAGATTCGACGGACTACGCAGAATCCGGAAGGCTTTGCTATCTGACCTGTCTTCGCTGGTGAAAACTGCGAAGAAGTTCCAGGAAGTTGCCAACGGGGTTCCTTCGGAAGATGAGGTTGAGGCCATTTTGGATGAGATGCTTCTCAAGGCTTTCAAGATTGTGACCCGAGGAGTCCGATTCCTCGACGTGTGGAATGAGGAGGTAGGCTTGAGCAGGACTATTGCTGAGATGGATGGACCCGGCGACAGCATAGACCAATATAGCATGCCACCGACTCCTGCATCCGAAAGTTTCAACTTGGGGAGAACGATGGGCCTGCTAGATCTGAGTCGCGAATGCTGGAATCACGAATGGAATCACGAATGGAATCGCGGCAAATGAGCCACAGCCGTATGGATATGAGTCGGTCATCGATGCGCACTGAGATGGTTGATCAAAGACCGGTCTCCGTCGCTACGAAACGGGTTTCTATATCTCACCGCATGTCAGTTTCAGGTCCTTCTACTGCCATCAGTGCCCAGAACCTGGCATCAGAACGCCTCGGAACGACATATGATGCGTTCCTCGGTGTGCTTGGCTCGTTTATCGGACTCCACATGCAGTCCCGCTCCTCGACGGAGTTGGTTGTCACCACCCAGCAGGCTGTCCAGTCGTGTAGGCAGTTGTTAAATGTCGTGGAGGTGGTGTGCGAACATGACACCCACCGCAGCGTGTTCCTCGAACAGGCACGAGAGTCAATGTGTGAGAAGCTATCCGAGCTTGTCCACGCTGCACGCGACGTGTTCCGCCCCGCACACCTACCAGACGATGATCTTGTGTTCATGCCAGACGAAGGGAAACGCCTTGTGGATGCTGCGACTGACTGTGTACGAGCAGCTGGAAACTGTTTGGCGAAGGCTCGCCTGGTGCTTGAGCAAATTGGTGACCTCGAGCTTGACCCTGAACACTTCGAAGAGAGGGGCAAGGACTTGCCTCGCATTGCCTCTCCACAAGATGAACCGGAGACTCGCGTAGAACAGGAGCGACAAGAGTTGTCACTCCGCCTTCCCCCACCTCCTCTTCAGATTCCCACCACCACATACTCTCCCCCAACACCTGCTCTCACCGACTCTACGACACCTTCATCCTTCCAGTCTCATCTCTCAAGTTCCCCCGCCAACATCACCGCCATTTCTTCAACACCTAATTCAGCCATCCTCCCCACCCATCTGGATAACATCTCTTCGTTCTCCTCTGCTGACAGCAACTACCCTGAAAGTCATCCCAAGTCCGACGTGAGCGAATCATTTGGGCGTGGAGTGACGAGCAATGGTAGCAGCTTCACATATCACAGCCACACACGTGACTCCGAGATGAGTGGTGTCTCGCAAACCTCGACTCGGGCTACCTCACCTGATATTGGGGGTAGCTTCCAAGGTAGTTTCACCGTTCACTCACTGAAGGAGAGTCTGAGTTACTCGACTCTCGCCGAGGAGAACGAGGAGACTGAGGCCAACATCCTGGAAAAGACTTTCGCACACGAACTTATTTACAAAGAGGGTTCGGTGATGGGCGGTAGTCTGCGTGCTCTTATTGAGAAGCTGACTGCTCACCAATCCACCCCCGATGCCATGTTTGTCTCAACCTTCTACCTTACCTTCCGTCTCTTCGCTACGCCTCTTGAGTTTGCCGAGGCCCTCGCTGAACGCTTCGAGTACATTGGTGACACACCCCATGCCGCCGGACCCGTCCGTCTCCGTGTATACAACATCTTCAAGGGCTGGCTCGAGTCCCACTGGCGCCACGATCGTGACAACACAGCCCTTGACTTCATCATCAACTTCGCAAACACACGACTTATGGTCGATCTCCCCACTGCTGGTAAGCGGTTGCTTGATCTGGCCAACAAGGTGTCCGCAGTTGGTGGCCCGCTTGTGCCTCGCTTAATTTCTTCTATGGGCAAGACCAACACTTCCATTGCCCAATACATTCACCCCGATACCCCCCCTACCTCCCCCGTCCTTGGCAAGAAGGAACACAACTTGCTTAGGCAATGGAAGAACGGCGAAGCCTCGATTACCATTCTTGACTTCGACCCACTTGAGCTCGCCCGCCAACTCACTATTAAGGAGTCGCGTATTTTCTGCTCGATCCTTCCCGAAGAACTCCTAGACACGGAATGGACCAGGAAGACAGGCTCGTTGGCTGTGAATGTCCGGGCCATGTCGACTCTGTCGACTGATCTTGCCCACCTTGTTGCCGACTCCATTCTGTACCTCGAGGAGCCCAAAAAGCGGGCCGCGACCATCAAGCACTGGGTCAAGATTGCGAACAAGTGTCTGGAGTTGAACAACTACGACTCCCTTATGGCTATCATTTGCTCATTGAACTTGTCTATGATATCTCGCCTGAAGAAGACCTGGGACATCGTATCGCAGAAGACCAAGACTGCCCTCGAGCAGCTCCGCAGCATCGTGGATGTGTCCCGCAACTACGCAGTACTCCGTCAGCGCCTTCAGAATCACGTGCCCCCTTGTCTCCCATTCGTCGGCACCTACCTGACCGACCTCACCTTTGTCGACCACGGCAACCAATCTCTTCGTACGCTCTCCACCGACGACAGTGAAATGGCTGTCATTAACTTCGACAAGCACATGAAGACAGCTCGCATTATCAGCGAGCTCCAACGCTTCCAGATCCCCTACCGTCTAACCGAAGTTCCGGAGCTTCAGGCTTGGATGCAGAATGAGCTCGTGCGCGTGCGTTCCAACGGTGAAACAACCGCACAAACCTTCTACCGCCGCTCTCTAGTTCTTGAGCCTAGAGAACCCTCCCGCAGCGGAAATACTCTTCAGTCCCAATCTGAGTCCATTCCTTCCATGTTCGACAATGCCAAGGACAAGTTCGACTTCCTCTCATGGACCAACCAATCCAAGGCGAAATCCGTCACGACACACGGATAAAACACTCCCTTCCACCCGCAATCACCTACACCATCCTTCACAACCTAATGACTGATGACTTCTTCTTATTCCCGATTTACTGGTTTTCTAACCAACATCATCTTAACTGTTCTACTATGCATACTTGCATCATCTTCCTCCAAACCCATTTTCTTGTGATCTGTGAATATCCCATCATTCTTGTCTTACCTATTTACTTTTCTATTCTTGGGTGGTACTTGCGTGTTTGATTTGTTTTGCAATTTCTCGTGAGAAATGTAGCATTTGAAAAGCGTCTATGTATGGAACGGGGCCCAGGACTACCCAAACGGAGTTTACCAAGGGGCTTGTTCTGTTTATGTTTTAATTTCTTGTCTGTTCTTATTTTTCGGCTGGGAAGGGAAACAAGGACAGGTCGGGAAAAAGGATTGAGACAATATTTTGGCCTCACGGCTTCTGTGCAGGAGCAACTCTTAAAAGCTGCCTAAAATGCAAAATACGCTTTAATTTTAACTGTTTCTGTGTCAATCGTAAATGTAACTCTGCTTTTGCCTCGTGTAGTGAATGTCTGGGCTTTCTAAGTGAGAGACATACAGGGACCCAAGCTATTCAAATTAAGGACTTTCGATGATTTACCCCGGATTCTGCCTTCATATTACCAAAAGTAAATCAAGTAACGGAAATAAGATCATTGGAATAAATGCGCTTGACTAGGACCTCTTGACAGACCTATCTAATGTATATAAGGTTCATGGAAGTACCATATGTTCCAATCTGATGGTTGCTATACCAGATACATACTTATGTACGAGCTTTGTATTGCCTTCACGATTTGATAGTATTCATATCATATCATAAAACATCGCTATTCAAGGCCGCATAAACCAGTCGGGGTGTCATTCCGTCTATCACTATGTCCGTTGGCTGGCTGATCCTTGCATGAACCCCTCCGCCAAGTCTACGGAGGGGTTTCTTTAACAATACAATTCAAAGAGATATGCCCAGAGCACCTTAATTTTGAATGCAAGAAAACCCTCGACTGTATACCCAGCCGATAGACCGCTGCCATTGCGTTGAGGTATTTAAGTAATGCGACTGCCTATGGATACCCCGTAAGCGTCACACCCATGCGAAGATGTACGTCAATTTCAAACTGGAATCTGTCGATGTCCTGCACAATCTATCTGGCCGATGCAGGTTCATGCAAGAATATGAAATCCACCAGGCTTACGGAGTTCTCTGTGCAGAGTGAGTGAGTACTATGCAGAGTGTCCAGCTGCACCTCGCTATGTCACCATGTCACACCTAGGCTTGACGTAAACACTCAAGAGATTGTCTGTTTCAATTTTCGTTTGTTTTATGATGTATTGAAAACCCAAGCTGTATCCTGTTTGTTAATTTGAGTTGGAGGAAATGTGACATATCACCGTGAAACCCGCAAAACAGGTTTGAGCACTCATGCTAGAGGTCAAAGTGGACGAAAGGGGATTTCATGTCAGTTCATTTGAGACCCTGGGCTGTCATTGTAAGAATGATAGGCAGATGCAAGCGAAAGATCATCGCAGTGATGCCGAGTCTGTATCTTGTTCGCACGCAGTTCACAAAACCCTAAAACTAAACAGGAGGATTCACAGAATGACCGCCAAAGACGAGTGGTTTGGGTTCGAGTTTGAAGAATTGGCAAATCTTGATTGATGTATCACCTAATGTACATATTTTCATCCAGTTTCACGCATTTCCAATTACCAGGATCCCCAAGTTTCCCATAGAAGAGCCTTGGAACTAACCAACTATGTTACATAACGTGTTCTAAACGCCTCCACGAAATCCAAAGTCATGTCGTGATTATCATCATAAGCGGATGCACTGGTATCCAAGTCTAGCGGCAATGCAACAGCAGTCTCAGGGAGGGATCGTAAATCAAGTATAGGGACCATTGAAGGGCGGGCGTGGGCGCATTGAAACGGGAAGGCACAACGGGCCAGGCTGGAGACCAACGCCTGGCACTCTTCGATGTTCAACGGGTCATTGAACATGATCGCAGTGCGACAGGCGCGGGAGTTGAGAAGGTCCACGATGCCTTGAGGGCACCCATTCATCCGTTGAACCCATGAGCGCGAGGCGGATCTCTGGTGTACCACATCGTCACTGTCTGATAGTTCGATATCCTGTTCGAATGTTCTCTTCGACTGGAATGGCTTATTTCCATCTTCCTCACTTGACCAAATCTCACGCCTCATCAAGTCAATCAACACATGAGGCTCGAGCCTACAGCGTTCGGCTATTAGGGCAGGAAGAGTATGGACGGTGATCAAGGCAGTAGAGTTGGTCTTGCCTTGTGTCACATACTCAATACCCCAGGTTGAGAAGAGACTCGTATACTTTTGGAAGAGATCACCCTCCGTCGATGAAACCTCAAATGCCAAAGAACCAACTTGGACAGTTCGCACTCGAGCACCCAACTCCCAATTCTCACCAAGCCCAGTAGAGACAAACATTTCCCTGAACAACTGCTCAATTCGACATCGCTCATCGGCCGCGTGCTGATCGATTAAAAGCAGAACATCGTTTGATGGCCCCTCCAAATTGCGAATGGCGGGGGCCGTACGGACCTTAGCCAAGATGAACTTTCTGTCCACCTGGGCGATCACGTCGGCAGTCTCGAGCGCACGACGTTGGAGTTTTCCTCGATATTTGGCAACTTGCGCTGTACCAAGCGATCCAATGCCTTTGAAGCAGTCGTGTGAAGAAGTAGCTGTATTCTGCTGATCGGCGGCCTCTGCGCCTAGATTTGGTATTGGCATTTCTGTTCGGCTGAAGGAAGGGTTGTCCCATGCCCCCAACATGTTATCTATCCAAAACGTTTGCACGGGCTTCTTGGACGAGGGTTCGACGCAGTCAGTGGGGGAACGCTGGGTAGCTAATGACTTCCGGGAGTTCATTGTTTGGCCCGTTCGAGGATTGATTATATAGGCCAACTTGGTGTGTGGATCGATCCAGGTGATCATCTTGTCTGACGGTGAGTCTCCAGGCGGATCCTGCTTGTCCTCACTACACACCCTTTCACCCGGGGGCTTTGGAAGGATGGTGCACTCCTGGCCATCGTCTCGAAGGTTTGGCTTATGTTTAGAGAGAATCGGCAAGGAGCTATTGCCCTGAATTATATCAGGAGTCGCATGAGAAAGCCGAGACGTTCGTTGGGCTGGAGAACGTCTTTTGAGGTCCTTAGCGGTTTTCACTCTGGACCAGTTGTTGAAGGATTGACCAGAGTTCAGAGACTGGGCTCTTGGAAATGAGGGAATTTTCAAGTGACCGCTAAATGCCTCTTCAGTGCTCGAAATCGACCGACCATGTCGTAGGGGGGGCAGTAGAACCGCCAGCTGGTTGGGAGGCTTTGGAACAGATACTCTGGTTTTGGTCTGATGACATAGTCTGCTTTCTGCCATTACGAGGGCGGAGATCGTGTTGCTTCAAAAACTCATGGACCATGGCCCCAAGCACATCAACTATACGTTGAACTGATTTGGACGATTCTGGAAGATGCTCAGATGCATCATCATCATCCAACCGTATGACAGCGTTTGTGTCAATGCGAATGTAGAACATTGGCCACTTATTGACAGGCTTTGCCCAGCTTCGAGTGCTTGCGTTACTTGGGGCATCAAGCTGATTCACCGAAGATGTAAGATGTGGAACAGAGCTTCTGTTAGACATGGCTCCGACATTACTGAAATCTGACGAAGAAAATAGCCGGTTCACTTCGTTATAAAGCACGTTCGAGCTATTGCGCGATAGCAGGGGTTCTTTTCCCAAAGAGATGAACTGACACTTCCGACTTGGGCTGGGCTGGAGAGATATAGCTCCCCGAACCATGAGATCAGAAACTGATGCTGAGATCTCATGCCAGGAATCGAAGTTTTGTGGTGTGATCAGCCCAGATTGTGTGAGAACAATCCCGATACGTTTAAGATCTAAATCCCTCTGATCATGAGAAATGCGTGCTTCGGGCACCGAGGGATTTCCAAGACGAACGGACATCCGTTTATTTCTTTCCACATCGATCAAGACTAATTTTGAGAACTGATGATTGGCTAGAAGGAGAGACACCAATGAGTTCCTGAGATGGTCCCACTCTCGTTCTAGCTCGTCCGGTCGCTGAAGAGTGAGAGCTCGACTCTTGACGCGAACTGGCATATTTCCAAAAAGGTCGTTGACAGTCACAGATGTGCCATGGTCGACAGAGCGAAGCGCATGATGTGAAGGTGCAGGGGTTAGCCGAGCCACAGGCGTCGAATGATGAAGTATGATCGAGTTTGTGCATCCATGGCCAATGTGACGAGAAGTTACAGTGAGTAGAGACAATGAGGCCAGGGAAGCCAAAAACAAGCCCCGATGGCCATACAAGCCACTCAGGTTGAATTTGGATGTATCTATTGCATATGTTAGCTAACATACATTACAACGTCAAGGTTGGGAGACATGCGGTGAGGCTTGCCTAGACCTCCTGTATCTTCGAACTCGGCTGGAGGAATTCCATTGCCATCATCTTCAACAATACAGCCACCACGTTTAAAATCGACAGTGACGAAGACGGTACGTGCATTAGCATCCAAAGAATTCTTGACTAGCTCCAGAATGACACCAGTCAGATGCACAATAGATGTGGATGATTTGACCTTTGCAATCACATCAGAAGGTAGCGCTCGTATCATTGACTGAGAAGGAGGCATTGACGCAGTTGTTGTATTCACCGGAGCATTGCGCCACTAGATGCAAGAAGAAAGATCCCAAAGTGGACTTTGGGAACACGACTAAAAGTAAGAGTTTCATTCATGATCACCTGTCATTGTCGCTGCTCGAGCACCCCCGATAAGTATCATAAATGACTCACGAAAGAATACAACGTCCAGAATTTTGAGAATATGTCAAATAGAAGTCAAAGAGGCAACATTCAAGGCAAGCACATGACGTGCACGGATAAACAGTCTCCCCGCCCGCTGCTCCATCTGCCTCGGCGCGGCTGGATCCCCAGGGCTCTGCTCTCTTGCCTACCTTTGACCTTTCACAAGCCAGAGAGGATAGTGACTAGGCTGCCTCTTCAAGCTAGAATGACTACTGCCGATGGTCCTGCTAGGGTGCATGGTAAGTTCAGATTGTGCCTCTTGGCCACCGTGAACCGCTGCTAAGGGATTCATACAAAACAGACCGGAATGCACGTCGCCGTCCATTCTCCAACTGGGTGAAACGCCTGGCGAACCTTAAGAGTTCCTCTGATTCTACGACAAATCGATGGTCCAACAAGCGCTACACTGGTAATAAGGGCAAGAAGGGCGATCAAGAAAACAACCCATACCCGCTTTCTGGAACTATCAACCGTGACACAGGGACTCAGACACCGACCGACTCATACACGGATGACCATTATGGTGCAGAATCTCGCTCCAGGAGCGACCCATCTTTGTGTTCGGGCTATGAGAACCCGGCTCCCCTGACAAGCGCAAAATCCGCTGCGCCAACCATTTCAACCAATGGCGATGCCGCATTCTCTGAAGCGGCGTATTCCAAGGCAGGCACATTGACAACTGGCACCGAAGGATTTAGCACCCATGGCGGTGGCGAGGGTAGTACCTTCTCATCGCCTGCGCCTTCGATTCGATCCATGACCACTACCCTGACCACTGTGCACTCGACGGCACCCTCAACCCAACTGTACAACACACAAAACAACCACAATGGACACCACCATGGCAGTTCGACACAGAGCTCCTCAAACCAGCAGATTCAATTTTCCCACCAATTCCCTCCAACCTCACCCGCTACCGCAGTCCCCCCCGCACCTCGTGCCCCAAAGCCATGCGATGACGTACAGCGCCGCAACCGCAAACAATGCCTTGACCGATAACGCTTCTCTTCTCACCTTGGCGAGCTCATCCAAGCGCCGTCGGCGCAACTCCCTAGATACCAATGCATCCGTACGTGGATTGGCTCCCTCTTCTGTATTCGGCGGTAGTCGGGAGAGCCTGCCGCTGAGTGTTCTGAGTGGAAATACGACTGAAGCATCCAATACCTCTGTGTTCAACGCCTCAGGTGTACTGAGCCGACCAAGCATTGTTGGTCTTGCGAGTGCTGAACGCATCAGTGTGTACTCGGCCTCCGGAGCAATTCCGCTAGCTAGCACCACTGCGGAGCGGGGCGGCTTGTACACCACTAAGCAGACCGCCGGCGGTGATACGGCCAGCATTCGCAGCGGCGTCCAATCACACAGTCGAAATGACAGTACCGCCGCCAGTATCGCTGGGGGTATTAGCAGTCCATTGGCCATGACTGGTCGCATGAGTCGAAGAAGTTCTGGCTGGGGAGAAATTACCGGTGAGGAAGGCAATGACGGAAAGCCAGTTGAGAAAAACGAAGACGAAGCCACTACTAAAGATGAGCATGGCTTTCCCGTTGAGCGGCTCAAGACATGAATCGCACACACCCACATACCTTTACCAGTCATGATCGGACGGTGAGGTACGCTTGAATGAAGTTACGCATGGACAATTGGGAAGCTTGAGCGAAGTAACAGCGATTCTTTACTACATAATGACATGATGCATGGAGACCTTCCAAGGACCTGGATATTCTTAATGGTTTGGCGGCGTTTTCTAGGCTGGGACTTTGATACCCTATGCGGTATGGACAAATTCGTTTCTACTTAATCCATATCGCATGCGACTTCAGATCTTTCGCGTATCAATTAGACCTTTACTAGATTCCGGCTCTGGTTGCTTAGTTTCCACACGTTCATGACGTCGTATTTGTTGATGTCCATCCATAATTGGCCCACGAGCACACCATTTCATCGGCGCCGAATTACCATGGGCATATCGTACTGATACACGAACCAGGCATTTTGGTAGTTCCATTCATGTTTGGGGTCCACCAGTTGAATCTGTACCCCGAGTTAGCACCCAGAAGCTGACATCCGAATGAATGCCAATAAACCACTTACATCGAACAAGCTGTACAGCGATGCGATCAACTTTTTGATCTCTAACATAGCGAGATACCGGCCCATGCAAACGCGGCCTCCACCACCAAAAGATAGGTCGACAGTATCCTTCATCCGACGCAGGCGATCCTCAAAGTTTCCCGGGCTTTCGTCCTTGCCCTGTAGCCAGCGGTCCGGGTTGAAGTCATCGGCGTCATCTCCGAACACTCCGAAATCACGGTTAGTGACAAAGGGGTTGATCCCGGCCTTGGTGCCTGCAGGGAGATATCGTCCATCGGGAAGCGTGAACCCACCCTCTGGAACGACACGTTCGAAGATCATGGCAATGCCGGGGTTGATGCGCAGAGCTTCACGAATGACGGCATCCAAGTACGGCAGGTCGCGGATCTCCTTCCATGGAGCGGGGAAGAGATACCGGCGGCTTGGAGTTCGGTGGCAAGTTTGACTGTCGCAGCGGGTGACTTGGCTAGGTAGTAAACGACAGCACGCATGGTGGCAGAGCTCGTGTCGCCCCCAGCAAGAATGCTCAGCATCAGCCAGTTGACAATCTGATTATCGTCGACCATGTTGGGGTACGTTTCTTTCAGCTGCACGTATTTGTCCAGCGTGTGGTCGACAATACCGGCGGATATTTTCTTTTCAGCGAGCTGAGCTTGATACTCGGCGACGACTTTGAAGGCGTACAGGACACCTGTCAAGGTGGGTTTGGGCCCAATTCGCTTAATCGGATTCTTGTCGAGGATGTTGTCAATCCACGGGATTTGAGAGACCTAGTGGGACGTGTCAGCTACCCTCGGCCACGCCGAATCGTTTATATCGGGGTACTTACCGGTGCGAAGTATCTCAGGCCAGCAGTCGAGTCCGTGATCAAATTGTCGACATCCTTCTCCTGATCAATGAATCCATAGTGCCGGCCAAAGCTGAAGTTGGCGGTGACATCCCAGGCGACTATGCATGTTAGTTTCTATCTATTGCTGGGTCCCATTGGGTGTTTCAGATCTTTGAGAGTATGCTCACAGAAACCAATCCATTCATCTGCCGGACAAACCTTTCCTGCGTTATCGCCATCGACGAATCTCAGCGCTAGCTTGTCCACAAACTTGGTTATTGTTTCATCGATAAAAGGCTCGTATTCCAGAACCTTAGTCATGGACCAAAGGCTCCGAATAGGTCGGATGTTCTGGTTGTGCCAATCTTCATCCTGGGTATTGAAGAGATTCGACATTCGATGGCCTTCGAGCAGCACATCATTGGGGCGGTACATATCACTCTTCACATGATTACGACAGGTCAGCATAGCCTACTCTCACACGTAAAAGGACAGGTATTGACTAGGAGACGACATATCCAACCTTTTTCCATGGATTGCGCGTGGAGTAAATTGTCCGAATTAGATTCGGGTCTGATATGCTCACGCAATTGGGCCCGACCTGTACCGCTGTGCCATATTTCCGGTGTAATTGAACATTCTTCAGATCAATACGTCCACCATATGCGTGAGACGCGCGCCAAAAATCAGTGATCTTGGCCAACGCTGGGCCAGGGATGGATCTCAAACGCGAAAAGAACACATCTGAAATCAGCTTTATCACAAAAAGCAGACCCAGAGTGACCAGGGCCTGGGCCCACAGGCTGGAAGGAAGAGTGATCATTTCCGACATCGTGGCAGATGTGGATTCTGTGCACACACAGAAGTACGTGCAGTGTAGCAAGGGGATTCCAAACTCAATTCACTGCCAATAATCGGGTTTTCGTGAGCCGGCAACACGGTTGACAGTCGCAGCATTTAAAAGCCCCTCGGGGATGCTAGGCCCTAGTGCTGCTGAGATTAAGGGGGGGGGGGCGTGATTTGCCCTCTTTTTTTTAAAAAAAAAAACACCAGGCGTGAGAACGTGGGCCATTGCGGGGAACAAAATGAACAGCGCAAACAAGCGTTGACAATTCTCCAATGGCACGGAAACTCCATCCAAGTGGGATTTAGCGTTCGTCTCCAGACGGGGGGTGAACGGAATGTGGAGTCGGTGGTTGATTGCCGATGATCGTGAATGGCTCTTCGATAAAACCAATTTCCCAATTTCCCAATTTGGCCATAACAACCTTGGCTCTCCAGCGGCGCCGCCCTAGTGTCCGACGAGTTACCATGGCTTTGTACCAGCGGCTCTAATTAGCCGTTTAAGAACAAGATCGTGCAAACTGGTTATTATTGTTGACTTTACAAATCCACTACCATGGTAAGCGAATCCAAGCATAAGCCATGGATGATACCTGGGCAGACTGGTTCAAATCGAGAAAAGCGGCGTAAGCCGATCGTTTGGATGTTTCCTTGATCCACCTTCTCCGTAGAAAGCACGATCTCCACTTCCTGCGACAAATATTAACTTTTTCGGACTTCGCCCCCATGTTCTCGGGACGGGCTGGTGTTCTAGTTTTTATGACACCCTGTTGACAATGCTCAACTCCCCTGGAGTCCCATGTGCGTGTATCATTCGTGGCATGACCACTTCTGGGGAAGTTGAATCTCTAGATTTACGGGTACAAGCCCGGACTGTGATTCTGCGCAGCATTGGCGAACCCTCAGGATGTCGTCTAATGGGGGTGCACATCTCCCGATAGAGAGCCAGGCTCCTACAGTGAAGGGTGTGATGTGGACGATGTCGATGGTTCCTTTGGTCTTCGTTTTGATGCGCTTGTATGTGCGAGTGTACATGCGGAGAGTGTTTGGCTGGGATGACGGCATTGCAATTGCGGCAATCGTAAGGGACTCCTCTCTTTTCGTGACTGTTTGACTTGAGATGATTTTACTGACTTCGATCCTTGATAGTGTTGTCTCGTTGCATACGCTGCTGTCTGCCATGTCGCTGCAAACCTGGGCTTAGGACAACACCTCGAAATCGTCCAGAAAAACCCAAATAACCTCATCCAGGTGGCTCTCTTGTGCAATATTGGCGAAAGTTTGGCAATCATGGCATGCACCCTCGGCAAGACGTCCTTTGCTGTCACGTTGCTTCGGATCGTGGTCCAGAGATGGATGGTTGTCGTGCTATGGTTCGTGATTGTTACAATGAACATTGTCAACATCTTGGCTGCACTCTTTGTCTTCCTGCAATGCAAGGATCCTCGACATTTGTGGAATCCAATGATTCCATCAGAGTGTTGGCCGCCGGACGTCTTTACCAATTTCGCTCTCTTTGTTGGTGGTGAGTCTTGTTGCAGAAACCCTTGGGTTATTATTGACGACTAATGCATCAATCCCCTCCTGCAGCCTATTCTGGAGCACAAGATTTTGTCCTAGCACTGCTACCGTGGACTATTGTCTGGAAACTGCAAATGAGAAAGAAGGAAAAGCTTGGTGTGGCCTTTGCAATGAGCCTTGGAATCTTGTAAGTCTTACAGACCCTGCACCGTTGATCCCACATACTGACTGACTTGTCTCTTCAAGCGCAGGCGCAGCATCCATTGTCAAGACCATCCATCTCGTGGCGCTTTCGGCCAAATCCGACTTCACATGTACGTCGCCAATTGTTAACTTCTTCATCTTCGCCACAATCTAATTTCTTCTATTTGCTTAGGGGAACTTGCTCCCTTATTGATCTGGGCAGCTGTAGAGGATGGTCTCGCTATCACCGCTGCATCTATTCCCGCGCTTAGGCCTCTCTTAACGATGATATTCCCCAGCACATCATCGGACAATTATAACATGATCCCGTACCCACACCCGCCTCCCAACCGCAAGGTCTTCGACAACTCTAAGGGCGAAACGCAGACGGACATTGGACATACGACAGTCCATGATATGGGGAGCCAAACAGCAATCCTAGAGACTATTGCCCCAAAGGGTGAAAATATCAACATGACAACAGAGGTCTCAGTGACATATAATCATGGCTCATAAAGGACTTCGTCGAGACAAAGAATAATTACAAGCAACGGGCAGCGGTCGACCGTACCAGGGGTTCTTAAACTGGCCACATATAAAATAACCCGCAACAGACGGTTTCATCTGTGTTTCATGGCCATCGACCTAGTTCGTTTATCTCAGTCAAAAAGAAAAAAAAAACTTGGAGCCTTTTGCGTAGTTTTGCGCATTATATGCTAGCTCGGGTTTTGTCGCTACCTAGGTACCTGTGGACTCCTCACCGGCTTACTAGTTGTCCCCTTTGACCAGTCTAATGAATATTTGAATTACTTTTCATCAGGGCCTAGGCAAGTGGACAAGCATTGTGGCCAATAAAACCTGACTATAGAGCTTTCCAGAAGAGTTTATCTACTAATTCAGTGTGAATAGCACAATGGGTCTGTAAAAGGCACAAAATATATTCCTGAAGCCTGGCAAGGGTATATAATATAGGGAAAAAGAAAAAGAAAAGAAACAGGCATCAAATTAAAGCTTGGACAAATATTGGATAAGAGACTGTTAATCACGGACCAAGAGCTTTGTTTAGCAATATCTCGAAAATGGCTTCCTCCATGATTGCTGCGAATCTGCAGTACACATTAGCACACAAAATTAGCAATCGAGAAAAAAGCGAGCTACTCACCCCTGACACTTGATATGAGGCCTCATGGCATTCTGCAGTGTTTTCAATCTCTCACGCGTCAATCGTGGGAAGTTCTCATGGTCCCTTATCCTGTTCCACGCTTGGACGGGAGTAATGTACCCATTCAAGTCAAGCTTGTCCGCCATCTCGAACAGTTTTTGAAAAACTTCCGCCGAAACCTGCCATCGCGAGTCGCTGTCGAGGGTTGGGGGTGCAAGTTGTAGCAGTGTGCCTTGCATTGACGCAGCATGGCCCGAAGGTTGTGCGCTTGAGATATGCGACAGACATGGCCGTTCCAGTCTCCAGGTTCGTGAGGACAATGTCGGGAATATCAACGGAAAATGCGGATACTTACGACAGAACAAAGTCGACTCCTGTCTGAAACCATTCTTCGTCAGAAAGCTCGTCCAGGTCTTTCTCTATGTCATCTTCGTGATATTCAGTCCCGCTGTGTTGCTTCTTGTTGTTGTCGCTATTGTTCCCCGGTTGACCTGGGACAAACCGGAAGGACGAGGGGTTTGATATAGATGGCGGACCTTTTTGGCCCATGCTGATGACAGATGGTTGGTCTTTCTCATGCTTTGGTTATGTTCAGGCTTGTTGATGCACTAGGGATGATATTGGCAGTAGGGAGTGTGAACGAGAGGGGTCTGCAACGAATTATTGCCCCCGAGCACGGTTACTTTGGCTAGGTAGGACTTCGGGTTTGACAGTTCCTGTGGAAGGCTGCGTAATAATGTCCCGGGGGATCCCGATGGACATTTCGGAGCTCATCCGTCTCAAGGTTGCTGCGAGAATATCACATCACCGGCGGTCATCTTCCAGCAACCGAATAAAAATGTCAATTCTCCTGTCACTTGTCCCAGGCGAATATAAATACTATGTTGGTTAAGAGGGAAAGCAGAACTGGAATACCCCTACCCACCATTTGACCCGCCTTAGTTGTTCATACGGTTTTCGCAGGTTGCTCTCGGATCGTTTGCCTCATTTGACGCACCTAGCAGGGGGTTTTTAGTACGAAGATACAATCATGCACACACTGCACTTTTTGTCAAGTCATGTGTAAGTGCTGTTTGTACTCATTTGGCCAGCTGAGCAATGTCTCATCAGCTTTCATAGAGTTGATCCATATCCTGTGAAATCGTACAAGTGAGCATAATACTTCAAGGGTGTTGCAGTGCGACGTCTCGCAGGGTACATAAAAGAAAAAAAGGAAAAAAGAAAAAAAAAAAAAAATTACGGCCGAAACAACAGGCATTCTTACCTTCGGGACGGAATTGGACCCCGTATCTGTCATATTTCCGCCTGTTAATTCTGAGCCGGGCCGGAGTATGGATGGGTTAGCATCGCAGCCTTTTTGTTATCGATACCAGAGGCCAAAATACCAGTTCTGCCTGATATTAACCCCTCTCGTCGGAGAGAGTGAGCTGAAGCTAACTGCCGACATTCGGGCCCATAGGATAGCTGACTGGGCTAGTTGGCAAGGACCTTTGTATACCCGTCGCGATCATATCTCACTAGGTGGGACTCGACATATCAGTGCGAACTCACGTTGCACTATCTAGACGTATTTTTCCAGAGCTCTCATCCATCCAGTCTTATACAACAATGTACAACCATCAAATATTGCTTAACCCGGTTTTTTTTGTTCGGTCACTCAAACTGCCTCCCATATTTATATTGGCAATAGGAAGGGTAACGCCGCCCAGAATTCGTGGAACACTCGGTGAGTTTTATTAGGTGCCTCATAATTTTAGGCCAGCTCACTTCAATTGGTAGCTTACTGAACTCAACAAGCTATATGTGTATGCCTGTAGTTTCCTACCTGGCTATTTTCTTAATCTTTTATTTATTATATAATAGTATTGTTTCTTAGTTATACTTGTTAGATGTAATATATGGGAAGAAAGACCCAGTAGACATAATTGCTCCCATCTTGGGTTGATATCCGACCAGCTCCAAGAATCCCTCTATAGCTAGCTGATCTCGAAACAACGCTGTGTAATCTATGTCTGAGGAAGGTTCCATAAATCCAACAAGCTTTTTAGGGCCCTTTTTAGTTTAATTTTATAGGCTTCCTCGAGATATTGATTGACGATGACAGGAACCAAGTCATCCGGCCTGATTGCTATACTATGGCACAGCCGCACGCTAGGTATTAACTCAAATACCAACTGAGGAATCCAGGTTCACTGATATATATATATAAAGCTTGAAGTGTCTGTTCATTTGGACTTTCTGAGATGGCGCATTGGTTCTTAGCGAGAGAGTATATCTTTTGGTCTTCTAGAATGTTTTTTGTGCTCGGAGTTGGACTAACTAAACTAGACTCTTTCATATCTGAGCAGGAGTTTTAAACATTCATTCCAACTAATCTAAAGTGCTTGGACTAACGACTTGTGCGTGTAGTAACGTGGTATTCGGATTCGCAAAACATCCATCCATGGCTACCTAGGTAGGCTTCTCCCTCCCTTATGTAATGATAGCCCCGGAGGTACCGGGTAAATCTTAGAAGATCCTACTTCACCACCCTATGCTACTACAGCGGTCGTTACCTAGGTAGGTATACGAGTAGACCGGTACCACCTCTCCCGACATCAGTCTCTTTAGGGTAAGCACCCCGATGATCATAAATGAAATAGACAAAAAGGGCATGCATGGTATTAGGGGAACTATGACAGCATCATGTAGGACCTACAATGTACGCTGCATGCAGAATTGCGGAGAGCATTGGATAATTGAGTATAGTTCATGTAGCCTCCTTGCAGATAGCAACCCCACTGGCACTCAATAGCAACCCTTATTTTTCGACTTTTTGGGCAATCCTATTCGTTCGGCAGTAGCTGACTGAGACCCTCCTTTTAGGATGTCGGAGGATCTACGATCTCACAGCTCCACATCCGGCAGAAGGCTGAGCTGAACTGGTTCAGCTGAGCATTCCAGAGTCCTCGCTACCCACTTTCAGGCCCACGAATGTAACTTGTCACTCGATCTATGATTCTGACACCTCCTCTCTCCTTAATGACCGCATTACTTTACATCATGCCTGAGTATCGGGGTGGGGCCACAACGCGAGGGCGAGGAAAAGGGTTGTAGACGGCCTGATGGCCTCGTCGCTATACTATTTATTGAAGCTTTGAGCACTTTCTGCTGTCCTTGTCTTCCCACGACAACCAGAGTTCCATTCCATTCTCGTTTCTTGGTTGACCATGATTGTCAAATCATCCCTCCTACTGCTAGGCGCAGCTCTGGCCTTCGCCGACCAAGCTCCCATCGGCGGCAGTTCAGAATGCCTGAAAACCAGTAATCCTAACGAGTGCTGCCTCAATGGAGCGCCCTCTGACAAGGTGAAAATTGACGACCGCACGTTCAATATTACTTGCGAATCGAGGTATATCACACTCGACATCTACAGCAAACCCCTCACGGCCAAGAATGCCCTCGACTGTGCGACACACTGTGCAAAAGACGTGTCCTGTAAGGCATCATCCTTCAACACACGCGCCAACCCAAACCGTGGCAACTGCTTCTTCACCTTGGAAGACAACATGGACCAAGCGCCCGATAGAAAATGGATTAGCTTCACCGAAATATCAACATCCTGTTTGGAGTCCGATGACCGCAGCGCATGCTGCCGTGATCCAACACAGCAAGAAGGCGAGGTCTCGATTGATAATGCCCAATGGAAATGGACCTGCGGGACCATCCTGAACCTGAACCCGGCCGGAATAGAGGCGGCCAACGCTCTCGATTGTGCCTCGCGCTGCGCGTCCGATGGCTGTGAGGCAATTTCCTTCCGAATTCTAGACGAGAACAAAAGGGGCAACTGCTTCTTCGTCGCAGACAACAACGATAAGGTTCAGCGGACCGCGCACAAGTTCATGTCACTCGTTAAAGTCGAGAAGGATGACAACGACGATCACATAATCCCTGAGCCAGAACCGGAGTGCGAAAAGTGCACCAAAGAGAAGGACCAGTGCATTCACAATAACGAAGTCTGCAAGGATAACCTGGAGCAAGCTCAGCATGATCTCAACATGTGCGAAAGCAACCAGCTGGACCCAGAAAAATTGAAGCAATGCGAAGTCGACAAGCTAGAATCCGAAAAAGCCGCAGAGGACTGCCGGCGTGACTCTGCTGAAATTGAAGAGAAGAGGAAACAGTGCCGCGAGGATGAGCGTGCGTGTGAAAAAGAGAAGGCCGAGCTCAACAGTCAGAAGCACCAGTGCGAGAACGACAAGAGCCGCTTGAACCAGGATTTCAAAGACAAAGAAGACGAGATCACCGAACTCAAGTCGCAGATCAAATCTCTCAACGACAAGCTAAACGCTTGCAATACATCAACCCCTGGCGGAAAGTGCCGTACGAACCTTGTCGAAGCCGGTAAGCGATAAAATCCTGTGACCCCTGCAATGTCACTCTCTAGCTTTTCAACTGAAACTGATCACTGGGTCACAGAGCCTAGCGACGATCAATGCATCATCAGCGCGGGAAATGAGAAATTCAAGATCTACTATGCTAAACGTTTGTCTCTCCCAATAATAAGGCTTCACAGTAGAGACATGCTGACTTCTGTATAGTTGATGACGGCCCCGGAGTAAAGAACTTCCGTACTCCCAGAGCAGACTCTTTCAAAGACTGCGCCGAGCAGTGCGCGAAGGACAAGAAGTGTGTGCGATTCATGTGGAACACAAACGGCAAAGACAAGACCTGTTACATGCGAGATACCGGAAAGGGTATGGTCCCCACCCAGCAGTCGAATTGGAGTTCTGGGCAGCTTCTTTAAATTGAAAGCTGGACAGTTAGACAACCTTATGGCTGTCTATACAACAGGTTTCGGAGGAGAGAATGCTGGGATACGGAAGGGGCAATAATCACAGATAACTCTTGGAGAAAGACACCTGCAAAACCAGCAGACTAATATATTTCCCTTGAGTGACTACTGAGCCATGGTATAGGCTTTCTTTTTTCCCCTCCCCATGTTACATTTTAGGGTTTCTTATACTGTCATTTGAATACAAAGTCTGCTTTGGTTTTTCTTTGTAATTAATCCGCAATCTAATAGACTGATTGATACTAGAGTGTTTTTCTTTTCTTTTCAAATAGCCGCCCACCACAGTAGGACCAGGAAACCTATCCTGACAAGCTTATTGCGCAGGGAAAACTACCAGAACCAAAGTCTCTTGGTTGCCACTGACCATGACCTACCTAGGTACCTATGTTGTGTAGGTAGAGCCAGTGGTCAATGCTACTGGCGCCGAGCCCTCTAATTCGCGGCCCGTTCCGTAGAGAGCGGGTCTCGAAACGAACATATCAATAACGTCATGCCACTGGTACAGCTCCTATTTGCACATTTAAGCGTCAGAGTAGGCGTATGAAATGATGGCATGTTGAGGTTATAGAGTCGCGTGAATGCAAGACCACAAGCAATAAGGGGAATAAAAGGAAAGAAAAAAAAAGAAAAGAAACCGAAACAAAAAATGTGACGAGTAAGGATCCGCTAGTTAGTGGCCATCTACTCCGTACTCCGTAATTAACTACAACGTATGTACTAACTTGCTGACGTGTAGCTTTAGCTCAATCAAGATAGTTCGATGGATGTCGCTTAGGTGGGTATAAGCCCCTGGCCAATCTCACACAGTTCCTTCTACTACCTGACAAAATTTAGGCAAGATCCCCCAGGAGTCCTCGATCAGCAGATCGTCCCCGCAATACATGAACAGACTCATCACATCCGCATGTTTATCCTCGACAGCCTTCTGAAAGGCCCATGGAAAGTTCCTCATTCTGGAATCCAGTAATCAACAGAAGGTGCGCAACGTGTACATATCGCTATATGATGTAGTTGAATTAATCATCCACAGAGTCATATCTTAACGTCATACGACAGCAGAAGAACGATGATATCCATGCGCGGCAGCCCATGAGCACCCATGGCGTAGCATAAGTGCAACCGACATCTCTTTGAATCTGTTCACGGAGTAGTGAAAAGCATGTCGATAACTGACATAAACGAATGCAGAATGCTATAGCTTGACGTTACACTGCATCTAAGCCAATCAGTTGTCAATAAGAGGTATAGATGGCTCAGCTGAAAGCGGGCCCTCTTGCAGAAACTAGCGGTCACCTTGAGATCTTCGCAGGGCAGCTGCCGTGCAACCCTGAATTCTCAGCTGGAAATATTATGCGACATTGGAGTTATCTGTTCATGACCCACGATGGGCCAGACAGGTCGCCCTTGTGTTGACGTCACTAGCGTCACTACCCTGAGGTTTATGGCCGAGTATTGGCTCATCATGTGTCGGTAGAACGAGATGGTCTCCTGAAGAATGGAAATTCTAGGTGATGTATCGCCTGTGTGCAAAGGAGTGGAGTGGACTGGCAGGTATTACGTGTCAATAGGACAAATGAGGCTGTCTGAAATCTGCAAACAGGAAGTGTTTGTCTCCACCTGGGGGTATAAACATGGCTCTGGAATCGATAGACTGTAGCCTTCATTCTTATAACCCCAATTCAACCAGGCCTTAGCTCGACATAACTTTCAAGTACATCACGGCAGAGGTTTTCATAATGGAGCAAAACCTTCACACTCATGCGAAGAGTGGAACTCTCACTCTGAATAACATCGGCCAACTCCTCATCCAGGACGAAGTCAATGATTTGGATAGCTACGGTGATACAGCCCTCGACCTGGCAATTCGAAATGGCCATGTGGGTGCTGTAAAGCTGCTTCTGCAGAACGATGCGGATGCCAACAGAGTATCTTCGGATGGCAAGACCCCCCTCTATGCGGCCACTCTGGCACCAAACAGCGGCCGCATTGTTGAGCTTCTGCTCAAGCACGGCGCCAAGGCAGACGAGTCGGTCTCACAGCCGAAAGGCGACACTCCGTTGATGTCAGCGATCCGACAAGGCACTAGCCCCGAGGCCATCCGCGCCCTCATTCAGGCTGGAGCGGCCATGGATAGGTCGAACGAGCTTGGCGAGACACCTGCGAACCTTGCCGAAAAGTCTACAAACACTGCCGTTCACAAGGCTATCCGCCCCAAGGACGAGAAGCCAGAATGGAAGCCCGAGCTCGAGAATCTTCTCGTAAGCTCCGGTCTGTTTGCCATGGCCTACTTCAAGAATTTCAGGGACGTCGGCAAGAACGCCATAAATCGTCTTGCTGCATTGTCAGAGCCAGTGCCAGGCGTATGTACCTTGCAATCCGCAGTTCTTCGTTTCCGAATTTACTAACCCCGGAATAGCAAATTACAAACCCCCGCACGGCGGAGGAAATTCTGTCGAACCTTGAAAATTTCATCCATGCAAAGGGTCTTGAGGACATCTTCCCAAAGGGCAATGAGTACGTGCACAAGGTAGCAGAGAAAGCAGCCAAGATCCTGAACGATTCAACTTTCCCGGGTGCAACACCCAGGAATGTGACTATTATGTCCCGCCAGGCTTTGTACCAGCCTGTCTTTTACTGCGGTAGGTCAGTCAGCAAATCGCATAAGAGCACCAAACTTACACTAGTTGCCTATAGACGACAGTGGCTCGATGGGTCATGACGACCGCATGAACAGACAGGCAACGATGGTTGGACGGATCGCAGACCTTATCACGAGGGCTGCTCCGGAAGGGAACGCGCATGTTCATCTTCGCTTTATCAACAAGAACGAGAAATTTGATAACATCAGCCCCGGCGAGCTTACCTCAAAGATGAAGTTTACCCCCGATGGATCGACTCCGTTGGGCGCGAACCTAAAAGCTAAAGTCTTGAGTGACTTACTCTACGATCCACTTAATAACAACAAAGTGTTGCAGCGTCCCCTTCTTATTTTGACGGTCACCGACGGATGTCCGACCGACGACCCTAAGGATACATACGAAAAAGAAATCAGGGAGTCGCTGAAGTTTGTGAAGGACAAAGGCTACGGAGACGAAGGTAGGCTTCCGTCGTGGGTCTACATCGATGACGTTCGCTAACCCAGCGCAGCTGTCCGGTACGACCTTAGCCAAATAGGCAATGCGAGTGAAGCTACCGAGTTCTTGGGAAGCTGGCAGATGAATGATCTTGTCCCCGATCATGTCAATGTGACTGCTGGTGAGTGATAACTGTGGAACCAAAGGAGAAATAGTATGGACCAGGCTAACGTTCAGATTCAGAGCATTTGGATAGCCAATTCGAGAACCTCAGGTACAACGACGAACATGAACTCGACCAGTGGGTACGGCTTCCGGTGTTCTATTTCCTTTTTGACGCCCAACTGACGAGTTCATTTTAGATCCTGGATAGACTTGATGCGGGTAACCCGATCACTTATTAGACGTGACTTGCAAATGGAGACCAAACGTCTCTCAACTCTCGTTGCGATTTTGGTATTGCTGGCAATGTGGAAAGCTACCTATGGTTTGAAGTATGAGGTCCTCGCACTTATTACTGAGATATGTGCAACAACTATTATCAAATACCTTTGTTCATATACATTGTCATCCACAAGTCAATCCAGAGTTTTCCAATTGTTGAGTAATTGTCGCCACTATGAACTTTGTACTCCGTGCATTGAGCTTATACACCCTTTGGGTATAACTTGGGGTGCTCCAGGCTCAACGGGAAATGCCGTGAGAGCGGAGAGCGCGTCGGGATACAGGTTAAGCAAGAAATTACGCAGTTGCCCTGACAACTGGCAAGAGCTATATGCACCTTGTTATACGTATACTGGGATCGATCGGAATAACTAGTACTTCCAATAATAGAGAACAAGAATGGCTCAACCCAGTATATTATGCCCTCGTGATACCCCGAAGTTCTGTCTGTCCCTCTTCTCTTGCTTCGTCGACTTTATGTGCTATTGGGAGATCTTGAAAGTCCATCTTAAAGCATATAGCGGTTTAGACTGACAAGGACCACCTTGAACGGTAAGGCTGAATGTGGCGTATGTATGGTCCCTCAATAGCCAATCGAAAGCTTCACAGATCTGCAACCAGGAATCGGACGTATCTGTTGACATAGCTACGCGCGGGCCGCAATTGGTTCTTACACACGCCAAGACCCGCAGATCCCTCGACCATGACCGCTATGCGTGCAGAAGAAATAGTTACTTACGCCCTGGTGGATTATCCAGAACTGAGGAAACTACGGGAGGGATTCAGGAAGAAGACCGGGGACTGTTTAACAGCGTGTCGAGTATGCTGAGAGCTCGAAGAGAATGCGAGAGGGGTGAACCAGACAGGGTTTCGCAATCCTGCTAGGCTTTGCTGAGGCGTCACAATGTTGGTGGCTAGCTGAGGTGGGTCTGTAGATCTGACCATTTCCTACTGCGTACCTCTCCTTACGCCAAGGACTCAAGAATCCGGTTATTCTATCTTCACGGTTGCTTTTTGTTGGGATGAGTGGCTACCTGAGGCCTCCCCCCCGCTTGTCAGGACCTGTTCCCTGCTACTCCGTAGATAGACTTTTTCTCTGCATAGTTATCTATCGAGAATCCTTCGTCCCATGGGATTGGCCATCCCTTCTGCTTGGACCTACCTACAGTGGACCTCAGTGCGAGGTTGTAACGCGATAGCGTCTTCTTGAGGCGCTGCAGTCAACATTTCCAATTTATCACTTTGCTTTGGACTTGTGAGTGCCCCGGGTTTAAAGGGTTGCAATGTAGCGGGGAAAGGGATTGTTAGCTAGGGATCGTGTTAAGGTGGGATATGTGTGCTTCCTGGTTATGCTAGATCGTTAACACCTGAGAATACAACGACTGCTGCTTGGTAAGAAAGCCATTTTTCTCATTTATACACATACTAACTTGCTCTTGGACACAACACATAATCTTCTACTATAGACCCGCCGAGCATTTATTATTCGATAGATACACGGACTTGTGACCTAAGCCTTATTACCAAGATGGCAGCAGCCCTGCTTCGAACGATGGATAACACTATTATTTTCGCCAGATTGTGAAGGCGGAATAACTACTTTACAAAAGCCGACGCCATGGGTTCATGAATCCATGGTGTCTTCCAGGTAAAAGTTCAAGTCCAACCATACTCCTTCGCTTGTGGCATATCTTTCATCGTTCGTCGGTGCCGTATTGCTGGCCTATTACGAGCAGCAAGTCCAGCAGGGCTATTCAACAAATTAGTATCAACCCAAAGGGTAAGTAGAGTGGCCACTTACTTCGCCATCGCGGACAATGTTTTTAGACACCATGCCGGGAAGGCACTGAAATTTCTCCTCATTGCAGACACTCAGGCAGGTAGGGGCTTCCTCATCGGTGGCATCCTGGGCCCAGACGCTGGAGGCAGCCAACACGAGAGTGGCGAATAGGAAGGATGAGAACTGCATTTTAAGAGATTGTTGGGGCAGGTTTGTCAAAGTGTAGAGAGCTTTTGTAGATAGAAGGCGTAAGAGGACAAGCTAGTGATGTGATTGTAGAGTTATTTATATGAAAGGCTTGCTTGACCTCTATATTCTGGCTTCAGCTATGTTGTAATTTCTACTCATGCCCATCCATGGATGCATGATGTATAAGATTTAGAGCTATTGATAGATGTGGACCTGAACCAGCAGCATTCTCCAATAAGCTGCATGTTTTGCAAGCAAGGCAGTGAGTCTTTTTTTTTTCTTTTTCGGTGTAGCTGAATGAATATAACCCAAACAAGGTCGGTCAATAAAGCTTGAGGATGTGTTGCATCGGTCCCGATATAACTTTCGATTGATTGGCCGCGCCAAGATGCATGCATAATGCATAGATCCACAGCTCGAGTTGTACAGAGTGTAGGTATGACGACGATTTAATGCTGCAAGGACGCATCTTGGCGCATTCCGTCCATTGTGGACCGTTCCGTGCCGTACAACCTTTTTTCCTCGTTTGAAGGCTGGGCAACACCCGTTTGAGTACTTCCGTCATCCAAAACGCTAAGCAAGGTTCCGCGCAACTCCGTCCTGGTACACCCTTGGTTTCACCCAATTATGGATCATTAGAATTGCAGTGTAAAGGATTCATAATTTCTGAAGATACCACCACCGTAGCATATTGCAACTCGCATACCATACCTACGGTTCAACACAAGTAGTACTTCACATAACCGCATGCGCATATCAGTTATCCACACAGTGCTATTCGCCACGGCCCAACACTATCAAGTTCTATTGTTATGGAGTAGAATGCCATAAAATACAGCATGGTCTCGCCCCAACCGAGGAAGACTGGGATACTTGGGTCAGGTGAATTTTCATTGGAGCAACATCGGGAATAGAGTTCCATATGAATCAAGAGCAAGGGATTTGCCCACATATTCATGCAGTACATTCATTTGTAGTACCACCATTGTAGGATCAAGTTTAGGTAACTACAACATAGAGAGGAGAGTAATGTAATCGAGCCATGTTTGCTACCGAGAAAAGGGCACAAAGCGCCAAACTATCTACCAGCAAAAGACTAAGGCTGAACGAGTCCAGAAGCATAGCATATCATCATCAGGTGAATGGATGTAGAATGAAGCAAGGCCCAAGCTTATTTGCAAAGAGTCTCTTTGATTCCAGAAATCGACGGAGCAAAGAAGTACTCACCACCGCGAGGGATAACCCAGCGTTCAATGGGAATCCAGTATTTGCTCGGGGTCGGCACAGGCTTCTGGACATCGGGGAAGTTCGCATTAGGAGCTGGGCTGTCGTATTTGGTAACGTCATTCTCCGCGCGGTAGTAGGGAGGCATTTGACCGATGACAGCGTCGATACCCTGCGGGGCTTTGCCTCCCAGCTTGTCAGAGAAATCAACAGGCTTATCCGCCTTGTTTGCCCATTCTGCGGAGTTGTTAATTATGAATGTTTTGTCACTGTGGGGTGAATACGAACCTTTCTGGACAAACCTGAATCCGTTGGTGATGTTGCTCTGGTAGGAAACGAACAACAGGCCACGATCATGCTGTGACACGCCACCACCCTTCTCATTGGTCTCTGTCACTGGTCCGTATGGAATTCCTCGTCGCATCATAAGATGCCTCTCGTAATTGGGGAAGTCATCTCGAGGCCCGCACTTCCGGATATGGGCAGCGTAAGGACATTTAGTTTGGTCCTCAGGGTTGTAAGTGAAGGCATCCGTGTGATTATCCGCTTCCAGTTTCTTATATTCCGCGTGAGGGTCTTTGCCGTCCTTTTCCCATTCCGCGAACAATAACTCCTTGTTCTTGACTGGATCAGGATGTCTCATAGGTGTAGGATCTTCGTTGGGGTGAATCTCAAGCGGGGCTCCTGTACATATTAAGTAAGTGAATGCAACAACCTTGGAAGTAAAGGAAGGCGCTTCCAAAAGGCAATCTTACCGTTGGGCCATCTTCCAACAATACGGGAGGAGAATTTTCGAAGCTCTTGCATAGCTTTCTCCGTTTTCCCCTCAGTTTGCAGTCTCTTGGTGTTCTTGGCACACCAGCTGAAAGTGTTAGAATATCGTAGCAGAACAAAATCGAAGAGGGTACACTTACGCAACGAACTCGGGTGTTCTCTGTTCGTATGTGCGGAACACCATGAAGCTTCCCTCTTTGGCCCAAGCCGGGTGATTGCTTTGATCGCCTTCACCTCCAACAAGAATAGTACTAGCGAGGTCATCAGCAACTGGATTTACGGGCATCTGGTGTTGAATGTTTAGAGCTTACCCAGCCTGAATTGGCTTCAGGCCCTTCTTGGCTTCTTCGACCTTTTCATCGGTGTCCAGACCAATGACAATTGGCTGGGAGATACCATCAACCCATCCAAAGCTAAACCGTGGATTAGTCTGGTATAATATATATAATGAGCGTGAAGTATCCTACTGTTCTCTGTCATCATCAAGAACATGTCCCTGCTGCTGAAAGACAAATTGAGCACTTGGCGTGTCGATGGTGGGACCGTCTTCAGTGGATTTGACGTCTGACTTCTCAAGACCAACTCCGAAAGCCTTCTTAACCGATCTAACGGTATCAACCAAGGTCTTTTCAGTATCACCGGTGATGGTGAAGACACCGTCGAGATATCCATTTCGTGGGGTGAATTGGTGGAACCAATCATGCTGGTCGTCGAGACCGTTATGCTTTGTCTTGTCATCTCCCTCAAGGGGGTAGGTCAGGTCCTCCCACTGGCCGTTGTTGAAGACATCATCGGTGAATGGCTCGGCTCCAAGCTAGCATTGTTTAGCGCGGCTCATGCAATTATCGAGTAGTCTTATAACCCACCTTTTCTAGACCCTTGGCGGAGAAGGCAACATTGATGGCAGAGAAAAAGACGATATGTTTTAGAGTACCTTCGGCCTTCATCTTGTAAATGTCCTTCCTAAACCTCTCAGCGTGACTGGCAGTCGTGAGACTGGGAACGAGAACGGCCAGTTGCTTTTTGAACTCCACAGGGTTAGTGATGCGGAAGAATACAAACAGCTCATGCTTCTTGGACAAACGGGGCCTGGGATCATTAGAATAAATTCCCAAATTGAAACACCTAGCAGGGTATCAATTTACCAGATATCTCCCTGGATGTTCTTCTTGTTGGGAGGTGCCATTTTGAATGACTTGTTCAATTTTCTTCCAATTGCAGTTGTTCCAGGGAAAGGGTTTGACGGGGCGGAGGGGTTCTTTATATAATTTAAGCTACACCATACCGTGGCTAATGCTTGGAAATGTTGAGGCAGAAGAGCGCCCCTCCGTTAGGCATTAATGATGCCGTCACTGTACATACTCTTGTAGCAACAGCTGCAACCGGATTTTGTTCCTTAATATTCATCCATGGATCTGAATGGACTAATCACATCCAGTGATGTAAGGTGTCTGCCCCGGCAACCCTGTACAACCATGCAATGCAAGTCGAGAATGTCACTGCGACATTACCCCATCTATAGTGGCTGCCTGTAAAAGAGACCAGAATTACGTGTCGAGATGGAAGAAGTCGATCCATTCCCCAATGAAGCAGTCTGAGATTTTTTGGTGCTCCACATTGTTGCAATAGTGCGGCACAAAGCAATGCATCGCTATGGGGTATAGAAATGTAAGAGAGTCGCCGACATATTTGGCGTAGTATGGATATGATCCTGATATATGCAGCCTGGGCGCTATATTATCAGATCTGATTGGAGTGCGACCCCAACACGTCACAGATGTGTACTTGGTTCAATAGCGCAGGCCAGTACCTGGAGTGGACAAGGACTCATCTAGCCTGAAACGTGCGTCTACAGGCTGTTGCGGTATATCATATGTAGGTAGTACCTATCATCTTTCAGTCATTATTAATTGAGAAATTGCGGATCCAGATCGCCCAAAATCATGCAGGGAATGAATGCATAATATGGCTTCACTACGCCAATCGAGATCTGGTCATTCTCACCGCCACGAAGTGCGAATGAATTGATCGAAAAAAGAAGAAAAGAAGAAAAGAAGAAAAGAAGAAAAAAGAAATGGAGACGCATAGTGGGGCTCGGTGTAGCTATTGGACATCAACATGATGAAATACAGAAAACCAAATACAACATAGAAAGTGAGGAGAAGAGAGACAGGAGTATAGAATAAATTTGAGAAAGAGGACAAAGGAGAATGTAAAATCTATGGCACATGAATAAAAACGATATCGAGTCGAATCAAGTCACTCTTCTGAGCCTCCTGCTTGAAAGTGTATGCAAACAGCGCAACAGAGAGCAAAAGCCCAATGACGCCCAAAATTGAAAATAATATATGCCTAGAGGATATCAAAGTCTTTCAACCGATCATCCCAGTAGACTCGCCGGCCTGCAAGATACTGACCGTAAGTCGGTTGGAGCAGTGGATTGGACTACCATAAATAGTTGCATGAATATCCCGAACTTGATAGGTCAGAAGGAGACGGGGGCGGTACGTTGGACTGACGTGTAGTGCTACTGAACAATAGACACAACAAGAACCCTGGATGTAGCAAGCATGGCGCTGAGAGCTGAGTTTGGCACCGCAGCGATAAACAATCAGGAACTGCACAAATGCGGGGGCAAATGGCTTAGATGGCAGCTAGCAGAATATGAACTTGTACATTGATTAGCTCCCGGGCAGTGACGCGTACTTAGACATCGCTATGACCCGCAAGTGTGCCTAAGATATGGACTCCAAACTCAACCCGCGGGCTTTGGTAGTAGGCTGAACCCAGTCTAGTAGCTAAGGATAGAGCTATGGTAGGTCAATCTCCCTGAAGTAACACCCGCTTAGTTATGCCGGGAAAGCTGAACTAATGATATGCTTGATATCATCATAGAATATACGGAATGAAAGATATACCAAACAAGGATGTATAATTCTGAAACCCTGGAATAAGAGGAGTAATATTCTGTATACGACCGTGCTATGTTAGGGAAATGCATTTGTCTTATTTGCTTGTAGTATCTCAAAGATTACTCGGCGTACAGGTATCGTGTCTGACCTATATTAGACCGCCAGTTGTATAAGACTAGAACGGGCTAGTCACTGAACGCATACTATCATTGACCGATAGTCTACTAGCAGGAATGTTGGTTACTAAACCTGTGTTACTAAACCTGTATTTCCAACTTTAGGGAACACCAACCTAAGATATCTTGGGCATAAGATTCGAATACCGGCAGCAAATGCTTCAGTATCCGTTGGGCTGGTGGGTTCAGTTCTAATAAGAGTTAGGGTCTGGGGGGGCAGGGGAAGCAGGTGAGCTTTTATCGACACTATACTTTCACACCCAGCTCCAAAATATAGGACAACACTCATTCCCCACTCCAGCGCCGAAGAAATACATATACCAATCTCAAATTAGTTTGTTTCTACTCGAACAAGCTTGATTTATTTGATTTTAGTAGTCATTTCTGAAGACGGTGCACGATTGAGACCTGAACGCTTCCTTTTATTATTATTCTCTGATGCTTCGCGAACGTTTACCTATAAAATTAACCCTAATGTGTCGGGTAATTTGAGAACTCTTCTGGGGACCTATAGCCAGAAACCGACAATCCCCACTTGTGTCTTTTGTCTACTTCGCAGCTAACGAGCTTTGAGTAGAGGTCCTTCCGAAACATTTTGACATACGGCCTGCTGATATGCACTAACACTTACTACACCTTCCCCTGTAGTATTGACAAAAGAAAATCGACAGTATAGTCACATTAAAGCCCTAGTTGTATTTTTGGTAGCTTTATGAGTTTCTAGGCGAGCAAACACTTCGCTGGGAAGGTTTGCGGCTTCATCGGTGAACTTGGAATGCTGACTTTTTATGAGCGTTTTGAGCTAAAGGAATTACCACCTAGCGTATGCTAGTTGGTACGTACGAAGGAGTTTACGAATGTTAAGCTCACATGTATATTAGAAGCTGAAAACGTGGTTGTTTAAGAAGTCCATGACCGAGGAATATTAGATCGACCATTTTCGGGGCTAGCGGTTATATATATATATATATCTATCCATTTACAGTGGCATTATTTTTCGGTAGAAACATGTTCACAAAAGCCTTTGGTTTGTGTGCTCGTCGGCGAGAGAAGTAATTTATAGTCATTACCCGCTGAACATAGATCTCTCCAGTTGACTTTACAGGGTAGGGCTCTAGATCCCATAGAAATCCACCTAATTGCCCTCGCCCTAGTCGTCCAAAACCCATCTAGGGATATTCCTAGGATCGTGAATTGAATAGCCGCGCCGTGAGTCCTTCGCTTCAATAGAAAAGAGACTGCGAGGATGAGCAGTTAAGCTGACGTTCCAAATCCCTTCGGTGGAACGATGGGTGGGTTAGAGGTGCATGGGACAAAGCTGGCGTGCTGCAGTTTCCAAGGTTCCAAGGTTATTGATTTAGCTTACTAAGGTCGCTCATGTCTAGGTACCTTAGTGAGCAAACATATGATGGAAATCCAGGACTTTGAGTATTAAAATCGAAGGGGAAAGCCTTCAAGAGCTAGTATCCGGTAATGTGTATATGAATGCGGGGATAGTACGAGAATGATTCCACATGCTATCCACATTGTATCCGTCATTGAAAGAAGAGTACTCATTACTGGATTCGAATTGGTGATTCCTAATAAGCCAAGATATTGACAACTTGATTTTACTCCTATTATACACAGAGCCGCCACTGGCCAGTGCACCGAAATGAGGAACGCTAAACTGCATCAAGTTATTCGGCATTTGGATTTTAGAACCCTTGTAAAAGTCTGTGCTTGAGGATTAGCAAGGGCCCTCATATACCGTCTTAATAATAATATGTTTGTATGACAAGACTTGAAATGACCTCGTTCCATAAGAGTCAAATAGTAGTAGACACCAAGATAACGGATTCAAATGCCCAAGGTAGATTGATTAATAATTCGGAGCGACCTCGGAAAATCAATCTTCACCTGAACACGAACGGCTACTTGGTTCGATGCTGACCAAGCTGGTCAAGTCCGCCAATCAGCGATGGCAGACCCCGATTTCGGGGCCTGCCGTTTCGGGTTCTTTTTGTGTGAGAGCCGCGCTTGTCGCTGGGGGGGTATTGAATGTACTCTGGCCTAGGAAAATGAGGAAATGTACTCCGTAGTAGTAAAGTAATTTGTGATCTGCAATTCATGCACTGTTCATCTCATATTATAATACTCCGTACTGTATGTAGGATCATCGTGGAATTTCCTAATCCAAAAATGGAACGTGGAACCGAGGATTTAAACTCAGTGGGCTCCGATTCTCGGCCTCCGATCGATTCGTTTCTATACCTAGGTAATGTTGTATATTAGATTTACATAGAGCGTGGGAAGGAATAAAAGGGAGAGGTAAATTGGAAGAGAAAGGGAATATAGTTATAAGTATAGGATATAGTCCCAACAGAAACAGGATGGCCGGATTGGGAGGCAAATGAAGGCAAATTGGGGGATTAATCATCACCCCTCCGGCGCCCCGGGCTACCCCCACTGAACATTCAAAGAAAAAACCCACTTGTGGCTCCAACTTCTCTGTCCTTCTGTCCGGCTTCTATCCAACTTACAACACCTCCAAAATCGCGATTCACACGAATCGAAACATAGTCACCTCGTAGGTGCTTCGACTCCCATCGCACTCGCGACGAATCCGCACCGAGCCGCATTCGGCATCTGAGTCACGTCTCTCCGGTCTGCGCAACGCGCATTTCCACACACTCCATCGGCATCAAGAAGATCGGTTTCCGACTTCTGCCTCAACTGATTGTACCGCGGAAAACGGGGAAGCCTTCATCATGGCCAACTACAATGGGCGCCGCATGCCCAACTTCTCGCAATACCTCGATGACTTAAACGCGATTCCCTCGCCATACGACCAGGCCCAGCAACAGCAACAGCAGCAGACTACCTTCAACGATGAGGACCTAGCTCTGTTCACCAACACCGAGTTCTTCGAGTTCGACAAGTTTACCGACTTCAGCGGCCTACCTTCATTTTCGCCAGAAGACGACAAGACACACCAGATCGTCTCAGATCAATCCGCGCAAAATGAGGATCTGAAGTTCTTGGATTTCCTGAATGGTAAGTGTGGCTGATTTCGGTTCCCGTCTTTTCCATCGCTGGTTGGGTAGTCCCGAGTCCGAGCTGCACGGCTTTCCCCTGATCGCACCAGTCTTGTTCACAATTGGGTTCATTGGACCAATGTCTCTACATCTTGCATGTTATTTCATTGGTTGCCTTATGAATTCGTCATTCTTGCCTATTGCACGCCCCAAGTCTGGGCTGGTTATGGCATTTTTGGCGCTTCGTGCGCTTCCTGCCCTCAATATCATCCCACGCCCTTTCGCAGCTTTGACCTCCTTGGCTGGCAAATTTGAGCCCTGCACGCAATCCTTCCCGTGGCCCTAGCAGGGTTTTTTTTTACCACTCAAACTTGAGCTTGGTCGTTGGCGTGAATGCTCCCCACTATTACGCCATTCCACGTGACTGGCACCTGTGCTCGGACCCCAATTGCTTTCGGGAAACCGATTCTCGCGATGTTGATGTTGTTTGGAAATTGAACCAATGCTAATGGCTTTCCAGCAGAGGGTCTTAATGGCATACCCGATTACCAGCCCAACCTGACCTCCAACGTCCAGGTGCCCATGCACAATGCCCACTTTTCGTCCGTTCCGTCCGTTCCTAGTGGGCCTGTGGCTGCAAACCAGGCTTCTATCCAGCCTGCGCCTATCAACAACGCCCCGAAGGTCGCTCCGGCCCCGTCCTCTGTGTCAATGTCGCCTTCCACTCCGGTTACCGGTACCAAACGCAAGAACTCCGCAAACGCGACCAGCGTCGAGGAGGCTAGTCGGCAAATGGCCGAGGAGGACAAGCGCCGCCGTAACACCGCCGCCAGTGCTCGCTTCCGTGTGAAGAAGAAGCAGCGTGAGGCTGCTCTCGAGCAGACCGTGAAGGAGACAACCGAAAAGAACGATATTCTAGAGGCTCGCGTGTCTCAGCTTGAGCTGGAGAACCACTGGCTCCGTGGTCTGATCATGGAGAAGAACGGCGCCGACGAGCAGTCTGAGCAAGACATCTCGGATATGTTCAAGAAGTTCTTGGCCTCACAGAAGGCTGATGGTTCAAGTACTTCTGACCTGAAGCGCGGTGTGGGCACCACTGTATGAAGCATTGCCCAATGCTAAAAAAGAAGAAAAAAATCGCCAAAAAAAGAAGAAAGAAAGAAAGAAAACCCAGTCTTATTTGATTGCCCTGCTACTCCACTCTGCTGCTTCAGGTGGTGACTGTCCTGGGCTTTTCTCTGTTAGCTCCACCTCACCATCTTTGCCTTCTTGTTTATAGTGTTCTTTTCCAGCGATGTTATTCTCTTTTCTTTTTTAGCAGCTAGAGCTACTTCGGATATTACGTCTGCAGGTCGAGGGGGGTGGTGGGTGGATGAGTGAAGTACAAGTATTTTAGATGCAATTATTCATGTTTCGGCCCCATTTTTACGCCTGTCCAACTCGCCTAGACTATCCATTGCAAGAAAACGGCAGGTATCCCTTCTATATACATCGTAGACCAACACGGCTTACCATTAATAGCTGACTCTGACCCACCCAGCAAGCTCAACACTGGCTTTGCAAAATTTGAGGAAAGAGGATGGATTGTCTACTATTGAATGCCTGAGGCATTACATGGATAGAACCTAGATAGTTTGTCTGCGGACCCTCTCTCTCTTTCTTCTCTCTCCGTCCACCTGAATACATACAGAGTTTTCTCTATTGATCTCACATCGTATCGTATTCCATGATCTACTTCTATTCCCCGGACTACTAAGAAATGCTCGGGTCCCTCAAACGCGCCCTGAGAAAACCACACGCAAACGTGTACGGTCTGGATCATGCCGTCCTCAACATACAGCTCCCACCGCAGAGTATGTGGATGAACATGGGGTACTGGGAGGTAAGTCAACTCAAATAAAGATCATTTAAGCAATTGTTTCAAGTAAAAGTACCTTCTTTGAAATCCCCATTGACCCACATCCCAGTACACAGATGATTTTCCCGAAGCCTGCCAAGCGCTCCTAGACCAGGTTCTCACGGCTGCGCTATCAACGGAGAAGGCGTCTGCAGTGAGAATCCTAGATGTCGGGTGTGGGTGTGGTGATCAGTCGTTATACCTGACGAAGGTTTTAAATGGCCATTCTTCTACATCCCTTTCCGGTTCTGAAGGGACTGGGATCGGAACCACAACAACAACAAGCCCTGTCTCTATCTCCACTAGTGCGTCTGATATTCAACCATCAGAGTGGGGCCTGCGGTCTCGTCATAGCAAGACCAAACTGCAATCCTCCTCTCTGCTACACCTGGATTCCTATATTGGAATCACGCTGGAGCCAGCACAGGCCGCGCTCGGCTCACGCCGCATGAATCATATGCGGCGAGAGAGCGAGGACCCTATCCAGGCAGATATCTTCTGCGCGGACGCTGCAGTCCCCAGCTCTTGGACTGGGGAGTTGAAAAAATCAATCACGGCCCTTGCAGTTGCGTCAACTAAACAAAATGAGAATGAAGACACGTCTACATGGCTCCTGGCCTTGGACACGATATATCACTTCCGCCCCTCCCGCTTACCTCTCCTAACCTATGCACACAACACCCTCAATGCCTCATTCATGGCCTTCGACTTGATATTATCTGATAGTATAACTTGGTACGAAAAGATTCTCCTCCGACTCGTGTGCTGGGGCACGAACTCGCCATTCGGAAATTTTGTTTCCGAGAAGGAATATGTGGAGCTACTCATTTCAGCTGGGTATAATCCTGCTTTTATTGAGATCAGAGATGTCTCGCGGCACGTTTTTGGTGGGTTGGCAGATTTCATTGAGCGCAGGGTGGAAGAGGCGAGGCCATTTGGGATTAAAATGGGGAAATTTCGCGCGGCGAGGCTTGTGTTTGGGTGGTGGGCTAAGGGGAGGGTTGTTAGGGGCGTTGTTGTTGTTGCGAGGAAGGCGTGATGGTTTGGATGGTCCAGTCTCCAGCTGTCGTATGAGGTTATATGAGCCTGCTGCATAGGTCTCAACTCACAAGGTGGTATTGTCAGCCGTTGTTAGTAAGGCGTGGTGTGGTGTATGTCAGCTATAAAAACAGCCCTGACCAAACCGATCCATTTCAATAGAACTCCAATAACTAACGAAAGGCGAAAGCGTCGGGAGCTTCTCGTTCATTAATCCTTCCATTTGAATCTTCGGATGGTATGGTCCTGCAAGCTAGAAATACCTACATGTAGGTAGTTAGCTTCTATTTCTCCGAAATTACATTACCAATAGATCAATAAATATAAATCATGACATTATAACTTTCCCGTATAGATAGATCGAGGCACCCGTAAAGAAACCTCGTGGATAGCTTTCGGGCCTGATGTACAGCTTAATATACTTGCCTGCCTAAGGTAGGTGTACCTAGCTTTTCTAAGCACAACCAAGCCACATGTAATCAAGCCACCTACCGCGTTGTGGAAGTCTACCTAGGTAGGTAGCTCGTGGCCTGATTCATGATGACGTAAAGAGGCGGTGGCACTCCCAGGGCTGAGAGATGAAGAGTAAAAAATTTATAGATGGCAACCAGTTTATTCATTGGCAATATAAATTAAGATCTATATATATCCATCCATATATCCATCCATGGATGGATATCCATGGATAATATCCTAATTACTAATTGGTTAGGAAGTTCTCCAGGGCTGATGCCAACTTCCGTTTTATCCGACAGTTCGGCAGTTATCCAACGCTGAAGCCGCTAAGTGGTGGGTCTAGACGATCATAGTTGCTTTCGGCGCTCCTTTTTTCCTGCTCAAGTTTTTATAAACAAATTGTCCGCGCTTGGATGGCGAAAAAAAGCCTTTACCCTTCCATATTTCAGGCACAGGTACCTCTCTGATCTTTCTGACAGTCCCAACGGGGAAAAAAAGAGTCTGCAGCCAAGAAGATCTACAGGATCGGCCAGATTATAATCCCCGAATCGGTAAAGCGGTCTCCCTTGGCAATATGGCCGATCAACTGCCTGAGGCCGAAGAATCGCATATACCGAGCGAGAAGCCACGGAACTCGGCTGAGATAGAGAGACGTACTACGTCAGCCTCTATCGGATCATCGACCGGCTCGAGTATCTCTGAATATGACCCCCAGGTGCATAGGCTACAATCGCGAAACACAGAACTGGACTTGGAACGTCATCGGACTGGGACATCGCGAGCATTGAGCAGGACTGAGACGCAACGCGCTCAACATGCGCTCACCGTGGGTGAGAGTCTTCGGTCGCGACCGTCACGGGCTCCATTGCCAGCCTTTGGTGGGGGCAAACCCTACCCTCCACCTCTTCCTGAACGGGAAGATTACGTTGTGGAGTTCGATGGGCCAAATGACCCGTTATACCCGCTGAACTGGCCCTTGAAGAGGAAGTGAGTCGTTTCACTATGAATTTCCACATCGTACTCGGCATTTAATGTGCAGCATTGATACTCCGATACTGACTTCTCAATCTAGATGCTACATTAGTGCTATCCTCGCCTTCACCAGTATTTGCTCCACCTTCGATTCCGCCGTTTTTAGTGCTTCATCCAATAATGTCTCGAGTTACTTCAGCGTCGGCCTTGAAGTCGCCATCCTCTCCAGCTCTCTATACATCATCGGGTACGCCTCAGGTCCCTTGATATGGGCTCCCCTGTCCGAACTCAAGGGTCGTCGTCTCCCTATCATCGTCGCCATGTTCGGATTTGGCGTCTTCAACATCGCAGTAGCAGTCGCGAAAGACTTGCAAACACTCATGATTTGCCGATTCTTCTGTGGTATTTTCGGCAGTTGTCCCCTAGCAGTTGTGGCTGCTGTGTTCTCTGATATCTGGGACAACCGCACCCGTGGTGTTGCTATTGCCATGTTCTCCTCGACCGTGTTCCTAGGCCCTCTCCTAGCACCTTTCATCGGAGGCTTCATTAACATGTCCTATCTCGGCTGGCGCTGGACCGCGTATATCCCCGCGTTCATGGGCTTCGCCGCTTTCCTCCTGAATATTTTCTTTCTAAAGGAGTCATACCCACCTGTGGTCCTTGTGGAGAAGGCTTCGGAGCTACGTCGTCGCACTAAGAATTGGGGCATACATGCGAAGCAGGAGGAGATTGAGGTCGACCTTCGAGACCTGATCGTAAACAACTTCTCTCGTCCGCTTCGACTACTAATTAACGAACCATTGATCCTAGCCGTCACTGTCTACCTAAGTTTTATCTACGGGTTGCTCTACTGCTTCTTGACCGCTTACACTCTGGTCTTCCAGGGCGTTTACGGCATGAACGCTGGTGTTGGAGGACTTCCGCTCTTCGGCATGGTGGTGGGTCTGTTTATCGCCGCGACTTATATTATCATCGCTAGCAAGGGCTACAATAAGAAACTCGACATGAACGGTGGTGTCCCTATCCCCGAGTGGCGTCTCCCGCCAGTGATGGTTGGCGGTGCTCTCTTCGCCGCCGGTCTCTTCTGGTTTGGATGGACTGGCTTCAACGGTACCATCCACTGGATCGTGCCTACCCTGAGTGGCCTATTTACTGGATTTGGTCTTCTGATCATCTTCATCCAATTGTTCAATTATCTGATTGACACATATCTTATGTTGTATGTCATACTCGCCATTCCTCCAACCCATTTGTCACGGGATTATCTAACATACTATCTACAGCGCTGCATCAGCCATTGCAGCAAACACCTTCTGCCGCTCGATGGTGGCAGCCAGCTTCCCGCTTTTCTCACGCCAGATGTTCCAAGGCATGGGTATCCAGTGGGCTTCTACGCTTCTCGGATGCGTCGCAGCTGTCCTCGTTCCAATTCCCATTGGGTTCTACTTCTTCGGTAAGAGATTGAGGATGAAGAGCAAGTTCGCGCCATTTTATGAAGCTGTCCAGGAAGGACACGCGGCTGAGGAAGCCGAAGAACAGGCGGAGGGGACTGTGCACCGGCAATAAACAGCTAACTGCTTGTTCTTATACATAATCATATTCCTATCAGAAAAATGTAAATAAATTTTAGTGAGGTTGGTAAAACAGTAACATAATCTTTGCTGCCGCACAATAACAAATGATCGGGCTAAAGGGGAATACTCAGCTACGCCACATTTTGCCACAGCGGAAAATCCGTAAATCCGAGGGCGAGTTTTATCTCTCACCTATGTCAGTCTCTTGAACCCTCCCTAGATCTGTCAGAGACGGCTGGGGATGCCGCCCAAGCCGAATAATAACCACACATAGAATCATGGGGATGGATTTTGTCTTCGTCAACGTACAGAAACCAAGGGACGCCCTTCAGCTCGCCAAAGAGCCCGAGTTCCGGTCTCACGTGACGCGTTATCAATGGAAGCAAGCACGTCGAGATAAGCGACTCCGGACTAGGCTCCTGCTGGGTGCGGCGCAGCTGGATGTTGCACAAGATGTGAAAACCACTGAAGTTCAAACCCGCCCCGGGTTCGACTCTTTCAACCCGGCACCAGCCTTGATATCGCCTCAAATAGGCGGACTTAGGGTGGACCCCTTCAAGTCTTATCCTATATCGGTCCAGCCTTGGACTCCACTCCTGGTCGATCACTGTAAGTTTATTGAATTTGATTTAGTAAATCTGGACTTTATTAACATCGTAAGACTTGATGAATATGGCAGTTGATATTCCCGAGCTTGACCAGCCTGGGACCCCCGGTCTTTTGAGGACCAGTTGGTTTCCATTAGTCATGACCGAGCCCGCTTTGTTCTCTGTCATTATTCTTCTTGCTGCATCGCATTATGCCTCCCTACAAAGTAACCCTAGCGGTATGAAAATGAACCTCCTCGGTCTTCGCTGTGAAGCTATCCTGTCCATCAATCGCTGTCTTGAGGCTCAGCAGCCAGGGACTGTAAATGATGCTTTGATAGGAGCTATAGCAAAGATGGCAAGCTATGAAGCCATGTTCGGCAGTCTCGAGAACTACAGTATCCATATGCAGGGTCTCGCACGAGTGATTGGTTTACGAGGGGGACTCACAACACTAGGGCTGAATGGCTTGCTCTATCGGATGGTGATTTGGATTGACCGCAATTCCGCTTTCTTGCATGGATCGGCGATGACCTTTGTGGATGAACTTCCGCCAGATCCGAATCCTGGCCAATTCCTGGGTAGCTCCTGATGGGCAATGTAAATCTTTTCCTTGAAAACCAATCAAAGAATCGAATTCCCGCATGACGACACGACATCGCGCATCATGAAGTTCATAGAGTTTCTTGATGGGGACTTCCTAAACGGGATACCACATCCAACTTTGGGGAAGTCCGACCCACATCTTACCGCCAATGAAATAAGGTATTTGGGACTACGCCCCACATATTTCCGATTGCAGGTAACGCATTATAATGCGGCATCTAGGTATACGCTCACTATACGCTCAATTAGAATAGGTTCAGTTGCGTACTCCTGAATATATAAGTAATGAACATCTCTCGATCAAAGACTGCAGTTCTACCACACAAATTATCACAAACCTTCGTTGTTATTACCTACTTTCAATATCAAAATGTCTCTTTCTGGTAAAGTCGCCCTTATCACCGGCGGTGTTAAGAACCTTGGTGCTCAAAGTGCCATCGAGCTCGCTGGCGAGGGCGCCAATCTTGCTCTCCACTATCATTCATCCGGCGGCGAAAAGGAAGGAGCCTCGCTAGCAGCCTCCCTTAAGGAAAAGAACCCTTCGATCAAGGTCTCCTTCTACCAGGGTGATCTGACCTCTGCAGCTGCAGTAACGAAGCTGTTCAAAGATGTTGTCCGTGATTTCGGCCATGTTGATATTGTGGTCAACACGGTAGGCAGAGTGCTGAAGAAGCCTATTACAGAGATTAGCGAGGAAGAATATGACACGATGTTCGCGTAAGTATTGTGTTGGGGAAGGATAGTGCAATGTCTCTAAGTATGGCTGGCTAACTACATATTTAGGGTCAACTCCAAAACTGCATTTTTCGTTCTTAAGGAAGCTGCTGCTCATATTACTGATGGCGGAAAGATCATCACCATTGTCACTGCGCTCCTAGGAGCCTTCACTGGCTACTATACCTCTTATGCTGGTAGCAAAGCTCCCGTCGAGCACTTTACTCGGTAAGTTGCCAGTTCACTATCGGCCGAAGTCCTGAGCTAACAATATCGTAGGGGTGTTTGCAAGGAGCTTCAATCTCGCAGCATCAGTGTGAACAATGTCGCCCCTGGACCGATGGATACCCGTAAGTCAACATGAATAATAAAAGGATACACTGCTCGTTCTAGGGATCTAACAAGTTACGTCCTCAACAGCTTTCTTCTATCCCCAGGAATCTCCCGAAGCCGTGGAATTCCACAAAGCAAACGGCATGGGCAACCGTCTCACCATGGTCAAGGACATTGCTCCTATCATTCGCTTCCTTTGCACCGATGGTGCTTGGATTGCCGGCCAAACCATTTTTGCCAATGGTGGATACACTACTCGTTGATTGGTTTTTCGAGTCGTAGCGGGAAAGCTCATGGTTGATCGCAGCTACTGCTAAGTCTTACTCATGTCCAAATGTACACTGATCTTGTTATGTTATGAATCAAAAACTAAATCCAATTCAGGCTCCAAGTCAAGTAGTATCCTACTAGGAACGGGGAAAGAAAAAATGACCCTATAACGACAAGTTGAAAGGCAAAACTAACATTTCAGCCGAGAATCAAACATTGGCGTCGGTCCCATTTAAGGCAGCTGCTATTGGTATTATATATACTGAGTGTTAGAGAAACATTGAGCTTAGTTACTTATACAGCTATTTCCGGATCCAACGTTGATACTTGACTTGCTCGGACTATTTAATAGGCACCAGGTAACAAGAAGGACTGTCAGCTGGGGGCTTCAGTCTTTTAACGCATGCCAGACGGGACTATCCCTTCAGACGGTACTATCCCCTAGGACTGTGACATTTGGAGTGAGAACAGGTAGCGTAAGAATTTGACCTGATTCCAGAAGTATTTTGAGCCCAGGCATATCCATAGAGGATAAGTGTCGGATATATATAAAACTGTGTACTTATAATAAGAAGGTTGTACTGCGGTTAGCCTTACTGAATATCTGGACTAATTGGTTTTATATGGATAGCTCGTATTCCCAAGTCCGAGAGCGTAGATATGGAGGCCCCAAGAAGTCATGATGTCCTTGGTATTGAAACGAGTAACCCATGCTATGAAAGACGCAATAGTGATCCTCTGCCTGAATGCCGTGGACCATTGAATACTTGTCCGCCAATCCAATCATCTAGGAGATCCGATATGTGTAAGTGATGCTACCAAATTGTGTGTTTAATGCATCAGAGGCAAAACACCTTCCATTACCATGTACTATTATTATCGCGCATCCGGTGTGTATAGATTCTAGGCTGAACCTTCTGGTGAGTCGAGGTGGAAATAGAGAGAAATGGGTCCTGAGTAGATGGCCAGCAGACATAGACCGTAGCAGATTAGTATATCATGGCAAAGGCCAGATGTGCATGATGCGTTTGTTCATAGTATATGCTATGTACAATGTGTCCCCAGGTATTAGCATAATATATGGAAGTCTCGATGACGGGTCGTTATAAAGAGGAATCTTTCATCCAAGGAACCTCGACGTCAAGGGCCTTTGCCACCCTGGTCGCGGAAGAAAGACATCCCTCTAATAGTACCATCCCGTCCCAGCACCAACCACCAACAAGCCAGACATTTCCATCCCCGTTCCGCCAAAGCTGGCTCTTGTCATCTCCAGACTTCTTCTGACTGAAAATTTGGTTGACAATCTGTCTGCTGGTGGGCGATCGCAAAACACGAGTGAACGTGGCAGTATACAGGACCTTCTCGGGGTCAATCGGGGAAATTGGATAAGTCGTAATAAGAGCAGATGACGGATGTTCATGGACAGTCTCAGTTGCCGTAGCATTAGAGCACATGTGCAGTGGGTGAGGTGCTGATTCGCCGGCGTTCAATGATACTTGCGCCCAGAGGCATTTACTAGAATCCCGAATCCGGGAAAAGTCGCGGTGCACGACGGATTGAACGGTCGTTGTGGGAACTGCATCCATTGCGCTTCGGAGAGGCTGGAAAATCGCGCCAACCACATCAGGCGTCACGGCCAAAACGACATGGTCAAATAGTCGTGAGTTGCTCTGGCCATCACGGGTATCTGTCCAGCTCACTTGAACTTTTGTACCGATATTCTCGACCGCCGTGACCTTCGTGCCAAGTTTATACGTCAAGTCTTCGGACAGCTTTTTCTCGACATATTGAACTCCACCAAGGACAGTGTAGTGATTCTTACGGAAGGTTCTCCTCCCATAACCGACCAGATCAAGAGCTGGGAAATCCATCAGCGCATCATGTGAGCAAGTCGCAACACTCGCGAAGACCGGCAGGAAGTAGTGCTTCACGTAGTAACTGGGCAACATAATCCTCTCCACATATTCACGCAGAGATTCCTCCGTACCCGACGACTCCACCGTTTTGGGCGCTACGAAGAAACAGCAGGCTTTGAACCAATAATAGCATATTGCCAGGTAGCACACCTCGATCAGCCACCCGGTCCATGATAAGCCCTCCGGACGCAATGGAGGTAATTGGTGGTTATTTGAGGAATGCATATAGTATGGAGACGGTTGTTTTCTGGCATTATCCGGTAGCGACGACAAAGAGTAAATGAACCGTAGCGAGCCGTACGGGATGCCGAAATAATCGTACATTCGCTTGAGACTTTCGTAGTATCCGTCGGCGAATGTGCGCATGGGAAGATCGAGACGTTCGGGCTTCGCGCTTCCGTCTTTTTCGTTTGTGAGATCATATGATGCAGAATCGAGCGAAAGTTTGTCTTGCTGTGTGTTTTTGTTGGGATTAGTTTTAGTTCGCATGTATGATGTAGCGGGTGAACCTCTATACCTTTTCGAATACTTCCACGTCGAATCTGCCCTGAGAATCATTCCTGAGCATGTATGCGACCACTAGCCCAGCCATCCCTGTGCCAATTACCGCAACATTTTTGCGTGGTTCGTTTGCATCCATAATGAAGGAGGGAAAGGTTCATTCACAGTTGCAAGAGAAGGAAGTGTATATGATACTTCCCGTGACTGAGAAAGAAGTTTAGACCTCGTGGAGTCCAAGAGTCCAATGTTCGCTTAAAACGAAAGTTGACGGCATCATACAACTTTCAACATTTCAACAATGGCTGTGAGAAGCGGGTTAATTGCGACCCACATTTTTGTCAGCAAGCCTCGGTCTCCTCCCTTGAGCACTCATGCACGATCGAATAATGCATATTATACATATCACATATGATAGGCCAATAGGCGTTGCATAAGATTAATGCCTTCCAAGGTCAAGTGACCACCAACACTTTAGTCCACAAGCTGCATGGATCGGGCATGGATGGACCCATGGATCAAGGGCACCGATGACATAATCAGTTGATATCAATACTTATCGGCTTATCAGCACGTGCATGTTTGTTGATGGTCGATTTTGGAATCTGGACGGAAGAACTTGGACAAGCTCGGGAACAGATCAAGATACGGATCCAGAGGCATGCACCTACCATTGACATAAGACGATCTTGAACTTCCCCAGGTATTGGCACAATACCTTGTCAACTACGGCCATGGCGCGTCCCAAAGCGGTGCGCGCCCCGACAACAGCCAGTCTTCCAAATAACCTCCGCATTCCCTCATCGACTCCATCCCTCACAAAATCCTTCGGAAAGCTATCCAGACAAGCACTACTAGATCTAGCATTTACGTGGCTTGATGATCGCAACGTCGCCTCATTCCCACCATACTTGCAGACCAACGATGATGGCCCCGACGATGACGATGCCCTCCCCTACCCTGCGGGGAAGACAACCGAAGAAGTCCGCCAGGTGTATGAAGATCTGCAGGATCGAAAAGGTGCAAAGCGCGAAGTTATTGAACGAATCCTAGAAGGCGACTGGCGGCATGGAATCACACTGCGCCAGCTGGCCATGGCAGACCTTCGCTATATGGACGACCACCCAGCCAGCCTTCGATGGACTGCACTCGAGCTTAGTCGTATTGATACAAAGCGCAAGAACTCCAAAGGTCTGCCACCCCCTGACTGGTCCGGTTCTGTACCGCGCATGCAAGCGGCAACATTTGTGCAAAACCTCCAACGAGAAATCTCCCCATTGGTCAAGGCCCACTACCACCTCGCCCACTCGGCTACACTGCCGCTGACATTCCTACGTATCTTTGTTGTTGACTCGCCATATCAATCCCCCAGACAGGCAGCCGAGATCTTCACTGACTCGTCCCGAGTCATCTACGTCGCTTTCCCGGACAGTTGCCCTTACGTCTACACGTCCATAGCAGCATCCACCGGATCAAGATCTGCTCCTTCAGCAAGCTCTGTGGCTACTGACACTCGAACCCTTCAGCGTCTGGTGCGCGATTCCATTCCCAAAGCTTTATCCCGCCCACATGAACGATTCTCTCTGCAGGTGACATCCCTGGCAGCCAAGAATCTGCCCACACTCCTAGCCCTCCGTGGCCCCGGACGACCAACGGCCTCGAATGGCGCCTTTAGCATCTTTGCAGACGCAGCCACTGAAGGAAGTCCGTTGGACCCTCGGCCCTCTAATACAGTCTCGCCTGAAGAGCATATCCGAGCGAGTTATTCCAGCCCAACAGAAGGAAAAGAAAACACAAATGGCCCGGCGAGCAAACGAAGATCCAGCGGTATTGATACATCCCCCCTTTCTCCGGATTCGAAGAAACGCCGTCTGTCCATCCACTCCCGATTCGGCACATTGGGGTCATCACTCGCCCCGGCACCGCTGGACCGACTTGATATCCGGCTCCTCGACAAACCGGGCTCTAGTGATGAACAATATGATGATGACGTTGATGATTCTACCTTCACGCCACCCGCCTTGTCACTGACTTTCTCTGGCTCCGACGTCATCGGCGGGATTCGCAAACTTGCTGAGCTAGGTATCGTTGACCCTGAGCGTATGCCGTCGTGGATGACTGGCGAGGAAGGCGTTAGTGTCGCGACTGTTCGACTGGGCCGACGGCTTCAAAAGGATATATAGAATAATCTGTTTGGTGCACTTGGATTTTGAGGAGTTGAGAAGCTTGGTGCTTTTTTGTTTCTTGGGCCGTTGGGGCTTGATGTGATACCCGGACTTGGGATATGGACTTCCTTTTGTCATATTTAGCTTCCCTAGTAAAACTGAACTTTGTGAGATCTCTCGACTGAGTGTACTAGCAACCAAATGTAGTCTACGCTCGACATTGAAGATTGTAAAGAGCGGTATCAAATTCATTTAGTGCATACAGCATAGAACAGTTCAACCCATACTAACCAGACCAAACACCACATTCCCGAATCCACAACATGCATAAGATATTTTATCGATAAACAGCACCACAAGTTGACTCCCCTTATTCCAGACATTGCAATGAAGCAATCCATGCTTGCTTGGGCTTGCACCAGCAAGAGTGTACGTCACTCAATGATAGATCTCTGAGAACAAAAGCTTCCCGACACGATTTCCCAAAGATAAACCGGCTCAAATAAAAGGCGAATTGATGAAAAGAAGACAACAACAAGAGAGTTTTCCGCAACAGAACCGTTCCTTGGTCTTACATCTCCACAGAGGTGACACGCCCAGTTTCGTGCCGATCACGCTCATCCTCGTTGCGTCTTGACTTTAGTATTTGGAGCTTGACAGTGATAGGATTAGCAGCGTACGAAGACGAGTCGCCCAAGAAGCCCAAGAAGCAAATCGTTCGCAGGGGTTCCTCCGAGGAACCGGAGATCAAGACGTGGGATGGACTCTAGGAACAAAACGATACTGATCGAGCCATGACATCCAGGGACTATTTGTCTCCCACGTTTACATATCCGCCTCAGTTACCATCATCCTTGGTTTGGACGACCTCTCTGCTGAGATTGGGCGCTTCACGTTCCTCGGTCTGCCACGAGGCTTTGCTATATGCGGAGAGCTGTTGAGTTCCAAGTTCTTATTACGACTCGGACAAGTTGCTATCACTTACCAGTAGAGACAACAGAAAACAGTGTGGAACGTACGCATAGCGGCCTCCCACTTCTTAAAACAAGCCTTATGGAAGTTGCTGCCGCATGTCTGACACCACGTAGTTTTCTGATCTGTCTCAAAACCATGGAAACAGATTGGACATTTGCCCTCGACAGGCTTCCTTTCGCCGGCGGAAGTAAGGGTGGTCGTGTCCAAGTTCCGCTTCAAGGACAATACAGCAAGCATCGCGCGTAGCTCCTTATCAATGCGAAATTGGGTCAGGGATATGTATAACAAAGTGATGTTATGTTGGGATCTACAAGGACTCACGAATGGCAAAAATGACCGCTGGTACATCAGTTGCTCGGGGACATCCATCGCAGATAGGACTTCAGAACGCATTAGCAAAGAACAGGGCTGTGCAGAATGGAGTAGGTATGTATCTTCTGAGCCCGGGCCCGGGCTGGGTTGAGACTTACCAAAGCAGATGTGCTTGCACTGCGTCTTCCGAAATCTGGCATCTGGACAGTCACAGGTAGGGACTTTGCCAATGACCGTCTTGTAGATATTGCCAGTAGACCCAACAACTTCAAATAAGATTTGCGGAATATCCTGCGTACCGCCAACCTCGTGTCTAATCATATACATGCTTAACGCGAAGCTAATCAGCCAATCGAAAGTATGCCATAGTCATCAATATTTACTTGCATTTGACTTTGAGTGCGCGAGACTCTTTCCAAGAACCCTTCGGGGGGTGAGTCTAGCCATGGAAGAGTGCGCTTTCCAGACATGAGTATTTGGAAGGCACTGGGCGGAGTGCGCTCTGCAACTTGGATTGGGTTCTCAGCTCTAGGCTTGTTACTAGGGCTAACAGGTTCCACGGTGGGTTCGGCTTTGGGGTCAAAAATATCAGGGCTTAATGGCAAACCGGGAGAAGAGGAACGTTTCATCACTTGTAGTTCGACAGTAACTCTGGGACATGTGTACTTCATTAGAGTACGAGAAGATACGATTCTAGGAAGGTAGGGGACCATGGAAAGAGGATGTGTTGCTACATATATGTATTGCAAAAAGCAAGATCTAGAGGGCAAACCCGTGAAGCGTTAATGACTTTGCATGGAGACTTAGAAAGATATAACAGGCCTTTGTTCTCAGCAGGTAGGGCATGTTTGTTCTAAACATGCTTCCAAGGTTCCCGCTTTCGCTTAGGCTTGTCACCATTTGAATCTACTTTGACCATAGTAGTCTATACATGGTGGGATAGTGAATACAAGAGTTTATAGAGGGTACCTAGGCAGGAAACCTATATCACATACAAGGCTTATCAATGGTAAATGTGTGTACTCAGCCCTATATACTCCAAGCTCCTTTCCCATCAGTTAGTAGATGTTGAATTCTCTAAGAAGGTAATCATGCGGGCCAGAACATTGAAGCAGTACATATAGACAAAGAGATTGAATGTACGACTGTATGTATCTGTGGTAGTCGCACACTCTTTGGCGGGTGTTTGCACTGTTTGTTTGGGGCAGCTTCCCTATCGCTATCAGCTCGTGGAGAAGTGGACTGTCCCTCCTCGACAAGATGACGCTATACTGCAACGCCCGGCATTGCAGCTAATTCTTTACTCCTCCATTCCCCCCCTCTGGAGCTGATATTGGAACTTATTCTCCATGGCGCGCCCACGGGCTCTGTCGGGGGCTGATGCCCCGAAGGAACCACATGCGGTCTCTCTCAAAGGTATGTGAATACAACTCGACCAATAATTGGACTAGCAAGCTAATTATGAATGGGTTAGTGTTGCGGTAATTCGAATGGTCCATATACCTCCCGTTTATGGCAGCTCCTGACTATCGATACACAGCCTTGCGCGGCCGTCACTTTCTTATCAACATCCTCTCCCGACGTCTAAAACCAAAATCTCCACGAAAGCCTCACTAAGCTATCCGTCTAGTGATTCGGATGATCAATTCATTTTAACGCCTCTTGTGAGACAGTGACTACCCACCTCAAGGAAACTGTTCACTAATGTCAATAGCTTACTCTACCTCCCTCTTTTGGATCAGTCTACGTCGGAGAGACCTTCGGATGCACACTCAGCGCGAACAATGAAATCAATGATGATAACAATGACAGACTCCTCACGTCCGTTCGTATAGTAGCGGAAATGCAAACACCTTCCTCAGTTGCGGCACTGGAGCTGGAGCCACCCAGCGACTCCGCATCAACAGATGGCCTCAAGATCGGCGAGTCATTACAAAAGATCGTGCGGTTTGATTTGAAGGAAGAAGGAAACCATATACTAGCTGTCAGTGTCAGCTATACGGAGACAAAGATCGGCTCAGATTCGCAGGCAGCTAGTGGCCGGGTCAGGACTTTCCGCAAGTTATACCAGTTTGTGGCACAGCCCTGTCTGAGCGTGCGGACCAAGGCGTCCGAACTTCCGCCGCTCGAGGTAGATAATAAGTCACTCGGTCCGTACGGGAAAACGAGGTTACTCCGGTTTGCCCTGGAGGCACAACTGGAAAACGTGGGCGAAGGCGCCGTGGTAGTCAAGGTATGAATTTTCTATTCATTCCCAGCGAATCGGTGGATTTTCTTTCACAGCGAAGCGCGGCTGTTCCTGAAACCCCGCCTGGGTCGGAATGCTCAAAAATTTGGCTAACATCGGGGGATGGACAGCAAACGAAACTAAATCCCAAGCCACCGTTCCAATCAAAATCTCTAAATTGGGACATGATGAACCCAGATATGTCAACCCGGGCACTACCTACACTCAATCCACGGGATGTCCTACAGGTAGCATTTTTGGTGGAACAAGAAGAGGGCCAGAACGAGGGACTTGAAGCTCTCCAGAAGGACCTGCGACGGGACGGTCGTGCCACACTGGGTCAGTTGTCAATTGAATGGCGCGGTGCTATGGGGGACAAGGGGTTCCTGACCACGGGAAACCTGATGAGCCGGAAACGCACCTGAAACGCGGTGTGCAACGAACCCACCGGATCGTTTCCGCTCCTGTAGCACGATATGGACGCCGATTTGTATGAGTGCATCCAGCCGGCGGGTTGCATGGAGGGGGCCGCAAGGGCGGTTTGTACACATTTCCAATGTCCCACTCACACAATATTACCATTGGCATTGGCAGCAGCGTCCTAAATTGGGGGGATGTATAGTGTAATATGGGCTCTGAATATATCCACACAATCTATGTAGGCTCGAGAAAGGCAAAGGACTGCCTGAGGCTCTAGAATAGAGTCCGATGCATTGGCAGGGCTCCCTGGCGCCACTAGCACGGAGCGGAAACCAGCCTTGCCATGCAGCCAACGCTTAATTTTTGTCGCACGGCAATTCTCTCTCGGCAAGGAAGCTCCGGGCTGGACATTTGCACCCTCTGACCGCGCATTTTACTACCCCTTGTCCATAAGTCTCGCACAAGATAAATATGTCAATAAATAGAAAACGAGAATTCGTCCTCGGGCCAAGGCCACGTATTCTACGGGATATCACGTATAGAAACGATAATTCGGGTATGTATACATATACATGTAAAATATCTTAGCCAGATTCGGATGTTATGGAGTCATCTAATGGAAGAGTCTAGACTCTCCAGGGCTGGCTGATCAATGGGGTTCAGCGGTTCACATGCCCGATCTCGAAAGATCATTATCCGCAATCTATGTCTCGCACAGGCTTCTATTTTAGTTTTACTCCCGGTCTTTTTATCTATTGATTTTCTTCTTTTTTTTTTGGTGAATATACGGAGTTTAGGCTACTCCGTACTGTCTGTCGATCTGCTCCACCGCCTCTTCTCTTGTCAAGTCGTACACACTGTTGACTGCATTGAGTGTATGCGAGTACGAATGTACATCGACGGGGAGATGGCCCGAATAACCTTGCCCAAAATTCTGGGATGCGACCAGTCGAAAAAAGGGCTATCGGTGCAGGGGAGCCCCTGTGCCACGTAACGCGGGTATTCGGCGTGTCTAGGGCATTAAATAGATGTATTTCTATACACTATACTCCGTATGGAGTAAGTATATTGGAAATTTGGAGTTCCACGTGTATGTTTACTTGTCCAGGATGGTATAGAGATAGTACATATACAGAGTAGTGCCTCCATACATACATGTACGAGATCCTTGGCGGATCCAGGGGAATCCTGGCACTGGAACGAACTGTGGGATTCATCTACGTAGACTATCAGATTACTTTATATTTTTGCAAGGTTATTTTATGAAATCGGTACTGTGGAAATTGATACACTTAAGCGATGCTTTCACCCCTCGGTGCTCCACATTGTCCAACTGTAGTATTGATCATCTCCCCGGGACAAGCCACCCCACTTGGTGACTCCTGGCTTCAAATCCTATGTACCAAAGTACATAAAATAGTGTGTCATGCACAAAAAGACACTCCCATGGTATGTTGTAGGATCAGAAGAAAGGGTACGGAGGGATTGTACATCGCTGCGATGGAAAGAAAAAGGCCGTCGAGCAGACACAATCTAAAAAGCAAGGTTCCCACGAGGAACTAAACTGTAAAGTAAAAGGTTACAACCCTCCCGACGTCGGTAGTTCCCGATAGTCTTACCCCCTGAAAGTGTCGAGAGGTTCCTAAAAAAGTCAGATATAAAAAAGAATGACATTGTGGCGTATCGAAGAACCCCTAAAGTCCCCTAAATAGAAAGACGTGAACGCCATGTCTCAACTGAAAATAAACCCCAACCCCATTACTCCGTACTAGCAGTTGACGAACCTCGTTGAGAAAAGGATCAGCCAAGACCCGCTTGCATCAGAAGCTCAACCATGGATCACGGGCCTCTATGTTGTACGGAATAACCCCTTGATATTTCCTTGATTCGGTTGATTTCCTGTATTTTCTTGATTTTCTTGATTTCTTAACATTATTAGAGATCATCTATATATGGTAACATCAAGAATAGCAGAATAGCACACAGTTGATATCAGTATAATGAACCCGTATTATGGGTATACCCCGGAAGTCTGGAGTCTTGGATTCCTTTTAGAGTCTAGCCCACCAATGCACATACCTGCAGGCTACGGTGTCAAGACTCTTGTGCATGGATGCTAGGGCTGTGAATGGCCCGGGCCCTTGACTGGCTTGATTTGTTAAATGTTTGGACTTGACACGGGCAACTCTTTACCATTTTCATATAGTGGAGTAGAGATGTGCACACATTTAAATGTCCTCCGAGTTCTAGTAACATTATTAGTGTACGCAACCACCCGTGATCCTAGGGGGAAAAAGAAAATATAAGGCAAGGAAAGATTAAAAAATAAAATAAGAAATAAGAAAAGGCCGAATTACTGTCAAAGGGAAAATATTTGGGTAGAAAATGATTACGTAGAATAACACAAATAAAGAGAATCAGTAACTCCTTTTTTTTTTTAAATACGCTTGACCTTCAGACCCCCAAAATTGATCTTCGCTCTGAACTGCCCCTCCCTCCCGTTCTCCCCCATTTTTATCATCCCCCCTCCCGAAAACTACATGCGCTCAATTCCACTGCGCATTCCCTTTCCTGGAAATACTGCGGTCCATGTGGTGACAACCAAGGCATTAACCCGCTACAGTCCCCCGCGACTCTCTCCATAATGCCATCGTCAAGCACCTCCGAAGGCGCCCCCCTCGCCGATTACTTCTGGATAGCCGGCGTGGATGGTACTGAGATCCTGGACACCTTCCAGAGATTGGGAGAAGATTACCGTGCCAACGGTGCCGCATCACCAGGCCCTGCGCTCGCCGACACAATTCAGGAGGATGCCGATGCGGAGGAGGAACACAACCCGGATGGGGTCTCCCGGCCAAACTCGATGCTATTCACCGGCCCTAGCCACAGGGGTTCTGCCCAACGATTATCCACGCTCTCCAAAACCTCAGAGGGAACAAATGGGGCTGGCAGTAATAGTAACCGGAGCAGCATGACCGTCAAGGGTGCCTCTTCGCCCCTGCGTGCCTCGGCTCTGTTCTCTGAGGACTTCGATTTCGACTCTGCGCTGTTCAAGTTCGCCAACGAGCGGGAATCCTTCCTAACCGACTTAAGCTTGAGCGCTGGCGCTATTACTCCGAATACCCGCCCGCGATCTAGGGTTCGTACACAGAAGATCGTCTCCGACGATTCGCCCTCGCCTGGCGGTAACTTGCTGAGGTCGGGTATTGGGAGCGTGCGACGATCCTTTCGGGATATGAACAGTATGAAACGACAGCCGTCAATCGCTCGTCAAGGTGAGAACTGTTCTTTGACTTCACTTTCTATCCACTCTGGAACGGGTTTGTGGCCGGAACTTTCTCTAGATGCACTAGCTGACAATGAACTGTCTTCAGCTTCGGTGCGAACTTCTCGGCGACTTAGCAACTACAACTCGGTAATCCCTGTCCCTCAACCCCTCGAAATATCCCCTACAATGCACCCGTTGAAACGACGATTCGAGCCCGTTCTCCTCGACCGATACCCCACGCGCGGCATGCCGGACGAGACGAAGCAGCGCGGCAATTTCCCCGACTATGTCCCTATGTTTGCCTTTCCGAATGATGTCAACATCGTCTCCTCTGATCAGCGACCGCGCTCTACCTGGCACGGATTCGCCATGACAACAGACAATGGATCTAGGCTGCACGCCATCTGTGTACTCATTTGGATACCCCTCAACCCAAATGCCGCGGAAGAGCTCGAGAAGCGTTGCGAGGAATGGCGAAAGGACAACATGACAGACGAAGAGCGTGAGCTGGCTGCAAGCCTAGGCGAACGGTTGGCATCAGAGCGGGCCAAATTATCCCGGCTCCTAGCTCAGCTGCCGACTGTCCCGTCAGGATCTGAATCCCGCGAACAGCTCGAAGATGATATCAGCGCCGTGGAGGAGAAGATTGGGCTAATGACCGACCTCCTCCGTCCAGTCCGGCACGGCGCAGCCTCCAAGATCGAGGGTTTGACCGATGGTGACACTGGGTTCTGGATCCCCCCGTGCGTACGGTATCCTGGGCCGAGAGAGCACGATGACGAGCTTCTGGAAGGAATGGCTCAAGGCCGTCGTGGTGCCCATGACGGAGGGTAGTGTACAGCACGTGCCTCCACCCTCGCCGCGCATGGGTATATGGCAGCCATTGGAGCGATATGTCATGAATCTCTGCACAGAAGCGTTCTGCCCAATATCCTCGAAGACTCAGGTTGAGATTGCGATCCGTGAGTTACGTTTGTTCGCACGCAAAGAGGCGCCCAATGAGATCCCTGGTTCTCGGAATGTATGTGCACCGCAATCTTGATTGGGTTCTCCAGACTTTTGCTGACTGATTTTCCAGACCGATCTCTATGCCTTATTCCGGACTTTGTCGGTTCCCAACATTATCATTCTCTTTGAGGTAAGCTTAATTTGCCATGTAAGTTGACAAGAGACAATGCTAACACCACGCAAGTACGCTCTTACTGAATCCCGTATCATCTTCTTGTCTTCCCACACCTCCATGCTCTATCTGGCAACCAGAGCGTTGGTCGATCTTTTGTTCCCTCTGGAATGGACAGGCGTTCTCATTCCTGTCCTACCGGCACGCTTAATCCAGGCTCTCGAGGCCCCTTGCCCATACATCGTGGGTATCGAGCGTCGGTATGAGAAGGTGGAGCTGCCCACGGACGACTTTGTCCTGGTTGATTTGGACAACAATATGATCGAAAGCACCATTCAACCGACCTCTCTTCCGCGACATCAGCGCAGGAAGCTCCTCTCCTTGCTGCAGCTAGCTGCCCCTCAACACAGTCGATGCCACGTCCCCACCGGGCCTCCCGCATATGCCATCGAGACGTACCCATGGGACTCGTTCATGTCAGAGAGCAAGGCCAGTTTCACATCCAAAGCGCCTGCAACTAATCTCGCGAAATATGTCGGTCTCAACTCTAGTGCATTCGGTGCAACAGCCGTGATGCCAGGCTCCTATACACCCCCGATCTTCAACGTCTTCCTGCACGCCCGAAATGAGGGCGGCTCCTCTCGTGGGTACTCATCTCGCGGTAATGAGCGTCCCGGGACCAGCTCCACTATGAGAGCTAGTGCCTCTCCGCCATCCCCGAGAGAGAGTTCGCCTACCTCTGGCTTCTTCCCTCCTCCACTAGCCCCCTCTCGCAATGACTCCGGTATGGCATTGCAAGCTTCCTTGCGCGAGAAGCGTTCCGGTCATTTCGATGCCGCCTCGCGCCGAAGCTCGTCCTTTGGAATGAGTCGACGTCCAAGTGCTCCGTTCCTGGGTCATGCTTCGAATCTCTCAGTGACAACTCTCAACACTGACTACGGTGGCGGATCCACATATGCACCGTCTGTGTATGCGCAATCTACCATCGCTGCGTCCACAATTGTCCCTCAATCCACGTACCAGCCCGTCGGCAATAACGACGATACTTGCTGGGCCGAGGGTCATTATTTCCAAGTCCAACCCTGGGATGACAAGTTGACCTGTGCCATATGTGATGAACAGGCAGAGGAAAACATGTACAAGTGCTCTGCATGCAAACTGATAGTCCACAGTCGCTGCACCTCTATGGTGTGTCTGCCGTGTGATGCAGCGTTCCATCCGGATCAAATTCGTGCGGCGTTTGTCAGATGCTTTGCTAGCTTGTTCTACACGTACAAGAAGTTCCTTCTGCCAGCCAGTGGTGATAAGAAGAAGTCCGGCATGCATTACAATTTCAACGTGGAGGCTTTCATGAAGAGTCTTCCAAGTGAGCATGCCGAGTATATTGCAATTCTGCAGCAGACTCAGGGTAAGTTGGCGAACTCTCGTATCGCATTGCGGAGTAAATACTGACGCAATACTAGGCTTCAATGAGTTCATCAGTGATCGTGAGCGAACAAATCCGAAGTCCAAGGACCCGCGCATGACCCTGTTCGACGAGATTGTCCTTTCAAAGCGCAACCGCGGCCGCACATCCATTTTCTCCGGACGATCGACAACAGACTTCCTCTCAGACACCTCGAACCATCTGTGGCGCACAGCCAACGCTACCTTCTTCGCCCCTAACAGCCGCAGCCAGCAGAATCTTTCAGCTGACTACGGAAGACTTCCGACAAGAGGTACACTCGAAAGCTCCAACCCCCAATCCAATCCGCTCACTGACAATTTCACTGTAGCGCCGGCACACCTAGATACCAGCCTGATGACAGAACCCCGCATGATCCACGGTGCACCACGGGTCTCCAAGACGGCAAATACTGCTCGCAGAAAGCCGCTGCCCAAAATGATGAACGGGCTCGCCATCTCTCCGCCGAGTTAATTGGTGCGATTCCACCCGCGAGTGACCCGTACATCATTTCTCGATATCGGTGGGTCCTGTGTGCGCGGCAATGTGCCATGCCCACCTTTTCGAAACACTTGCTTCTGTTTCTCTGCGCGAGCCTGAAACATGAAACTCCTTTCCAACTCCAGCTCGGGTCCCGATTTCCCCGGTTCATGGCGTTGCCCATTCCATGCTTTATCCAACGACGACCCAATGGGATTACATATTGCCTGCTGCGCGTTTTAGTTTGGGCATGTGTGTTCCATCCAAGCTGAGAATGACAGGCTGCTGGCTCGGCTCAACTCTCGCTTCCCGATATTATCCCACAAATGGAACGCTGCACGTGTGGTTGTACACCTTTGGCCTCTCTCCCGCTTGAACTTATCTTCCTTACTTGACCTACCATGCTCTGTCGTGGTAGGCACACGACATCTTGAAAGATGTCGGACAGTCCACGCGCCGATCCTCGGTTGTATTGCTGTCCTCGTACATAGTGTTGACTCCGGCTTGATGCACGGAGCCATGAACAAAATTCCCTAAAAGCGCTATCTCGGTTTGCAAAGCGATATGATGATTATTTGTGTGCCTGATATTGATACATACATAAATGTTTCTTCTCTGGACCAATGCCTCTTTGCTTCTCTTGCCCTTTCCTCCCTGTCTTATCTCTCAGCCTGCGTTTCTCATTTTCCTTCAGAGCCCTGTTACTACCCAATACCCCCTCTTGATTTGGCTGGTATTTTTCTCTCCTTGTGTCTTAATTGGTTGTCTGAAATACAATGCTGGACGGATCTAGTCCCGATTCTGTCGTTCTTTTTTCATATCTCACATGTTTGCGGTGTCAAAGGATCATCCGTGCCTATGCTTCGTGATTCATGACTACATATCTCCGGTATATTTTCCTCCCAGGTCCGATTAGAGCTGTCACTTAATTCCGGTTGCTTCGCCTGCGTCGAGGACAGAAATAACAATGAATAGACGGTCGTTTTACTATGTACGTTGTTAACATGGGACCATCTAATCCTCGCGTTTGCCCCTTGCGCAAGTATCCATGTGCTCTTCCACCAATCCTAGCATCTAATTCGTTGCTTACCTATCTCCCCCGGGTACCTAGGTACAACAGGCTATGTGTTCCAAAAGCCGATTATTTGCTCTGACCGAGTCTGAGACGCTGGCTTAGATTGGTGGGCTTTCCCTCGTATCGGATCATGGCAGAGCCCCTGTCAGGTCATTCCGAGGCTAATGCCGGTCCCTCCAGCTGGCATGGTGGTTTCATGAAGGCCGATATTAACACATGCATTTGTAGATGCCCACTGGTAATTGATAGGATTTATAAGCATATCATTACTGTAATATCCCCTTTCTACTCAGTAGAATCCCTACTAACAAATCCATATGTAGTATAATTCTGCGTCGCGGCAGCTGATTGGTGGAGAAACCCAACTCCGCGCCCACTTTTCCCCGCGTCCGCCGTCTGCGTGGGATTCCATCGTCGCGCATTGGGTGGAATCTCCGCGACGAGTTCTTCCATCGATCCATGTCGTCTCAAATGCTGTCCATCCTGACCTTCGCGGTTGGGTTATTAAACTCTACCCGCCTAGCATTGACTTAGCGTCCTTCTATTCAGCCTGCCCCGATTACCCCATATCTTGGAGCTAGCCTCGTTCGGCCCGCTCCCTTTTTCCCTGATTGCTTTGTAAAATATCCCATGCTCTGATACTACCTACCTGGAACGCTACCCGGGTCCTGAGCGTCAAAAAGCGAATTGCAAAAACCCTCCTTGGTCCTTGCGCTCATTCCCCCCCTTTCCCCAACTCCCATCTTTACCCATCCTAACCCATACTTCGACCTGCATATACATCCTCGGGAGAACTAAGTATGAAAACACTTGGGACTGCTATGCCATGATTCCGACAGCCTTTCCGCAGCACATGGCCACGCCGCTGCTCGAAGATCCCCCTGTCTCCACCGCCCTCAAAGCCCAAGATCCTCCTGGCGCAAACCCCAATATCGCCGGCCCTTCCAATGCTACAACAACCCTCTCTCTCGCTCCTCCGGCTAGCGCGCCCACAGACCAGACAGCCGCGGGCATCGCCGCGCCGGCCGCCGCCACTGCCGCGGGGACTGTCGTGATCATCTACGGTCAGAACCAAGAGCATATTGTACAACTGGTAGCGGAGGTTCTGGGGAAGCCATGGACAACGGACGCGTCACTTGGGATGCTTGCGCGAGCCAACGATGCAGTGGTAGTGGGGATACTAGCGCACGACCTAGCGGGGAGCTTGCAAGGATGCGAGCGATCATGTCTGATTCTGGTAAACACGTACTGTGTGGAAAACGGGTCTGCGCCGGACGACTCGCTCACCGAGAGTTGTGACTATGAATTCTTATATTCGCGGAGTCCGTTCCTGCGTCGGGATCTGTCGCGGTTTTTGTCTTTGATTTTTGGTCAGACGAGGCCGCATGATGATTTGCGGACGAAGACCAGGACGAATTTTATTTCGACTACTTTTCCTGATGTACATGCTGCTTTGCCCAATTTAGATATCCTTTCTGTGGGATCTGACGCCGTTGAGATCCGTGTGGATTTGCTGGTTGAGCCTGTGCCGAAGGGTTGGACAACTCCGCCTGTTCCGAGTTTGAAGTATGTTGGCCAGCAGTTGATGTTGTTGCGGCAGCATACGGAGTTGCCGATTATCTTTACTGTTCGTTGTACAAGGGAGAATGGGAAGTTCCCGATGGATGACCCAGCGCTGTTTTACAGGTACCTGCGGCGCGCGATACAGTGGGGAGTTGAGTATGTCGATGTCGAACTGTGGCTGCCCGAGGAGATCCGGCGCCAGCTGTTTGAGAAAAAGGGCCATAGTATGATTTTATCTGCGTTCCATGACTTCTCCGGGACCTGGAAGTGGACGTCCGAAGAGGCGCAGCGCATATTCACGGAGAGCGCCAAATACGCCGACATAGTGAAGATGATCGCCATGGTTCACACAATCGAGGAGAACTACGAACTAGAATACTTCCGCTCAACCATCAAAAGCCGCGGCGCAGGCCCACCCCTGTCAGCAGTCAACATGGGCCAAATGGGCCAGCTATCTCGAGCCCTTAACACCGTCTTCTCTCCAATCACCCACCCCCTCCTCCCAATGATCGCCGCCCCAGGCCAGCTAACCGCGGCGGAGATCAACGAAGCCCTACACATAATGGGCCAACTCCCCAAACGCGAGCTCTACGCCATCGGCTCGTTCCGCTCAACCCCACACTCAATGTTCATGGAGAAATGCCTAAATGAACTTGGCCTCCCGCACAACTTCACCTCGGTCGACCGCGGCCCAAAAGGCTCCATGGAATCCGTCCTCGTCCAACCGCACTTCGGCGGTGCCTACCTCAACCCCCCCAGTCCCAACCACAACTGGTTTCATCCCCGCAGCCAGCGACGCAGCCCGCGCAATCGGGTTAGTCGACACAATCGCCATGACACCGGGCGAAGCCGCACCAGGAACCTCCCGATTCATCGGCGAAAACGCCGCCTGGAAGGGCATCCGCGCAACCCTGACGCGCGAATACGTCCCATCCGCGTACAGCAGCCGCGCAGCGATCATCCTCGCCAGCTCCCAGGCTGACGCTTCAGCGGCGATCTTCGCACTACGCAGTCTAGCCGTTGGCACGATCTACACAGTCGGGTTCAAAGCGAGTGGCCCGCTCGCTGCAGGTCTTGAGCCGTTCACATCCATCCAGTCTGTCAAACGGGTTGAGCAGCCCTTTGTTATTGTCTCTGCATTGCCCCGGAGAAATCGCTGCTCGTGCAGCCTTTGCTGAGACATTATGGTGTTAATGGTCGTTGCTCGCCGCCTTGTACTCGTGGGAGGGTTTATCTTGATCTTACCAGTGGGCTGAGGAAGGGGGATCCTTTGGCCGTTGCCACTCGTGCTGGATGGACAGCCTATGGCGTCGAGGACGTTAGTGCTTGGACTACTGTTGAGACGCTGAGGTTGCTTGTTGGGCAGAATGTGCCGTTTGACTTTGTGCGCATGGCGTCTGGGAGGCCTCTGTTCTAGTTATATAGTATAGAACACTGCATACCTACGTAGGTAATTTGTGGTTCGCATTCGCTTTTTATTGTCTATTGTTGATGCAATAGATTTTGATGCTGATGTTGAATCGCAATTTTTGTTTTAGGGGTTTGGGGTAGTTTAAGTATAAGGAATGGCGCTTTATTTATTGTCCCTATGGATATGTATTTTGTAGCTACACGAGTATTTCTGACGTCCTGGCAGGTGATAATTGGTCCGTTGCTGCCCTTGTGCCATTCTAATGTTTGGAGTCATAGATTCATAATTCATCCATGGAATCCATAGAATATATAACCTTCCAAGGTTGGAATGTAAGATAAGAAAGAACCTTGGAACCTTGGAACTTTATCAAAATCCGGGGTCAACCCCTCATTTCCAAGGTTCCTTAGGTTACCCCAGCCTTGTTTCTCTTCAGGGTCTACCTAGGTACCTTAGTACATATCCAATCCGAGCAAATTGAATATGCACCTACGTCCTGATCATGCAGTCCGAGACCTCCCAACCCTCCATGCCTTCATCAAACAACACCCACTAGGCGTCCTCACCACTTCTCTCCCTTCGGAGAATCACCCGACCCTCCAATGCAGCCACATCCCCTGGGTGTTGGACAGTGAAACGACCCTCGAACCCGAGTTCGCAAAGGAAGCAAAAGTAGCCGATGACAACACCCCCGCACCGCCACATCCCTCCATGGGAGTCCTCCGCGGCCACATCGCGCGCCAAAACCCGCAAAGCAAAGCAATGGTAGAATATGCCTCTGAATACAGCACCAAAACAACCAGTATCCCGGGCGCATTTCCTATAACAAGTTTTGTAGAAGAACCAGCGACATCAACAGGCCACACTCTCCCTGGTGAGGTCTTAATTGTCTTCACCAGCCCAGTAGACCACTACATCACCCCGAACTTCTACACAGAGTCCAAACCCGCCACGGGCAGGGTTGCTCCGACGTGGAATTACGCCGCGGTGCAGGTCTACGGTCGGGCGACTATATACCACGACACGAAAGACGAGCAGACCGAGCTATTTCTACGACAACAGCTGGGTGATCTAGCCCGGCTTGGAGAGGAAGGAGTGATGGGATTTCCAGATGAGTCTGGGTTGGGTCCGGTATCTGATGTCAAACACAGGGAAGATGGAAGTGGAATTGAGAATGGGGATGGGGATCCACCCCAAAATCAGAACAAGAACTGGAGCCCAGATCGAGGCCTGAGTCAGGGGGCGAAGAGGGCGACCGGAGCTAGCGGGTATGATGACGGCTCGGCACTACCTACCCCGACACCGAGACCGGCTTGGAAAATCAGCGATGCGCCACCAGAGTATATTGCTGTGCTTTTGAAGAATATTGTTGGGATGAGGGTTGAAATCACGCGGATCGAGGGCCGGTTTAAGGTTAGCCAGGAACGGCCAGTGAACGATCGGGTTGGTGTTGTTGAGGGGTTGAAGAGGATGGGTGGAACGGCGAGGGAGATGGCGGAGTTTGTGAGGAGAGGGAAGGTTTTGCCTGGGCACTGAGGTTGGGATTAGGCCGAGACATACGGAGGTTATACTGTGTCGAGTAATGATGCCAGGCCCACTCACTCCGTATGGAGTACATCCCTATGTTAGCGCGCTTGGCACGACTTTTAGAATGTTGTAGAGAATACACGGTTCTCCGTAAAACTTGACGAGATCACAAAGAACTGTTCAGAAAGTTAAAAAAAAGACTAGGATGGAGGTTCCGTATCGAATACAGTAGCTGCAGTGGATGATCAGACTAGGATCGAACGAATTTCAGGGAGAAGGTGTAATAAGCGGGGGGGCCAATAGTAAGACTGGAATAGGCTGGAATAGGCGTCATCCTACATGTAGCTCTGTATATTGTACGGAGTATGTGCAGTTAGAGACTTGGAATAGTTCTGCAGGAGACACTTCGGGTAAATTGAGGAGCCTTAATCGGGGTCTAAGCGGCAACTAAGAACCCCATGATGACATGGACAGAATATAGGGATTACCAAATAGATTAAGCTATTGCAATTCCGTGCAATTACTTGCAATTACTTGCAATTACTTGCAATTACTTGCAATTTATGGGGTACCTGGATCATCTCGGATGTTGGCCGTCGGAGCCCTAAAGTGGATGTATTCCCTAAACGGAAACCTCTCCCGCCAAGTACAGATTAAAGGGGAGGAGCATTGATTTCTGAGATGAAGATGTTAGAAGTAGAGTAAACTGTAATAAGAATAAGGATATATCATTATATACACATATAATAATAGGGGTCCGATATTATAATCAGGTAATTACTAGCCTAAATCATGCCCATGTGCGTAATTAAAACACAACCTTGGAAGAACATAATAACCCCCCATGTCAGCCCAAACTGGGGAATTCCGGCGGCACATCACTTCTCCGCATTTCTTTCTCTCCGCAACTGTGTGGTATAGGCTTTTCCTTTTATTTTAACGCCACAGCCATGCGCCTGACTTCTTATCCATCTTGGCCGGGGCCGTTTTCTTTCTTCTTCTCATCTCTCTCTTCTATGTAGATGTGCCATGTCTCGTCCTCAGGTCAGCATCGACCGTCTCACGCCCCGCCGTGCGACGGTCGAGCCGCGCGAAACCATGAACTGCAAATCCTGTCGCAAGCGCAAGGTCTGTCCAGTCAGTCTCAGGTGCGATTGGATGTGTCTAACTCATCATAGATCAAATGTAATCGCATGCGACCGAGCTGCGAGGCATGCAAGGTCTTCCAGTGCCCATGTCTATATGGTATGTTAATCATTCCTCTTCCACATCACATGATTTCCCCTGTTGATCTTATGTTCAAGATGCCGTCCCTAAAAAACGGGGGCCCAAGACCGATGTGCTAGAAGCTCTCCTCAAGCGGGTCGATGGGTTGGAGAAACGACTCCACGATGAAAAGAACCCTATTTCACCCACTTCGCCCGATACCCCGGACGATCCGCCGAGCTTTCCCACCCGTCGCAACACTATAGACAACTCCTTTAATATTTACTCTCCAGGCGATCGATCGGCTCTGCCAACTTCTCTCTCGCAACATGTGGATCCCTTCCCTAGGCCGACAGACCACTCAGCAAGTCTTCTGCAACAGCCATCTCCAACAAACAATGGACCTCTATCGGATGCAATCCTTGACATTTACTTTGAACGATTGCATGGTAAGCCATTTTATGTACTAGACGAGGCGACAACGCGACAACACCATCAACTGAACCAATTGCCGCCGTGTTTGGCCATGGCTATCTCAGCAATGACAGTGAGGTAAAAACCGAGCTTTCAAGTCCTGTCACGTGCTTACATGTTTGACTGACGAATCTCAGATACACAACCTTACCTGGTCAAGTGGAGCAGTCACTACGTACCGGGCTTGATGCAGCGCTACAAGCAAGACGCATGATTGAAATCGACAATCCTACAGTAGAAGGACTCCAGACTCTAATGTTAATTTCGCAAGCTTTCTACGCCTATGGGTTAGGAAAGAAAGCTTATATGACATTCTGTATGCTTTCCCCCCGATCTCACATGGTTTAATGAACCCCACTAACGATGATTAGCAAATTGCGTGGCCATGATCGTCGCCCTGGATTTGTACCGGGAGGCTCCCTCTAAGCCTAATATCACACCTGCTGAGCGAGAAATGAGACGTCGGCTATTCTGGTCTGTTTACTTGATGGACAGATTTATCAATTGTGGATCTCGGCGTCCATGTCTGATCACTGATCATTCGGTTGTTCTGCGCCTACCGTCTTGGTCGCCACACGCAGCTGGTCTGGACATGGAGGGGGAGCTTTTCCATGTCGGCCCGAACATTCAATATTCTGCGGATTCTAGACGCAAATCACCAAGTGCTGCCTCTTTGTTGATTGACATCACGCGTATTCTTGGTGTTACTAATAAGTATCTGGCAGCTGGTGGAGTCAAAGGCGACTCTCACTTCCCATGGCATGCGCTTTCTAATCTGTCCAAGATACGACAAGAACTAGATATTTGGGCGGCTGGTACACAGGACGTCTTTGCGTCTATCGATGCATTGTTCGGCCACCCCGAGAGCACAACACTCTTGCTGAGCAAGCTGATCTACCATTTGGTGCATTGTTTGATCTACCGCCCATTCCTACCCATTGACCTGGTAGAGCTCCGAGGCACGGGGCAGCATCAGTCTTGGCAAATCGAGGCGACGAACTTGTGTTTTTCGCACTCCAATGCCATCGCAGAGCTAGTTGAACTGGGTCGTAATTCTCCGCTGATTGAGTGGCCTGCTTTCGTCAGTTACTGTGTGTGCACAGCGGGGACTGTGCATGTTCACGGTGTGCACTACAAGGGCCGTGAAGGAGAGGTTTTCTCTTCCAGCGCTGAATTCCTGACTCGGGAGATGAACCAGCTTGCTTGGTTTCGCAATATTTGGACTGGCGTGCAGCATCAGCGTGAGCTGCTCCAAACTATCTATACGTGTCACTCTGAATTGGTGCGCAACCTTGCCAGTAGCTCAATGCGTTTCTCGCCAGTCTTCCATCTCGAAGACTTCCTCGACCGATATCCTGGACTGATGTTGGATGGATCGCACGTTCGGCTTATAGATGCGGCGGATGATCTAGCGCCAAGGTGAGTCGCCTGCTGATACCACCCCCCTTTTTTTATACATATGATCACTAACTCTGGAGACAGTACTGTCAACTTCATCGATCGTCAAGATCACTACTACCAACGGCCAACCGCCGGACCGTCATATCAAAATCCGTCGTCGTACTTCTCTAGTACACGGCCTGGGCCCTCGAGTCCATTAGCATCCACCCAGGGCTCAGATATAGACCGTCGCAACTCCCATTCCCATTCCCATTCTCTGTCCCAGAAACCCTCTCATCCGGCCTCGCTCTCGCCCACCCTTAAATTCCACGCAATCCAAAGCAACAAACACCAACATTCACCATCCCTGCCCTCCATCTTCTCCCTCCCCACCGGAACGGACCTGTCCGGTGCCGGCACATCAGAAAACACCCACCTCTCTATTCCGGGCTTCTCCCCCTCCGCATTCGGCCTCTCCCCACCAGCCTTTCTCACCGACGCTTCCCTCAACATAGCACCAACACCGCCCCCAAACCCACAATATGCAACCTTCCCCTTCGACACCGCCCATGCAAATATGAACGGAATGCCACAATCGGGCCCCACTGCCCTGACACCAGGTGCTCAGTCCCAAACTAGTGCCACCCACACCACAACAGGTAGTGAGGGCACGTCTGAGAAAGACCCTTTTCTGAGCTTACTGGAACAGCTCGCGGAAAATGAGAACTCGCAGGGTGGGCCTAGTGAGCTTGAGTTCTTTTTGTCGGGCACCGGTGCCGTCGAGGGTGATCCCGAGATTCCTCTTGAGAAAGATGGTGCGTCGTAGGTAGAAAGTTGGTGTTGGGAATGATGATTCCCCCGTATATATTCTGGTTCTGTGTATATCTTTTACTATATAGCTTTTCTTTTTGTAGGCGGTGGCCGAATTGATTGATACCCATTGTGCACATTGTCTCTATCTACCTACTATTTGAGGGGAGCTCGAGTGCCTCTCATCTAAATATAGACATGACATCCCGAGCTTTTTGAACTTTAGATTCTCCCGGTAACTGTGACCATAGTTAGACGTCACTGAGGACACGGGCCACCACGCAAAGAAGTTGATAAATTGTGTATCTCAGACAAGGACAATTGTCGACATAGTCCTGGTGTAAATGCTCCCTTAGCCCCCGCTCTTCGGTTATTTTTGCCAGCTGCAGATTCGTCTCGAAGTGGTTAAATATGGCCATTTGGTCCTCGCTCTTACCCAAGTCTTCACCTTCCGCGTCCAGCCTCGTATTCGACACACCCCATTTGATGACAAGACAACAAGGGCTTGTTCAGATCATGTCTACATCCCTCGCGTTCGTATTTCCTGGTCAAGGGTCCCTATCGGTGGGCACGCTTGCCGACTTCGGCGCTGAAAATCCAGTGATCCTCGAGACCTTCAAGGAAGCCTCTAAGGCCCTGGGCTACAACCTGTGGGCACTCATCCAGGAAGGTCCGGAAGAACAACTCGATCAACCAGAGAAGACCGAGCCGGCAATCCTAACTGTATCTATTGCCCTGTGGCGTCTGTGGTTGGAAAATGGCGGTCCCTGCCCGGCCTTCGTTTCTGGCCACGGCTTCGGCGAATATAGCGCCTTGGTCGCGGCCGGCAGCTTGTCGCTGGACACTGCAGTTCGCCTGATAGAGTCTCGTGCTCGGCTGATGCAGGCAACTGCAGAGCTCAATAATGGCGCCATGGCCACTATCCTCGGCCTGGACGACGCCGATGTGGTCGCCATCTGCGGTGAAGCGGCCAAGGACCAAGTAGTTAGCGTGACCTACTTCAATTCACCAGGTCAGGTTGTCATCGCCGGCCATAAAGCTGCGGTGAATCGCGCCGCCGAGCTGTGCAAGGCCAAGGGCGCCAAGCGCGTTGTGCCAACGGCAGGCAGTGTACCGTCACATTGCGCCCTAATGAAACCCGCCGCCGGCCGTTTCTCTGCGATGGTTAATAGCGTCGAGTGGATGACGCCGCATATGTCGGTGGTGCGGAACGTTACCGCCACCGTCGCTGCCGACCTCGATGCGCTCAAGCAGGACCTAATGGTGGAGCTATACCAGCCGGTACGCTGGGCTGAGTGTGTGCGGGCCTTAGCTAGAAATGGCGTGGTGAATATGGTAGAATGCGGCCCAGGCAGGTCCGCCCTGAACAAACGTTGCGCCGACGGCGTGACCACCTATGGCATCGATTCTCCAGATCAGCTAGCCACAACCCTCGCAGCTCTAAGTTAGGAAGCAGCCATCACCATGCAATCTCTAGACGATCCCTCGAGAATGACGTAGACTCTCACGGACAAGGGCATAGCTAGAGGACGAGGGTAGCACAGCTTTAATTAACACAGTAGCCATCACGGCATCGAAGGCCTTATTGTTGCCTGCTTAGTTGTAGCCTATCTGTGGTTGAATAGAGGAAAGCTGAGCGCTGACTAGAAACAGAGCATAATCAAGGTACCTAGGTAGCACCCACACAGCAATCACTAAGCGATCGCTCATTCATCACCAATTGCCCGTAAATGGTCACTAAGCACACGCTAACCTCCAAGGCTGGAAGCGATCATTGAGCGTTAGTCATTGTTCACATGGTGAGACTGATATGCCCAGTGAGCCTGGGCCGGAGTGCCCTTATAAAAGTGGCAGAAGGTAGGAAGCCTCAGTCGACAGGCATTGTCCTGCCATGTATATACCTACATAGACATATAGTAATGTCTATAGGTGCATATAAGGTGCTATCAGTAAGAAGATGCAGCGCACAGGCTAACTTGGTATGGCCAGTACAATGCCTCTAAAGCTGGTTTTCTAGAGTTGGTACTTTACGACTTTTATGAACTACGTATGCACTTCAATACCTGTAGCCATTCTATAGTTTATCAGAGCTAGACAGAATTTGATCATTTTCATCGATCACCGCAAGGTCATCTGTGCTTTCCCGGAGTTACCCCGGTCTCGGCGGGATCTCCGCCGAGACACCCCGCGTTGCTACAGATTTGTCACTCTCCCCTCGCACCTGGGCATAAGAACCTTGACTACCCCCCTCTTAATGTCATCCTCACCCAAACAACGCCTTGACACTCTAACAAATCACCTTCAACCCGCCCATAAAATGAAACTCCTCTACCCAACCTCCCTCTACCTCGACACAAAGTCACTGGAAGGCTTCTCCGTCGAATTGCACCCCTACGATGTCACACTCCCAATCCCCGAATCCCTAATCGACGCAGAGTTCCTCGTAACATGGAGCAACAAAGCTACGAATCTGCGCGACGCAGCCTCCCGCATGAAGAACCTCCGCTGGATCCAGTCGCTAGCAGCCGGTCCAAATGACGTCCTCGCTGCGGGCTTTGACGCTTCCCGCGTCGCTATCACAACTGGCTCCGGCCTGCACGACGAAACAGTCGCAGAACATACCCTCGGCATGCTACTCAACGCTGCCCGTCGCTTCTATGAAATGCGCGATTTCCAGTCCCGCGGCGAGTGGCCCGCCCATCTGGGCGGCGCCCAGCCTGATCGCGCCCCAGGCACTTTCCGTACCCTCAAGGGTGCCAATGTTACTATCTGGGGTTTTGGCAATATTGCCAAGACCCTTGCGCCCGTTTTGACTGCCCTCGGGGCTAATGTTACCGGTGTTGCCCGGAGTGCGGGTGTGCGTCACGGGTTTGAGGTTGTCGCGGAGGATCGCTTGCCAGAGATTCTGCCCAAGACTGATGCCCTTGTTATGATTCTACCTGGGTCAGCGAGTACCAATGGTGCTCTTAGTGCTGAGCGCTTGGCGTTGCTGCCGAGCCACGCTTGGGTTGTTAATGTTGGACGCGGGACTTCTGTTGATGAGGATGCACTGCTTGATGCACTCGAGAAGGGCAGCATTGGTGGTGCCGCGTTGGACGTTTTCTCGGCTGAGCCGCTGCCGAAGGAGTCGAAGCTTTATGCTGCGCCTAATCTCATTCTATCGCCTCATGCTGCTGGTGGACGCCCACGTGAGGCTGAGGCGCTTATTGCGTATAACCTTAGACGGCTCCTTGCTGGACAGGAGCTGAAGAACATCATTTGAGCTTGGAGATAGTGACTGCTGGGCTTTCTTGTTTGATAGATTTTATGAGTAAATATACATATGCATAGATGAAGTGAAGGCTAGATCCCATGACACAAATTGCAGAAAAATTCCATAGAATCACTTAGAATGCAATATCCCGATCAGAACCAAAAGGGAAGGTTGATAAAAATCAATTTGATATAAACAAAAAGGCCAAGACTATGTACTATTTACTATGTACAACAAAGCACACTGAAAGATCCCCGTTTCCAAACACCATACCATAAATCAATGCCGTCGTTCCTTCACCCCTCACATCCGGGGCTTACTTGTGGCACAGCAAGAAGAAGGGAACGCATTTTTTGACTGGGTATCGACACAAATAGCCGAAGGCGGCACCCAGAGACCAGGGTTCTTCTCAAAGAAGTTCGATGCACGCAGCATAATGCTAACCGGTTCAGCAGGCATGATAGGGAAGTCCTCAGTACGCGGGAAATGCGTCAGACCGAACTGCATGTAGCAGACAATATCGGTGTTCTCGATGTTCTCATTGCGCTTCGCCCAGTCGGCGATGGTCGGGTTGTAAGGGTGTCCCTCAGAGCCGTCAGACTGACAGACGTAGTCGCCAGCTGGGAAGAGCTCGTAGTCCTTGTAAGGAGTAACCCAGAGGGGCTTGCGGGCGAAGGCAGCGCGCTTCCAGACGGTGCTTCCGGGCTTGGCGAGCATGGGGGGACAGTTGTTGTTGAGGATCTTGTAGCCGACGGGCTTTTTGGCGACGGTGTTCATGCGGTTCGGGTTGATGATGTCCCACGAGCGGTTTGTCTCGAAGCAGTAGTCTGCGGCACCCTCGAGGGATGTACGAAGGGGGGTCTTCTTGCTGTAGAAGCCGTTGCCGTAGGGATTCTCTGGGGAGCCGACGGGGGCTTCGAAAGAGACGGCGTCACTCTGGACGACAGAGTTGTTTTGGCCGTCGATTTCCGGGTCGATGCGAAGGGAGAACAGGTGCTGGTGGTTGTGGGCGGTGATGGAGGGGGCAACTTCTGTGCCGAAGGGAGCAGCGGTTTCGGTTGGGTGCATGCAGTAGGTGTTCAGCATACCGGTAAGCTTCACCTCTAGCTTGTAGGTGCCATCCAGAGTGAAGGTGTGGTAGAAGCCGTATTCGTAGTTGGCAGCGGTGATGATTTGGGAGATGATAAGCTTGCGGTCACGCGCGGAGATAACTGTGCCGTCACGGAAGTCGGTGTGCTTGTAGAGGAGGCCGTTGTCTTCCTCGTGAATGCAGATAGCGTTCTTGATTACAGCGGCCTCACCCTTGGAGGTTGACATAACACCATCCATGTAGTGGATGGCACCCTTGCAATCACAACCCAGCTTCAAGGAGTTGGTCATCAGACCAGTGCCGTACTCGCCGACATCGAAGGCATGCTTCTTGTGGTGGGGTTTTTCAGGGCAGCCGTAGGGAACAACCATCTCAACGACGGAGATACGGTTGAAGAGAGTCCGCTCACGGTCCTCGTACATGTCGTGGGTGCGCACGTCGGAAAGGACAATACCTTCACGGTAGTTGAAGCCAACGTGCATCTTGAAGTTGGCCCAGGTGAGCTCATTGCCGCGGACCTTGAAAGAGACACCCTCGGGCTGGGTGATATCAATGGGCTTGAGGCGATCATGTTTGTACTTGTCGCCGATGAACTCGGGGAGGTAGTTGTGTTCCTTGAGAGGGGTAGCGGTCCGCTCGCCGTTCACGTAACGAATGTCGACGCTGAGAACCTCTTCTGTGTCAGTGTCGGCGACAACACTGAAATCTAGAGGGTGGGCGTATTGGTTATCGAAATCGGAGTTACGGTAGTAAGCCAGACCCTGCTGGAGGCGGTGGTCGTATCCCCAGCGCTCGTCGATGCCGATAGCCCATGCGTCAAAGAAGACCTTGTTCATGTCGGTAATTCCAAGGTCCTTGCAGGCACGGATGACACGGGCGTCCTTGCGGGCAACACGCTCCATCACGTCAAGATCCTCTAGGGTGAGGGTAGGCATAACGTCGTGAACGTCCTTCCATTCCTCAACCTTGCCGGTGGCAAGATTGGCCACCACCTCTGCGATCTTGTTCGTTTCGCGCACAATGACAATGGCGAAAGCGCGACGGGCAGGAGCTGGGACTGCACCAGCACGGAACGCCCGGTATTCCGCTTTTCTGGGCTCGCGGAGCGTGAGGCAGTTGAACTTGATAGACTTGGGGTTGGCATAATCCCGGATGATCTTTGCTGCCTCGGGAATTTCCTTAATAGAAAGTTGATCTAGGATTCAGACTTAGCAGTACTCCTGGAATTTATGTAAAGACATGTCGTACCTAACGGGTGGGGTGTGCCTTGCGGCAACATGGCAGCGGCGGCGACACTTTCATAGTCTCCCTCACGGAAGATTGTGTAGCCAGGAATTGACTCGGTATCAGGTGCAGACGCCATGATGAAGGTGTGGAAGGGGTATCAAGGGGAAGGAAGGAGTTGTAGAGTTGTAGAACACCAGAAGCTTCATGGCAAACCTGCGATAGTCCTTATATAGCTATAATGGACCTTGAATATGTGATCGAATTTGCCCGCATGTACCTTCCTAGTCAGGTAATCGGGATGCTATATCTACGATATAAGAAACTCGGGCAAAGTGAGCGAATGGTCCCGACAGTGGGTACTCTAGCCGTTGTTCGATTTAGGATAAAGTCTGGAGAAGATGTGTGTTTGCACAAACTTGTCTGGGACTTTGATTCTATGCCATAATTTATTTTGCGTAAAGCGTTTGCCATCGAAATTATTCGGCCAATCGCGGCCAATCGCATTGCAACGGCTCGGCGAGATGTGTTGGCCAGTCATTTGCTAGTGGCCAGCCTAATAAGGCAAGTCTTGTAGAAAAGGCCGTGGGTCAGCGCTAGGCTGAGACCTACCCTAATTCGAAAATATCTGATCGGATAGACAAATCAGGGGAGAAGGCGGCTGGGCATGGTTAGCGATGCCAAGACGTTAAATCAAGCTTATTTACACATGGGCATGATGTAAGCCTCCACAGCAGCCCTGGAGGGGCTTGTAGAGTCCATGGAGGCAGTTTTATGTATATGTCTTTTCACCATACTACATGTATGTAGGAAAAAAAAAAGAGATGGATACTTACACGAATTTGAACGGAAGAGCAATTCATTGAAGATACTATACAACAATGAACCAGAAAGGTTGCGACAGCCATGGGTGGACTTGCCTGTTTAGGACTAGTGGGCATATCGACGCCACAAGTTAATCCACCTCTACGGAGTATCCACGTCTATCCACACCAAACACTCCGCCGTTTTGAACCTGAGAAATCTGGAGGTCGATCTCTCTGTGGGGTACCTTCACCATGATGCACCCGATAAGCCTAGAATGGCATGTCCAGCCGGAGTACTTATCGCAATTTCCTATAGCTAAGCTTGGGTTTAAGAATTAGTTACAAATTCATCTCATCTAGCTTCATCATCTTCTCTCGCCAGAAGACACTCACAGTACAAAGCACATACAATCATGGCCGACTTGTCCGTTCAACTAACAGCCCCTAACGGCCACACTTGGACCCAGCCTACCGGATTGTTCATCAACAACCAATGGGTCAAATGTTCGACCGGTGAGAAGATTGCCAGCATCAATCCCACGTACGTGAGAAATCAGAAACTCAGATGCCACCTCTTAATGCCATAACTGACGGGCGGTCAAATAGAACTGCAAAAGAAATCACATCGATCCACGCAGCTTCCGCCCAGGATGTCGATAAGGCCGTCAAGGCAGCTCGCGCTGCTCTGAATAACCCCTGTTGGCGCGATCTGCCCGGCATTGACCGCGGAAAGTTGATGAACCGCCTGGCCCAGCTCATCGAGGACAACCGCGCCACTCTCGCCACTATCGAGACAATCGACAATGGAAAACCCTACTCCGTCTCCTTCAATGACGACCTGACCGAGACCGCTGAGACAATCCGTTACTATGGAGGATACGCCGACAAGGTCTTTGGCCAGGTCATCGATACAACCCCGGATAAGTTCGCCTACACCGTACGGGAGCCCGTTGGTGTCTGTGGCCAAATTATCCCGTAAGTTCCGATTACCCCTAATAGTATTTAAAGCCAACTTCTAACTGTGACAATAAGATGGAACTTCCCCCTCGCCATGGCCGCTTGGAAGCTGGGCCCCGCCCTGGCCTGCGGAAACACAGTTGTTCTCAAGCCAGCGGAGCAAACCCCTCTCTCAATTCTCTTCCTTGCAAACCTGATCGTGGAAGCAGGCTTCCCTCCCGGTGTGGTGAACATCGTGAACGGGCACGGCGCCGTTGCTGGAGCTGCGCTCGCCTCGCACATGGACGTGGACAAGATCGCCTTCACAGGCAGCACGGCCACAGCCAAGCAAATTATGAAGATGGCCAGTGTGAACTTGAAGAATATCACCCTAGAGACGGGTGGTAAGAGCCCGCTGATTGTGTTCAACGATGCGGATCTCGAACAGGCGGTTGAATGGGCCCATATCGGTATCATGTACAACCAGGGCCAGATCTGCACAGCCACGTCCCGCATTCTGGTACAGGACGAGATATACGACCGTTTCCTAGAGGCATTCAAAGCTCAGGTGAAGAATGTCTCTAAGGTTGGTGATCCATTTGAGGAGTCCACCTTCCAAGGCCCACAGGTGACACAGGCTCAGTATGATCGAATCATGTCTTATGTCGATGTCGGAAAGTCTGAAAAGGCCACTCTTGTTTCTGGTGGCAAGCCTTTTAGTGGTGTTGGTGACGGCAAGGGTTTCTTCGTTGAGCCTACTATTTTCACCGATGTCACGCCTAAGATGCGTATCTACCAAGAGGAGGTCTTTGGTCCTTTCGTGGTGATTTCCCGGTTCAGCGAAGAGAAGGATGCTATCGAGATGGCCAATGACTCGAATTATGGTCTTGGAAGTGCTCTGTTCACGACGAACTTGACTCGCGCACACCGCGTGGCTAAGAAGATTGAGGCTGGTATGGTCTGGATTAACTCTAGCAACGATAGCGACTGGCGCATTCCGTTCGGTGGCGTGAAGCAATCTGGTATTGGGCGTGAGCTTGGAGAGGCCGGTCTTGCTGCTTACTCGAATATCAAGGCTATTCATGTGAACATGAAATCTAAGCTTTGAGAACAGGACTCGGGGGCTTTTGAATCTAGGGGGGATATATTATATTGTACATAGGAATAGAAGATTTCTCGTATGACACCGATGACCAAAGACAGCAAAACCTGGGTAGGTCAACTTCCTTACTAGTTATGTACGGTAATAACTCATTGTTAGAAGTATAATTTGTAGTAACAATGTAGTAGTCTTAGGAGATTGCTGGTATTGATTTCTCTGAACCCTCAAATTCTGCCACCTCTCCAGACTGTTAATTGACCTGGGGGCTGGAAGAGATTACCATGAAGATGCCGAAATATGAGCAGAATATAGTAAAGTCAACCCGGAATATATGCACAACATCCTTGACTCCTCCTCTGGACAACTAGTACACCTCATATCGGTTATTACTAGTAACAACCAGAAAAATTCATTGTCAAAATCTCAAACTCGGATTTTTTTGGGTCGTCAGGTTGTTAGGTGAGTTACTAGTAGAAATTGAAAAGCCTTCCAGGGCAAGTTAGCACTTCAACAATCAAAAAGGTTCGTGACTTTTGAGCTCGCAGGGTTGTAGGGTGACTGATAGATAATAGTAAAATGAGCAAGGTTGGTTGTTTCTTCCTCGCACAGCACTCTCTTATCCAGATATATACCTCTTAGGACCTGGATCCGACCACTCTCGCATTCAATATGCAGTCTGACGTAGCTGTGTCTAACGATCTCTTTCGACATCTGTACGTGGCTCATCGAGTACTCAATCGATAACACATTTGTCTAAACTAAATCCAAAACTGTTCTATATAAACGTAGCATCTATGTCTATATACACCCTATTAATATCCCTGAAAACTCACTTTACCTGATAAATCCGTGTTCACCAGGCAAATCACATATTCTGTATGAAGGTGTTGACCAACTTCATTCACAGAAACCTATCATCCGTCTTCTTTCTTTGGCTCAGGGAGTGGATCATTCGCCACCGTATGGGCCTGAAGAACATGGGGAATCGACTCCTCGGTGTTGAGATAGGTGCGACTGCCCTGGACAAACCAGAAAGACACGGCGATAACAAGCATGACGCCAAACACACCAATGGCGTAATTCATATCACCACCCGAGGGGTTGGGCGCGCCAGGGAAGAAAAAGAAGACGGTTGTCACACAGCAATACACAAGGGAGACCCAGTTTACCGGTGCGCCTAGTCTCCCGAGGTTGAACTGGCCACCGGGTGGGAGCTTGTCGCGGCCCATCAGCAGCAGAGTCATGATGGGCAGCCCGTACGAGATGGTCAGGGCGATGGTACTGACGCTGAGGATCGCATTCAAAACTGTCTCTGCAAACAGGAACAAAACTCCAACCAGTGCTATAATGCCTCCCTGGAACCAGAGTGCCCTGACGGGGGCTTTCCAGTAAGGACTCACGTCGGACAGGTAGGTGCTAAAGGGGAGACCGCCGTCCCGGGCAAAGCCCCAGGTGAGACGGGATGCTGTGGTGACGATGCTGATTGCCTGGCCTAGGCCGTTCGTGATGAACAAAGCAATTAGAACTGCACCGCCGCTCTGACCCACGGTTTCTTGGACGAGTTGCATGAACGGTAGGCCGCTGGGCGAGTCTACCACAGTATTCACCGTTTGAATACAGAAAAGGCAGACCATCATCAGAATGAACCCGCTAACCGCTCCGGAGATAACGGCAAGGTAGATCACTTTCGGGGCGTTCTTGCGGGGTGCAGGAATCTCTTCCACCAGGTGAATAACGGCGTCAAAGGCAGTGAGCCCATATGCAGCCTGGACTAGGCCAATGAACCAGACAATCCCATCGGGCCAGCCAGTTTGGTTAATCCACTTTCCAAACGCGAAAGAGGCAGGCTGGTAGGAGAGACCTTCTTTCATGCCCACTGAAATAAGCAGGGCAAGACAAAAAACAAAGAATAGTCCAAAGAACCAGACTCCGACAAAGTTGTTCAGCCAGGGCAGGAATTTCTCCCTCCGACAGCCCATCACATTGATCAGTGTGACGGCAAAGACACACCCAATATAAACGACAAATTCAAGCCACCCCGTCGACGCACCAGTCCAGGCTGGACTGAACATAACCTTCATACCGAGAAGAAAATTGGTCATGAATGCCATTTGGGAGGCGGCCAGTGTCCACCATCCGAAAACATTAATCCAAGCACACATGTACGAGAGGAATCGTCCGAAGCGTGAGTCCCAGAGGCGGTAGACCCAATATGCCTGTCCCAGGGCTGTGGGCATGCTGCTACAGATCTCGCCCAGAGAGAGCGCGACACAGGTGTTGCAGAATGCAACAAGAGCCAGTCCCCACAGGATTGAGACAGGGCCACCGTTAATCAGACCGTCGGAGAGATCCTGTGCAAAGGTCGACCACGTTCCCAGCACGCAGAATGCCAACGCTAGCATGCTCCAAATGTTGAACTTGCGAGCGAGGATTTGCTCGTGGCCGAATTGGGCGAGGTCGTTGGCATCTTGAGTGTTTTGGTCGGTTGGTTTGAGAGTTTCGTCGGTCTCCACGTCCATAGTGAGGTACGGGGAAGTTTTGCAGTGAGGACAGAGGGCGTGTTTAGAGTAATCACTCTAGGCTCATTTCCCAACAACGTGGTTGACGCTGTCGTGAAAATGAAGCACTTGTCTCTGGGCTGTATACTGTATACTCCTTCTGAAGGCGATATATTGGATCCAAAAATGGGGTCACTGGAGCAATTAGGGGAACTGGATGTCCCGCAACCCCATTCACAAGACCCGGGCTTTTGTCATTTTTTTCCTGGGGAACCCCATGGGCATCGGCCTCCGTGGCCATACAGAGGGACACATCTACTGGAGATTCACCGAGCGTGGCCCACATAGTAGATCCAAAACCTGGAGGCATTTTAAACGATTAGGCGAAACATATTTGAGGTCTGTGTAGAGCTCCAGTTTTTTTTTCTTTACCCCACACCCCACGAAGGCTGAAGATTCCCCCTCTGGAAGGTAGATGCGGATTGTTATGCGAAGTGCCGACGATACCAACGGTATTTGACGATGTGCTGGATATCCGACTCGAGAGATTGCCGGGGAAGTTGCTTTGATGCCCGATTCCGTGACACACAGCTATCAACTCCTCCCGAGATGATCGGGGTTAGTCGGGTTAATGTGGCGGCTGCGCCCCCCAATGTTCAGGACACATAACGGTCGCAAAACCTCAATATTTGTCCCTCAGAGTTGATGATTGCCCCATCTTCACTTTCAGAGCAGATGTCCCATGAAATGTGAGAAATGTCGGAGAGGCTGAAGAAGACGAGCTTCCAAGGTTGTTTTCCTGCATGGACCTTCCAAAAACGGCAAGCCCGCATTGAAATCCGATCGACTTTTAAACTGAACTCCCCTTCACACAGATCATGAAAGATATCTTTTAGAAGAAGCGAGACAATTAATTGAAACATATCCTTGCCAATAACTCGGGAAGCAACTCCCCATAGGGGGTTAGAATGCATTATTTCCCTCACTGAGATCTTTGTTCGGCCAATCACAGTGCGAGGATGCGCATAGCACAGCGATCGCACGAGTATATATGAGTGAATTGTAGAACTTCCTGGGTATTTATGTTCTTGTTCTTGTTTGCCTTCCCAGCAGTTTCTCAGTAACATGTCTCCGACCGAGAAGCAGAAGGACATCTCCCACCGCCATCGTTCCTTCAGGGGATGCTGGAGCTGCAAGAAAAGGAGGATCCAGTGCGATGAAGCGCGCCCAGCCTGCCAAAAATGCTGTTCGAGGGGCCTCACTTGCGAGGGATACGAAATAAGATTGCGCTGGGGGGCTGGTATCGCGTCCCGGGGGAAATATTCAGGCGCTGACAAGCCCGTGAAAGAATCTATACCCCCACGGTCGAAGCGAAGATGGAGTATGCGAGACAAGGGGGACGGGTCTCCTTCTGGGGAAGGGGATGGCCAGCCTGCTCTGGTTTCTCAACCTTTGATGAAAGGTATTGCCAGTGAATGTCTTCTGTGGTTCCAAACTCACATATTCTTCTAGATCAAGGAACCCCATTAGTTGCCGAGCGAGCAACAGTCAATATACTTAACACACAGTGGGAACCGAGTTCTCCGCGGAGCTCAGCTATCAACAAGCATTTTGAGATACCTGCATCCTTAGCCACTTTGGCTGCAACTGCTGCGCATGGACGGGGGCCAGATATACCAGGTCAATATGCCCAGAATGCAGGCAGACGAAGTATATTGGCTTGATTTGGACTTGCATTCTGATTGTACTTTAGCGCTGCGAGTCACTTTGGTTACTATGAATTGTTCACCGCGAACAAACTGACCAATCTCTCTATTCTACATACAAAAATGCTATTACCACATTAAATAACTATATCCTATTCGTCCTCCCGAATCGTCTCACTACCTCCCTTCCGCCCCTTCTCTTCCGCATGATCAGTCATCTGGGAGACCTCAGACCGATGACCTGCTCGCCGGACATCCAAACTATCAAAAGATTCATAAAAATGCGACGACCGACCGCTCACCACGTTATCAATCGACATTGGCGATGCCAATGACAGTGACGATGGGCGCCTGTTGTGGCCTGTTGAATAGGAGAACTCCGAATCCGTCTCACTAGGAGCCTGGGGCGAGACAGGAGACTGGGAGCCTCGTCTCGGATCGGGTTTGAGCCCACCTTCGGGTTCGGGTTTGGGAGGCCCGCCGTGAGCGAAGTAGGCGGTGTTGAATGGCGTGGGAAGTTCAACAGGTGATGAATCTGGTAAACGTCAGGATAAGTACTCCGCAGTATCTATTTTTCTAGTGGGGAACAAATAAATAATGTCATCGACATACCATGCATCTCATACAGCGCATCTCCCCCAGATTCCACCGTGCCAGGGGTCGCGGGCGAGACGAGGGAATCTGGCACAGTGGAAGCCTGCGTTATCGATGGCTGCGTTGTCGACGGCTGCGTTGCCGAGGTCTGCGTCGTCCGTACCGTCTCCGCCGTCTCCATGCCGGTCGATGAAGATACTGGCCCGGGCCCAGGGAGGCTGGGCCGCTGGCATACATCCATTCTGCAGGACGGTTCTTAGGCTCAGCCTCTGCAGCTTCGACTTCAGCTTCAGCAGACTCGCGTTGACGGTGACGTCGGCGATAAAAGAAGAGACCGGCAATGATCGCAATCACGAGCAGACCTAAGACCGCGCCGATTACTCCTCCAGCCCAGTTGGGGAATCCGCTGCCCCCGCTGTGATCTTGTGCGGTGGCACTGCTGCTGTTGCTGCTATTGTACGGCCAATATGTCTCGACCTTCTTGCCATACTTCTTGCCAAATATGCCCTCTAGAGAGCTGTTGGTCCATGACGATGGGGTGGTAGTGGTTGCACCTCCATCGGAGCTAATAAACTGTCAGCCACGGTGATTTGCTTTCTGTACTGCTAGGTCTATACTCACTTGCCGCCTATCCATTTCGTCACAAGCTCTGGCACTTTGTACTTACTCCATTTTGTGGGATCATAATCATCCTCGAACCTCAAGGTGTTGAGGTTGAAATTGACTATGACACCACCCTCCAGGCAATGGGTTGAGTCGACATGCTGTCCTCCGACGGCCAACATTTGATCAGGATATACTTTGATACATTCATGACCGCTGCGGCTGTGTGTGTTCGTACCAGTGTATGCCTTGACCCATCTGAAGGAAGGCAGAGACAATATATATACGTCGTCCGACGGATTCGCGTTATAGTCAAGGCCATCGTACCCTCCATAGATGTAGATATTATGAGATGACCCATCAGCCGCACTCGCAAGCACAGAGCAGAACTCCGTCAACTGCGGCGGTATATCACCCGTCGTGTTCTGGAGATACCAGGTTTTACTCTCGACATCGAAGACGGAGACCGTCTCCATGAACGTCGGGCTAATCCTTTCGCTCTCTGCAGTCCGTGATGAGTTTTCTTTGTCATTCCGGAAAAACTGAATGGGTTCAACCACTCCACCAATAGCCACCAAAACTCCAGACTCGGATACAGGTACCCAAACCAGTTCCGCGTTAGAACGAGTAGGAATATAGCTCGGCAGCGTGTCGTTCGTCCACTTCCCGTCGCTCATCACTGACATGTCCAGGGTGATTAGCGTGTCGGCAGTTTGGTTAGACTGAAGCTGGTTTAAATTGAAGTCGCCCCAGTCCGGCGCACGCATCCCACTGAAGTAAAAGCCTAGGTTTTCACTCGGAGCCGACGCGGCAGCACCATTCGTGATGTATCGTGTGACATTAGTGGGTAGGTATTCTTGTTTCCAGTTGGGCGCCCACGAGCTTCTATAGGTGCCATACTGGTGCGCAGCGTAGGAGAGGACTTGATTAGCAGGAGGAGGATCGGAGCTTCCGGTATTAGAAAGCATGCCCCTGCAACAAAATTCTCAGAATTCGTGACTTATTAGAAGAGGAGATGAGGGACGCCAACCCATAGAGATAGAACTCGTTGTCGTTGGCAAACATTGTGCCGTCAACATAATTCGGAGCTATGCTAGTTGAACCGCCGGCGACGGACATGTTGTTGAGGACATTCATGAAATCAGATTTGGTGTTGAAGGGATTGGTAAGATTCAGGTAATAAATGGTTGCTTCCAAATCTGCTTCTAGTTAGCTATGTGTATAACTCAACATCTACTTGGTCGTGCCTACTGTTATCCGACTGGAGCTGGACGCAACCATCGTCATATCCTCTGCAATTGTTAGAGAAAATTTGGGATTCACCATGGGGAGCCTCATACTTCTGATACCATAGCCTCCCGCCATCGAGATAGATTGTGTCACGCAGGATATTGGCTACCTGTGTCAGTAAAACAAAACCCTGTCTGGAAAAAAAGAATAAGGAGCACTTACCACGCAGACCTTGCCAACTGCACATGGAAACATTAATTTGAGTCTGAAATGTGCTACATACGGCCACTGCGCAGTCTATCACGACCAGCAGCGTCAGCGTCCCCAAAAGAAAACGCATTTTTCAACAAAATGGCGGTTAAGCTCATCACTGAGTTGTCACTATTTGCAAATAACAGGTTCCATCAAGGGCTCTGGCTTACTGCTGACATGTCGACAAAATGCAAAAAGTGAGGGGGCGGGGGTCGGCACTTGGGATGCGGCTTTGTTGATCTTCTTTGTTGTCAATTGCCCCCGCCCTGAATACGAAGCAGCTTGGCCAAGGAGAAATATGAATGAATAAACGACGTGTATTGCCCAGGTGCGACCGCTAAACTCGTGGTCTGACCGGTCTGATCATTACCGTGATTGTATTGCTGCATGGCTTGGATCATGCAGCTACGGGAAATACAACCGAATCAACTGAAGGAGCCCCATTGTGTGCTCTAGTTAGGCCCCTATTGGATGCATAATCGCAAAAGCACGGAATATTATGTATTTTCCTTGTAAGCTGCATTCGCGAGATGGGGCTATGGTGAGTTGTCCGAGCTGATACCCGGCGGGGGAGAATTTTGAGCCTCGAACTATTGGGCTTTCTTTCATTGAGCAAAGGGGCCGTGCGTATGTATTGGATGTCTTCCCATTCCCTCGAGTTATTTTCGGTTATTTTCTTTGTTTAGCTTGTTTACCTTCTGGCTATCCCCGGAAGAATTTAGAATTTCTTCAACAGACAGGCAAAGAGCAAAGATGAAGCACGCGGTCTCTTGGTTGTCGCTGTTGGCGACTGTCTTCGGTTTGGTGACAACAAATGACGGCAGTTTAATAAACAGAGCCCCCGCACTGCCGGCAGAACAAGAGGATGGATTGACTGTCACAGTAGGAGTTGGGGTCACACTTTGGCTTGGTGATGGCGAGTCTTGCACCGCTGAAACTATCACGGAGACTTCGACGCAGACGGGAAATGTCTCTCCAGGTGCCACGACAATTACTATCACCGAGGCTACCACCAAGACTATAAGTGGTTGTCGAAGCGGCCCTACTCTGGGTGTCATTGCCGATGTTGGCATTGGACCGGTGGATGTTTCTGCAAATGCCGCCGTAGCACTACCCGGACATGGACCTATAAAAACGGTCACAGATTACACGACCCTTACCAGGACATCGTGCTCATGCACAGATGACTCAACTGTCACGCCGACCACCTCCACCGTACCTTCGACAACGACCTCCAGCGTACCTGTGACAACCACCTCGAGCGAGCCTGGGACAACCACCTCGAGCGTACCCGGGTCAACTAGCTCAACCGTGCCTGGGACTACCAGCTCAAGTGTACCCCCCACAACCACCTCCAGCTCACCTGAGACAACCACCCCAACGACGTCGATGACCAGTGATGATTCCACTACCACTCCCACAGAGACGCCGACTCCAACAACCACTACAGTGACAACCAGAACCACTTCCAGCTCCGAAAGTGTTACCACCGTTCCAGTGTCCACAACATCCGTAACTACTACCGGTGATTCAACTGTCACTATCCCCAATACCACTGTCACTTTACCGGGAACAACAATTCCAGGAACCACTGTCACGACAGTCATTACTGAGCCTGCCACCACCGTGACTATATCGGATGGTAGTAGCACTTTGCCTGGATCAACCCTTACGACAACTGTCACGGGCCCTGGAAGTACAGTAACTGTCGGTGAATCAACAACCATTACCGACACTGTCACTATCCCAGGTATGCTGTCATGCACGAACCATTAATTATTAATGCAACATCTAACACCATCAGACTCACAAACAACCAAAACGGTCCCTCCATCTAGTACAGTCACTGTTACCGGGCCTGGTACCACATCAACCCAGACGTCTAGCAGCACCACGACGGTATCTGCTTCTGTATGCTCCAGCCTTATCAGCAACCCATCCTACACACCCCCCGCCCTGTTGCCAGACGACTATACCTGGGGCTGTGCACCCGGGTATCTCTGTAAGCCACGTCACACAGGCGACCGTTCGGAATGCAATGTCGAAGCAGGTCTCCCTGACCCCGGATACGTCTGCAGCCCGTCAGACTGCATTGTGGCTCCGCCCTTAGACGTTCATCCGTCTTGGCAGTACAATGTCTCCAAAATTTATTACAATCTCAACCCGGAGGACTTCGGTCTCAATTACTCTATCTTCCAGTCCTCAGAAGATCCAGTTGCAGCGAGCAGTAAGCGCGACATGTCCTTATGGGACTTCACTGTCGCCCAAAAGATGAAAAGGGCCGACATAACGAATATCCCTACTGTTTGTTTCAATGATTGCAATGATGCTGCATTTGAGCCACAATTGCTCGGAAAGACGCCTGAGCTTTGCGAGAGTGACTCGGCGTTCATGGAAAACCTGAATGTTTGCGAGCAATGCATTACCAACAACGCTGAATCCGACTCTAACCAATATTCATCCCAAATGTTGCCGACTTTTGCACAGTGGCTGAATTTCTGCTCCGACATGGTCACTTCCACAACAGGAGAAAGTGCCACCAGCACTGAAATGGAGACTACGGCGACAAGCACCCAGATCACCACTACTACCAGCACGGAAGCATCGACAGCAGCCACAACGACGAGCACCACGAGTACTCACGCTAGCACCACTAAAGCTAGCAGCACCGAAACCATCAGCACTGAAGCCACGAGCACTACCACCACTGGGACCGAGGAAAGATCCAGCCCAGTAGAGACAACTCAGCCAGTCACTCCCATCACAATCACAACTTCAGGCTCCCTCGTGACAAGCTCAGTACCTGGATCAATTGCGACGACATCAGTATCCGGCGTGCTTATTACGACATCATTGCCCAGTTCAATCAAGACCGTGTCAAGTACTCAGGGCACAGGAGGTGGCGATGAGAACACATCTGACAATGCTCCCGGTATTCCATCAAGCTCGGTTCATGTAAGTCCGACTAGTTCAGCAACTCCCTCTACATCTTCTCCGGCCTTCAATGCGGCAGGGTCTATAAGTATCCCTCATATTGGGTTAATGGGTCTTTTGTGGGCTGCTTTCGCGCCACTTCTTTAGAATGTTCCTTTTTGGCTGCGTTTGCTTGCCTTGGTCAGATGAGTGCAATATATAGTTCAGTTTGGTAATGGCGGATTTATCAGTCCATATTAATAGGGATCATGTCAATGAAAAATTAGAAGTATCCAGCTTCTGTGCTTTCTTTGAATCTTTACACACTTCACTCAAGTCGAGAGATGTAGTGGTAGAATATGCAAACTGTTACGCGAAATGAAGTGAGCAAGACATGGCGAGATTATTTCCTGTCACTGATATTTCAAGTGCGCAGGTGTCCTTCAAACTCATATTCATCTTCTAGGGCGCAAGTAAAGACACAACGCAATAGACCAAATCACAAAACTACCCTAACCCACTGACGGATGCCTGGTCCCTGGGGCATCGAACTTCTTGGTAGCTCCTTCCGATTCTAAACAGGCAACTGCCTTCTCGCAGTCTTGTTGACTCGGCAATTTCTCTTCCTATTCTCCCGAGGTATGTTCAAGGACATTTGCCACAATCAACATTAACGAAATGAGTCATGGTGTCCACAGGTCCGCGGGCGTTCCCCTATACGTGGGGGCCAGATCCCTTAGATAGAGCCCGGGGCCTAACGATTGGCTGACCAATCTCCCCCCGGGATATCAGCGCCAACTCCCCTCAGTTCCCCTCACCACCTAGGCAGCTCCCTAACACAATCGTCGCCTGTCCACAAAATGGCTCAGCAAAGCTTGTCGGACATATTAGCCACCGCTGCTGTGGATCTGACCCCTTATGAATCTCTCTACAAGCATTTCCATACACATCCCGAGCTCTCGCTACAAGAGAAAGCCACTTCTGAAAAGATAGCCTCCCATTTGTCCCAGCTCGGAGCCTATGAGATCCACACAAATATCGGAGGTTATGGTCTCGTAGGAATTCTCAAGAATGGCACTGGCAAGACAATCCTTCTTCGGGCCGACATGGACGCGCTTCCAGTCAAGGAACTCACTGGCCTCCCTTACGCGAGTTCAGTGACTATGGCCGATGCGGACGGCATTGAAAAGCCAGTTATGCATGCTTGTGGCCATGATATGCACATTACATGCCTCCTCGCAGCTGCTGAAGTTCTAGCGCGTGCACAGAATGCCTGGAGCGGGACTTTAATAGTACTGTTCCAGCCGAACGAGGAGCGGGGCGGAGGCGCTCAGGCCATGGTTGACGATGGACTTTATTCGATAATCCCCATGCCGGATTACGTCTTTGGTCAGCACGTCATGCGAATGCGAGCGGGAAGAGTTGGTTCCCGACCTGGCACGATCATGGCTGCTGCCGATAGCTTGAAAATCACTCTCTACGGCCGTGGTGGTCATGGGTCACAGCCGCATCAGACGGTAGACCCTGTGCTCCTTGCTGCGCATGTTGTTGTTAGGCTTCAGGGCATTGTGAGTAGAGAAGTAGACGCGAATGATCTTGCTGTCGTGACGGTTGGGAGCCTGCAGGCAGGCCAAACGGAGAATATCATTGCAGACCGGGCGGAAATTGGAATTGACTTTAGGACTGTCAAGTTGGAGACTCGCGAGAAAATAATTTCTGCTATACGGCGCATCGTTGAGGCCGAGTGTGTTGCTAGTGGATCGCCGAAACCGCCCTTGTTCACACCAACGAGGCGGTTCCCGCCCACCGACAACGATAAACATCTGACGTCCCAACTGGCTGCGTCTTTCGCAGACCATTTCGAGGACTTTGATGTTGATACTCCAAGGACCAATGTTAGTGAGGATTTCTCCACGCTGGGAACTTCCCAGGGGCTTCCTTGCTCCTTTTGGTTCATTGGGGGAAATTGACCCAGAGCTCTGGGATAAGGGCGAGAGCAATGAAATTCCCATGGAAGAGATCCCTGGGAACCACTCGGCTCTGTTTGCCCCGGTGATCCAGCCAACGATGAAAACTGGGATGGATGCTTTGTGCATCGCGGCTTTGACATTTTTAAAAAGGTAGCCATCATAAGTCCACGATGGCTCCCCGCTTCTCTCGGCGGGTTGAGAAGCGTTCAGCGCTGTACATAATGAATTGCATCGCTTACAGATTTGACGGGAATTCTCGATCCCGTATTGCACAGTGCTAATTGTTGCACAGGTGTGATCATTTTGCATAATATGTATTTTATTCCTCTGCAATTTTATTCCATTCACATTCACCCCGCAAGTGCTGGGAGCAGATATCCAGCTTATTTGGGATTTCTCATCCCCCGCCTGTCATTGTTCAAAGCCAGCCAAGAACGACACCACAGCAGAGGCAAAGGCCTTAGAATCATCCTGACTTTCCTCACGATCATCGCCAACCTGCTCCAAGAATAACGCCAACTTCGACTCCTTCCATCCCATGACCGGCGCAGATTCCAAGCACATCTTAGTCATGCCAAAGGCATCCATTTCATAATGACCCTGCACAGAGAGCACTCTGCCGGGGTGGTAAAGTCCCTGAATAGGGCAGATAGGTGTACTTCCAATGTTAATCCATGGCGCGGGCAGCGAAACCGGCGGTGAGTCGGTAAGCGTAACAGCAGTCCCCTTCTCAACCGCCATCACCCGATCGCCATGGAACATTTGAATGCGCAGCCGTCCCTCGGGAAGATCACCAAGCGCACCCGGGAACGACTTTACAAACGCCTCTTCCAATTGAACAGTATAAATTCCGACCTCACGGCCGAGAGGGCATTGCTCAACCCAGACATCGCGGACCGGGTCTTCCACGTTGCGAACAAGAGCGTGCGAAATGAGCTGGTGGCCGAAGCAGGTGCCGAGGATTCGGACTTCCGGGTATTGGTTGTAAACAGTTTTGACAAATTTCTCGAGTTCTTGCATCCATGGTGAATGGTCCATTTCGTATACGCCGGGCGAGCCGCCGGTAATCAAGACTGCGTCCACAGGGGACTGCACGGGGATCTGGTTCTCACTTGCATGGCCGCGGAGCTTGTATAGGTCTGGATAATGGCCTCCTCGGATATCATATGGGGTGATCTGGACTTCGACTTGCTCTTTCTCAGAGAACAAGGTCTCGTTCAGGCGTGATGCGGTCTCGCGGAGGATGGTTCGGAAGTGGGCACTGCAGAGTCCTCGAGCCTCGTATAGTTTGCGTGCTGGGATATCGACGTCTAGGACGGCGATGTGGATATGGTGAACCATTTCTTTTTTTCTATTGTGTGTTTAATTGATGGGATATTGGGATTATGGAGGGTGAAGCTGGCGGATTGAAGATTTCGACCTTGGGTGTCCTGCTAAATAAGATAATTTCCCCATACTAACTCCGACGCAGGATTGGAAAACATTTAGGTAAGACATAGCTCTGTGGAATACAGGATTTCATCTAATAAAAAGGATCTCAGCAATAAAAGATGGTCAGTGACTCCAACAGACTCCAATCATCGAAGAAATATTAGGTAAAACCCGACGATGTTACTCGATGAGCTTATTTTTGCTTGATCCACATTGTCTCACACCGAACACTGTTTACATACTTTCTCCAAATAACCTATTTCTCCCGAAAATAAACCGGGTTTGTTCTGTTCAGTTGGTATACTCTCTGCCTCGAGATTGCGTCTGTACCGGATAATATTTGGCAAATCTTGGCTGTCCCTTGGTCTTAGTTGAAACTAATAGATTTGCTATGATCTGGGGTGTGCCGGTCATATTGAATGTCTTCTGAGTGTAGATGGCTGCCAGGTAGTCTCTCGCAAAACGGCTCTGGGGCTACCTAAGAGCTTATTAAGGCTTAGCTTTCCGATCCCGGTGCTCTCCCCTTGCTGCTTTTTGCTCAGAGTAAAACTGAGCACGCCTACGAGTCTTACATAATGGAAATCGCCCATTTGTTCATCACGTGACCCGATCCCACTTACTCATGACCTGCCCAGGTGAGCGCACTGACTAGCTCCGCACCACCCTGAGCAAATCTTGGAAGAGGAAGAGCAGCTAAATCAGCAGCTCACCTCAATAAAATTGATACTGGCCAAAGTACGGAGTCGGTTCTCCGGATCCGGACTCATGTTCGAGACATGTTTGTGGACCAGGTCCACACTGGCGACCTTGGAAGTCAGTGCTCAACGGAGTAAGGTACGGAGTTCCCCGGGAGGAGAAGAGAGGAGCGGTGAGGTGAGGAGGCAGAATTAGATAGGTGTTGGGGCAGGAACGGGACCCAATTAGGAAGGCATAGGGGGCGAAGGGGGGACCCCTTGGGAACTACAGTGGCGTTTCATGAGTACATATTTGCACCCGTATACCTGTACCATTGACCGCTCTGTCAGTGCCGCCTGCCTACAATATATTCCTATTATTCTAGGACCCACATAGCACGACTGGTTGGGAGTGAGTTTTTCCGGCAGAAAATAGGGCCCTCCCGAAGTACTGGGGTGCAAATACTCATGAAACATGACTGTATATCAATTCCCCAAAAATGTCAATCTGATAAGGATTGTCCAAGGCATTGCTGCATATTTAGCGCCGGGATCTTGAGCACCATGTCGATCTCTTCATGATGATCCTCAATATTCTCACAAGGTCCTCTTACTCGTCTTCTGAGACTAAAACCTTTCAATCCAACTTCAATCCACTTGTTGCCTGGTTTAATATGCATAGCTAGCTAACTTGCGAGATTTCCCTTTTTATCCTTACCAAATTTTGCAGGAAATACTGCTTCCACTGAATCATTATTTGCTCGAACTTGTAATCGCACCAGAAAATATGACATTATGCAACGTCACGGAAGAACCGCTGCTCGCTTAGAATAATAAGCTGTAATAATGTTGCCGGGAAATTGGTATATGCAGCAAGTCGAAATGTTGAAGCTGTTTCTTGAATCTCTAAAGTACAGGTAGGATTTCAATTCAGGAAGCCACGGCAATCATCTTGTCCGCCACTTCGAGCAAAGTGTCGGCCATCACATCCATCTTAGTATCAAAGATATCAATACACGACTCCTTCTCATAAATTGAGCAGTAAGCACCACGGAAGCTAATTATTTCGAGATATGTTAGCCAGGGTATCTTCCTGGTTCGTTTTGAGAAACGGCAGAACTTACCCAGCTTTAACAGCTGCGCTCACATCCCACATATGCGCCGCCACGAACCACTTTTGATCATCGGGGGCGAACTTATTCAGCATGGGCTTGTAGGACCCCATCGAAGGCTTGACCATATCAAGCGGGGACTCCAATGTGGACTCATACTTCATGAACTGATGGCAACTGACGAGGTTCTCAGCGGGCATTTCAAACCCGGCGCGCTTAAAGTAGCCGCCAACTCTTTCCGTGTCGCCTGTGGTCAAGCACCAGATGGTGAACCCGTTATTCCTCAACTTTTCCATCATGGCGCGGCAGTCCGGGCGGAGTTCCAGCTTCGAATACGCATCATGACATATGTCTCTTTCCTCGTCGGTCGCGAACGATCTCGGGTCCTGGATCCCGGAAAGATATAAGACACGGTAAAAGAGCGCCCTGAAGACTTTCTTGTATGGCACGTTCCGCTTGGACATGTGGAGCATTAAAGACTCGAGCTCAGCAGCTTGCATCCATGCAAAACCGAATATCTTGGCTGACAGTTGATGTGCTCGCAGTCGCGGGCCGAGTACTTCTTCGATGGTGTCGAGAAAGTAGTCGAATGACACACAGGTGCCGACAACGTCGAAAACGGCATGCTTCTGGGGGGAGATCATGTTGTGCATACAATATTTTCACTGACTGAATAAAATTGAACTGGCAGGCTGAAGACTCTTGGGATGCATATTGATCCTGACGTTCTCAGGGTCATTTATTCAATGCCCTTCGCCAAGTCCATTGGCATCATTGTCTGACTCCGGCACACCGCTATCCGATAATCTCCATTCCGCGGTTGAGATAAGAATGGATTTACTCCGTACATGTGAGCTCCAGCGGGAGATGATGCGCGGACAGTGGCGGTGTGGGTACTCCGGTACTAACCATATCGGGCAATCAGCTGTCTTCGGACTAGACCCACTCCGAATCGGAGCTCGCCGAGGGACGTCACCTGATGATTACATTGTTTCAGTTGATCACATACATCCCTGTGATGATTCAATGCGAGAACCGGATTTAAAGAATGGGAGTATCTGGGCTATCAATTTTAATGAACTCATCGCTACAGGCTTGGAAATAAAATGTAGCCGGATCGGTAGAGACGAATAGGACTTTTGGTAGGATATTCCAGCTATAATTTAAAGGAGTCTCGGTTGTTCGTCATGAAACCTTGAAAGACTTGAAATATATTACGCACTTGGAATTGTACAGAAAGGTCGGTGTAGAATAAACACATAGTGTTGAGAACATTACCATTCATGCCCGGAGCGGTCTCACTACATGCACTTTATAGATCACGATCTGAAAAATCAACGCATAGAATGAGTTAGAATACATTAAGTTGACTGTTATAATGCTCCTCCCTAATTCAGGTTAATCTGAAGATATGAAGAGTAATCTCGCAACTCCACTAACGACTCAGCAAATCCCATGTATACAATAATCCAGGCTCAGTTCCATAGAACGTTCAGTCTGTGAAGGCCTTCCTTTCGTTTTAACTGGGGCTCTGGATTACGGTTGGCAATATCAATAAAAGGTTGAATGGGGATATCTTCCAAGGGGACGATCTTTGTTTTCCGGACAAACTTGTATGCAAAATATAGGATCAGGAAAAGAGGGATATTGATATAAGAGGAGACAAATCCTTCGTTATCCCAATGTCCTTTGATAAAGGTTGAGTACCCGCCCGTGATGAGCAGGATGGTTAGCATGAACAGCGAGGCCCAGCTGATATATGGCTGGAGCGGCGTCGCCCACGGTAGAGACTTCCGAGAGATTCCTTGTTTCTTGCAGCCATAGTAGAAACGAAGATACGTGACCAGGATAGTGAGCCAGTTGGTCAGAGTTGTGATAGAGACAAGGTCTTGCAGCCAATCAAACACTGTGTTGGCAGTTGAGGAGAGCGACATGTATCCCAGACACATGAACAGACCGTAGAGCGAAATTGCGATCCAGGGGACCGAAAATCTGTTAAGTCGAGTGAAGAACTTCGGGGCTTGGCCGTTCATCGCCAGCCCGAACAATACCCTGGACCCTCCAAGCATGTTCGAGTTGCCTGAAGACCACGCCGACGTGATGATGACAGCATTGATAATTGATGGCACTACCTTGATCCCAGCCAGTGTGGCTGCAATCACAAAGGGAGACTGTGAAGCTGTTCCACTCGAGCTGCTGAGTTTAGGCTCATTGGAGGGGACCACAAGGCCGATCATGAAGATTGAGATGACTGAAAGAAAGAGGTCAGATTTGGGGAAAACAAGAAGTAGGCCTCTTCCTCTTGCGAAATCAGCATACCGTAGAAAATCAAAATACGAAAGAAAATCCGTTTGGTCGCCTGTGGAATGGCCTGCCGCGGCGATTTTGTCTCTCCGGCGGCAACAGTGATTGTTTCAATCCCCGAATAAGCGTAAAGGGCACTGTTCAGGGATGTCCAGACACCGAGAAAGCGACCAAGAGCACCACCGATCTCAAGGTACTGAACGAAAGGCCCAGGATTGCGCCAGTATTCAAAGCCGATAGATTTATGGTCAGGGCCGCCACCACAGGTGATCACCAGAGCCTGATTTATACCTTTTAGAATCAAATCCCGTCATGCGTGTAGGGATCAAGCTGAGCTTACCATTATATTCACACCAATGATCAGCAAGATCTTCATCATAGAGAAAGCGAACTCGAGCTCCCCATATACTCTCACAAAGACCAAAGCGGTACACAACATGAGCAATCCAAAGATAGTGATCCAAATCGCACTGTTGAGGTCGGACCAGAACTGCACTAGTACAGCAGCGGCCACAATCTCTGCGGGGATAGACACAAGGTAGGAATATACCACGTTGTAGCCGTTGGCGAACGCTAATGCTGGATCAACAAAGTACTCGGCGTAGCGGACTATTCCACCGTTCAAAGGAATAAGCGTGCCCATCTCGCCCATCGCCAGGGTTACCGTACCGGCAACACAGCCCATGACCAAGTATCCTAAAAAGGCACCCAGGGGACCAGACCGCGAAATCGCTCGACCGGAACTGAGGAAGAGTCCTGTTCCGATAGTGCCGGCTAAAGCGATCATTTGAATGTGCCTCTGATGAAGGCCTTGCCTCAGAGTTGAAATTTCTTCGAAGTCTCCAACATATTCATCTTCTGGTTGGATAGGCGACTCCGGGTCTTCTATTGTGGATTTGACGTCTTTCTTGAATTCATGGACGGCGTCAGGGGAGTCCTCGTTACCAAGGAAAACCTTGAGTGTGGACATCTTGATTGACTTGGATGTACCCTCGTAGAAACAAATAGTTATTGGCAATGTTGGGCGGTCTTTCCTGGATAGAGACTGCGACATACCTCCAGAGACGATTTAGCTTCAACTTATAGCCATATTTGTTGGTGGCCAAAGCGCTGTGAAGTCACCATTAGAAAACAACTAGAGGGGAGGACATGGAGACCATGATTGGCAGATAGATAAGAAACAAGATGTAAAGGACCCAATCCGCAGATTCAAGTATCTTTTGAATTAAATGTTGACTGGGTGATACGAGATAGCAGCACACGAGTGATAAATGCGGGTGAAGATCAACTCCGCAGAAATGAAAGGCCGCAGAAATCTACTCCGTGAGATAGTAGCTCCGACAGATAAGGTGCAATGAGCTGGTTTAGAGCTAGCGGCTCGGCGTATTAACACCGAGTAACTCATAGCTTGGTCTGAGACAACCGGAGACGCTTTTGCAGTACATTGGTCATCTTACGGGCTCAGTATAGCATATTATAATTAATTGAGGTCACTAATGGGACTTTCTGCAGCCCTGGAGGTGATCACTACACCAAGCTATATCTCGAAGAAGGGAGCCTGCATTGGCGATAGAAGACTTCTAGATGATCCTAAGAACATCCCAGCTACATCACTCCACCTATCATTCTTTAATGTGCAATACACATATCTCATCTCTTGATGCCGAGTATATCCCCACCTAAAGGACCGTCCTTCGCCTTCTCAAGCCTATCCTTCGTCGTTTTAAACAGCCTGGGCACACCAGCATCTTCAAACTCGATCCCATTCTGAACCATCTTGGCAACTCCAAGAGCGGACAAGAATACCTGTGGCATTCCATGACCATTGAAGCCCGCAAGTACATACTGGCCATCCTCCCCAGGTACGACGCCGACATGGGGCTGAGAATCCCAGCTGTACCCCATGATCCCGGTCCAGACTTTATCCACACGTGCCCCGCTGTCTTCCCAGCCATTGAAATGCCGCTGCATATAACCATCGTAATGATCTTTGACTTGCTCAATGAGACATGAATCGTCCACGTTGTCGTACCATGAACTCAAAACAGAGTGGTATCGCAAGTTGGCTCCGCCGACAACAATGCTACCGTCGGCACGAGGTATAAGGTATGAAACAACGTTGTCCTCTTCACGGACTATGTAGGAGTTATTTAGCAGAGGCGCTCTTGTGCCCTCAGGAACTGAAATATGAGTACACAGGCCTTTGCATGGAACGATCGCTTCGCGGTACTGCGGAAGAAGACCAGAGACATAGGCATTATTCGCGTAGACGACTTTTCGAGCGACTGTCGTGCCTCGTGGAGTTGTAACAACAAAACTGCCCGAAGATTGCCGAGTCACAGACACCACTGGGGTGTGAGTCTGAAGGTTGACCCGTCCAGTCTCGAGAATTGAGGCGGTCAGATGGAGAATCAATTTGTAGGGCCACAGGGTTGCTGCCGTAAAAGAAGCGCATGCTTTCGCGCCTTTGACACCCGAGACACCCTCCGCATCCTTGCCAAGCACAAAGAAGACATCCTTCATGTACTCCAGATCATGCGATGCCAGCTTGTCATACATCTCCTTGGCCTTTTGGGCAGTCTCCTCGTTGGACCATACATCGATAGACCTTGTAAGGGTAAAGTCACAGTCGATTTTCTCCTTTTCAATCAAGGACTTTATGGCGTGTACATGTGCGATTTCAAATTCAGTCACCTCCAACGCGCGTTCAACTCCTGCTCGGTCGATGAGCCTGGTCATGGGGGTATACATGTCAGGCCTTAGGTGGCCACCATTGCGTCCTGTCGCGCCCGAACAGGCACCCCGCGCTTCCAGTATTGTGATGGACAGTTCCTTGTCACTGGCCTCTCCTTTGACTAAATGGTACGCTGTACTAACTCCTGCATAGCCGGCGCCTATGATGACGACGTCACTCGACACTGGAAGCTCCTCTGTGGTCCGATAATCGTGCAATTCGTGAATGTCTCGGTGCCAAAACGGCACAGTTGCATTTTTAACAGGCTGCCGGGATGTATTGAGAGAGTCGTTTGGAGACATGGTCATCGAAGTGGGCTTTATTGCTGCTGTTGGCCTTTTGAGAACTTTCGCAAGTTGATGAGCTAGGCGATACAGTGACCTGCTTTGTCGACATTAAGTAATGGCAGGGGTTCAGTTCTTGGTCACCATTTGATGGGGATACTTTTGCAAATGGGGGGAATGAAGATAGCGAACTCCGATTCTTCGGTATTCAATTCCAACCGTGAAACGCCGTGGCCCTTATCAACCCCGCAAACCCCTGTCGCGCCCGGTGTAGCCCACTCCGACGGACTAAAAAGTACTCCGAACTGACCCAGGGGCCATCTTATCAGTTCATGCAATTAGCCAGGCATAATAAACAACCTTTGATACGTTCATGCATTCAACACTGAGGTGTTGGAAATCTCGTACCGTTGAGATTGCTTAATAGGGGAAAGGTGGATTGATTTGTTCAAGCCAACCACCTTGAGTCCAATCAACGGTGTTCAGCCAATCCATATCGTTGAATGTGTTCATGTCGGGGTCAATATCATGCTCTCTGCTTGTTGCAGTAGGTACATTTTGTCCTGCAGACTGATCTTGCGGACCACAGTGTCCCTGGGACTGCTGTTCGCTCGGCATCTGTGTTTGCATGCCACACGACGAGCCCAAAGAATCAAATACAGCATCGATGATTCTCTGAAGGACTGTCTTGAACTTCTTGCTAAGTTGCGCATTGTTATCCGTAGGCCGTATCCAGTCAAGTAAGGCTCTGAACATAACCAGATTTTGAACGACTTCCGACCGCGAGAATTTAACACAATCGCGAGCGGCGGCCGTCGACGAAAGTTCGCTTCGTTGCGCGGGTGGTACTAGACTACTTGCTCGGAGAAGCTCGACGCATAAAATTCCCGCACAGGGCATTCCGTATGATACTGCCTAGATGAATATCAGTTATTATTGTATTCCCAGTTCAAGTAACCAGCAAGGGTCGCCGAATACTTACAATCCAGTCAAAGGCGTGGTGAAATTCTTGCAGCTGATCGCGGTTTTGCCAGAGAGACAGGATAACAGACATTGTCTCTTGGGCGATATCGAACAAGTCTTGGCCACCACTGAATTGCTGCACTACAAGTAGGCGCTGGAGGAGAAACTGACATTGCAATACATCAAGTTGTATCCGGGTGATGATATAGGCTCCATGAGCGCTCCGTCTGTGGAATCCCGAGCTCGACTGTGAGTGCCATTCAGAGTTCCCCTGATACTGAATGTGCGGAGGATATGAAGCAACTATATTCCTCAACTGGACCTGTAGGTCTCTGCAAAAAGGCTCAATTTAGCGAAATGTATGCAATATTGCCTCCAATTCACGTACTCTACCTGCGATTTTGTAAACTTTGAATTGACACTAAGAGTTAGTTCCAAGATTCCCTCCCGGATGGGACTAAGCATTGCCAGTGCTCGTAGCCAGGTTGTTGTGAATATTTGCCCATTTGTGTTCCAGCCATTCGAGTCAAGCTTTGCAATGGCCACGGCCAATCTTTCTCGGCCCCCATATACATCTTCCTCGCATAAATCGAGTGGGAGGGGGCATTGACAGTAACGGTTACTGAGCATAGGTGGCCGCGCATTGAACAAACTATGACATTTGTCATGATAATACATTGACGAAGCGAGTGATGCTCGGTGTTGGAAGAATGGAGTGATTTCCTTTGCAGGGGTGAGGCGGTGCAATCCTGCGCTTATAAAAGCACTCCGGACAGTCCCGTAGTCGACTCGTACACGGTCACCTATGCTGAAATGAGCTCAATTCTATAACGCCAGAATTTATCCGGATATTTTTGCGACTCACTCTCGTCACTGATGATGATGCTTTGTAGTCTGGTGCTATTCTTCATGCAAATAACCATGGTGTCACTGATTTCAAAGTTCCCTTCGCAAAGCCTTACGCAGGCAGCCGCACACTCTCTCATCTTTTCCGCGGCAGTGTTGCGATTCCGTCCATACTGCTCGGGTAGGTCGAATACCGGGTCCCACTCTTGCTTGCACCTGAACGCAATTCCAGCCCAGCTGAAGAGGATCCCGATCATTTCCCAACGCAGATGAGGTCCACCAAACCAGTTCATCCACGAAGTATGGTCGGAATTACTCGAGAGGCCACAGTCAGGTGTTGGGTGAGGCCTTTTGTGGTTGAGGAATAAATCATTTGCTACCCTCCATACTGACTCCCGTGTCCGGAACTCACCTAGCTCACTGGCGTATTCTGTCCATACTTGTTTCAAGCATTGCTGGATCATGGTTGGTGACAGCCACACATCGTAGATATGATAAATCCCTGTCATCAGCATGTCACATGTACGAGCAGTGGGGAAGTTGAGCAGTGTTCTGACAGCCAACTCCACGCGGGACCTGGCCATTACATCAGGTTCTCGGTCTAACTCGTTGGGGTTGAAATTCGTGGCATCGAGCATCACTGCGCCAAAGCTATCTTGGTTTTCAACGAAGACAGCAGAGAAGCGAGTCGTCTCGTGTTGGCCCAGCTGCTCTTGAAATAACATGTTCCGTTTTGATGCGCTAGAACGGGCTGTTAACCCCGAACTCGTAGCGGGGCTCGGATCCGTAGGGGAAGAGAGATTCCTGCCCCAACGGAAGATTCAGTGGGAATCTGGAAGGAGCTGGAGACATTTTGAGTGGTCAATAGGTCCGGCAGTGTTGTGTCGAACTCTATGGGCGTGTGGGAGATCGGAGGGCGGCGCTTGGTCATGGGAGCAGGGTGATAAATGCAGTCTAGGCTGCGCAAGGCACAACGCGAGCACTTCGGGCTTGCATGGTCGCAGCGAACCTTGGCCTTGCGACATGGTTCGCAGGCCTGCGGTTGGCCATTATGGCGTTTTCTTGGTTCTGCGAGCATCGCGTCTCTCCTCAACAAGCGGAGTTCCCCTTGTTTACTAGCTAGGTGATCCACGCAAAATATCAAACATTTCCGAGGAGATAATGTTATAGCACCAAGTATCTCAAGGGAATGAACCGAAGACCAATAGAGTCAAAAGTACCACGATTGTTATCGCAGCCGATAGGGGGAAGATCAACGTTATCTCCCACGGATGGACCTGAGGTCGGATGTCCTCGTTCAGTGGCCAATCATATTGCCAGTACAATCATTACCCAACCTTGGAAGTTCCGTAATAATACAGCGGCTTTGCATCCCCAAAGCTGCGTATCAACATTGAATTATGGTTGGCTCTACGCAAAAAGCGAATACACATACTACATATGTAGACATCTAGGCAGTTCTACCTGCCTGCAACATACATGTAGCTATGTGGGAAAAGGTTAAGCGCAAAGCTAATCTGTAAAAAGTGGAGTTCGGTTTGTCCATACAAATATCTTGCATTACAACATACTTCTTCGATCTATGGATTTATGACAGGAATGTGCACTGTGCGGAGGCAGATTATGTTTGTTTGCAAGAGAATGCCCGTCGGTGGACCAGCATCCCTGCTTGGGGGCGGAAACTACCGTGCAGCCGGTCGCGATCCTTGACTGGTTTCAAGGATGTACTGTGCGTGCACCACAAGGATTTGATGCCCGGACTGTATTGTGAGACTATAGAATCTCGTGGCAGCTGCTCTGATATCAGCACGCTGATCCAACCATACATACCAAGCCACAATATCTATTTCCCCGGGATACCTACTCCAGATCCTTTTCGGCCCGAAGCTAGGGCTGTCGGATCACAGGATATCCCCGTGCGCCTAATATTTAGGAAACCAACTGGGTTGATTGAAGAACTCCCTGTGAGACCACTTTTGGGAGAGTCTCCTGATAGATGTTATGACATACCAATTGGCCCGGTTTACCATACGAAACACAAAGACTCAGCCCTGTCCTAAGTGGAAAATAATTAGTGCCACGCAGTCAAACTAGTAAAGGTATGTGCGCGTCCTTGCAAGATATATCATCCTTTAAATATATTTCATTCTCACCCAGTGGTCAGTAGGCAATAGGATAGAGGATGATGTTTTGCTGGCCAAAGTCTCTCTGTCTCGTATAGCCTCGAGAGTACGGAGTACGGAGTGGATGAGTGGAATCGAGTAAAATTAGTCTCTTGGTCTCTATTTCTTTGTTTAGAGAAAATTCTCTTTGGCCCGAGATATCCGAATACGATGAATTAGCCGAAACAGGAAAGTTCAACATTTTATGGCTTCAGCTTCAACTAGGTAATTTAACTAATTTAACTAGCTTGACTAGTCTCTTTTCTTTCATTATATGTTATATCATCTTTGTCATTGACATATATCTTAACTATATCGACTTTTTCATCCCAACTTCACCTATTCCAAAACACCCGTTCATCACCCCTGAACGGGACCAAACAATGAAAGAAGATACCCTTAGGCGGAGAAATATCAATGGCTCGCAACCCGAGACAATTGGAAATGGCCATACAAAGCCATCAAACTCAATCCCGAAGTCCAAAAAGCCTCGCTCTCTTCTCCATCGCTGCAGGCATTTCGCGGGGAAGCACACGTGGACAATACCACTAGTCCTCGTGCTGGCCTTCCTCTCACTGTACGCGCTCAACCCGACCGAGTCAAACCCAGTCTCTCATTTCATATTCCTCTCTTACAAAGAGGAATCCCCGAATGGCAACCCCAATGCTTCCACGCAGTATGGCAAAGGTCTGTGGGACATAGCATTCGTGTCATTCTACGTGATCGTGCTATCCTTCACGCGCGAATTCATCATGCAAGAAATTATTCGCCCTCTAGCAGTCTCCCACATCAAGTCGCGGACAAAGCAGGCCCGCTTCATGGAGCAGATGTACACCGCGATGTACTTTGGAGTCCTCGGTCCCGCGGGGTTGTATGTCATGCGCCAGACGCCGGTGTGGTACTTCAACACGCGTGGCATGTACGAACTCTTCCCGCATCGGACACATGCCGCTGAGTTCAAGTTTTACTATTTGTTCGAGGCGGCTTATTGGGCGCAGCAGGCTATCGTTATGCTGCTGGGAATGGAGAAGCCGCGGAAGGACTTCATGGAGCTCGTTATGCATCATGTTGTGACATTAGCGCTTATTGCGCTCAGCTATCGCTTTCACTTTACGTATATGGGCATTGCTGTTTATATTACGCATGATATCAGTGATTTCTTCCTTGCCGTAAGTCGCATTCCCCTGGCCTAAACCAATTCTCCTGGTTTCGACACGACCCAAAATATTCCGCACACCTATTGACAATTTCCCCAGGTTTCAAAATCGCTCCATTACATAGCCCCAGACATAATGATCCCCTTCTACGCAACCTCGATCGGCGCCTGGATATATCTACGCCACGTACTGAACCTTCGGATCCTTTATTCCCTTCTAACCGAGTTCCGGACCGTCGGGCCCTACGAGCTCAACTGGGAGACTCAACAGTATAAGTGCTGGATCTCGAACATCATCACCTTCGGACTGCTGGCTCTCCTTCAGGCCCTCAATTTGTTCTGGTTGTACTGTCTGCTGCGCAGTGCTTTCAAATTCCTCGCGACAGGGGAGAAGAAGGACGATCGCTCTGAGCCGGGTGAATCTGAAATCGAGCAAGATGAATTCAAGCTTGTTGATAGAGTTAATGGCCATGCTTCGTTGAATGGCAGTTCATCACCCAATGACAAGCCCCAGCATGCCCCTGGTGGTCTTGGTGCCTCTGTTAAGGCTAATGGGGCTTTCTGACGATGATTGTATGGCCTTCTAGTCCTTCCTGTGGGTGTACGCACTGTGAGGAACATCAGGTTAAAATTTCGCCTTGTCACGCACCAACTTCGCTGTTTAACGACTTTGAACAGAAGAATTGCTTGGTCCATTTTAATCCGTCATCTCGTGCCATGTACCATGTCGATTCAGTCTTAGGTGTTGTTCTCTGTCCGACTGTTGGTTGCGAACTTGCGATTTCTGGGTTCGTGCGATCAGATGTAAAATACTACGAGATATTATGGATATAATAATGATAATGTGTACTTGAACTGGGTCTTGATCAATATCAAATACATGGGCAATCCATTCCAATGGATTATCTGCAAGTCGCAGAAATTATATATTCAGCCAAGGCTATGCTCCTACCTCATTACTCGCGCCATAGATCATGAGGAATACGGGTAAACATCTAACAAAACTCCGGAGTATGTGCGAGAGCGGGGATTCTACAAAGAAAGATTTAAACAGTATTGTATCCCAACATAATCAAGAGAAGCGCAGTCCTTTGCTAGGATCCCAGGTTCCCGGTTGAGGGGCACGAGTGGGCTGGCCCGGGGCCGGTCCAGTTCCTGCACTGGGAGTAGCATTCGGAGGGGCACCGGCAGATCCGAATCGAATCCCCATTTCGGGAGTCCACATACCCGGCATACCCCCTGGCATGCTCGGCGTAGAAACTGGGGGCGGGGCTACGGGAGCCCGCACTGGTTGGGGGGCCGTGAGAGGGGGTGCTGCCTCGGCTGGTCGTACGTTGTGAGCAGGCGGGGGCGGCTGTGATGGAACATGGGCAGGCTGCGCAGCTGAGTAGACAGAGGGAGAGTGATTGGTTCGAGGTGATTCCTGAGGTTGTTGGCGCAGGTGTGGCTGAGAAATATGCAGCGAGGCCATTGCTGTGGCATTGGAGATATCTCTGGTTCGGGTAAATATAACGTCAGTGCTAATCTGTTAATTAAGCGGTGGGCAATAACACGTACGCTTCCAGCTGGCTTGCCTCCATGCGACGCTGATGGACAAAAGCCTTTGCGTCGTCGCGGAATCGGGCTACGATCCTTGCAAGGTCATTGTAGAACTTTCGCCCGACATCGAGGTTGGAAATGATCTCCTTATACTTCAGGTATCCATTTTCCAGATCTTGCAGCGCCGCTTCTCGTTCCTTTGTCGACGCGTCACCCTGATGAGACCCAGTAAATGCCCGGTTAGCTTCTCGGACCTGATCCGAGAGATGATCTTGCTCTCTCCGCTCCTGAGCCAGCATCTCACGGTCTGAATCATATAGTTTCAGCTGCTCCTCGAACAGATCTTCGAACTGGCTTGCCTGGATAGTCTGCATGGGGAATTCTCGCTCTAGTCGAGCTGTCTGTGTCAAAAGTGCCGGATCTAAATCCGATTCATTAGTAGAATCCAAGACCATTGAATAAGAAAACACGTACGAATATCATCCGCGCGAGCTTTGTCCTTCAACGTTTGAATTCGCCGCCTCCGCCGATTCTCCATTCGAGTGACCTCGCTCAAACAGCCACGCAACCGGTTAGCCTCGCGCTCAACCTCCGGTGGAATCACGACCCTCCGGCTACTAGGCACAAAGGATTCCAAGTCCTGATTCGTGCCAGTGAGAACGATAAAGACAGAGTGTGAATCTCGCAGCTTGCGCTGAACGAGGTCATCACTGCCTTGGGCGGAGGTGAAATAGCCGTCGATTTCGGTCAAACTCTTGTAGAGCTTAGGTGCAGCAGATTCTGAGGTCCCACGGGTCCATCGATCGGTGCCATATGTATGGCGAGCTGCAAGGTCCTCGGCCTTTTCAGCTGCTAGGAGTTCAGCGCCTTCATTATAGACAGCCAGGTCGTTGCCTTTGACTCTGGCGGTGTCTTCGATAGACCTGTGCAAGCGATTCAGACCTTCTTGTTGGCGTATTTCCTCCGCATGCGACACAAGCATTGGCGGGAGACCTAACGGTTTCTCGAGCGCTTGTAACGACCCTGGCAAATTGAGAGATGAAAGTAAGCTTAAACCTGATGTTAGCAAATTTCCTCTTAATAATTTCAGTATTTCGGTCGGATACGTACTCTCGCAACTTGTCGGTCATCGACTCCAGCTCTCCAATGAGAGTATCATTGACCAGTCGGTCTCGACGATCAGTGTAAATACTTGCGGCAATGTGAACTGCGTATGGGACCAACTTCGAGAACAGCGGTTGTCCCAACGGTCCGTTATCGCCAAGCATAGAGATCGCATCCGTAACCTGTGAAGGTGCTTTGGCAAGAACCATGCTAGCACGCTCAATGGTCTTGAGCTCAGACTTGGGCGGCACTGGGTTGATGTAGATCATGTCATTATCCTTCTCGGCACGCTTGAGATCTTCCGTGACACGGCTCTTCAATCCATTCAAGTCACCTAGTACAGTCCGATTAATCCACCGCTGCTCTTTCAACCCTTCGCCGACACAGATCAAACAATCGCGTAGCCGAGCAACCTCTTCTCCATACTTGCGCTTCTCCAAGCAGTCAAGCGCCTGTCGAAATTGAGCAGCAGCAGCAAAGTGGTGATGCTTCGCGGTCATGTGGTGAATCCAGTCCGTGCTAATTGCATTAGATTTGACAGCCGAGTCGCCTGCATCGCCGTAGAAGTCAGACACCTTGGCTGCCAGTTTTGCAATAGATACATCTTTTAGTCCATCTTTAACAGCTTTCTGCCAGAAGCACTCCTGGCCCTGTGCGAGCAAAAGATGTTCCAAACTTTGCAGTGTCATTTCGTCCATATCCTCCGGCGGCGACGTTCGAAGGTCTGGGATAATATCGGTTCGAAGGTGGCTCAATACTCCAGCGGCGGAGCAGAGGTAGTTACACGCCTGCTTGAGCCCATCTGCGGTAGTCCGGTTGGTCGCATATGCAAGCTGTGAGTATAATGCAGCGAGATTGAATAAGACATTCGCCAGTTCGAAGCGCAGGTTATTTTGCGATACTAAACGTCACGATTCGATCCCATTAGTCTCATATCCACCAAATCAGACGCATGCGGAGGGTGTGAACTCGAGAAGTCAACTCACCCGGCCGCGAAGTATTAAAGCCAAAAGCTGGATACCACGAAAAGTCCACCCCAACCTATATAGCAAACCAAGGGTAAGCTTTCAATGCAAAATCAGAGAGCCAGGACCTAGAAAGAATGGCGCACATCAATCGGGAACTTTCCACCCAGCCATTTCAGCTGAGCCGCATATGTGACTAGGCGGCTGATGCCACTAAAATGCGGTTCTTGGACATTGACAGCCTCGGATCGTAGGCGATCAATGATCATCAGATCCTCAGCAAACATGTCCGGGCGCTGGTCATATTTGGACGAGATGTACTGTGTGATCGCTTCGGAAAGCGAGACGGTATGTGAGCGCCGGAACGGGAGTTGGAGGATATTACTGTATATATCAAACAGAACAATAGGTTAGTGTCATTCCTCTCTTTTCACAGCTGCTCACATGCTGATGGGAGCACTCACGATGCCATTATCGCTCGAGGCGAGGGTGTGGAAGACTCCGTTTGTTTTGACGGCGGGAGGTTCAACCCCACCGGGCAACGGGATGACGTTTGATCGCCTGAGGCATCAATTAATTATTTCGAATACATGGCTAAGAACACTCTTCATTCGACACTACCCTCCCATTTGGCGCTTGCTGAAAGTTATGGACATTGAAATGTCTCATCCTACACCCGCGCCACTTTATTGCCCTGTATGCTTTTGTTGGGTCATAGATGAAAGAGGCCTACGTCCATGAGTCCTCGGTGAGAATGGCCCACGACCAAAGCGCCCATTATTGTTCCTCGTCCTTAACTATCGATCTACCTGGGTATACTTAAAGGTAGTTTCTTCTCAAGGTAATTTCACATGCCATAGGAGTCCGGTCACATATGCTCCAGCTGATCAAGGACGGGCCTCAGGTTCTGCCCAGAAGCGCTGGCGTGTTCGGCAAATTCGGCTGTCTATGTATTAGCACTGGACTGCCCTAGGCAAGGAATGAAGCTGCACCATCATCAGTCCCATCTATGACAATTTCATGCATCTTTCCGCTCAAGAAAATGGTTGCAGGACTTGTATTGGACTCCGACCTGCGGGGAAATTGGGATGGGATATGGAGACGAGGATAACTCGGTGAATCTAGAATGAAACACGCCCTTGGTCAATGTACGTTCCACCTAATACGGAAGGAGTCCCACCGAGGCCAAAATGCTGCGTGTCATGGAAAAATGACAGTTTACATCGGTCTTGCGTCGCCGCCGTAGAGCTGGCATCACGGAATGTTTCTCCAACGGATGGGGAAGTCAATACATAGGCTTCGCCAGGGTTCCCGATAATCACAGGAACCTTCTTGCAGACCAAGTTGCCTGTTGTGTCTTGAGTGATGAAATCCGTGGTGATTCTATGAAAATGACGAGTCCGAGAACCTTGTGCGACAAGGTGCCGCGAAAGGGGGCGGGCAACATTGCGAAACATGAGGAATCTGTCCATCATGTTTGTGGCATTAGCCAGACAAGATGATAAGAGCAAACGGGGCAAATGGGTAGCAGTGATAATAATATCCTACTTGGGATGGAGGTGGAGGATGGTCAACCTAGCTAGGGAATCACTTCTCTGCCATCTCCGCCCAGTCCGAGGGCGGCTAATGTGACTACAACCCTGTCAATCTCCTAGGCTATTTCCTCATACATCTGAGGTAGTAAAAGGAAGACATTAGCGCATTTTGAGCCGGCCAGATCACGACGCAGATTTGTTAGACAAACAGGGGGTGCCCTGTGTCAGACATGGCCAAACGGCCCCGATATACGAGGTCCAGCACCGTTCAGGTGCTCCAACGCGCAAAAGACCTATTAATTGACACGCTATGCCATTTTGGGATCATGCTTTTGGGTTTCTTTGTTGGCATTACGGAGATCGATGTGTTTGCTCCCTGCATATACTACCCCCGGTTGGTTGGTAGAGCTCCCCTATAGGTAGCCGCTTCTCCCCCAGTTCTGAGAGGGCTATCGTGTCTCCTTTCACGATCTATCCAACCTGTTCTATTCTACCATTCTACTCTATTCTGGCCCGCAACCCGGTTCAAACCCGGTCCTGTTGTGACAACTCACACTGCCATGTCCGCAGGTCATCGTACGTCCCTCTGCTTAGTAGCTGAGAATGCATCTGACTTACTATCTGCTAGCGTACCACCGCCTTGAACTGCCTGATGAAATCCCATTCGAGCTGAAGCCCTCACCAGGCAAAGGATGGGGTGCTTTCGCCACAAGACGCATTGACCGAGGATCCCTGATTTTGAGCGAAAAGCCAACCTTCGTTATCCAGAGGTCGCATACCGAAATCACGGATTATCATGTTACTATTGCCTTTCAACAATTGCTGCCCAGCCAAAAAGCACAGTTTTTACTCCTTCGCGACAATGGGTCAGGCTGTTTTACAAGTATGAATGAAGCTTTCGCTGAAAACTCATTCAACATTGCAAATTCAGACCACGACGAGCCCGAAGCCTATGGCCTTTTCCCCCTGCACTCACGCTTCAATCATTCTTGTATACCCAACTCGAAAATTCCAACTATTAGTGGAGAGGTCATTTCAAGCTTCGCGACCAGAGACATAGACGCTGGCGAGGAGATCAATTTCTGTTATAATCCAGATTTCGAAGGCAGGACTAAATATGAGCGTCATCAAGCCCTGCGTTTTACCTGCGATTGCGTGGCGTGTCTACCGGGCACTCCCTTCCAACAGCTTAGCGACATGCGACGGCGATTGATTCGAGGGCTTCAATACCTTACGCATGGCGTGGACTTGGATGGGCAGAGACAAAGTTCGCATGTTATTATTTTCGACTCTACACTGAAGTTTGTCGCAGAGACTTTCAGTATAACTCTTTCATCTAGGTTGATCTACGCCCTTCTCACGATGTTCTTTCTCGAAGAAGAGGGATTGCTAGATGATTTTATGGACGCAAGGCTAAGACCGAGCTTAACCCAAACGGTGCAATTGTTCAAGTCAAAAAGTAATAAAAGCATTGCCGGGCTAGCTATGGAACAGAAAACCTGGGTAAAGAAATTGGAAGTGGCATTCGAACTATATGGCCGAGAAGATCCTGCCGACTATGAGGTTACCCTAGCGCTACGACAATTGCGTCCATTGTTTTAATTCTTTTCATTTCGTGCATATATCACTTCATATTTTGATATTCCCTTCTGCTATTTGCTGAAAATGAGCCTCAAGCTCATCCATGTATGTATGTGGGTAATAAATACGAGAAGGAACCATGATGCCCAACGCACAATGGCAAGGAAAATGTTCAACAGGCGGACCGTTATTTCATCCTAACATGATTGTCGTGGCCCTATCCACGGGTGGTTCATTTCGGCAACCCATCGATACGCATTCTAATGTATTCGAAAATGCTGAGCAGGATCATGTTGTTGACGCCGGTCCGGATAAGAATGATGGAAAGGCCCTTGTACATGCTGGATTTGGCGACAGCCTGGGAGGCCTCGCCAATCTCGCTGGATTTCCCTAAAAGAACACTTTGTGCGCGGGTCTTGCGCGTATCGAGGGGATAAGTCTATGAGTCATATCAGTGCCTGTTCATTACGAAACGGGGTATCGATTATCGATCCGATAACATACGCAAAACCAGGGTACAGTGCTGCAAACAGCACCGGCAAGCATAGGTGCCCCGAAGGGATTCTTGTCCTGACCCAACTCCTTGGCTGCTACTTGCTTCACAGTCTCGTAAACACTGAAGTACAGTCCTGAGCCGACAGTGTCGCGCAATGCATGCAGGCGGAAACCGGTGTAAAGGCCCCAAAATCCATGTCGTATGTATATCTGCTTGATGGCTTGAATTGTCCCCAATCGGGGTTTATGACGCAGAGTCTGGTCTCGGGCTGCGTCCGGGCAGCCATCGCACGGTTCGACACTAGAACAGAGGTTTGGACGACATTCTTCGCCAGCTCGAAGGGGCCTGTTTCAATGTCAGTCCTTTTCCTCCCACTCTCCCATGCGACCAACATAAACATACAAGCAATAGGCGATGCCACTAAGCCAGCGACGAGGCCTGCAGTGGTGAAAGTAAGCACACCCGTCAAGGTGGGGGTGCTTCCAGGCTGTTTATAGTGGTCCAAAGGATTGGAACCAGTCACCCGCTCGACACTATCAGAGATTATGTCCTTGAAGGCATTGTACACGGTAAAATTGACGACACGGACTACTGTAACGCTCGCCAAGGGTGGAAGCGCACCTAGGTGACGGTCAGTCCATCCTTCAGCTACCGACTCATGGATACCGACTTACCAGCTACATATCCCCGAGGCCCTTCAGTACGCCAGAGATAGCGAACACACTGCCATATGTTCTTAAAATTGTGTCTTTCATACCAATTAGCATACTAATCCCATCCCCAATGCCACGTATAATACTTACGTCTGCATGCGAGTCTTGACGTTCTCTAAAGGAGTCTGCTCATCGAATTATGAGGAATTAGCATGTTTTACATCCCATTAGAGTGGTGGATAAACAATCAAGATTCCGAGCAAAAGCCCACGGAATAAAGCACTCACCACCGCCAGCGTCGCGCAAATGGTCGACGCCCCCGAAGCCACCTGGGTTTTGTACTTTTTGAGGAGTCTGTTCCGTGTGGCCTCATCCATGTTCCAAGCTTTGTGGTCTGGCATAGCGGCGGTTCTTGTGTGGTGGGCAGACGAGGATAATGGTGCATTTTCAGAGCTGTTGTCACTAGTCATCCCTGAACGTTCTCCATTGGCGGCAGCGAGGAATAGCTATAACAATCTGTCTCCGGACGTCACAACACGTCGTATTCTGCACAGTCTCTTACACCTGCAGGCTGGGGAACCCGATGGAACGCAAAGCGGTCTCTCAGAACTCGAGTAGACCGTTCAGCGTCCCACAATTGACCATTAAACGGGCTCGACCAACCCAGTTCTATCGTCAGTCTGTTGGAAGGTATCCCAGAAGGCCCTTGCAGTATAGATTGGCGCGTTTAGATCCGTCTTTGCAGATTATGAGATAGGTTCGGTATTGGGTGGCCGAACCAATGACGGCCACGGCAACGGATGCAACCCCGCGTTCACAAATGGTATCTAGGAAGTGTGGCGCGGGATTGAGTGGTTCGAATGATGTTCTGGGAGAGTCCCCTGTTCCAGACAGCCAGGATATTCTTGCCCAGGATGTGTCGTCTATAGCAATGGGTTACTGATAGTGGTCGGGAGCTGTGGGGGGGGAAGACGACCATTAGCATCAATTTGATTTCCCCACGTTTCTTGATAGCAGGACAAAACAGAGTACGAGCTTCTCTGTCTTATGAGGAGGACTTACCGACAATATTCCCGCAATATCCCACCCAACAAAAGGTGGCCTAATGCAATGTGAAGAAGAAGAAGAAGATGATGAAGAGAGAAGTGCAGTAAAATGGCATGTGGACCGAGCTTAACTTGGGCGCTCAAAGCGGTTTAGGGCCAAACAGAGTGACGTCGTCGTGAACAGCAGCGGAGAACAGACATCTTCTTGGTGTTTTAAACACCCGCGGATATCATGCAAATGGCATTGTTTGATCTGTTGTGTATATCTATGCTGAGACCCTGATCTTATTCTATCAGGAAATTGATCACGCTATCTATATGTAGTCTTGGCACCGCCGAGGCACATCCGCCGGTCGCGGTCTGATCATGTTATCTTCTATACGTTTCCTGCAGAACAGGAATATACGTGTGGTATACGGAGTATGCAAAGCAGACTTTGGGAAGATCACAGAAGGTTAGACCACGGATCATTGTGAGCTGTGCAATATACAACATATGTGGAGGACAGTACTCCGTGGCCGGGCCCCACGCAGGGATTGGGCTCATTACCACCCACTAATTTATGTAATCACATCCATCGAAATCATCGAATGATTATAAACCAGATTCCAGGCTCAAATTCAACTACCTTGCCGTGGTTGGGAGATTCTACAGATCATTAAGCAACAATCCGGACTTCCGGGCTGCCAGCTTCCTTATACCCGATCCTGTATTGAGTACGGAGTAGGGAGCAACTGTTTGAATATGGGGTATATGCCTCATGCCACTGCAATAGACTGTCAGGACCCTCCCGTGTGGAAATGCTATATTGGGCGGAGATCATTTGGGGCACTCCATTACCTCGCTTGTGAAGACTGCAAGTTAGGTTGGCTGGAATGTGGCTCATAGAACGATGTTCGTAGAAAATCAAGACATATCAACTTGGGCAATTGCATGAATAATTTAAGATGCCCAAGTCCAACATGCTACTGGATCAACTGGATTAGAATGGCTGAAGATATGAATAGTAGTAACCCTGTGATTGTCTCGTACGTCCCGGCCTTGTTTCACATGAGACCCTACATTTGAAGTTCAACCAAAGAACACATGGTTCCCTTTTCCTTTCCAACCCCCTGGATTAGGTTATGCCCAAATCGACAATATCAACATGATAATGTTGAGATGATTATGTGAATAAAATTGCACAAGTGCCGCGGACGTGGTTCCTCGGGACCTCGGTCTATCCCCCCAATTTCATGCTGAGCTCCCCACATACCGCTGATTCGTCTTTATAAGGTCTCACTTCTCGAGTTGAACCTATACAAAGTCCACTTATCTTTACCTCTACCAATAATTCAAGATATACACCATGGGAAAGAAGCAAGGAACCCCCGCCTATGTTCTGGGCGTTGGCATGACCAAGTTCATCAAGCCAAGGGGCAAGGTCGATTACCATGAGCTAGGCTATGAGGCCGGCATCAAAGCCATGCTCGACGCCAAGATTAACTACGACGATGTTGACCAGGGTGTAGCATGCTACGTTTATGGAGACAGCACCTGCGGTCAGCGCGTGTTCTACCAGTTCGGCCAGACCAGCATCCCGATCTACAACGTCAACAACAACTGTTCGACCGGGTCGACTGGCCTCGCCATGGCCCGTACTATGGTTTCTCACGGTGCTGCAGACTGTGTGCTAGTCGTCGGCTTCGAGAAGATGAACCCCGGTAGCTTGCAATCCATGTACAACGATCGCGAGAACCCAACGGGACTGTTTGGAATGATGATGGCCGAGACGCGGGGTGTGACCAATGCGCCCGGTGCCGCACAAATGTTCGGAAATGCGGGTGTGGAATATAAGGAGAAGTATGCAACCCCTCGAGATGATGTCAACCCATGACAAGAAGGGATACGGTGCTAATATGTGAAAAACAGGTACGGTGCTAAGAATGAGGACTTCGCCGAGATCGCTCGCGTCAACCACGAGCACTCCAAGCGCAACCCTTACTCGCAATTCCAAACCGAATACACCCACGAGCAGATTATGAAGGCGCCCATGATCCACGAGCCCCTGACGAAGCTACAGTGCTGCCCAACCTCGGATGGTGGTGCTGCCGCCGTAATTGTCTCGCAGGACTTCCTTGATGCGCGACCCCACCTGAAGGAACATGCCATCCTCATTGCCGGCCAGTGCCTCGCCACTGATACCGATACAGTCTACAACAAGAGCTCCATTGACCTGATGGGCTTCGGCATGTCGCGCCGGGCATGCCGCACTGCCGTGGCTGAGGCCGGCGTCAATGTCAAGGATATCAAGGTCTGCGAGCTGCATGATTGCTTCTCGGCCAATGAGATGATTACTATCGATGCGCTGGAGCTGTGTGAACCCGGTCAGGCCCATGAGATGGTCCGCCGTGGCGACATCACGTATGGCGGAAAGATGGTTATCAACCCGTCCGGCGGTCTCATCTCCAAAGGTCACCCGCTTGGTGCCACAGGAATTGCCCAATGTGCTGAGCTAGTCTGGCACCTGCGTGGCTGGGCCAACAACCGTCTGATTGATGGTACTTCCGCGGCACTGCAACACAACCTCGGTCTGGGTGGTGCCGTTGTCGTGACCGTCTACAAGCGGACTGATGGCAAGGTCGCCGCTGCTGTGCCTTCAGACGTTGTTGGCAAGATCAACGGCCTGGGCTACAACCCAGCTGTGGAGGCCAAGGGCTTCACTGCTGAGCAGGCCAAATCTGTCGTGAGCAAGAAGCACGCCTCTGAGTATGCTCTGTCAGATACCGAAGAGCGTGTCCTTGCCAGATTCTAGAGGCACAGGCAAGCATTATTTAGCTGAACAATTTGTACATAATTCTATCACTTGAAATGACACGACATGCAATTTATTTCACAATGCACCCCAGTCTGCCCGATCTATATGCCCAAAATGTTCCAAGATCCATTCTATAAACAAGTCTCCAAATCGCAAAAGAAATCATGAATCATGAATGCGTCTCCTTCCAATTCTCAGGTAGCTTGTAGTTCTTCGGCACAGAATACTGCCCTTGACAGCTCCCCGGACCCCGACACTTCAAATCACACTTCCCATACAACCGACAATAGCACTCAGAAGCACTTGGACAAGCATCGCGATTCAATTGGTCGAGGTCAATGGCTCCTTCATCCCCGTAACTCGCAAAAAGAATGTGCCAAAGATACGAGACAATCCGACCAGCCACAAGGTCATCAGGAGGCGCAGCCATAGACCCCTGCTGCACATTGCGTGCAACCCCATCATCACTCCCATCAAGCAGCCACTGTCGAAGTGCAATATACTCATCCCGACTATGCTGCCAGATTCGTTCGCGGGCAACAACAAACTGCGCACAGCACTGCGCGCGCACGGCATCATTCCGACCAAGATAAAGATGGAAAGCATTGCGGATCTCTTTGACCCGTGCATCAGCATCTCCACCAAAGATATGGCCAAGTGCCTTCGGCAGCGCTATATCCGATGCCGAGCGCGCACTCCACGGCGACACGGCGCTCGACAGCCTCATCTCGAGACTGCCCTGCGGGGGCACAGAAGAAGGACACGTGCCGGCGCTCCAGTCACAGCGCAGGTTGCTGTATCCAGCTGGCTTTAGAGCGGCACGGACGTCCAGGCCGCGTAGAAGTGCAGCATTATCGTAATCTGGGACGTCGTTGTGCCAAGCCCAGCGGCTGCCGTGGACGAAGACAGCGCCGGCGGATGGTATGTCCGCGTAGTTGTCGATTAAGAAGGTTAGGTAGGCCATTGCTTCATGTCCGCGGTTTGCGGGGACTTGGAGCAGTTTGGAAGTTTTGTCTGCTGGCGCGTCCACTTGATACATGCATACATGGTACTGGGTGCGGAGTGGTTCTAGCCAGGATGGGTCGCCGTCCGTGGAGACATGTGAGACTATCAGGGCTGGTTTGATTGTTTCTGCCAGGCCGGGGCATATTCCGCGGGCTTCCGGGATGATGGATGAGGTTGTTTTGTAGCGTATTTTGGTCCAAGCAAAGAGTTTGTCTTTGGTTGATTGCGGGCGGTTTATGTATAAGATGAAAAAGAGAATGCAGAGAAATATGATTAGTTGGGTAAATGACCTTTGTACTTTTCGGCCCATTTTGTGTATTTACTCATGCAATTATGTCCACGGGTGTCTTCTTTCCTTTTGCCCCCATGATATTTCAGATATTTCGGGGCATGTGGGAATATTGATGCCTTAGGTGTTGATATCGCCCCTATTCGCAAGATCGGCGGGATCGGCGGGATCGGCAGAGAGAAGTGCCCATAGATTTGGATGTGGATGAACATGGTATTAATCCTGACTATAATGTGCCCTATTCCTACTATGTAAGACATTCATTTTGAGGATACCTAACGACATTTAATGAGTCTACCTAGGCGTTAATACTTTATGTATTAAACCATAATCGGGCTTTTCGGTTTACTTACATAAGTATCTATGTCATGCCGAGATCCACCTGGGCATCCATGGATACCTACCTAGGTAGGCTAGGTATATGCTTCCCCAAGGTTTTGTCCTCATGTTGTATAAAGGTTATTTTCTTCACATTTGTTATTAATATAAAAAGCAGCAACATAATCTTGTCATGTCCACCACCATCTACTTCAATCCCAACTTATAAGGGTGGCACGATTACTGTGGAACATAAATCGTAGTCAACTAACTACATGTGCATATGTAGCTGACCTCAAATTTCTCTCAGATGATGAGAATTTAAGATTGCCTCGTCTTCTCACAGAAATTCCGATACTCAATATATATTTTACTTCCGCCATAAGGAATATCTTGCCTCGTCGGTAGTTACCGACATTGTCACACAACCTTGGAACCTTGGAGCTCTTCAGTATGATCTCTTACATTCCAACCATTCACCTTGACATCTATGTAGGCCTCTCTCCATCCTACAACATTAAAAGTACGGTAAACACCCTTCTGATGCTCATACGATGAATGCGTCTGAATGGCTTGCAGGTCCCTTGATTTTCACGGCCCAGCCAATGCCTTGGATGGGCTTGGGGATGTGATCAATCTCAGTCCGGGGGCTAGTGCTCTGTGGACTTCAAACCGCTTGAAGTATCAGATACCGAGCTCACTATATGTTTCTATTGGCATCAAGAGCAGTTGCCTAAACACAAGAGCAGTTGCCTAGACACAATGATCAAATTATGCTGATATCAATGTCTGTCCGTTCTGGGTGGCCTACAAATTCTGCAGGCAACGGTTTTGCGCGTCTCGACTTTGCAGACTGTAGACCCTCCGCCGGTCATGTCATTAGCAGCGGTGACGATTTCAAAATAACAACGGCCGCGCATCCCATCCACTTCCCGCCCGGAGACTTCTGCAAATGCATTGGTTTTTGAGCCCCATTATGGCTCTTTCTAGTGCGGCGAATGTCAATGTTGAGATGGGCTATGCCACGCATGATTCTTGGTCGACAGACGAAAATTCGTCACTGAATGCTGGCTGGGCTGAATGGGAGAAGAAGCGGATAGAATCCAGGTCGGCAACACGAACAAATAATTTCCGTCGTATCGTCGTTCCGATCTAATGAGTTTGCGATTACAAAAACGGAGACATATATTATCTCGGTCGTAGCTGTATGGCTAGTTTGAAGATTTCCAAATGGTTGTGGACCTGCTAATGCACGGCGAAAAGGAATGAGGAGATATGTTTTACGACATTGAAGTTGGATCCCTAAGCTGTCAAATTGAAATCGAAACCAGAGAGCTGTTGACAGCAAAGGAGACGAGACTGGAGATCCACACTGGAGGAAGCATAACAGCCACGTGACCGTGTGACATAATCCACGCTACTGGCCCCGTCGAATAAAATTTTGCGATCGGTATTCTCTTTTCCTTTCTTCTTCACTTCAAAACATATTCACGGTCCCCAACACACTCTTGTCGATGGAATAATCTCACTCTATCTACATATTTTAGCTTAGGGACCCAGACCGAAGAATGCTCGTTCTAATCCCGCCCCCTGACATTCAGCCAGAGGGGAACGGGTTCGCTTTTGAGCCAACATGCTGTATTGATATGAATCTTGCGATTTGGTCTTACAGAGTCTGATGCATTTGGAAGTGTTTACTCGCAGGGGCTAGCTTTGGCTGGCACCGAACTCTTGATGCTTGGGTTTCAACCCTGCGAGCCACTTTGTCCTTGCAACTTGCATGGTCATTTCCTCCAGACAGGGATGATCATATTCATGTTTTTTTTCTACCCACTAACTCCTATACAGCTATATAGATGTAAACAATCTTGGCATCTTCGAAGTCTTGTCCGTCTTATCTTGATGTTTGAGGTCAAAAAGATGCCAAAACTAAGCCCTCACAGTTGGATACGTCCTTCTGGAGACTCCCTCGTGTTACGTCCGCTCCCTCTATGGGGCTGTGCGTGTCAAAGTTGGGAGATACATTCCTTGTAAACAGCTATAGATTGTGAATGGCTATTCCATATGTGACTTGTCACACAGACAGGCGCCGCCTCCTAATATCGGAGAAAACAAAAAAAAAATGCTCCGTCGTTGTGGAATGCTTGCAGATCTGCATCTCACATCAGTCCTTGCTAGGGACTCGCAACAACCCTTCATCGAAGACCTGCGTCTCCATCCCTGTGGAAATTTAGTTCCTGCGTTTTGAGTAGCTGCATCTGCATTACAGGAGTTCCCAGAAGAGAGCCCGTGAAAACCTGCACAGGTCCTCAGGATTTGTTTGACTAAAACCAGCCTGAAAATTGCTGAGCGCTCGGGTGCGGCTGTCAGGCATGAGTATGGAGTCCTTCCAACTCTAACATTTCGACATGGAATGCGGCACGATTCATAATGAGGCGTGGTCCGCGTAGCCTTGGTCCATTTCCTCACTTTGGTTAACTGATTCACCATCATCGAATATCCCTTGACGATCTTATGCTAGCCATTAGCTTCGACGGATATACTTCAAAATAGGAGGCCTCAAAGCCCATACATATGTGCCAATATATAGCTGAACGAATCTAATCTCTCTTCCCAAAATAGCCTTTGGTATGGCCAAAGGGCCCATAAGATAAACAAAGTAATAGTATTGTTGTTTATTCCAAACGGGGAGTCCGAATACCAGGCGAAGACGCGCGGTAGCTAGTCGCAACTAGACTCTTCACCCTAGCCCCCCTGGCATCCCATTCCCTCCATAATGTGATTGAAGGGGCTCTTTTATAAATCCCACGTAAGGCCCGCAGAGCCTAGGGCTCTGTTTCTCCCAGCGCCCTGTGTATTTGCAACAATCACTCGTTTTCCTCAGCGCTTCTCACTCACACTCGTTTGAAGACAATTATTTGAACATATATTCCTTCCCACCATCTATATCCTGTTTAACATACACCATTCAAAATGGCCCGTTTCAGCCTTTCATTCATCTCCATTTTCCTTGTGCTCGCAGTTTTTGCTCTCTCCATGCCCACCAAGCGTGACGGGCAAGCTCCCAGTCAAGGACTTGGCCTCGATGGTACCATTAAAGACTTGATGGTTAGTCAACTGTGTCAAAGCCACCATGAGAAGTATCATATTAATCAATGAACTCAGCATGCTACAAAGTTGATGGATGGTCTCGACAACAAGGATAGCAATGAAAAGGAGAACCATGAGGAGGAGCAGAAGGCCAACAAGCAGGAGGCCCAAAAACAGGAGGCCAATGTTTCTGCGAAGGTGGCTGACAAGACCGGGGCTGATAGCAAGCCTACTGCTTCTGCCACCCCCACCAAGAAGCTTTCCTCTGGCAATTTCGTGACCCCCACTGCTACCCCTACCAACAAGCCCACGTCTCAGCCTAATGCCTTGGGCAGCCTTCCCATTGTCGGTGGTCTTCTTGGTGGCGCAGGAGGCGGACTAGGCGGACTCTGATTCACCAAGAATCGAGCCCCAATATGTGAGACGGGATATGAAAGTGATACAGAATCTGTGTTGAACCCAATCCTACTTCGGTCGACACTAGCTGGTCAATATTTATTTTCGTTGTTTACTTTTGTTTGCAAGGGGAAGGTTAATGAGATCCTTTTCAGATTTCACGATGAATTTGATATGATTAGTTCCATTGCTTGTCCGTTACGATTTGTTCCCAACCTGTATTGTGTCCGCTAATGTGCTCATTCGAGCAAACCCCTCCCCTCCCCTCCCCCCTCCCTTCGCCCTTAAGCAATAATCGCATCACGAGCTCTGGCCGCGGCTTGCCTGTTGGCCTTCATGAAGTCCCGTGTAATAGCCTGCATAGTACCATGACATCATGAGGTTCTTCAACGACTCATCTTGGACTAGAAATATATGTTAGTTACATGAATCAACATGTCTCGAGGGCAGAGCATACCGTTTGCCATGATTGGGTGAGGCATCGGCATAGCAGGCGTGGAGACTACAGAACTGGCACCAGCCACGGGTTGAGAAGGCTATATATCGTCAGCGAGTCCTTTGACGAGGGACGAATCATTGAAATGGCAATATACCTCGGGCGCAGACTCAGAAGCCTGCTCGTCAATGGCCATCGAGACATCCTCATTCTCAGGTTTAGTGGCACCATCCTCTGCGGCTTTGGTGCCTTCATTGTCACCGGGACGTATAACTGGAATAACGCCAGTGTCTTCCGCTTCTTTCAAGACATCTTCAACATTTTCACCCTTGGCGTGAATGCTCCAATAATGCTGGCGTCGGGTTAGATATTCGTCACGTGAATTGGTGACTCGGTTTACTGACCTGGTATTCTTCGACAGCATCGTCCCAGGACTGAACCAGGGCAGAATCATCCCAGACCTCTGCATGTGTCAAGGACCCTTTTTTATTCTTTCCCATGACGTTGGCCCATTTGGGGTTGTAGTAAGTAAACATCTTGGCGGTAACTGTCGTAATCGGTGGTCGAGGCGGCTCACCGCCTTCCAAGCAAATCAGAGAAGAAAAAAAAGTTTCCCGCAGATGATCGAGCAGCATACAGTCTCCAATTCGACACAACAAAACGTCAAAATGGCCCCTGACAAGAGAGTCTCAAAGCGCAAGGGTATGTGAAATTCCTATGACCGGTGGAATTTATTTTCATGTCACTAACGCTACTGCAGCTGCGCCTGTCGCCGCCGACTCACCCGCAAAAAAAACCAAGAAGGTCGAGACCAAGCCCGCCGAGGCAACTAAGGAGACCGCTCCCAAGTCTATCTTGAAAAAGAACGAGAAGGGTACCAAGTCCAAGACAGAGAAGGCTGCTGCACCGGCCAAGACCAATGGCGAGCCCGCACGCGAGGTCAAGCCTCGCAAGCGTGCTGCTGACTTCCTTACCGACGAGGAGGCCGATGAGCCTGTCGCGCCTGTGAAGGCTGACAAGAAGGTCGAGAAGAAGCCCGCCGCTAAAAAGTCCAAGAAGGAGGAGGCTGAGGCCGCCCCCGTCCCAAAGAAGGCTGCCGCGAAGAAGGCCGCTCCCAAGACCAAGAAGCCCGAGCCCGTCGTCGAGTCCGAAGAGGAAGATGCCGAGGAGGATGTATCCCCCGCTGATGAAAGCGAGGCTGAGAACGAGGGTGATGATGACCAAACTGAGGCTCTCATCAAGGGCTTCGAGAGCAGCGGCGACGAGGATGAGTCTGATGGCGAGGGTTACAAAGAGGGTGAACCTATCCCCAAGGCCCCAGACACCAAGAAGGCCGAGCGCAAGCTCGCCAAGCAGCTGCGCAAGAACGGTCCTCCTGAGGAGCCCGGTACTGTCTATATTGGGTGAGTCTTGACCGTGATTTCTGACTAGTATGAACCATCTAACATACCATTCTCAGACGCATCCCCCACGGTTTCTACGAGCACCAGATGAAGGCTTACTTCTCCCAATTCGGCGAAATTACTAAACTCCGTCTCTCGCGCAACCGCCTCACCGGCCGCTCCAAGCACTACGCCTTCATTGAATTCTCCTCGACCACCGTCGCCAAGATCGTCGCCGACACAATGGACAACTACCTTATGTACGGTCACATCGTCAAGTGCAAGTTCGTGCCCAAAGAGCAGCTGCACCCAGAGATCTGGAAGGGCGCCAACCGCCGCTTCAAGGTCACGCCATGGAACCGCATCGAGAAGAAGCGTCTCGCGAAGGGCAAGACACGCGAGCAGTGGTCGAAGAGCATTGAGTCCGAGCAGAAGAAGAGAGAGGCCAAGGTTAACAAGCTTAAGGCTCTGGGCTACGAGCTTGATCTTCCCCAACTGAAGAGCGTCGAGGATGTCCCCGTCCAGGAGGCCCCCAAGGCTGTCGAGGCCGCCGAGGCCACTGAGACCACCACTGAGGAGCCTACCAAGGCCATTGAGGCCCCTGCTCCTACTGAGGCTCCTGCTGCCGCTGAGGCTCCTGTTCCTACCAATGATGCCCCTAAGAAGGCCAAGAAGGGCAAGAAGACAGAGGCACCCAAGGCAGCTGCTACAGAGTCACCGGCTGCTAAGTCTCCTGCCACCAAGGCGAAGGGAAAGGTCACTAAGAAGGCCACCAAGACCAAGTCCAAGGCGTAAACGGGATCATGTAAAAATTGTTTCTAATTTCATTCATCAAGCCTCTTTCTCAAATGCATTGTGTTTTTTCTTTCTTTCATCGCGAAGTCCCCTTTGGTAATATTCAAAGGCTAAATCAGCATGAACAATAGTAACGAAAAAATGTGAAAGGTCAAAAGAGTACCAGTGGTTGATAGGGATGCCTCAAGCTAATAGGACTTCTTTTGAGGGATATTCTCTCTATTTCTATTTTGTCAGTGAGCAAATCATCATTTCCACCGTGTCTTGCTCGATACTTTACTTTCCTATATTGTATGTTGTATATAACCTGGAACATCGCAAGCCCTAACCCGATGCCATATACGCTAGTCTGAATCAGGACTAGCGCCATCACCTGACTAGCGCAAGAAAAATAAAAGCCTCGCCCCGAATATTCCGTTCCCTCTTCTTTTTCCAACTCCTCGCTCAAAGAATCGCATTCAAAGCTCACACACAAAAGGAAGCCTCGCTCCCTTTTCCAATTTTGCTTTGGGAGAAAGTCCCCGGACACCCTGCGCTTCGGGTAAAACCGAAGTACCAAGCCAGGCACTGCGGAAACGCGCCGCCATAGAAGCAATTCGATAGCGGCTTACGCCCTATTCCCTCACGGCATCCCGTGCCACCCGACGGTCACATCACGATGTCTCTGGAAACAATGGGGTGTGTGCTGGGTGTTGGAGAGGGGAAGAATTGGTGGTAAAACACCTTTTCTTGTATTGGGTTGCCTTTCGTCATGTTCGGATAGTCATGCGATTGCCTCCTGTCTGCTTCCTCGGAAGTCGATGGAGGTAACTCAATGGGGCTCATTCTTGAGGCGAGGAGTTCCTTTGTCTTTTCTTTTCAAGAGTCTGTAGCTTATGGCAAAGCGGTGATGAGATGCTGTCTCGTTACAGAAGCCCTGTCACAGGGGCCGGACTCTTATATCTTGCCATCGGCTTCATTTTTTTTCTTGTTCGCGTGATGATATACCAATCATAGAGTCAAGCACAGAGATCCCAAGGGATTGTTGACGATAAACGATTTAAAATTATCTGATGAACATTCTATATAGCCAATTTTTCAATGCAATCAAAATGAATGATTAAAATGCAATATTCGTAGCTAAATCGTAGCATTCACTTCGTATAATACAACCCGTTTCCATGCAATATAGCCAGGTCCATGTTTTCGTATTCACTGTGCCTTCTTGCTCTCAGCGCTGATAGGTGCAGCCTCCCTCTGTTCCTTCTTCTGACCAACAGCCTGCACCAGCAATGCTCCCATAATCTCGGCGGCGAGAGCGATAGTAGTCGCACAGACATTACTCCAAACCTGGATGCTGACGGATCCAAGCGGGGCGCGAGGGAAGGACACAATCCATTCAACGTAGTAGGGGAACCAGGCCTCGGGAAGCGGGAAGACAGGCGTTTTCGAGTACCAGAACTGCAGGAAGATCTTCAACCCGTTCGTGCTGAGCCAGCGGGCGATCTTGACAGTCCAGTCAAAAGAGGATTTCTGTGCGGTGAGTGTCTTGTCTGTGGAGAGAGAAGGGTGTTAGCAGTCTGGTCAACAAGATAACGATGACTCCTCTGTAGTCTTGTGATAGTGACACATACTCAGCGCCTCGTATTCCTCCATGCTCTTGTCGTGTCGTCTCCGGGCCTTCGCCCACTTCGCAAACTCATCCTGGGAGCTTGTGCTGTTCATTTCATGCTTCTGCTCGAGGACTTGACGCTTCAGCTGCTGCTGCTTGCGTGCAGTCCGCGAGGTTGGTGTCGGCAGTTTTAGATAAAGAAGCCATAGCTGTATGCCAAAGAGAGGTGTTAGCGTGTTGGATCACAATGTAGGTGCGCGGCGGAGCTGGGAAGCTTCCCAGAGCCCATTCGTGGGCGGATTGGAGACATACAAGGCTGTCAATGGTGCTTGCGCCAATCGTATTGACCAGGTAGATTGCGACGTGCACGAAGAAGACCGTGAGGACGAGGGACAACATCGTGGCGGGGGCTGGAAAGACCGAGATCAGGCGTTGAATGCGACAGCGCAGGCTAGGAGAGCCTGAAAGAAAGCGACGACAGCACAGTCAGTCGACTAAGTGAGTCCCTGACGACTCTGCTGCTTCAAACTGGGAACGTCCTAGGTAGATGTTGGTTGCTGGTTGAAGGAGTGAATGACGTCCCTCGTTGTGGAAAGGTGGAAATAACAGCGGACTTGGTCTTTCCGCCTTCACTGTATCACGGTCTACACCATCTCGTCTCGTCTATCACCTTGTCTGAGGCAAGGCAAAAAATACGGAATTATTTAAACAGACAAAATACGATGAGGCCTTGACAATTATTCCTCCCGATTTCCACAAAACCATCAAGCCTTCAAATGTCCAATCCGGAAGATGCATTCCAGGAACTTGTCCGTATCTTCTCGTCTAGAGACAACCAAGTCCTCGAGATCGAGATCATCCCACCAAGCCTAGGCGCTATGTTTCTCCAAGATGGATGTTCACTTGGAATAACCAAGAAAGCACTAGTGCAGGGCTTCACGGTCGCGCGCCAGCTCTTCTTCGACCAATTAATGCCCATGTCCGATGATGACCTGCAAACCACATTTTCCGAAAACGCCCAGTCCAGAAATGCAGACTCGGCTATTACAGAAATGATGCTCCTCTTTGACTGTGAGCATCTCACAGCCTGTAACTGGCGCAAGCGCCGACTGTGGGCAGCCATGGCGCAGTGCCCTGGTATTTCAAACCAGACCTCTGCCGCAACAGAGTTGTTAGAAGCCGAGCTCACGCTCATGTCGAGCTACCAGTGCTCGCCACTACATCGTCATACCAAGTCGCCGACACTCTGGCATCACCGGCTGTGGGTGGTTGTCCATCTGCTTCAAAAGCGGCATTGGAGTCCCGAGGATCTGCTCAAGCTGCAACGGACGGAACTGGAAGTTGTTCTCCGCGCTGGCGAGTTACATCCCAAGAACTATTATGCCTTCAGTTATATGCGACAGTTGGATGTGCTCCTCGCTGCCACGGTGGAGAAGACGACGGGGCAACCAAAGTGGGAAACCCATCCGGCGCAGTCAGTTGTCGAACGCGTGGTTGATTGGTGCTTAGCTAATCCACGCGATATATCGGGTTGGAGCTTTAGCCTCTATCTGCTGAGCAATGCCCGGACCAACATCGAGCGAATGCTCTTGGGAAAGTGGTCAGGTTTGCACTCAACGTTGGATGGGAAGGCGAGAGTCTTTGGACGTTTGTCGACCAAGCATCGCGGCTGTTTGTGCTTGGAAGCATGATCGAGGATATCATGCTGTCGCACTGCGATCAAGAAATCAGATCTCGTGATTCCCCAAAGATCCAGGACAGTCAACGGGAGAAGTCATGGCAGACCTGGCTGGCCCGGGCGAGAGTATGTTGGGTCATGGACGGCCAAGGGCAAGATATATGACCGGATGTGACATGGATGTATATATATCTCTTATTACGTGTTTACGATTACCACCAAAATTGCACCTCCATGATATTTCTCATGTGTCGTTACCTCGTTTGGTTAGCGCTTTTGTATACATGCTTGGGCTAAATATGATGAACGCCAATGAGATTCAAAAGAACGCCTCGCTAGACACCCAGCCCCAGGTTTTGATAATTGGACATAGGTGGATGATTCCGATCGTATCCATAAATCCAGCGCCGTCGTAGTACACTTTGCGATGCTGCTCGGTGGGTTGTCTGCTTCGGGCGATCGCGATAAAGGTGGAGGGAGATGAGATTGACTGACAGGTTGGATCGATGGATTGAGGTGTATTATTTTTTGCTTTTTCCTGCTGCAGCCTCGGCGGCTTTCTTTTCATCGGCTGTAGAAGAGAAGTGATCAGTAAACCAGTCTCATAGCCCTGGAGTGTAGGTTGAACTTGCGCCTAGCGCCTTCAAGTATACATACCCTTCCTCTGCTTCTCGCGCATGATGGCAGCGGCGTCTTCCCTGCTCCTAGCGAATTCACTACCGGACTGGTTGTTCTTGCTCTTCTGTAGAAATGGTCAGTATGAACAAAGAGGAGGGGAATAAGGACGAACCGTGTTGCCCGCCTTCTTCAGGGCCTTAGCCCGGTCGTTGTCACGTTGGTTACCCCGTGTCATGGTTATAATATTGTTTCAATTATTTCAAGAGTGTCAAAAGTAGTTGGGGGCGAAACGAAACGTTTGGAGAGTGAGAGAAAAAAAGAGTTTGGAGGGGTCGGCTGGATTCCGGCGAATCACAGGAGTTTCGCTCATCTAGTACTTTCTGTATACCTTCACTATACACTTCTTCCCAACATCCTTCATTGGATTGTCGGAGTATTTCTTTGTTATTTTATCCGATTGACCCATTTCAGCGACTAGGTGCTGCCTGTGATTGGGCTATATTCTTACCTTGTTTCAACTCTGGCTTTCTAATTGACCCCTGGCGCTTCGCCTCAAAGTCCACTGCCAACAATGTATTTTACCCTTCAAATATCTTGCCAGATCCACGTTGATACATATATGATTTAAAATTCTTTGTACTGTATGTATTCATCGGGTGACAAGGCATGTTTGAGGCATGGAAACAAAACATTGAACACCGGCAACACAAGCAACACAGAGGAAAGAAGGGCGAGTTGTAGCCGCCAACTCGTTTCAGCATGGTCAAGTATCTTTCACTAAGAGCCAGTCATTTGGCTACATCGGGCTCTAGTTGAGATCCTAATAGCGGAGATGTAGGTAATTAGGCTTGTTCTGGCGACAACCCGGTCTCTGCGCTTAAAAGTCCTTATTTATTACATGGACATTGAAACACCTCCTGCAGTATACCTCACTGCAGAAATGGGGTGAAGGAACCCTGCCGATCTCTTTCAGTAGGGCTCTAATTAGATACATACCATTTGTGTGGTTCATCTAGATGTTTCAAGTCTATTCATAGAAAATAGTACTATCGCCTTTGTCCGGAGCATACATGTAGGCTGCTGTGCCTCAATAGCCATTCTTCCATAGATGCCTTTCTTCATTGTCGCCATTCACCCTTCTCTTTTGTCTTTTGTCTTTCTTTCTTCTTTCCTTGCCCTCGAGTTGATCTCGTTCTATTGCATTGTTCTATTCTTTCTTGGAATTATCAATATTTCTGCTGGACAGTCGCCTTCTTCCCTCTTTTAATCCCAACGCTGCCCCTCCAAGTCTGCTAGCAGACAATTTTCTATACATCCTCGACAGCGAGTATCCACCATTCCTGATAAGTGCAGAAATAGGCCTGTACCTCAATCATGATGACTCGCTTGCGTGAATCCCTGGCTGGTCCAGGGTACGTGATCCTGAACGTCATTCGCGTTCTCAACATTATCACCTTTATGGACCTTATAGCTGCTTGTGCAGTCCTGCTGGCCAAGATCGACATGCTGAACAGCTTCTTCTTCTTCGAGGCTGTGACCCATGCCGTGGTGGCTCTGGTCAGCCGTAAGTATACTCTTCCTTCCATGCTTGTAGTATAAATGCTGACGTGGGCAGTCTTCATGATAATCTCGGAGCTCCCGATCCTCCAAAGCTATTTCGACAACCACTGGCCGATGTTCGGACAAGAATCGAGTTTCTACTCTCTCGGCGGGATCATGATGATCCTGGGTGTAGCCACACTGGGCAACCTGAACACCAAGGCCATGACCCAGGAAACCATTGGCATGACTTTCTGGCGGATTATCATCTCCGCTGGTGTCCTGGCCATGATAGTTAGCGTGGTGAATGTTCTGGCAGTAAGTATCGAGATCAAACACTCCGAACCCCCCAATATATATCCTTGAATGCTAACCCATTTTCTTCAACAGAGCTACATCTTCAGTGATCCCGAGACCGGTGTCAGTGCCCGCCAGGTGCGGGTGGATGGCGCCGTCGCACCACAAAAGGCAATAAGCAGGACCAGCAGCCACCGCACCCTCCATTTGAGCGTGAAGCGCGAGGAAACCCTGCCCACCTACACTCGCCAGAACCCCGTCAAGCGCGCCACGAAGCGTCTCACTGGCCGGTTCCCACTCAAGATCTCCAAGCCGATGAACCCGACCCTCGTTGAAGAGAACGACGCCGCTTCCTCCAAATACTCTCGTGACTCTGCGGAGATCCGCCCTCCTGATCTCGCACACCACCCTGCTATGTACTCGGGCCACATGGTTTGATCTGATTGACTGGTCAATTAGGTCGAAAATAGCGTTGTTTTAAAGGAAAGGGAAGAATCGCGTTGATTGAATGAGAAATCTTGCGTTATTGCGATGGGCGCATTCGGCGCTGTTTTATTCCCCTGGTCTTTTTGCTTTTGCTTGATGTTCAACTGATTTAATTGATACATATTGTTTTTATGCTGGAACATTCGTAGGATGTGTAGCTATTATAGTAGTTCAAGGTAGGTTTGAAAAGAAAACTGAAAAGTATTTGTAGATCAGAACAGTATAGAAGTAGTGGTTGAAGGTAGGTAACGCCCAAAAAGGACGGGACCCACGTTTGGCCCGGACTTCAATGAAGCTACGTTGGACATCCGAACACTCTTACACCTTTCTTTCGTCGAAACTCGATTCAACTGGTTCGAGTTTCCGATGAAGTAAGGTCCATATTGTAGCAAATATGGCCATCACAATCTCTTGGGGAACGTAAGTCTTGAAGCTCTCCACATCCTCCGCAATCTATCCTAACCGTGAATAGCGTCAAATCACTCCTCATATTTTTTGGCCCAGTCATACTCCCACGCTTAATTACCGCCTATCGAAGTCTTCGTGTATCCATCGCGAGTCGGCCACCGCCGCGTCCTCTGCCTGCCGCACCCGGTCGAGCGTTGAACATTTTATTCGGAGGCATCGTCTTCTTTCTACTCCTAAGCCTACCTTTCAACCCCCACGCGCCCGAACCCAACGTCTTCTCTCAGACTCGCTCTCGTCTGAACACCCCTACCGATGTCATCTTCAACCGTCTCGCCCGGCTTCGGCCAGGTAACTTCCTCACCGAAGCCGACACCCTCCTCCAGTCGAAGTTCACCTCTCTGGGTGCCCGCAAGGTATACCTGACCTATGGCCCCGATGCCTTGGTCTCGTGTCAATACTGCTCCTTCGACAACCTCTACACATACCTCATATACTACCTCCCATTCCACGTGTTGTTACCACACCTAGCGCACCTGCTGCTTCTAGGCGTGGCCACATCCGCGCCCATCGCAGGGCGCGAGGCCTCCCGCTGGCGCGCAAAATTCACCATAGCCGGACTTGCCCTCGCAGCCATCGACATCTACATCATGGCCACCTACGACGTGATCCAGGGTGCGCCCCGCTCTGTGCGCGCGGGCCAGATACCGCCCTCCAGCATCTACAACAACATCACGCTCCTGCGACCGCTGGCCTTTGTGGTCTGCGATGTGATCTGCTCGCTTGTGATCTGGCTTTCCGCAACTAACCGGTTCTTTTTCAAGCCGCCCTCGACGATTGAACAGGTTGATCAGGCGGTGTCGGTGGCCGTGCAGACCCTCAAGGGCGCAAACTCAAAACTCCATGCTGCGAGTGTCACTCGCAATGCGGTGGTTCGGGATTCGGCTTTGAAGAATCGAGATGATTTGTATTGGCGGACTATGGTGGCTTCCGAGAACCCCACTCAAGGGCCTGGAGAAGGTGGGGAGCAAATCCTCAACAATATTTGGGAGGAGGAAAAAGTTGCTAGAGCTATGTCGCGCGTGATGGCCGGGCAGGGTGGAATTGATTTGGCTCAATTGGGGGTCAATGCCAACGATTTTGTGCGAAACGTTACGGAGGGTTTAGAATGAAGTTGTCTCTTAATATACATCGTACAGGTGTACGTACCACATCTATTATTATACCATTTCTCATATCCCGCGCCAAGACATAGAAGACTGGCCAAAGAGTGTAAATAGACCGGAAATGGTAGAATGTTGACATCCTTATACGGAATCCAACCAGAAAAAAAAAAGAAATATATCAAATCTCAAGCCAAGATCTTAACTTAGTGCATACAATATACACACCTCCCAGGGTCTCATTCATTAAACGAGGCGGTGAGTGGAGCGATGATCGTCGTGAAGAGATGAAACGAATGTTGAACCACGTTCCCCCTCTATTCCCTCCTTTTCCTACAAAATTATTCTTGCACTTTCACCGTTGTTGCTTTTCACGTTCCTGGTTGAACGAGTCAAGTTAGAAAGTAAATAAAGCTCAGATGAGGCAGGTCCCACATCCATCTCGGCATTGAATCATTTTGGCTCGATCTCGACTCTCCCGACTCCCCGACTCCCGACTCCCGCTCCTATCCCACGGCCTTCCGTGGAATTTCGAATATCCTCCACACTATTGGTGCTCTCTCCACCATGGCAGACACAGTTGTGCCATCGCAGCCAGTAGAGCTGAAGGGGCGCAATGTCTACGTTTCCTCTCCCAGTGGATTACGGCCGGCCAAGGAGACCACGTTCCGTGAATGGGTGGTTGCCAACCAGATCGGTATGAAGAAACATCTCAATCCTAGGGTTCGCGTGGAGACGACGGAAAAGCAAGCTGCACCTGACAGAATTGCTGCGCCCCCAAATAAATCCCTGGCATATGCGAAATCCCACATCCCGAGAATACTAGTATCACTAACATCAGTTGCTTCTCTGCAGGAATCTCCATGACCACGCTGGCTATGCTGCTGGCTCTTCATAACCTCTACCCCTCGCTCCGTCCATATACCCAGCCATTCTTCCAATTGTCCTATTATAATGAATCCTCAAACTCCTACGTGCAGGGCTGGAACGATGTCTACTTCGTAATCAGTGCTGCCATTGCACTCACCGGTATCCGTGCTATCGCCATCGAATGGTTCCTGCAGCCATTGGCCCGCGCATGTGGGTTAAAGCGCAAACAGTCGCTCCGCCTCGCTGAGCAGGGTTGGCAAGCTATGTACTACTCGTTCATTTGGGGAGTCGGATTGGTGTGTTTGGCCCACGTATCTTCCTGGGAATATATAACTAACCGCTGTTTCTACGTTGCAGTACCTCTGGAAGACGTCATACTACTGGGGAGATTTTGCCGCTATGTGGTCGCAGTGGCCCGCCCGTCCTTTGTCGGGCTTGATGAAGTGGTATCTTCTCGTTGAGCTGGCATTCCTCATGCAGCAGATCTTCGTGATTCACGTGGAAGAGAGACGGAAGGACCATGTCCAGATGCTTTCCCACCACATTATTACCAGTGCTCTCCTCAGCTCTGCCTACATCTACGCCATGTATAATGTGTCCAATGTAGTGCTATGCCTCATGGATATTGTGGACTTCTTGTTACCGGTTCGTCAATTACTATTGGTCAAGTGTGTCTAAACAGTTACTAATACCTCTGCAGTCTGCGAAGATCCTCAAATACTCCAAGTTCGAAACAGCCTGCAACGTTGGCTTCGGCCTCTTCATGGGCACATGGTTCATTACCCGACACATCATCTACCCCATGGTGTGCTGGTCCGTTTATTATGATCTCCCCCGCGAACTCACCTATGGCTGCTACACCGGTTCGACAAGCGAGTTCATCTCAGCGGAGGCCCCAAATGCCTTCGCATACATGCTCGGTCCATACTTCAGTTTGGACAACCCCATCTGCTTCAACCCCACTCTCAAATGGATGTTCTTATCCTTCCTGTTGATCCTCGAGGTACTGTCCATTGTATGGTTCAGCATGATTGTCCGTGTTGCCTACGGTGTGGTTTGTGGCGGTAATGCCGAAGATACCCGCAGTGACGAGGAAGACGAAGCGGAAGTGGAAGGTCAGACCCCATCTCGCGTCCCAGCGCACTTGGCTGCTAAGGACGGTGCCCCTGCCGACCCACTGGAAACTGGAAACGCTCCAGGCTTGGGTCGTCGGCGGTCCAACGGCACTGCCTCGGTGCGCGCGCGTGGTCGTGGTCGTGTTCCTTTCGATCCGAGTGATCGGAAAGCTCTCTTGGGTCGCATTGGATGTGAAAAGCCTACATAAATGCCCGCTTTTCATTTAACATTTCCTTTTGACCAAATTTGATGACTCCCATTTCGAGTTGCTCCTTAGCATGCCATGCCTCTGTCCACATACCCCATGCCGTGATATCCATTCCTCGGGTGTCGGCGTTGAATAGTCAGCGCTGGCTATGCAATGGAGTCCCCGGAATTACGATGAACTGCGATTTCCAACGTTTGTTTGCGGCACATCCTCTTTCAGTCTGCTTGCCGGGTTTTATATCCACTTTATTTTTGTTTCTCTGTTTTCTTCTTATTCATACTCATTGTTGTGTCGCCACTTGCCGGCTGGCGGCGGGGAGGTTTCCTGCTATGCTTTTTGTTGCCGTGATGATCTCTACGGACTTGGAGTTTCGTTCTAGAGATCCACACAATAATACCCAATGGAAGCACTTGGCATTGTACATGTATCATAGAGCCCTGTCCAGTATGGACTTACAGATTTCCCCTGGGGCGAATACAGAATATAGCCTTGCCTTCAACAACCGCAAATCCGTAGTCCATCATCTTCATCCTGCCCAGCATCTTGTATAGACCAACATCGCCTAGTGGTGAACATAGTCCCTAAGCGATGGCTCCTCATTCCCATTATACCCATACAACAACACATCCAGCACCCCAATCACATTCGACACAGCCTCGATGCCCAAAAAATCATCCACATCCAAACCAGGCGCAAGAGACTCCCCGCAAATAGCATCAAGGTCAATCCTCTCCAACTTCCCAGGCCCATCATGAACCAAAGCGTCAACAAACAAAGCATACGCCAACGGATTAACCAACATAGCCGAATGTGAATAAGAACCCCCGGCAGCACCTCCTGCACAAGCAACCTGCACCTGTACATTTGACACCCCAACCCCACGCACATCCCCCAGGGCCGCAGAGGCCCAATCCCCACTCTGAGGTTGAACAATAAAGTCATTCCAGAGTACACGCTCGTCACTGGTACGAATGCCGAATCTCCACCCCCACCACGTAGAGCCCGAATAAACCTGGTATCATACGCCTGCTGCTGCACAGCCGGCGAACAAAACGGCTTGGCGAACACGCACAGCGTCGCAAGAAGCGTCCCGTGGAAATCACCACTCACAGCCATGAAATCGCTTACCGCGACTCGTGTCGACGGCCAGTATTTCAGCGCCCATTGCACGTCTATGCTGCCTTGCGACCAGGTTAGGACCCCAATCGGACGCTGCGAGAGCGCCGAGATGTAGTTTATTGCGTATGCAACGTACTCCGCGTTGCTTTGGATGTCACCCAGCGAGTTGTCTGGGATGTTGACCCATACTGGGTCTGTGTGTGGGTTTGCGGTAAAAAGTTTCGCGTAGCTGAAGTAGTAGGTGCTGCCGGCTGGATCGGCGGTTCCTGGGACTAGGAGGACGGGGATTCTGTTGTTTTCGCCGTAGGAAAAGGTTGGGGGGATGTAAATTGCGCTGCGGAGTGTTTCTTCGGGGATGTCGTAGGGTGCGTCTCCGAACGATCTTGTTGGGTGGATCCGTGGGGTTGGGTTCTTCGTGTTGTTGTTAGTTATGGAGTTTATTTCGTGGTTTGTTATGCCGTTGAGAATGTCGGTGATGCTTGATGGGACTAGACCTAGGGATACTATGTCGATGGCGTTTTGAAGGCTTGTTCGGTTGTTGTCGTGTGGAATTGAGGAAAGGACTGAGAGACCTTCTTCGATGGTTGAAATTGGCTTGATTTTGCCTGTTGCAATATCCGATATCCTGGCTTGGAGCTGAGATAGCTCTTGATATATGTCCGTGCTGAAGGGAGCGTGACTTGTGGATGTGTTGAATAGCTTGTTAAAGATGTCTGGGACATCCTGAGCTTCTTTCGATGTATAGGAAGGCACTGGACTACCAAGCGATATTGGTACAAAGAAAACAAACCGGAGCACTTTGTGGCAGCGCATTATGATTCTTGGCTCTTATATTAGGACTGACTATCCACCCATGGGGTTTGACCGGGTACATGCTGACCTTTTTATACCCAGAAAGATATTCTATCGGAGCTCAATCAACATCCCTTTCGTATCATATTCATGGCTTATTAGATCTGAGTTTTTAATCTAGGCCAGAGACATGTGCATACACGGACTCGTCATGCTTCGGAACACGCAAAAGCACCGTCAATACATTGAGCCCCTCCAAAGTGTCAGGACTATTTCGTGCTTCTCATTCCCGGTAGTTTCATAAAGTCCGAGCACCGGAGTTTCTTCTGTGTCTGTGTATCCCGAGACATATCTAGATCAGCTCGGGGAGGGTCTGCTGCAACCTCATCCTAGAGAATAGGATAGACAGTCAACACCATTCAACACACCAACTGCCCGAACCACGCTCTAACACGGAAGAAATCAAGTCCAAGAAGAGCTTATATTCACCGCAAGTGCATCTTACCGCGGGGTTCTTTTCTGATATATCATATCTGGTTATGGGAAGTCGCCTGGCCGCAGCTTCCGGTCATCCGTATCATCGCGTTGAGCTTAATAAATGCACCGCGTCTTTTGATGTTTGGACGAGTCAGAACATCTAGTCGTATATCGAATTAGAACTGATTATGATAGTGTATGTGCGACTTTCCCTGAGCCCATTGTCTGTCCAGTCGAATACTGTTTTCGTAGGTTGACTTTAGGACGCATAAGCTTACGAGAAAATGGTTTGGTTAGGACCTTGGAAAGGCGCCAATGTCTCCTAATACCCAACCAAATTATCGGAAATAATTCACCAATTCTAGCTACAGATCAAGGTGCTTCCTTTGCTGTAGTGAAGCGCTTTCGCCAGCAGTTTCGTATAATATCTCCATGTCGAGCCTCACGGCAAAAACACCAGAAGCCTTTATATTAGCAGCTCATAATCAAGAGGTAGGCAATGTCACATTTTCTCGTAATCCAGCGCTAGGGAACTAGAAGAGTTGGAATTAGCCAAGCGCAGATCAAGATTATCATTACGGATGGGTTGAGGGGTCCGTACTCTATACCTTAGAAAGTCTAGATTCATGTCTGTGAGCGCTAACAGCGTTAGAGGCGGATCAGAAATAATTCGTTTGCCTAGAAATATACACGTAAACTTGTGCGTTGACCCCGTAACAAGTAGGTTCAGCACCCGAATTTGGACATGGCACACCAGCCATACGAAACTACTTTATGATATGGCTCTAAAGCAGGGCGGAAACCTCGCTTCCCTGGGGCTGTGTTGGAACCGAACTTGCATGAGCAGAGGATGGGACTTAGCTGCCTGGATGGATCATCGTATGGATGATCAGCTAGTTGGTATGGTAGGCTTGGCCGTGAATATGTAGTTGATCATCGGTGGGAGATTGTGTTCCGTGGCCAAAAAAGAAGAGGACAGGGGCAGGATTATTCTGCCCAGAAAAAGCTAGTTATATTGATTATGGTTATGGTAAACTGCCTTACCTCTTGAGTCCAAATTAGATTCATCTTAAAGCCCCTCTAGACCTGAAAAGACAATTTGCTTGTCAAATACTGCAATTTCAATACCTTATCGTCTTCACGTATTGGATGTTATACATGTGGATGATAAATATAGAAGTGGAAAGTTGTGTATGGACACTAGAAGACTTTTGTTGAGGGTTAAGTGTGCAAGTGGAAAACCTGAACTAGCTTCAGTTTATTCATCGCAACATGACGAAACCACCGAATTTCAGACTTTCAATCAATGTAAACATATCAATCGTCCAGGACCATGCAAGCGACTACCATGGACGCGAACATGCCCCCTGTGGGGATATATAGGTCCCAGGGTCTATTTCCAAGATCTCGGCCTCGAGCTTCCAACTCGCAGCTTTTGTCCCACATGTCGTGTAAGTCAACAGCCGATTGTAATTGAGTAACAAGATATTCCTGCAACTCAGGTACGGGTCGTAAGGAGTAAGGAGCTTCTTTTAAACGCTGAATCTCATGGATGGTTGATGCTAGCATAGTATATTTGTGGAAATTGATGAGTCCTTCCGGTGTCATGGCTGGGTTCCCATCTTCGATGAATGTCAAATCTTTCAAAAACAGCCCTGGTGAATGGTTAATCACTGGCAATTTTAATTGCTAAAGAGAGAACTGACCAAGAAAAGGGATGCACGGTGCCACTGCAACCCGTAACGTGTCACGCTAGGCCTGGTAATTGTGTGCACTGCATGTCAAAGCTTGCAAGGGCCTTAGTGTGTTGCAACTACGTTCGGTAACCATTGCCCAGGTGCGAGCAAGCCGGTAGATGGGTGCGCTTTCCAGGCCTGCCAGGATAGAGACCACCGCGGAGTAATTATGGAGTTGACAACATGTCTGTCATAGGTGAAAATTAGCATATAGGCAGAATTACAAGAGTGAGGCTAGAGACCACCACGTACGTTGGCCACATTGACCAAATGTCCTATGACTTGAGCCCGCTTTTTCACATCCGACTCTGCGAGTATTAGGGCGCCAACCCAATTAGAGAGCTGATTGGAAAACCGAATCAAGGCCCTGATGTTTGGAGCTAGCTCAGGCGTACCGGAGCTCTCTTTCTTTTGCCAGTTTTTGTTTAGAAATTCATCTCGTCGTACTTTGCCAAACATATGTGCTTCCATGATAGTCAGCTGCCTCGCAAACTCCGTGGCATCGATTTTGAGGAACTGGAGCTTGTCTAATTTTCGTGGCAAAATTGGTTTTGGCGCGGTTGAGATGGATGATACTGATCTTCTGTGACAATCGAGGCCCGCAAGTCGGCGCTGAACGATTGTGAGAAGTTGATGTGTTGCGCTTGTCCCGATGGCATCCGTGGCGCGCTTTGCAAATGACTGCAGTATTCGCAAGTTACGATCTGTATCAATGTCTTTTGGCTCAGACCAGAAATGCTCGAGCCACTGCTTCAGAACATTTATCACGCGCAATCGAATCAGTGGCTTTGTCTGTGTCGTCCATTCTGTCGCCTGTGTGGCGGTTAATGTGGGAGGCGAGCAGTCAAATCGATCAATGAGGAGCCCAAGGAGTTCTGCTCCAGAGGTAAAATACTTATAAGTAGCGAAGAATGTCCGGTTGAACGAACCGTCAAGCTTGTCGTGGCGCGTCAGATTTTCCACCAGCGCTGCGAGAGTTCCGGCCCTAACAACCTCCACACTTCCGTGGTACTGGCTGACGAGTTTCTTCGGAGATGTGATATCGTGAGACCCGGAGTCCCTCCGCTCTTTTGTCTCTGTCTGATCCATTGTGACGAGAAAGCCATGGAATAATTAAAATAATTAAATCGGATGTCATTCCCACCGCACATCTGCTTAGATCGCCGTGGTCACATGGCATTGTATCTGAACTGTGATTAAGGGCGACGCCAAGCGATTGATAAGTCACTTGGGTAGTGGGGGCTAACGCAGCACTCCACATATAGTCACGTTAATGTTCTACGAAAGACCCCGAGCCATCGTCCGACCTCGGATTGGGTTCTCACAATCAGCAACCGACCATCGGCATTTTGCTTAGCCGCCCCTGCCACGGACCCACCTTTAACCGCATTTGACCAGGATCGGAGAGTTTTGAGTTATCTGATCCGAAACTTACTGCGAACCTTGGAAGCTACAACTTTACTGGCTGAGAGAGGTTCCATTTATTTCCAAGGTTCCCTCTGAGCCACGCGGTCAGAGCCCGCATTTATAACTTTTAAGGCTGAGGCGGTTTATGGTTCACCGGGCTTAATTCTTCACGACAGGCAACTATAGCTGGGGCTGAGGGGTACCATTCATTCTGAGTCGCGTAAATTTCTATACCTAGGTATTATCTTATACTTGTTGTCATCCTAAAAAGACCGTGCCCCTGACCTGTGGCTTCCTCTTCAAATTGATATCTTTCATCATAAATGTCCAAGGAATCGCTAGAACTATAATGCCACACCCAACAGAAAGTAGTCGAAGTTCGGCATAGGCGTAGGCTTTCTGAATAGCCAGCCTGGTGGGGGTTCCGACAGGATAGCTCCGTTGTGTGACGAGATCCTCGTAGATTTTGTTCAAATTTGGCAACGCTGATTCCGGGAGGTATCGAAGAAGAGCTTTCAGGTATGTGTTTTGCCAGATGACGGTACTGATAGTAAGACCCGCACTATCGCCAATAGTGCCAACCACGTTCAACACAGCGAGCGCTGTGGCGACGTGTTGGTGGTCGACAGCCGCTAGGATAGCAAGCTGCTCGACAAGAATGAAGGTGGAACCACCGATAGCGAGGAAGATCTGGCACATTACTTGGTAGCCAACATTCACGTTAGGCTGACGGAAGTATATCATCAAGCCCTGTGCGAAGATGTAGAGCGGAATCGCAATATACAGAGTCCACTTATAACGGCCGACTCTCCGGATTAGCCAACCGGTGGCTAGCAATAGCACACCTGAGACCATATCGAAGATATTGACGATGTAGTTGGAAGTGGTAATGGATAGATCATTGTTGACTTGCAGCCAGGAGGTGAAGTAGTAACTCCAGCAATAGTTTGAGAGCTGGTAGGTTGCATCCAAAAGGACTGCACCAAGAATAGTGCGGTTCGTAAGAAGTCGCCATTCAAAAAGAGGCACTGGAGCCAGCCACCTTTCCCAAATAGCGAAGACAAAAAGCATACAGAACCCGACGACAAGCATGGCAATAATATAGCCAGAAGCCCAATTATCGGGGGCGTAATGTGCGAGGTCGAAGGGAAGCTCAAACAACACAAGACCAACAGTGAACAAGAAGACTCCAAGGACTAGTGTTCTAAGTTAGATTTTGCTTTCTCCCGTGGAGGATAGAAATTAGCAAGTAGAGTACTTACCATCAAACTCGATAGTCCAATGACGGATGCTTTCAACTACCGTGCGACCACTTGGCCTCTTGATCCGGTAGCCTTCTTTCTCCGCCTTATACAAGTTGTACTTCAGCATTATGTATAGCGGGGCCGCCACCACAGGAACGATGATTGCCCAGCAGCCAAATCCCCATTGCCAAGAAACCTGGTCATAGAATTCGTTTGCCACCTTTGGTCCCGCAAATGCCGTGATAATGTATGGGGAGGAAGTGAACGCATAGGCGAACGCACGGTTCCTCAGGGTTGAGACGTCGGCTGTCATAACATCGACCGCGTATTCCATACCGTAGAAACCGGTATAGTAGAAGACCTTATATTCCCGTCAGCATCCATAGTAAACAGTATGCATTCTTGGAGCTCACGTTGGCGGCGCAGTAGATCTCAAAGCTATCACAAGTCGCCATGAGAACCAAGCCGATGGTTAAACATATCACCATCAAGAGAAACCCTTCGGCACGGCCCCATACATCCATCATTTTTGCGACAGGCAGGTAGGTGGCGGCTGCGAAGACATCACCCAGGGCTGTGGGAACCCCGGACAGCGAGTGTGCTGTGAATGAACTTGTCACATAGGGGTTCAGAGTAACGATAACAGTAGATTGAAACGCATTCGCAAAATAAAGGAACCAAATGCTATTGGGTCATGATGTTAGTGTCTGTCGAAAATAGATAACGGTATTGGATGCGGGACACAAAATACAGTGACTGTGAACATACTTGATGAAAAATGCGATCAACATACCCCTCGTCCAAGACATAGTCACGGCCTCGACATCTTGCACACCATGCTGGGCACTCCCATCTGGTATCTCCTCGAGCGCCACAGAGCTGACGGGACTTGGAGGGCCGTCCTTACCATTACGGGCCGTGTTCTGTGTGAGGGAGCCACTGTCATTGTCTTCAGTCGACATGCGGTGGAACACGATACGTGCTCTTCGGATCAAAGGGCGAATACCCATGATGGTTGACTGTAGAATTAACAGCTGTCCAGCGGGCTAAATCAGGTTGAACCACACGTGGACACATAGGGAATTCATTGCCCTTATAGTAAATAGGCACCGAAGTCGGATTTCGTATTTTTACTGGTGACTAACTGAAAACTAACTAGTCAAGCACTGCAGGGGCCGTTCCTGGATATGTGGAGATCTGATTTTCAGAGCACTCTCCACTGGCGGTAAACAGAAAAAAAAAAGAAGATAAGATCTTGTGTGCTCGTGCATTCATGGGCCGGCCCACGCCACTTTTCCTTGTCGATCAGTAATTGCGCACTTTGCAGAGAGGATCCACTGCTAAATTATGCGTATCCTATCAGAGAAAGCTGCATGATTAATTGAAAAGGCAGGAGAACCTAAATTGGAGGATTCCCATGCTCAAGCTAGGATTTCTTCACGTATCGTTTACCCACAACCTCAAAATATACCCTCGCTTCTCTTGCCCGAGAGCTGAGTTGGGCGTATAGATCAGGTGAAATAAGTCCAATCTACGAAGCCATTAGCCGAACCGCGAGTAACTGAGGGTGGAATCTCATCTTGTATTTTCTTTTTCCTCGCTTACATGCCGATCCTTTTGTGATCTCTTCCACAAGCTTCGACTAGCCCATTGGCTGGAGTGTTGACTGCATCATTCCCAAGATATAGTTTTCAAGAGAATCAGTCACGCAGACGAATGACGATCATCGGCTGAGCTAGTCAACATAGTTATGGACTTGTCTATGCGCATTTGTGGCTCAGATGTGACCACGTTCGTCTCCTAGCCGGATTCCTTGGGCCCATGGCTCTTCCCTCACAGCTTTCCATTGCTTGAAAACTCCACAACGGGATTATATTCTTTAGCGAGTACTGTCCGACCTTGATAGAATCCGTGGCTATAAGGTTTAGCTCCACACCGGCTCGCAAAGCCAATAACGCGTTGCGTGCGACTAACCCTGCATATTAGTCTATCTGGCAATTCTCAGATCTATATAAGCATCCCAAATAAATTGATATATGAGGGCTTAAAATCCAAAGGGCTTTCACGGGCGCACACGACATGTACTTGATCCATCTTTAGGGAAGGAGGTGAGATAGTAGATATGTTGCTTAAGTGAAAGGCAAGACGGCGTCGATTCATGTGCATGTGTCATTCCAGGTAGAGTTAAGCGGGATGCGCTGGGAAAGATAAAAGAAAATTAGATGGACGAGCAAATCCATTGGAAAGGCATTTCGAGGCACTACGACAGTCTAGCAGATCCGCCAGGCGTAGAGCAAAATCCTTTCTACAATCTGCTAACTATCAAAAAGAGTTAGCCCTCTACTAATCTTATATCGCAATGCTTTCGGTATCATACAACATTCCCATAATCTATTTTACCGTACCATACTAGGAGGAAGGGTAGAACGAGCAAGGATTTAGATAAGTAACTGAAACTGGATCGATGACTGCCTCGGGGTAATCGGTCAATTCTGAGAGCTAAGCAGCTCACGAATGAATTCTGCGATATCTGCGCTGAGAACGAATGTGGTCGTAATCACTGCCCAACTGGACGCGCTGGGTCATCAATCCCTCCAAAAGAGCCTCCAATTGTTCGATTTTCGAGTTTAAATATCGGGCCTGTTGGTCGTTAAAAGCCAGTAAAGGTCGGAGTTCGTTTTGGGTAGCATGTATGGCATTCCTGTTAGAACGGAGAGTCGTTTGAAGACGAGCTTCACGTAGAACCAACATCGTGTCTTGTTCGATCAACTCAAAATGCTGGTCTTTCTAGAAAGTATTAGAGATGAATTGGCATTTTATCTTGAAGAGACCGATATGTGAGAGTTAGCCAAACGACTTCTGCCGGGACTTACCATAGTTGCTTCATGCATCCTGGGGGATGATTTAGATAGGGGATGCTAGTGAGAGGTGTATGGTTTAGATCGATGAAGGTGAAATTAAGACTTCGTGGAGATTGAAATTGTGTGCGATGGGTTGAAAGATAAAAAAGGAAAGTAGATGGCAGGAGCAAGTTGAAAGGGAAGGCACTGTCATCCGATCAAGGCCATACGAAGAGAAGTGCTTGACTATTCAGCTGGGCATGTGACGTAGGTTCGAACGAGCCGTCAGTTGAAATGGCTCTATTGGACTTCTTTACACTTAGCACGAGAATAACCACATTCGGTAATGTTGCAGTACTTGCCTTTGTTGCTCCTCCCGAACAGGTTGCTTTTCAACCGTGGTGCTGCTCGTGGCTGTGCAATACCTCATGTTGTTCAACCAACGAGAGGGATCCGAATTTCTCTAACGATTCCATCGGACACAACCAGATTTATTTGGGCCACTTGAAGTCGGGCTTTGCGAGGAGCCAAAAGTACAAGGCGATTGACGAACTCAGCGTGTGTGTAGTGTAATGATATATCACGTCGCTCAGACTTTGTTGAACTTGCATGAAGTCACAACGAGACATCCTGGTTGAAGACATCCAGGGTACAAGTCATCGTGGCGATGAGGAGAGAGGATGAACGATACAAAATTAAGGAATAGATGGATGCGTAAGGATCAAAAAGAAGAGAATGGCAGAAACCGACGAAGCCAAATTGACTGGGAATCAGGCATGTCTAGCCAACTTGCCGTCCATGTATGTACCGTGGAATAGTGGGTCGCAAAATAGTCAATGTACCGTGCCCAAGGTGATGATAAACAACAGAGGAAAAAGGAAGGGGAAAGAGCGACTGTCACCACGGAAGTATGTACACGTATGTATGTAGGTAGTGGTGACCGGCTTTCACCAAATAGCCAGTATATGTGCTACTTAGGAGCCTGGCTTGATAAATCAGGCCAACATGCAGACAATCAAAGCTACACACATACCTCAACAAAGTCGCACCTCAATGGAATCTGTTGGACTTTACGCAGCATGTACAACCACTATCACTATCGAGAGTTGATCATTCTAACCACTCTCATTATGAAAATCTCGAGACCAAGAAAGTCTGCAGGGAGAAACTACCCAAAGAAGTGGTAGCTGAATTGTACTACATTTTACTTTTATTATCGCCGTTTCCTTGTTATTTCCAAAAAGACGGGATATTCAGAGCTGAACTATCTTGCTCCATAAATGTACACCATATGAAAACCCCAAGGAAGATTAGCTGAAGCAAATGGATATAATATTTATGTGCAGAGATTGGAGAATACTAAAGCCCAGTTGCCCCACAAGTGCGAACTCTCTACATGAAATCGATCAATATCCACCCGGATTAATACTATGATCAAAAGTCAAGGGGAACACATTCATACACCATCGGACAAGCATTTCCAGTCAGACAGCGCTCCTTTCGGGAAATCCGCAGGAAGAACTGATCAGGGCCCCGGTTCCACTTCGCGATATCTGCCTCTGTGGTTCCAGGAGGAAGCCCATCTATCGGCCAAAAAGCAGAAATGGGTCCAATGCGCACCTCCTCTGGGATAAACAGTGCGGTTGGTATTCTCGGTCCCATATCAGCATGAGCAGAGTATGAGCTTGTGGCAAGTTCGGAGCTGGGAATTGGTCCGTTTGTTGATTCTAGTAGACCATAATCGGGGGCATTATGGGCTGCATTCATTGCCATTGCATATGATTCTTCCAGGTCCATGATCGTTTGGCCCACGGTTGCCCATATGGAGCACTGGTAAAATCCTTGCACAAAGGGCGCTTGACGGAGTAGGGCTAGGGCTGCGCGCCGGGTACGTGGTTCACGGCATCGAAGACTGGTGAACCAAAGCGGAAGACCAATGTTGACGTCAAATGTGAACGGTGGTTGGGTGCCATCTGATCGCACTGAGGCTTTGGGTGCAATGGCAGATTGTTCAACAATATTTTGGAAGTTTGGTAGATAAGCATCGAATTGCATCAACGACAATGATGTACAGGTCCCCAGCATGACATGTAACATTTCATGATAACTCAACAAAAGGGCACTGGTACCAATCTCTTGCAGCGATAAAAGGTGTCTGGCGCGAAGAACTGTCATCAATTTATCAAACGCAGTACGCCAGTTCCTCAGTCTGGTGACCAGACTGAATAGTTCCGTATTGAGCTCTTCGGGCAAATGAGGAAGATGAGCCTGAAGTAGGTGCTTGGTGCAACTGCGTTCAAAGAGCGGGATCTCTATAGATAAGAGCACGATCGCTTCTCGAGCAGACTTGAGTGAGTCGAACTGTTCCGCCAAGGCATGTTCACTGCCTCGTAGTAAAGCAGTCACGGGAGCCCCACCACTGGCGAGTGCGAATGTCCCCAAACGGATAAAGATAGGGATAATAGTATCCTCCAACAGGGAAGTTTTGCTCGCTGCCCCAGATGCTATTTGGGGACGCAAAGCGTTAATGAGCTGCACGCCTTGATAATAAAGCTGCATTGCGCCGTCTGCATTTCCCTCGATGGCCTCAATGCAGATAAAAAGCACACAACTGATCAATCCGACAAAGACGTCTACACTACCCTGCTCGATGCGCTGGCGAACAGCAGATACCGAGCGCGAGTACCAGTGCAAGGCGTCTTGACGGTTCTTAGTGAGAGAAATAATATTATCGCGGCGTTGGAGCACAGGATCTGGGCATTGCTGAGGGCACTCAAATAGCGCACTAATGGTGATGATGGCATCCCAAACAGCAGGTTCGTAGCGGCAAACCTGTGGGACAACAGTGCGCCAGAAATCAACATCCAGTCCACCACCAATAGAGGAGGCAGCACACTCAAAATAATAGGCAAATGCACGTCGCTCTCGCCACACTGTATTGGTGTTTGGCGATAATGACAAGGGGTTGGCGATGACCGAGATTGTGGAAGAGGGCCGTACGTCTTCAAAGTCACACTTGCGACCTGTACTGGTACATCGGACACAGCTAGGCTTTTCTTCTCCACACTTGACTCGTCGGATTCTACGATACGCTCGATATCAAACTCTTGCCTATGGAAAAGGAAGCGACCTTGGAAGCACCTACTTGCAAGTTTTGCATCCTAGCTTTGACCTCGGGAGGACCCTTGAGCGACGGTTTGAATGGTCCGAGTGAATCGACATGTCGATGGCATTCTATATTTGGCTTGCGCCTAGATACTTCAGCGTGGAGAATGCATACTTATCAAGTGGTGGGATTCAGCCCACGACCTCGTCGACGTCCCTGATGAGTAAGCACCTGGTTAGTCAGCTATTGTATTCCAACCTTTGGAAGGTTCCAAGGTTGGCCCCGGGCGGGAAGGGCCAAGGCTGGAAACCAACTGGTGAATTATTTGGCTGCTCGGATATCATCTAGATTCCGAGTGAACACACAAACAGAAATGCCTAGCAAAGCTCGAGAGTATCCAGGAGACGAGCGTAAGAAAGCTTTTTGGAAGGAGTGGGCAAAATTTATAACCCCGCGAAACATCCATGGATGAGAGCGATGTTCAGAATGTAGCAGCAGCAACAGATGGACTTGAAATCAATGATGTAATCGATATATGTAAATACAATGGTACAGAAAGAGTATTCAGATAAAGAGAAGTGAAGAGAAGTAAACAGGTCCCGCGAGGGAAAGGCAGCGAGGCCGCAAACAATAAGGAAACCACAAGAAAGATCCTAGCCTGACCCCCAAAAGGATTTTCATAACAAGGGATGTGAGAGTCATACACGGAGTAGGTTGGGGTGTATTCTTGGGCGTTGAAAAAGAATCATGCTCAGCCACGCCAGAAGGATTGGTTCCCGGAAGCTGTGGAGATGGAGATATACCCCTAGCTGGGGTTATGTGTAGGGGTGGGTGGCTCCCGTGAGCTAGATCCATGTCTCGGCCATGGGGAATTCATCATGAACATGAGGTCTCCCAGATCATTCAAGCTTTGACAGCCGCCGACAAGAATGCCATTGCGTCCTCGCGTCCTGACGACCAGCGGACGATGTTCCTTTCCAAGTAAGAAGTGCCCTACTCAGTAGTCATGTTGGTGACAATGAGGTTCAACTCTAGAAGTTGAAGGCTCAAAAGTAGATATAGTGAAGAGAAGTCAGATCGGCTCTCAACCAGCTTTGTCTCTGAGCCTGGCAATGGCCGCTGCAATACCTTCACTCATCCCTTCAGTTTGCTGACCCACAGCCTGAGACTCAGTAGGGGGCGCAGGTTGCACAGCTTGCGCAGCTGCTGTTTTCCTGCTTTCGGCTAGAACTTCACGAAGGACTGCCTCTTCTTCATCCTCTTCATCCATATTCTGATCATGTATGTCCTCAACGTTCACGCCTGGCAATTGAGCCCGGCGTTGTGTGGCAGGAGCAGAGGCCCTCTTCGTAGTCTCGACTCTAAAGTCTTCTCGCACCGCATGGCACCATTGTTGGACCTTCTTTTCTCCCCATCCCGGCACAGCACTGATCTGCTCGGGCTGTGCATTGATAGCATTTTGCAAGCTGCCGAAAGTGGAGATCAAACTCGCGGTGTCGGATTTGTTGATACTTCTGGGGACTGTGACAAACTCAACTAGTGACTCCTTATAGGATTGGGCCTGTTGCGCTCGAATGGCAGTGGGCTGTGCGTTCTCTGAGGACTTGTAGAGCTCGAGATAATGCGCAGCCTCTGGTGCGGACCAACACAATATCAAGGTCAGATTGTTGATAATGGATGTTTTGGAAAGCTCTCTAAGACTGTCTTCGTGATTTGGTATGTCGACCATCACCAGTACGAGGCGGAGGTTGTATTTGCCTGCTAGTTGTTTCACTCGGGAGTAGATGTATTCGGGGTGTAGGCGATGGTATTTCAAGGAGAGAAACATTGCGCACGTTGTAGTGCCAACCACATAGTCCGCGGGAATGTCAGCATACTCCCATGGTAGGAGTTTTATATGGGTCAGTATTGGGTTCCCCTTTTGTCGTGTGGACACCAAGATCGCGGAAGTACCAGGGCGGTTGACGAGGGTTTGGGGTTTCGGCTGTTGGACTTTAGGTCTTGAAGATGCACCTGGAGCTGGGGAGTTCGGAGGGCGAGCAGGTATGCCACTCTCTGGGCGCGGGGGATCCATCGCGCCCATCAATGTGCTGTTGCTAAATGCAGAGCGATCAACGAAGAGTTGATAAGTCGATAAAGCTACTATGGCTTATCTGAATGAGACCCACACCGCCCGGGCCAATCTGGCTCAGTTTTCTGCCGCTAATTTTTTTGTTCTTCCTCGACCGCAGGAAAAAAATACCGCAGTCGCAACAAGACCACCATGGACGAATCACACAAGAAACGACGCCTCTCGGACGCCGAGAGCCCAGAAATCAAAGTCGAGGCCACTACACCCGCCGCCGAGGCCTCGGCCGCACAGAACAAGAGAACTCTTTTCGTCCGCTCACTACCCACCTCAGCCACGACAGAAAGTCTCGCAGAATATTTCTCGCAATCATACATTATCAAGCATGCTGTTGTGGTTTGCGACAAAGAGACAAAGGTGTCGAAAGGATTCGGTTTTGTTACATTCGCCGACGTCGAGGATGCGGAGAGCGCTCTGAAAGAACTCAACGGGTCCAAGTTCGACGGGAAAATCATTCGCGTTGACTATGCCGAGTCTCGTAAGCGTGAGATCGACGAGAAGGTTGGACGTAGTGTCCCCACTGCTGCGTCCCGGGAGTCCAAGAAACAGAAGGAAGAGGAGAGAGGGCAGGGCCTGCCGCCCAAGCTGATTGTTCGCAACCTGCCGTGGAGTATCAAGGAGCCTGAGGATCTGAACGTCCTGTTCCGCAGCTTTGGAAAAGTCAAGTTTGCTACCCTACCCAAGAGGAATGGCAAACTTTCCGGTTTCGGTTTCATTACCATGCGTGGCAGAAAGAACGCCGAGAGGGCACTCCAGATGATCAACGGAAAGGAGATCGATGGACGTCAACTCGCCGTTGATTGGGCTGTTGAAAAAGACGTCTGGGAAACAACCAAGAAGGAAGATAACGAGGAGGAAGAGGAGGAGCCGAAGGAAGAGAAAGAGTCTGATGATGTTGACATGGAAGATGCCGAGGGTGCTCTGGAAGAGCCCTCAGACGATGAGACCTCTTCCGACGAAGACGACGATGAGGACGAGGACTTGGATGAGTTAGACGATTTGGACGATGACGAGGCGGAGGAGGAGGATGAGCGAAACGCCACTACAATCTTCATTCGCAACCTCCCATTCACCGCCACAGACCAGGTACTCTACGACCACTTCAAAACTCACTTTGGACCGCTACGGTACGCACGTGTGGTCCTTGACTACGAAACTGAACGCCCTCGAGGTACTGGATTCGTCTGCTTCTGGAAGCCCGACGACGCCAACACATGCATTCGTGAAGCCCCCCGAGGAGCTGAAGCTATGGCACCGAACAAGGACAAGCCCAAGTCAAACACCGCTATGAAGCACTCCGTCCTTCAAGATGAAAACTCCGACCCAAGCGGCCGCTACACCCTGGAAGGCCGCGTCCTGCAGGTCGCACGTGCCGTGAGCAAGGGCCAAGCCGCCAAGTTGGAAGAGGAGGGAGTATCACGCCGTATGGTCCGTGACACAGACAAGCGCCGTCTGTATCTCCTCAGCGAGGGTACGATCCCCTCCAACTCCCCGCTGTACAAGAAGCTCTCTCCCTCCGAAGTGAAGATGCGCGAGGACAGCTACAAGCAGCGCGAGACCTTCATCAAGAAAAACCCAGCTCTCCACCTCAGTCTTACCCGTCTCGCCATTCGCAACCTCCCCCGCCACATCAACTCCAAGGACTTGAAACAACTGGCCCGAGAGTCCGTCGTCAATTTCGCCAAGGACGTCAAGGCGGGCACGCGCCAGCCGCTCTCAAAAGAGGAGCAGCAGCGATCCCGCGACACGATGAAGGAGCTAGAGCAGCTCCGCAAACAGAAGAAGATGGGTATTGTGCGCCAGGCCAAGGTCGTCTTCGAGACTCGCGAGGGTACCAAGGTCTCCGAGAAAAGCGGTGGCGGTCGCAGTCGTGGCTACGGATTTATCGAGTTCTTCACCCACCGTCACGCGCTGATGAGTTTGCGCTGGCTGAACTGCCACTCCATGGCAGTTCCTCCTTCTGCGCAGGATCCCGAAGACCGGGACAAGAAGAAGAGCCTCGTTGTTGAGTTTGCCATTGAGAATGCCCAGGTCGTTAAGCGCCGTAATGAGCTGCAAGCTAAGTCCCGCGAACCCAAGCCCAAGCGCTCGGATGATGCTGAGGGTGAGGGAGACAGAGGTCAGAAGAGGAAGCGCTCTGATGCTCGTGGTGGGAAAGGAAAGGATGGAAGGGACGCGAAGCGTGGCAAGACTGAAAATGGAAAGGGTCCCAAAGATGGGAAGAGTGAAGAGGAGGACAAGGCCGCCAAGCGCAACCGCATTATCGGACAGAAGCGCATGAAGCGGAAGTCCCGCAAGGGGAATTAAAGGCGTGAATGTTACATGTTACTTTTTAATGTATAGACATTATTTATCCCAGCAGTCAGAGGGAAGAACTGTTCTTTGTACCTACGCGATACCACCATTTCGAAAATGAAAAGCATGGATTTGATATTCGATACTGGATCGTTGATCGATTTCTCATTGGGTATATAATGTCGCATATTCGATCCAGGTGAAAGCTGCCGCTCGATGATAATGTAGCCCTTAGGTGTTCTTGGCGCCTTCAACCTTGCCGACAATGTTATACCGCTTGCTGAAGAAGGTGTACCACTCATCCAAGACGGTCTTTTCCTTGTCCGGCAGATCATACCACTCCGGTACACAGTCTTCGGGCTTGAGAGAGGAAGAAGCAAGAGCACGGGAGGCATCCTTGCCGGCGAAGACTAAGAGAACAGAACAGTCAGTATTCTTGTCATTATACTGTTCATAAAATAGATGCTGTACTCACCCCGGTATGAACCCGAGGCACCATAAGCCGAATTCCGGGTCACATCAAAGACAACACCCTTAATGGCGACCAGAGTCGGGCGATTAGGATCGGTACCTGCGGTGCAGTAGATATTAGTGATGCTCTTTGAGCTGAGCGCATTGGAAATCAGGAATTGGCGGGGTTCTAATCCGTGAAGGGTAAACTCTCATACCGTCGCATTTGGCCAATTCCTCGACAGAAATGGGGTCGTCCTTGGGCGGGTCAAGCTGGACTGCCACTTTGGGTTCGAAGCGCTTAGATTCTCCTGTTTGTTCGACCATTGTGATTGTTGGAGGTGAAGTAGAGGGTAAAAAAAACAACTTGGGGTTTGGCGGGGTATCCCGAGGTAGCCCGAGCTTCAGGGCTGCTTACTTGTCGGCTGTCTGATTGACCGGTTAATCTACTCTAAGTATGTACTTAGCTACATTCTTATTCTGTTTGAAACCTATATACCTAGGTAGATTTAGAACGATTTATATTCCTCTTCTATATACTCTAAGTGGGGTTATATGGTTAACCTTTCTTGATATTTCGGTCCTAATACGAATAATATATCCTCTCTAGATGTTATCCCATCAAATACCGTGATCGACTGCTTATTCGGGATTGATACGATATTTACAAATCTTCTCTCTTTTTGCCTCAATCTGGTTAGCCCTTGTATAGAGTAAGAGTGCTGATATGAGGTATCTCATGACGTCAGGATATTGACCGAGAGGTTGCACCTGACCTTGGGAGAGTTCTACAACGTCGACTGCTCAGGTGTTTGATTGCTTTCTTTGGCACACCTCCAGTAACGCAATAAAATACTATTGTTCGAAATGTCGTTCCCCGGCACGCATCCACATCCAAGTTCTACTACCGAACATCCGCGTCAAGACCCGGATCAACGCCGGAACTCCACAGACTCGGATGTGATCCATCATCTCTATTTTGAAGACAACGACGGCTTCTTCCCACCAAGCTGGATCGGGAAAGACTCACAGCAGAGACCCTCCACCGAAAAGTCGGGTGGCAACAACCTCGAGGGCACTAGGGACACTAGCACTAGTGCCTACAAGGAAAGAAAATGAAAATAGTGGAATGTGGCGTTAATTACAGGGATTCATGTTCAATATAACAGTTGTACTTAGTTATGTATACATGGATTCAGATATTCAGACTTGGGGCTTAAGTCTCGCAAATGCCTTGGAGTTGGTGAAAAACCATACTCCAATGGACCTCGGCAATAATCTCTCCCCACGGGATAGCTGCGGGGACTTATTATTATTATTATAATCTGTCTAAACACCCAGAAAATACATTGGCCAGCACTTTCTGACATTGCCAGTTGTATCGTGTGATCACTGCGAACAATACTCTCTTGATTGAGAGTCCCCTATGCAAATCGAAGTATTTAACCCAATGGGTGCACAGAGTGATCAGCCGCAATTCCCCCTCGCTTCCCCCTAGGAGGGGCCATGTGGGGATAAAATGGATGAGCATCAGACAACTCTTGGGCCGACTCTCTGATTTGTCCCTTCTCTGGACTCTCCTTTAGTTCGGCCGACGCCGATTGCCTTTCCAGAAGATTTTAACAAATCCCACTAACGCGAAACAGGAAAAATACTAAGCTAGGGAAAAAAAAAAATCTCTCATTCCTGTGGCCTTTCTCTTGTCTGCATTCCTTATATTTTCTTTGAAATAAATCTCGGTCTGGGCCCTATTGCGCACTTGTTTGTGCTATTCCTTCGCTCTTTCCTGGAGTTTACAAGGAGACCTTCAAGATGTCGCATTCTCCTAACTCGGGGTATGAGAGCCATACCCCGATGACGGCAGCCATACAGAGCGCAGAGCCCATCCTCCCCTCTGATCCCGAATCGAAGCCTACCAAGATGGACAAAGAAATAGAAGTCACCGAGAAAGACTCATCCAGCGCCAATCGCGCGACCTCGGTCGATAGCGGATCTATGAAACCCACATATGACCATACTCATCGCAAGCTTAAGCCCCGCCATGTACAATTGATCGGAATTGGAGGAACAATTGGTACAGCCCTATACGTTCAGATCGGATCTGGACTGCGGACCAGTGGCCCTGCCAGTTTGTTCATTGGATTCAGTCTTTGGTTAGTCTTTCCCCTGTTATACTGTTTTGTTAACTCTATTGGGTTCTCGACCTGGGTTGTCCCGACTTCGCTACTTTCGACAGCATCAACATGGACGGTAAGTAAGCGGTAATACCAGAGACGCAAAATAAGCCCGCCATTGGATCAAAAAAAAGAGAGGCAAAGAAGCAAAGAATAAGGAGCCACCCAACCAAACAAAGCATTGAGAAACAAGGCTCGAAGCCTGATTTCCACAATTTCAGACCAAGGATGTAGGACGCTGTTAGCCCATGCACTTCCATGCCGACCAAAGTCGCCATTAGCCCTACTTCTGCCCATGCATCTGCCGAAAGCCAGTCGGACACCCAAGGACTAAACCCAGTCCATGATGCCCTTGCCTGGTTCCTGTGTATAGCTCATTGAACGTCCACAATCTTATACTGTTCTCTAGGAGTTGTGTGATTCTGATCATCACCGTCTGTACGAACACCCCCATGCTTCCCAAGCCCTTTGCATCTTTCCCAACAGCAGCATTCCTTCCATACCTGAAACCAAATCCCTTATAATCCCAAATGCGCCAACGGTTCAGCTTGCCCTAATGTCGACCGATCGCCCAATCGCTGCAATTATTCCTCCATCTTATTTTCCATCCGGATGCGTAGTATGATATCCGAACTCACATTTTCGTTCCTAGGCTTGGCTGAAATGGTCACGTACCTACCTATCTCATCGCCGTTCATCCGATTCGCCGGCCGCTACGTTGATGAAGCTTTAGGTGTTGCCGCTGGGTACAACTTCTTTATTTTCGAGGCGGCACTGGTGCCATTCGAAATTGTCGCCGTCAGCTTGATTATTAGATACTGGACCGATGTGATTCCCGTCGCAGCCATGAATGTGGTTATCATCATACTCTATGGGTTTGTAGTCTTCCTTAATGCGCGCACGAGATACGAGCTAATGAATACGAAACAGAGCACTCAATCTCTTCGCTGTGAAATGGTACGGTGAAGCAGAGTTCTGGCTTTCGCTGGGCAAAGTCTTGCTCAGCATAGGCCTCATCTTCTACACATTCATCGTCATGTTGGGCGGCAACCCGCTCGGCGATCGGTTTGGCTTCCGTTATTGGAACGAACCAGGTGCCTTCAACGAGTACTATAAGACAGGTAATACTGGCAAGTTCCTCGGTGTCCTCGCAGCTGTCATCACAGCCAGTTTCACCATCGCCGGTCCGGACTATGTCTCCATGGCCGCTGGCGAGACCATTAACCCGCGCAAGGTGCTGCCCAAGGCCTTCAACGGTGTCTTCTACCGTCTCACAGCATTCTTCGTTCTAGGTGTTCTCTGCGTCGGCATTCTGGTCCCGTACAACGATAAGACCATGGCCGATGCTTTCGACAACGGCAAGCCGGGTGCTGCTGCCTCGCCCTATGTCATCTCCATGGATCGCTTGAAAATCCCAATCCTGCCAGACATCGTCAACGCTGTCATTCTCACTGCTTGTTTCAGCGCGGGCAACAGTTACATGTACTGCGCCAGTCGCAGTCTGTACGGTCTAGCGCTTGAGGGCAAAGCCCCGAGGTTCCTTACCAAGTGCACCAACAGTGGTGTTCCCGTCTACTGTGTCGGCATAGTGCTCATCATCGGCCTCTTGAGTTTCCTGCAGGTATCTAACGGCGCATCGGTCGTGCTAAACTGGTTTGTCAATCTGGTATGAGCCCCCACCTCCACCCCAGTCCCAGTCCCAATTCCTTTTCCATACATCCAACTAATCCTAAATCCAGGTCACCGCCTCCCAGCTTATCAACTTCTCCGTCGTCACTTTCACCTTCATCCGTTTCAAGAAAGCTCTCGCGGCCCAAGGCATTGCCCGGGAAACTTTGCCATACCGCAGCTGGTTCCAGCCGTACATCGCCTACTTCGCTTGCGCAAGCACTACGCTCATGGCTTTCGTCGGTGGCTACACTGTCTTCCTTCCCGGCAACTGGTCCATCCCGACATTCCTCTTCTCCTACACCATGATCGGCGTCTTCCCGGTTATTTACTTCGGCTGGAAATTGTTCCACGGGACCAAGCTCCTCAAGCCTGAGGAGGTCGATCTGGTTACTGGTGTCCCTGAGATCGAGGAGTATACCAGAGACTTTGTGGTCATACCGCCGAAGTGAGTATACCCTCTCTTCCTAGGTATGATTCGGTGCTAATAATGCCCATAGGACGGTCGTGCACAAGTGGTGCCAAATTATATTTGAATAAGATTTTCATGGGTCTCATCGTTGCTTTGGCTAATTGCGATATACTTACGATCAGAACACACCCAGCTGACTTCCGATGCAGACCTGTGGATACGTGATTCATTGGGCGGTGGTTTGTCTCTGCTTTGGACTGTAGACTGCATATTTTTGTATGGTGTTAGCATCACTATGATACCTATGATACCCAATCAATGCCCTATACTTATTATTGGAAAATACTGTTTTGAAACAATAGCCGCGATTATTAGTCGTACCTGACATTTAACGACATCCATGGATGTAACAATGCCTGTTATAATACGTATATGCAATATCAACAACATACACCAAACAGTAAGAAGATTCACATCCTCCATCAACAGACACGAAGCCAGGCCAGGTCGAGCTCTCCGTGTCGTATCTTTTTATACACAATCAAGCTTCACCTGACCCTCCCTCCGCCTTCTCCTTAGCCCTCAAAGCCTCCAACCGCTTCTGATTCCGCTTCCCGAGAACGCGCAGAGTATTAGTCTTCTCAATCTCCGTCATTTGCTGCCAGTTCCCAATCTGCGACAACGTCCCGTCCACGTTAACAACCATCGGACCCAGATGATCCAATTTCACTTCCGTCCCGCCTCCGCTCATGTCGATTTTAATGCCACCGTCGCCTTGTTGGTTCGCGATGGGATTTGAGGGGTCGCTGGCGGGGAGGTAGAGTTTCTTTTGGGGTTGGGGTTCTTGCTCTTGGGTCTCTTGGTTTTGGGTGTCTGCATTTTGGGCTGCGGGGTCTGAGGATGCAGCGGCTGCGGAGCCGGAGTCCGAACTTGAGTCACACATTGTGCGTGTTTGGCGTGCGCAATCCGATGCTTTGAAGGTTGCTGTGCACTGCGGGAAGAGGATACTGTAGAGCCGGGTGTTCGGTGCTTGGATTGCCACGTTGAGGGATGCCCAGGTAGCAGTAGTACCAGCTGGGAGTGAGGCGCGCACGAAGGGATTGACGGATAGGTGGAGGAGAGCGGCGCGGTAGACTGTGCGCGATACTTGCATGGTTCGGGGGTTCGGAGGAGGCTAGGTGGGCTTGATGGAGGGAGGAAGATAAGGATTGCCGGTTTCTAGAATCGACACTTCGATTCTACACTTCGACTTTACCGTCACACCGCATTCCCCACGTTGCGCTTTGTATTATTATCGGTATGTCTACACAATTAATGATTACTCTCAAATTGTTATACGTTGGGTATATCATCTTTGATTTTGTCTGTGACACTAAGCTTACACAGTTGAGAGGCCCTGGGTGTGACCACGGGTCTGTCACAATCGTGAGTCTGCCAGAACAAAACCTCCCCAGTCTGTCCAGAATCCTCTCCATATATTATGTAGAGGTATTCAGTCTGTAAGCGAGTGTTTGGCATCACCGATGATTTGCATATGTTCCCAGCGGTTTCAAGGCTTGGAAGACCTTGCCGGGAACATTGAAGATATCCACGGCCGATCCAAGCATATAGCCCCAATTCTCTGTATTTTCGCCCAACATGTCACAGAGAGCATTCGAATTGATCTAGCCTAGGTCGACCGGGCATTGGGGTTCTACGAGCGGGCATGCCGCATTGATATGGTCGTAGATGTTATACTATCGAAACCACCAATTGACCTGCAAGCATATCAGCGACAGACACGAAGCCTACGAAAGAAACATACTTACCGAAGCCGTAACACCTCCACCAACTCCCTTAATACTATGCCACCATCCCTTGGGAATGAACAGCCCATCACTAGGCCCAAGACACGCTTCAAAGCCAACCCCAGCATCCGAACCAGCAGAAACCGGAGTCCCCCAAACCATCTCATCTAACAACGCCCTCTCTCTCCCTTGCATCATCTCCTCACCCCGGAAAGCCGCTGCCTCCCGACTCCCACTCTTCCCTAGCCGCCTCCTCACAGCCCCAAACACAGCCTGCCCATCCGCCGGTGCAAGCAGCCGCACAACCTTCTTCCCAGCCAGCTGGACAAACATGTTCGGGTTCGGGTCACGGTGGAGTGGCGTATAAGTGGGCGGGTGTCCAATCCACACATTCGTATCGTATACATCGCCCTTTCCCGCGCGCACCACAAGCTCCGGCGTCGGGAAATCACCTCGAAGGACGGGAGGGAGGTCAAGGAGCTGGCATTGGGCTAGGTATAGTCGTGTTGATTGGGGAGTGGACTCGGCCGTGCGCATCCAGTCGAGGAACAGCGTGAGCGGCGCGTGAAACTGCCGGAAGCTATGTATTTCTGTTGCCATGTCGTCCGGTTCGGATGTAGTGTCTGTCGACGTGGATTCCGTGAGCTCGAGTGGGGACAAACGCGTCGGCGCCGTGTTTGTGGAGATATTCCAGGTTCAGGCTTGAGGTGCCTAGCGTTGACTGCGGACTCGCGCTTCTGAACCATTGCTTCAGGGCGGGGAGGTCTTGGAAGGTAGAGCGTGGGAGAATTGCTGGTTGTTCGGGGAGGAAGCAACGCTGTTGGAAGGTGTCCAGGGTGGCATTTTCGAGGATGCCGAGTGGTCGGTATTGAGGGTGTGAAGGAGCGGAAAGGGTTCGGACACTTGATCGGGGTTTATAATGGAGTGATGAGCGGGGGAGTCGTGTCCTGACTCGGATTGACCATGGCTGTAGCTTCATCCAGATCGACGTGGGGGGTTGAAAGGATGCGACTACAAGAAGACCATGACGATAAACCAGTTTTTGCTCCGGCAGAAAAGAGTAATAGTACGTATACCGGGGCAGGAGTTAAATTTCTCATATTCATAAATCACCTGGTTTCAACGTAAAGTCTACTCTATACGAAAATATCGAAGAAGACATCTAAAAGACCACCAAAATAAGTAAAAGAGTAAAAGAGTAGTGAACAAGGTACCGAAAAGACTACCAAAACGCCATTGGGAAGACAGAGGGCTAAGGCGGTGGGGGAGGGCGGTAGCCCTAAAAACATCCGAGGTATCAAAGATCATTTACCATGCTGATTCCCAGACTTTGTATGTGGCATGAGCTACCGATTCAGGGACAGAAGCTGACCTCATTCCACCTAGGCATATATGTGGTCTTCTGCGAGTATACAAACTCTATAAGCAAGTGGAATCGGACGACGCGGTTTATGGCTTCTATAGATTGGTCCGGTTTCCCCAATGAAGGGTCGGCCCGTGGAGCGGGCTAACTGGATCTGGTGAAATCCATATACTACGATGGCGTAGTTCATTGGCCTACATAGCTTATTGATATTGAACCCGTTCCTCTACTTGAACCAGATCCCTCAGACCCTCCGTATCATAGATGGAGTCTGCACACGTAGATTCTTAGCTGGTGCCCAGGCTGCGAACCCTACTGAAGCACAAGCGTTAGTAGGTCACCAAGCGATTTCCCCTACGTATTATTTCCCCTTCAATCATTCTCTGAAAAGGATCCAATCACGAGTCATTTATGTAGGAGTATTGCCCCACTTGTCGATCACAATGAAGCTACATGAAGCCGAGGTCGATAGGCATACCCCGCAGTCGTGAGAAGCTACACCATACATATGTACCTAGGTACCTTTGCACGTCGAAGACACCCGACGAAAGGCTGTTTGTGTGACTTGTATTTCCTTACCAAGATACACTCACATTTCGTGCCACGTTGGGTGTGTATGTCAATATTAACATGTCCCAGGTCTCACCGTCATTGTGTTGCCTGTAATTACTGTTAACCTGCAACATGCCTTCTTCCATCAGCCGAATTCATAAGCGCCATGCTTACAGCAAGAATGCACACACTTATTACCCGGTTCTCATAGTAGGTGCTGGAGAGTCGGGGGTTGCCATGGGCTGCCGGCTCAAAGAGGTTCTGGGGACAGACCAGTTCCGAATATTCGAACGTCAGTCCGGTATTGGAGGTACCTGGTGGATCAATAGGTATCCGGGAGTCGCTTGCGACATGTAGGTGGCCCAAGTAAAAAGCTTGTTTACTAAATGACTAACACCGAAGGTAAAGACCAGCAACATTCTATTCCTTCTCCTTTGCTCAGAAAAAGGACTGGTCCACACTCCATCCATCTGGTCCAGAACTCGCACAATATATGGCAGATGTCTGCGAGAGATATCAAATTGTGGACAAGATTCAGTTGAATACGGATGTGAAGGAACTTCGATGGATCGAGGATGACGAGGAATGGGAGGTTACGCTCTCGCACCTTGTCCCTGGAACCGGTGATCTAGCTCAGCACGAACGAGATCGAATTGCAGCTCAGGAAGGTCATCACAAAATCTATGTCAAGACAGAAATTGTGCGAGCCAAGGTGGTCGTCAGTGGTGTCGGCGGGTTGGTAGAACCCAAGACATGGCCGAAGGACATCCCAGGTATTGAGGAATTCGAAGGTGAGATCATGCATACGGCTCGCTGGAACGACCGGATTGATTTGGAGGACAAGAATGTCATCGTGATTGGTTCCGGCTGCAGCGCCGCGCAGGTAGTGCCCGAGCTGGCCAGGCCAGTGGCCAATGTTCGATCTATTACTCAACTCATGCGGACTCCTCCGTGGGTCCAGCCTGATATAATCCCTCCCAAGTATCTCCCCTTATACGAGAAATGGTCGCCTACATTCATGACCCATGTGCCTGGACTGGCGTCGTTCATACGAAGGGTTGCTTTCTTCATGCTGGAGAAAAATTTCTACGAGATGTTCACAGACACTGCATGGGGCCGAAGAGCACGGCCGCAGCTAGAGAAGAAGTTTTTGGACCACATGCGCCAACTTGCGCCAGAGGAATACCACGAGATCTTGACGCCGAACTACAGCCTCGGCTGTAAACGACGGATCATCGACGGCACCTGGTATCGCAGTCTCAATGCCCCAAATGTGGAGCTGACTACTCAGCCTCTGACAAGGGTCAATGCGAAGAGCGTGACTCTTGGTCCAGGCCGCCACTATCCACCCCACAAGTCGGACGACGCCGTTGAGACCAGGGAGATTCCCGCCGATGTGATCATCATGGCCAATGGCTTCGAAACCAACCAATGGCTGCACCCGCTAGAGGTGATTGGCAGGGAGGGCAGGAATCTTGAAGAGGTCTGGGCAGAGCGCGGAGGCGCCCAGGCATACCAGGGCATCGCAATGGATTCTTTCCCAAACTTCTTTATTCTTTTCGGTCCGAACACGGTAACAGGGCACACCAGTGTTATTTTCGCGACAGAGAACGCAGTAAACTACTCTTTGAAGTTTATCAAGCCGATCTTGAATGGACAGGTTAGCTCATATGAAGTAAAGGAGGATGCTGAGCGTGGATGGACTCAGCAGGTGCAGGATGCGCTTCAGCAGAGTGTGTTCCGTCGTGGGGCGTGCTCTAGCTGGTATATCACTGCCGATGGTTGGAATTCAACCACATATCCGTGCGCTCCCTGCTTGCTGGTTCCTGATTCTTACTGACATAGTATTCAGATTCACTCAGATTCACTATTGGCTGCGTTGCACGTTCCCCGTGTGGCGGCATTGGACTGCGCGCCTCACGAGAAAGGGGCGGATTTTGCGAGGTGTCCGGAAAACACTCCAGGGATCTGTCGTTTTTGGTCTCGTTGCTGCCTTTGGCTTCCTGCGCCAGAATCCTGAACAAAGGGCTCGGTTGGTGCAGTCATTGCTGGCTGGGAAAGAGTGGTTGGTCTCAGCAGTTAGGTAATTGCGCTGATATATCTTTTCTTTGGGGTTTATTCGAGACTTGTATCATTTTGAATTGGGGCAATATATCCCGAGCGAGAAACTGTGCCATTAACAAATTATGATCGTATCCATGAGTACATATATTCTCCATTTGTAAATGTGCCCCGGGCGGGGCCAATGACCGGCCGGATAATCAGATGAGTAAGCTGAATCTGGGGAAACCCCGCGAGAGAGGAATTTCTCCGCACTTCGACGCCGGTATCTCCCTCCGGCTACTCATTGAGTCGCTTCAATATTCTGCAGGTCATGGCTTCAGAGTCACCTCAGCTAGAGATGTCACCGCCGCAACCAGACCCCCGCGATCAGTCCATCGGTGCGTCCGATTCCAACAAGAGAAGGCGGAACAAGGCAACGGAACACAGGCGCGCACAAAGCGGAATCGCTACATCTCCATTGCATGGTACGATATGGCCTGATCCGGCACTTTTCTGCTTTCCGTTACCTCGGTCGCTTCACCTTCCAGTCTTGCGACTGGTCGGATAACCTGTTTTGCATTCAAAGTCATATGATTATGCCTTCTCCTTCGGTGCCTTTGTAGGGAGATCAGAGCTAACCATGGAATTTTCAGTAATGAATGCAAGCGGCGTAAGATCAAGTGCAATGGCCAGATGCCTTGTCAACGGTGTGGTCACCTGAATTTGGAATGTAAGTGGCTTTTAACCCTGCTGACAGCTTGCAACTCTTTGTGCCCGAGCTGTCCGATCCTCAGTTTCGAGCGCTGACCCAATCCCCAGGTCGCTATGCGCCTAATTGTTGTAATAACAACTTCAAGGATTCGGAGTAAGTCAAGGAATAAAACCCGTCCAGCACTTGATACTAATAGCCGAGCTAGTGAGTTCCGGTCGATGACAGATCAGATCACCACTTTACAAGAGCAAGTCAATAGCTTGTTCACCAATCTCAATGACCTTCGTACTCAAAGACCAGCCTTTGAGTCACCAGGGTTTGAGCATCCCTCTCGCGATGGGTCTCAATCGGTCTACACTCCAATGCAAGCCGGCCTAGCAAAGCCGCGAGCCCGGCATCCACGCTTCCATGGTCCAACAAGCTCAGCCTTCAATTTTGACGTGGCCAAATCCAGCTTACAGAATATGGGTATTACCCCAGCGGAAGATGGAATCCCAGACGACTTGACCACCGCACATGTTTCTCCGACTGGCTCCCCGGCTCCCCATCTGGGACAGCTTCTTCCAATCACGCACCCTACCAAGGATCCAATATGGACGATTCCGCGTGAAGAGGCAATACGTCTTTGTAAGGTTTACGAGGAAGAGATTGGGATCATGTATCCTGTGGTGGATATCGCCAAGGTTACCACCCAGGCTAATCTGCTCTACACATTCATAGAGGCTGCTACCAGGACAGGCTTTGCGCAACGGGGCTTTCCAGGTTGTGATGGTCTTCACGATGAAAGCTCGATTATTCTTAAATTGATTCTCGCAACCACGCTGGTCGTGGAAGGGGGCGGTCAAAGTGAACTTGGGCAGCGGCTCTACTTGGATGTTAAGCCATTTATAGAATCAAAGTTATGGGAGTCTCATACCATCAAAACTATCCAGCTCTTTGCTATTGTGGTAAGTCAAGGTCTCTTCAACTGCCGCAGTCAATAACTCTAACTCTGTGTCCCACTCCAGGCCACATACCATTACCATACAGATGATGACGCCATGGCTTATCGGCTTATTGGATTGGCGGCAAGAATGTGCTTAGAGATGGGATTGCACCGCCGGGATGCTTTGGTGAAATCGTTCCCAGATGAGGTGCAGTGGGACGAGATCATTCGACTATTCTGGTCAGTCTACAGCTTGGACAGACGATGGAGTCTCAGGAACGGGATTACCTTTCGTGATTCAGGACGAGGATATTGATCCGAACTTACCAGAACCTGTAAGGCTGCATATCTTTTGGCATGCAGTTACCTTTATTAACTAACATGTGGAAATCACAGGATGCATCGCTGCCTTACTTGCGCTGCATGGTCCTATATAACCGGATCAGCTCCAAGATCTGGTACTCTGGTTTGGGCTCCGAAGGCACCACTGACATCCGTCGTGATGAAATCGGCTATCTGGATTACCAAATCCTACAGTGGTACAAGCAAGTTCCAGACGAGCTCAAGTTCTATCCTGCCGGCTCCCCCTAAAAACAGCGAAAACGTAAGCAGAGGCATGAGGCGGCTCAGGGTCCTCTTGTACCTGCGGATGAACCAGCTACGCATCCTGATATATCGCCCTGTGCTCCACTCTCCTGCCAGCATTGCCGAAGATCGAGGCCACGCCCAGACTGTTGTGGAAATAGCCAAAGACACAGTCCGTGTCCTAACTCGGCTAAACCAGATGTCCGATATTTACCGGACACAGCAAATAACGTTCAACTACTTCCTAGTTGCTGCGTTGGCGGTGCTGTTCTTAGCAGTCTCCCATGCTCCGGTCGACTTCAACCGACAAGTCCGCGATGAATTTTACATGGCGCTCGACTTGGTCAACGGGTTCAGTACCAAGTCCTACGTCTCCAAGCGGTTATGGAAGACAATCAAGGGCCTACGAAAAATAGGCGAGAAACTTGGCGTTCTCGCCCGTCCTTTTGGGCCAGACTCAAGTGATCCTCATTCAAGTGCTGCGGTGGCCATGGCCGGGCTCGCCGGACATCCAATCCAGGATCTGTCTATGTATGGACCCATGAATGGTGGGAACGAACTCGGAAATAGTCCTCTCAATGGACTCCAGATGAGCCAAGAGTTAACAAACCTGTTTGAGGCTGTTGGCGCTTTTGGTAATTTCATGCCTAACACTTCGAGTGATGGTATTAGTGGCTTCGTGGGGCCGGATGGGGAAATTCAGAACACCGGCGAAGGCTTATCGGGGGTTTTGGGTGATGAGGGAGAGTTTGCTCGAGTCATTCGGGACTTGTTTTGATATTTAGTCAATACCCTTTGATAGTTACATGTCGTAATAACACCAATGACAGCATTGGTTATTTGAGTCTTCCAAGATATGAGTATCAATGGCCCTCCAAGTTAGCTATATCCCCCCACGTCAGCTGACACGTGACTCATGCCGCTCAGGCAAATTGAAACCTGCCAGCATTGACTTCACTTTTTGCCATCGTGAGATATAGCAGACACAATAGCTGCCACAATAGCTGCCACAATAGCTGCCACAATACGTGAACAGCCTTGGAAGGCCTCTCTCTCTCTCCCCAACTGCCCACCGCCCCCACGAACCGAACGGACCTAACCCGATTCGACCGACACACCCAACCTCCAAGCCCAAGTCATCAATATTAATCTCCGAGTGTTTTGAGACCTGGTAAGCGATCTGATAATTTTCAATATGAAGGCTATAAGAAACTGATAAGATTTTGGTGGGGTCCAGCCTTAGATCCAGCCTCTTCCCGTTGATCGCACAATTCCCCCCCCCCCCGCACATTGCTATGAACGTCTAGCTTTTCGGCCCCTCCATCAACTTCAAGATCTCCTACTGTTATACTTGAAGTCTTTCGTTCTCACCTCCCAACTCCTATACCCTTCCTCGCCACGATCCAGCCCCTCCGCGTGACGAAATTGCTTCGTCTGCGCCAACATCCCCGAAGACCTCACCCCCCAGCTCGGCAACGTGTCGAGAGAGACAGGTTCGGCGTTGGCCGACGGCCTCGACAGGCTGGATTTGAGTCAACTGTCTGAATCGACCTTATCGTCATCTGTGTCCGCCTCGTTCGACATGTCGTCCTCGGAAGGAGCGCCGGAGTCCTGGATTTCCTCGTTTTGTTCGTTGATGGGCCATGAGTTTTTCGCAGAGGTGTCGGAGGACTTCATCGAGGATGATTTCAATCTGACTGGTCTCCAGTCGCAGGTGCCGATGTACAAGGAGGCACTAGAGATGATCCTCGATGTGGAGCCGGAGGATGACGAGGAAGAGGAGGAGGAAGAGGAGGAGGAGGAAGATGAAGACGATGCGCTCGGTGGTGACCAACCTGGATACAGAAGAGCAGGCGATCGGCGACACGCCCGAGTCGCAAGCGATTTGAGCGTGATCGAGAGCTCCGCCGAGCTCCTGTATGGGTTGATTCACCAACGGTATATCACTTCGCGGCCCGGCATTCAACAGATGCTCGAAAAATATGAGATGCAGCATTTCGGCACCTGTCCGCGAGTCAACTGTAACGGATGCAAAGTGCTCCCCGTGGGCCGGTCCGACACCCCTGGCCACGAAACGGTCAAGCTCTTCTGCCCCGGTTGCATGGATATTTATACACCCCCCAACAGCCGTTTCCACTCTGTTGACGGCGCCTTCTTCGGTACAACGTTCGGATGTCTATTTTTCATGACATTCCCAGATTTGGATATCGGGCCCCGCCTTGACGCGACATTGTCAATGATGTCGCCACGGAGTGCATCAACGCAGTCTCGCACTGGCTCCCTGACACGAACCCCGGCTGGTCGCCAGGCACAGTCGCCCACGCCGGAAAATCAGCCGCTGGAAATCAACGGGGTCCGGACACCCAACCTCTGTCCCGGACTCGGCAAGGGCAAGATCTATGACCCCAGGATCTACGGCTTCAAGGTCTCTGAGGTCTCGCGTGTCGGCCCGCGTATGAAATGGCTGCGCATGAAACCCAAAAACGTTATGGAGCTCGACGAGGCGTGGAATCACGAGCACGGGCTGTCTCCACAGGAAATACGCGACGATAAGGATGGCGATACCGAGATGAACGCGGAACAAGCGCAAGATGCTGTCATTGCGAACCGCAAGAAAGCTCCGATGCGGCGCCGGCGACAAAACCTTGGCGCCTTAGTCTCCACAGATCCGATGGACGTGCACGGTCGATGAAGCTGGGGAAAAAAAAGACTTGCATTCGTGGTTGTTTCCAGGATTGAGTCAACCGTGTCATGGGAAGATCTGTGCCGTGCCCTTGGCTGTTGAATGATTGGTTCAGGAATTGATGACAATGATGACAGATATTTGAGCTTGTTTTACTCGCTGCTTTGAATGGGCTATCGTTTTTCTTCTAATCTATTGGGCTTTTATTCTGTCTGCGCGCATCTTCCCTGGCCTCCTTCCATGGTCCTCTTGTTTCGAATACCAGGATCAATCCGTCTCCATTCATTGTTTTATTCTTCCTTTTTTTTTCTGTCCGTAGACTCAGCACATTACTTTTTCTCTTTTTTTTTTTAATGGAAGGTGAACTAGTACACATTGCTTTCCATACTATTCTTTCCCTTCGAATGCTTCGCACTTCCCATGTCTATAATGAGTACGGAGCAGCCCAGCATTCAAGGGCCCACCTCCACATATTGAAAGACAAATCATCATAAGAGCAACAGAGCCTCAGGTACTCCGTACTGTGTACCGCAATCTGCAAGTAGAAGCTGAGCCTCCACCTTTGAGGCTCCAACTGCAAGTGAACGTCACCCAACGGGCTCGTATACACCGGCGTCCCCGACGTAACCCAATTTATTGGAAATACTAAAGACATTCCAAATCCGATACAGCACGTTCCCGAGTCCGTTCAATCATGCGTTGGCGTTCCTTGTCCCATTCAAGACCTTAACGCATCGGCGACGCCGATGTCAAGGGTGCACCACCGATGCCCGTGCCACCTATGACAACAGTCTCGTATTAGGCCGTACCTTGCTTCCGTGCACTTCCAAGGTCCACGCGAGGTTATCAATCTGATTTATAACAATCCCTCATAATTACTCATAATTTATCATCATTGGAGAAAAAAAGTACGCATAATTTATAATCCAAATTGGTACATATCTTGTATAGTGCACCGGACTGCCGGACTGGCGGACTGGCGGAACGGCGGGTAAGCGGTCCACCTGGGAATCCCATTGAGGATTTAGCGTATCTGCGTATAACAGTTAGCGTATATGTACATGCATGCCCAATCCTGGTCAATTATTGGGGTCGGGCGCGTACGAGTTGACTTGATTTATCCTATTGGAATGCCGAGATAGTGGTGTAACGCTAGAAACTGTCACATGGGGCATATCCATGGCCAAGGGCGGTTCCTTGATGCATTGTGATTCCCAAGCATTATGGTATGGAGCTGCTATAGTGGGTCTTGAGTGCATTGTGTTGGTTTTGGTTTTGTTGGCTGAATGAGGGGGCTTTTGTATTGCCACGCTCCTCTGTTCTTTACTTTTTGTTTTGAAACCGCTATAGTGAGTTTCAGTTGTTGAACTCGGGTTCTTTGTTGTCTCTTCCTTCTAAATCTTCAGCGCTTAGATCTTGGCACCGGAGCATATCAATCTCCAGCAGTGATCTATAGTTGGTAATGGGCTATCTATTGGTTTCTTTTTTAATGTTCCATCACTTTCCAGCTAACGATTTTGACTATCCTGGCACCTATGAATCTATATTTGGGAGAATATGAGGTGATAGACAGATCAATGAACGAATGGTGAGATCTTTAACTTTAATACCCTGCATAATCTTTCTTATGTCTTGGCAGTAGATACCTTGATAGTCCTGTAAATATATGTTGGACATCCTAATATGTCAGATGCTACATATGTATATATTGAACAGGCAATATAACCATTCCTGATTTGATTTGACTATCTCATTATTACAGTGTACGGCAACTTATTATCACCTAGGTAAGGAGTAATGTCATTATGAAAGTCAAGAGAGGTCCACAAAGGACAGGAAGAGAATATGTATTTTGCTTTTCAATCCGACACCCTGTGATCCGTGGTCTAACAAAGGTGAGCCACTGGGCAACACGACTGGAGTAGCTTTCCTCTGTTAATCAAGCCATATTGACAGAAAAAGGGTTCCTTTCAGCTTCTAGGATTACAGTTCAATGGGCTTTAAAGTACGGAGTAACGTCATCCGGTTTAGAGCAGACTGGAGATAGTATTTGCTGCTTTCAAACCACTATATAAAACTCCTTCGGGACATTTGGTCCCAAAATTTGGAAATAAGTAAAATAGGAAAGGAAGAGCAAAACAAGCCTTTAATTACCATACCGAAAGCCTATTAGCACTTGAAAGAACTGTAAATAAGAATACTGGTATTTGTCCATCTACCACATTTGGGAAATATGGAAATATTGACGAGCGCACGTTCTCCCTTCGCCCGTCGGGGAGAACCCGAGCCTAAATTCTCAATCCTCCAATTAATACTCCGTCGTTTCGAAAATCCATAATTAGAGGTTCGGATGGTAGATGGTCCACGATCTTGTTACTGTGTATGCCCAATTAGTGCCACGCACTGCCAATGTGGAAATTACCCCATAACCATAATCAATTGACGATCTGGACCAACGGCCCCCAAAAAGGCCCAATCCAGAATCCAAGAAATCCATGAAACAAAACCCGTATTTATACAATACTCTGTACTGCGTACTTAAACACCAAACCCACCATGTAGGTATATGCACTCGTCGCATCGATTTCCTCATTTGTCAAGGTTAAAAATAATTCGCCCATACAAAGAACTCCCGACATACAAGATAGAAACTGAAAGACCTACCGTTCCCAATACTGCGGTCTCCCGTGCTGACTGCGGCCAGCCCCGCTGCAGAATGTGGAGTTTGACGGCGCATATCCCTTAAGGCGCCCTATGGGTCTAGACGGCGACAGGCTGGGTTTAATCGTCATTCCAACGGGATTCACGTTCGGCTTCTTGGCTGGTCACATATGTAGTGGATAGCTCTAGGAACTTTGTTCCGCTGTACTTTTTCAGTTGCATATTCCTGTTTGTTTTGATTGTTTTACTTAGATGGAGTTACTCTCGGACTGGGGTTGCCTCGCAATAGTTGATAGTATGTACTATGGATATATATTGCATCATCCTCTGTATACGAAGTACGGAGTACGGTGTCCGGAGTAGGTATTCCTTGGCGAGCATATCAAAATTGTCAATTAGCAAGCTAACCAAGGCTGAGGGACCCTTTTTTTTAATCTTTTCTCTCCGTATTCTTATTCGGGATTTCCCTCATTCCAAATTCGTTCGGCAACATTGACCGAGTTGACATTTTTGGCTTGCACCGTAGATAAGGTTGGGGGCAATGCGGGTGAATCACTGCAACATGCAACGTGCAACGTGCAAAGAGGGGAATTGGGAAGAGAAGGACGAAAATCATTTTATTATAAAACACCTTCCTTTTTGGCCAATGTTAGCTCCTTCGTTTATGCATATCTCCATATTTTTGATCCACATCAGTCAGGGATGGGGGATAGGCGGGAACACTGCAGACCAGAGCCGCCAACCCTGATAAGAAGATGCTCTCCCCAAGCTAAGCTGGGATAGGAAAATGAAGGCTATTGGCTGGCCCTCTCCCCCTCAACCCCTGCCATGTGGGTTGAGCGGGAATAAAACTACCTAAATTTAGCTGTTGTTTTTCTGTTTCAGCCCCAATCCTCTAATAGTCAGTGAACTACGGAGTACGGAGTGATACGCTAGTAGGCTATTCCCGAAATATTGAGGGTGGTTATTTTCCCATCATAGTACTCCGTACTCCATCTGATCTCCTGAGGTTCTTTGTGTTATAGCATATAGCATCCGTGCCACCGGACTTGCATAGCAATCATTGGAGGCGTCAAAGGCGGGCTATTACTCCGAGACCTTTGGGACCCAGATGTAAACTGTCTATTCTAGCCGGGCGAAACATCGCCAATCCGAAGTGGATGCGACTGTTGGGAGAAAAAAAAAAGCCAACATGCTAGGCGTCTTTTGCTTGGCTCCAGGGTGTTTCTTAGTTTGGAGGGGACCTTGGTTAATGTGTTGTCCTTTGCCAAAGTACAAATGCTAGAAAGGAGGGGGGAAAAGAGTTGAGGCGCAGCACAATTCACGGACCACCTCCGTACCTCTCTGCGCGTATAGTACAACTATGTAACCGGGATAGTGGATTCTGATGGGGCAGACGGAGGATATTGCAGATTGCATCATCCGATGAATTTATTGGAATTAACTGAAAGTGGATGCCAATTTACGAATCTTTTTTAAAGCCAATTCGAGTGTTTTGGTCGAACTGGCCCAATATACCGGGATAAAGAAGTGCTGTGTGGGGTGTGGGTATTGTCTCTTTCTGCAGGGATCGGGGGGGTTTCCCAGTAGATTGGTCCTTAGTTGACAGTGCACTTGAGTTATAATTCTTGAGTCATGTATAAAACTTGTCCGCTTTAAGAAAGTGGTGGTTTTTCATATACAATATAGTCTCGCCCTTGGATATTAGGGTTATCAAACTGGGGAACATCGGAAAAGAATACATGGTACGGAGTACGTCAATCACCGTTGAGATCTCCAGAACAGGAAATCGTTTCAGCCGTGTAAAATGTTTATGGCTAAGCTGAAATTGAAAATCCCGCATGGATTTTGGGGGCCGTGGAGTTATGCAGGTTAAGTTGATTTTGGACCAATCACTATGGGAACTTCCAAGGTTATAGGATTCTATTGTTGAGTATCCAAATTCGTCAACTGTACTCTCTGGATCTGCGTTTAATCAAAACAGAGAAAGTAATCAAACAAAAAAAGAAAGAAAACAAAATATCAAGAAGAAATAGAAAAAGAAAAAGAAAAAGAAAAGAATCCGTTCAACGTGGCTCCCTAGCTCACCCCTGTTCCCTTTAACACCACGCTACCAATAAAAAGGAGAATCAACACCAGTTATCATGCAGTTATCTCGTCACACATAATAGGGGAAAAAAGGCTGGCACAAATAAAAAGAGACAGAAAACAATAAAAAAATAAATCGAGAGTGGAGAGCCAACTCGGAGAAGGCAACAGGAAATGACCCGACGGATAGACTGGAATCCGACGTTCGGGAGATCAGGCCTGGATGGGGCGGAAATATGTACCCGCAATCCGGGCTCTCTCGCCCCCGGTCCGGTCACCTTACGGCCGTAGATCGTACTCATACAGGCCATGCATTGAACGAGGCGAGCATGGGCCTGATTCCGGTGTGAGTGGGAATGTGAAAATAGATGCCTCCGGTGACGTCGATGGTGCTCGCTGGTCCTCGTAGTATGCAAGCGATGGCATCTGGAAAAAAGAAAGGCAGGCAGATATTAGCTGACTGGTCGGCATGGTGAGTAGGCTCAGCGAGGAAAATGTACCGGAAGCGCAGAAGGCTGATGTTGAGAATGGGACTGCGCTTGAGCTTGCTGTTGGCACAGGTCGATCCCGGCCATTGTTGCGTAGCTCATGCTGAATGGACTGATCAGGTCTTCATCGTAGGCGAGTTTGCGGGATTGCATCGATGGGAGCACGGGGACCAGCGAGGGGACGGGCTCGCCATATTCGGTCTGATAGGCGACTTCACTATAGTGGCTCGGTGCGGCGTGGTAGATGGGGGATTGGGCGTAGGCAGACTGCCGGTAGGTGTCATATGACGACATGGATGGGTATGAGAAGACTGGTGGGGGCGAGGCAGAGAGCTGACGAGTGCACTGCTGGGCGAACATGGTTTGACGGTCCTCGGGGGAATAGTAGTCGTACGAGGCAGCTCGGTCTGACTGCGAGTGAGGCTTGACATCTGTGACTTTGGAGGATCGCTTTGTTCGAGTCTTGGGCGATGGCTTAGGAGACACCGGCTCTGCGTGTGATTGTTCTGGCGAAGCAGAAGTTGCAGCTCGTCTCTCGAGGTCCTCCAAGCGGCGCTTCAGTTTCTTGCCTGTTGGGTTGCGCCGAGTCAGAAATGTAGCCTCAGGATGGGATTTCTCTCTTTGTTTTTTTTCCTTACGATAGTTGCGCTGGGCGATACGATTTTGGATGCGCCGACGCTCTGCGAGGTCAGAGATCTTGGTCCAGTCCTCGTTTGGGTTGGCGTTTGGGCTGAATGCGCTGCTGTTGCTGTGACTACCACGAGAGCCTGAACGGCCATCATACGATGGAGAGCGATTCATGGTTAAAAGAGGTAAAGGCTAAGTGGAGAGAGATAAAATACAGAATAGAGAATAGAAATAGAAATGGGAATAGGTAATAGTATAGTAGATGTAGAAGTGGAAGATCAAAGTGGAGGGATGTGATAACGGGCTATGAGGCTAAAGACCCGAGACCAAGTGGATGCCAGTATATTTATATATAAGAAGAGGACTTCCAAGGTTAAGGCCATTGATCAGCTGGAATTGGTTTTTCGGGCCTTGCAGCTAAGCCCCGTCGCGATAACCAGCTCAGTCCGTGCTCGAATACCATTAGACTCGACCTGCCATGTGCACAAAGTCCCGGTTATTATTTTATTATTTTATTTCTTTTTCCTTTTCTTTTTCCCTTTTTTTTTTTTAATTAATTGCATTCAGGGATCCACGTTCAGCCTCTGGTAATACTGCAAATTGACACTCTTTGGGATTTATGAAACCTCGAAATACTCTAGTACCATAAAGTCCATTAAAACAGAACTGTCAAAACGCCTAAATACATACCTAATATAGTAAATACCTAAAACACATGAAAAAAAAACCAAGACACCAGGGCCAAAACCAAAACCAAAACTACTAAAACACCGACAGACCGGTCAGTCGCGGATCGGGGGGATCTCAGATCTAACATGTAGCACCAAAGCACCAAAGTGGTACGGCGTATGATCCAAATCCAAGACGGTAGGATGGATTATTAGATTTAGGCCGGGACACGCTAAGCAGACGTTCGCTTGGAGGGCGATCCTCATTCGACCTGACTGGCCCGAGACACGATATGTCCAGGGATGAAACGGGATGGATTTTGGGGTTACACCTTGCGTTTTACTTTTTCTTCTATATATTCTCACGTGGGTTGCTTCAATGTGCACGGTCGTTACCACGTTTTTTTATTTTATTCTGGGGGGGGGGTTTGACTTCATCTTGGCAACGGACTAAGGGGATAAAGATCTGACTCTTTGGCTGATCTTGAGGATTATTCTGGCAGTAGAGTATTGGAGAGTTTTGGAGTGATATCCAAGACTATAGACAACCTTGGAATGAGAGAACTTAGAGAAAGAAAAAAAAACAAAAAAAACAAAAGCAGTTTCTCTCTGGGAAGTCTAGGTGCCCTGGAAAAGTAGGGCCTGTATTGCCTACAAATGCTCTTTAAACTACAATTGGTTCGTTCGTATACATTTATTCACCCCTATGCCTGTACTGGAATAGAGTCACTTTCCTTCAGTGACTCTATAATTAATATCACTTTGCTTTTCTTGGCTGTCTTTGTTTTCTTTTCCTTTTCTTTTCTTTTCTCTTTTTTAATTATAACCATTATTATCTTCCTGTGATATGATCTCATTGACGCGCTACCACTGGTTGCCTGATTGGCGGCATCGAGAATACCCAATCGAGGCATATGATGCGCACTAAATCCGTACTCTCCGTACTCCGTCTCCGTACTCCGTAGGAATTAAGGCCCACTGTTTGCCTACGGAGGTATGGAGGAATTGTGTTGACTACTGTCTAGCCGGAGATACGCTCAGACCCGGATGCTTGGCAAAAATACGAAGTACATCATAAGTCCGGACAAGGGGGTTTAGAGGGAAATCCCCAAAAAAAGAGGCTCTTTTCAGGTAAGACAAACGAGGCTATGAATAGGTCTCTCCACCAATCCGGGAGTTAATAGCAGGAATGCAGTGCGTATTACTTGGCTAGTGCGTCGCCCGAAAGTGGTGATTATCTCCCTATATAGGGCTGAGCTGGCCACCTTCTTATTCCTGATCGAGTAATGTCGGAGAGGCATCCCATGACCTCAGTGACACGCTCAATGAACACAACAGCTCAGGTACCCGGTACATAGTTGTCTTCACCGCTAATGCTGTCCATGTCTCCAGTTGGAATTTTAAGAATTGCACAGCCATCCTAGCGGAAACTCTTCCTCCTGCAGGGATTATAGCCACTCACATACCATTCTCGTCCCCGGATGCTTGGATGGGTTACATTTTGAGCCTTCTAATAACAATCTAGAAGAATGTTCCTGGCGGTGGACTATCATGCAGCCCCCGACCTTGCTGTGTCCGAGATGCACCTCCCATGGCACACGCATATCTGCGGAATGCCTCGTCTTTTTCCCATTGTGTTTTACTCTCTTTTTTATTTTTATTTTTATCCTTTTTTTATTATTTATTTTTTTGGGTGTTTGGTGTCACTCAAGGAATATTAATGGCGGCAATCTCCGAGCCTCTTGCGTCGTGCTGGCACGTTGTTCTCGCTTTGGATTGTTACACCAAACGTGAAATGGACCGAGTGCGAAAGTCCATCCAAGTGCACCTGCTGGCCATCTTCATCCTATTTCGCTTCAAGTGGGTTCTTCCTAGGGACGTCGGACAAGGCGTCCAGTGCTAAAGCTGGATGCGATCAAACCCAATCTCCGAATGGGAGTCGATGGCTGCGAACCGAGCATGGTTAGAATGCCCAGCTTGTTGCTCTCTTCTAAGGGCTCAAGTCACACCAAAAAACATTCACTTAAATTCTCCAAGTTTGCGTTTTACTATATTTGTCCTATACAGGTCAACAATAAGTCCGGAAGAGAATAATTGTAAACTCTCGCCGGGGGTATCCCAAGATAAGAAGCTGGCCAGTTCCCAGGCCACACGTCCCTCCCACCAAGTCCGGTTATTTCCCGATACAATAGAATTCATAAAAGCCTTAATTGCAATCTCCCTAATAAGCCGAGCACTAAATTTAGCCTATGAGATCAAACAACCCCCATTGTTATCCATGCGGAACATCCTGAAACGCCTGTTGTGTCCCGCTGCGATTCCAATTTTTGCCTAATCTGTAGCCAGAGAGCGTACGAACTGAGCCTGAAACCTTCTCTAGTACAGAGAAGGCCTGTCTGTTATTTCATTTTGCTTTCCCCCTCGATTCACTCGCCGCGTCTGGGTTTCGCCTCATCCCACGTGGTCCACGTGCTGCATGTCGCCTATTTTACCTTGTTTTCGGTCAAGGCGCAGCTGAATATCTGCCGTTAGTCTAGGCTGTACTCCGTAATGATGTGATTCATCCACCCGAACTATCACTTCGAGATATTGATTGGGTCTTTTAACCCTTGCGAGTAGATTGGCTTGTACGTCCTAACTCTAGGATTTATCCTCAGGTAGCATATAGCATATTGGGGGGGGGGGAACATGGAATTTCGTAGAAACAGGCAGGGTTATGGCCACGGGTGGCTGACAATCGTCAGCACTATGTTCGTACAAGGTCAAGTCGGAGTCTAACTAACCTGTCCGAATCTTCATCCATGTGCTTAGGGGTAATGCGTTTTGTGGGCTGGCAGCACTATCTATGCTTGGTGCGAAATCTGACGGTCGACATTGTATGAGGGTTACATCCATCCCTGCAAGAGTGATCTAGGGTAAATATTTCTCTAAACAATGGCGTGGATAGGGTTACCTGTCTCGGGGGAAAAGAAAGGACTGTTTTCATGAAAAGTACCGTTCTTCACCGTTTAGATTTTGATCACCGTGGCTTTGGCTTCCAGTTCTGGCAATCAGCGTCCTGTATGAAGCCAGAGGCACATGATTTTTCTAACTTCGCGCCCCCCCCCCCCCCCCCAAATAGTCCATTTCTTGGACGATATTTATGTAAATGAAACACTGAATATCAAAGCCTACCAAGTAGCAACCGTAATCTGTAAGGACGCACCTAGGTGGGCGAAGAATTGACGATATGTCAGCCAAACAGACCACGACATTATATCTAGACTGTTGTCAATCTAATACCTCTAGCGGATCAATGGCCAACTCTGTCAATCGAGTGGGCCATATTTGTCCTAGTATGGTATGTAGTAGATGGCATAAGGCCTCTGCTTTTGCTACAATTTGAAGATTCTTACTTCCACTGTATCTATAAACAAATGCTGCATTGGTTCTTCTTCTTCTTTACACAGTCCATAGGCAATGTATTCTTCTTCCCCTCTCTGTCATGAGTCATCGTGTTATACGAACAACCTTGGAAGTTCCGCGCTGATATATAACTACATTTCATGGCCTACGATCAAATACATAGCTTGGCATATCTTTCGCCAAGTGTGAACCCATTGAAAATCATGCAGCGGCTAGTATGCTACGATGGCACCCATATTGTGTTTATGTGCCGAGCACTCCACCTCACTAAAGGCTGTTTTATATCCGCGATGATAAAACCAAACACCCCATCAAAGATACCTGTAATAAAGTTGAATCCTGCCTTGGATGATGGGAGCATAGGAGGTTACCATAAAGCTGGGAAATCGAAGATCAGCGAGCAAACCATTGCCCTGGAGCCGTTTCATTTTTACTACCGTCAAAGAAAGGGGCTTGTTACTCCGAGCGTTTTTCTCAATCGATATACAACGGGCATCCCAATGACGCAATGTTCGAATACTCTCTGCAAAGCCCGACTGCAAACCCCGTCGTGTGTTGCTAGTTATACTACGACTTGGGGTGAACCAGTGGAGTTATACTGACTTGACGAGGTTATATTTCTCCCCTCAGCAACTGGGGCGTGTCAATCATACAGCATGTGTTACTCGGAGTATACACTATATCTCTAACGAAATTGTACTCGACGAAAGACAGAAAATAGCAAAGGAAAATTCCCTATATAAAGCACCAAGTTCCAGATGAATATGTAAAAGACTCCCGCTGCTGCATGGTAGCTTCGGTACCTCAAATATCCAAACAACATGCAAAATGCAAAACCGACCAAGGAAATATTGCCTGAGAAAGGACTTTTAAAGCCTCTGCGGCCACACAAAGTCTGGGCACAGAAGCCCTTTATCTGACAAGTCTGTCTTAGATCACGACACTGACGGGTTGTTAGTATATCGTCATCCAGGTCCAAAAAAGAAAGAAAGAAAAAAGAACTTGATGCCAACTTACCTCCAAGGGTTCTTCTCGTCACCGTATTGGATACCCTCGATCCAGTTCTTCATCTGAAGAGCAATCTCACCAGCCTCCTCATCC